ATAAGGCCCCTTATATATATATAATAATTATTATACCTTAGATAGATACTTAGCCCTTAAGCTATTAATAGACTTTAATTACCTTTAAGACCTTCTTAATTTATTATTAAGATATAATTCCCCTATTATATAGTAATACCGAGACTCTCTATTAATAATAAACCTAGTACGCTTAGTTTATTCCCTTAGAAAACTCTAGATATTATACTTTAAGTAAGGCTAAATTATTAATCTTATTAAGAAATATTATTTTTTATATTTATAATATATTATTATTGCGGTCTCCCTCTATATCTATAGTAAGTAGATACCTTTATCTCCCTATATTTACTTCTAGTAGGGTATTCTAGGGGTTTATCTTAGTCTTAATTCTTAAGGGGAATTTAATTAAATAATATCTCTAAACCTAGGGTTAAGAAAAGGTAAGATATATTTATAATTAATCTCCCTTTTTAATTAATAGCTTCTTAGGGTCTCTTTAATTCTTACCTTTTTCCTATTTATAATAGTTTTAATATTTTATTTTCTTATAGCCTAGTAGTAATAATTATATTTATAGTTTATTAATTAGTAGCATAGAAGTATATTCTCTTACCTAATTAAATAATATATATCTTTCTTAATATATACTAATAATTTAGAAAGATAAAAGTACTGAAAATCCTATATAGGGGCATTAGATTTATTAGAGAAATAAAATATATTAAATTATATAGCTAAAGGAAGGGATTTTCTATATATTCTTTTTAAGGTCTTTTTAAAGAGGGATCTTATATATTTTCTTATAAGGCAAATTTAATATAAAATAATAAGAGTAATTAATTAATTACTAGTAATAAAGATATAACCCGCGAAGGAGCCTAAAAGTCTTATTATTAAGGCTCGCAAAAGTAATAATAAAGGTAAGGCTCTATGACCTTTACTTCCTTTTTCTATATATAAGAAATTACTTAGTAGCCTAAAATGGCTTAGCACGCTTTTCCCCTAACTCACTAAGCTTAGATAGTATTTTAGCCTAAATAACTACTAGCCTCTTAGTTAAGTAATATAAAAAAATCCTTTATCCTTTACTATAGCTTTAGTATAAAAAGCTAATAAATAAATTAGCTATAATAAGCCCTAGGTAGGGTTTAAAAGTAATAATATATATTAAGCCTTAAATAAAAACCTATAATACTAAAATAATACTAATAATAAATATTAGAAAACTTAGAAATAAATCGCTTTTTAAAGGTATAGGCTTATTTTTCCTAGCTATATATAAAAAAAGGGGGGGCGCGCAAAATAGTAGATCTAAATATTACTACTTTCTACTTAGATCACTCTGAATCAATACCTCTGAATTCAAAGTACTTGCTCCACTCTGCATCATTTATAAGCTGCTCTGTAAGTTCTTTCTCAAATGCAAACTGCACCTCTATTCCTTCATCGTCACCAGCTGGTCCATTGCGTGGCGCGTAGACCATGACAATGTTCTCTGACAATGCCTTGCCAAACAAGTGGCGGAAGGCGGTTGGCTTGGCGAAGCCAAAGTCGGCGTTGCAGACATCAGCATCCCGCCAGTCGGTGACGACCAAAGTCATGGGCGGGAAGGAATTGACGCGAACCGACAGATCCGGCTTGTTTCGGATAGGGGCAAGCATCTGCATCACCCCCGCCAGCATCCCGCTGGTGACGCTGTCGGTCATCTGGCGCGAATAGCTTGCAAGCTTGGAGAGCGGCGCTTCTGAGATGATCTCGGCTGACGTTAACTGCGGTATGGTGGACATGGTAGACATGGGAGCGAAGAAGAGGTTGCCTTGCATGCGGGCAGGCATTGGAGGATCGCTGACACGCTTTGTTATGTTGACACCCTCGGCCCAGAGCGGCTTGGAGTCCGGGTCCGGATTATAGACGGGGGCACGAATTCTAGAGAAGACGCGCCACGTGAGAGCGGAGAAGGCATCATACGTGGAGATCCAGGAGCCGTCGACGGGCGAGGCTGCCTTCTTCAGCTCAGCAGCCTTACTCTTGGGCAAGTGAAAGATGAGTGCCTGTGAGTCCTTGTGTTCTGGGTGACGATCTGCCCGCGGGGGTGCGTTGACTTGCGACTCCTCCGGGATAGGCGGAGAAACGAAGCGGCTGCGGTCGAGGCACTTGGGGTCAAAGGAAGGGAAATCTGTCTTGTTGGTGATGGCATAACAATTCTCGGCCAGCTGACGGACAAAGTTGCCATAGCCGAGGGCGTCGTTGCTATAGTGGTGCGAGTGCATATTGAAGATGAGACCGCCCGGGATGAAGTTGGCTTTGTATGAGGCGACAGCGGGACTATTGTCTGGATCGGCTTCTGGCTTTTCGCCGTAGGTCATTGGGGCATTGCTCAAAACGTTGATATCGCCAAGCAAGGGCGACACGAAGTGAGCCTTTTCGATCTCAGCAAAGGTCCGAAAACCATCCTCGCGTGAATCGAGATGCTGCACAACAAACTTGACTGTGCTGTCCTTTCGTTTGACAAAAGAGTGGCCTCCCTCTCCGTCCTTTTCAATGATCCCAACAAGATGTCTTGTCTGGCTGAGTGTTCTTTCCAGCCCTTCCCTCAGTACGGCTTCAACTTTGCTGTCAAGGGTCAGTGACTCCATTGGGAAAGGCATGTGCTAGTACTGACTTCTTCTCCGCGTCATCCAGCTTGAAGAATAGAGTATAGTTATTGTAGGTCATCGCCGACAAGTAGTCGAGCGTGGAGATCTTGAAGCGCTCCTCCTCTGGGTCATTCTCCCAACCCAGAGGATGAAGCTGGAATTCCTCAACGTTGGGCATGGTAGCTGTGAGGAAGGCGAGGAAGGATGTGTAGGATGAGTGTCTAAAACGGCCGCGAAGTGTTACTGAGGAGGTGAACTGTCGAATCTGGGCATCTTGGGCAGGTTTTTTTTTTTGAATCGCGGGGGACTGCTGATTAAAGGACAATCATTAACAGTGCTGCGGGGTCAAACTGGACAACCTCAGGGCACCGCGGTGATCCATGCCATTTGGGAGCGTCCAGCAGATGGGCTGAAGCGGTGAGTGAGTCCTCTCCACTCGGGTCATGTCCCGGAAGATGTGTACCTCGTACATAATCTGCACACAACGTTGAAGCATTTATGCGTCCCAGGTTGGCCGGGTTCTGTCGCATTATCCCTGGCACCAGACGAACCCAGGTTCGACGAGGCAGGGGCCGGGGTCTGCCCCGGGCATTGTCAAGAGCCACTGCGGCCTTCTCATCGCCCGGATCTTCCTCGGGCACACGCCGAGGCCGACTCCCCGGCGTAGCAGTAAGTCCCTGGCACATGCCCCACGAGATCCAGTTCCCCCAGGCCCTCTTCTTCGCCCTGCATGGAGACATCATGACTTTGCGGAAAGGACGAGCAATGGAGCGATTCAATTCTAGCTTCCGCCAGGTTCAGAGATCATGCCCACGAGGATCTGCTAAAGAGTACATCTATTCTTTTACAATAGGGATGGAATTAAGTCACGAATCATAAGCCAATACTCCAGACCATGTACGGGAGACAATATCCCAGCTGGCCGTGAGGCGCCGCCCCAGCACCGGTAAAACCTCTACCTCCACTGCCTTTGGTGCCCATATCTCGTCTCGTTGACGTTTGCAATATCCGAGCTCTGCGTGACAGTCACCTGAGTAGTACGTTTGATGCCCTGCTCTACCTTGGCCGGAGCGTGACGGAGGTGCTCCGTCGACTCGGATCGAAAGTCCTTCAACTCGGTTTCGTCAATCTCGGTGTATGAATTGTTGACGGAGCGTATATTCTGAGACCTCCCGGTGGTTGCACCGCTTTGGCTCTTGGAGGTGGCCGTAACACTCTGGCCAAAACCCTTCTTCATCTTGCGCCAGACACCACTCTCCATGAGAATCTTGGGTACGCATGGCACGCAGACAACGATGAACCCGCAGGTCATTTCAGCGTACGCCCAGAAGCACACGGGGCCGATATTGTAAATGGAGTCGACGGCCTCGGCATATTGGACGGTGCCGGCGAGACGGAAGGCAGCAGAGACGCAAGCACTGCGGTTCAGGTTGGTTAGCATAGGGTCGCCTGTTGAGCTAGAAGGTCCGTGAATACTACTTACAGGATACCGAGTGAGAAGATGATCGACACACCCAGCTTCTTCTTCCAGCTCAGACGAAGATCCCAGATGACCTTCTGTGGAAGAAGGAGAACGATGCAGTCGGATATCAGCTGAAAAGCGGCAGAGACCGTCTCGATATCGTGAGCGTTGATGCACTTGCCCGGAAGCCAGAACTCCCACTTCTTCTTGGTTGGAATGCAGGCCAAGTTCAGGGCGATGACGGCGGCAATTGCAAACGCAACCTGAACGCTGATCATGATCCAAGAAACCCAGAAGAACCAGTTCCTAGTGCCTGGAGAAGAGAATATCCCTAACCATTCCACCATGATGGATATCTTGAGAAGAGGAAGGCAAACTGAATAGAAGACACCAGCAAGGTGAACATGCTGGCGAGTAGTTGTTAGTTCTTTGTTCCTCTAGTAGACTCTTCACAAGTCAGACTTACATAACCCATCATGACAGTTTGTCCAAGCCTGACATTCCAAGTGTGAACATAGAAGCCGGGGCTCGGTACCAAACTCATGGTGCAATAAGACCAACCGACAAAGCACCCCTGGACCCTGTGAGCAGTGATTAAGGAAGGGAAAGTGTCAAAATGCTTCTCACAAATGCAGCCAGAATCAGATACTCCTGAGCTTGTGCTCTTTTCAACAGCACGAGCCTAGCATAGGCTCGGGTTGCTAGACAAAGCACCACAACAGCAATGCACACAGTCATGACTGCCACAGCCATTCCATTCTGGTTTGGAGGATCGGTGAAGTTGCTGACTTCGCCTTCTGGTGGAGGCATGGCCGGGCCATCCAGGACAGCCTCCAGCATTTCTGGAGACATCTTGGTGAAGTCGACGGCAGCCATATTGGCGGGAGGTTGCGGGAGGAGGTCGGACCTCTTGTTGGAAGATTGGTGACAAAAAAGAATGGTGGAATAATATGAGTGGGGGCCAGCTTCCCAAGACAAGGCTCAGGATGGGAGCATGACAACGGGTGGCCGAATACGGGCCGCAAATGTACTTATAGAGAGAGAGAGAGAATCGCCTCTCAAACTCTCAAATCCTCAAAGGCACCCAAGTCTCAGTTTCAAGAGCATAGCGACGCGATTAACTGTTACAGTACGCTAAAAGAAGTATTGTGATCTGCACCCGGCGGCCTGGCTATGGCCGGGGAAGACTGGTAGGTTCGCCTGAGCCTCAAACTACAGGGTCAAACGGCCGTTGGGACGCTCCCGTTCTGATTGTGGAAACATGATCGTGATCTCGCCACTACTTCGTAATGGTGGACACATCCAGTTTGCCCCTGATCGGCAGGTCCAGATGCTCCTCCGAACGCTCCAACCAGTTCCCTGTACCCGCATTGCGAGACGGGCTCCTTCGGTCGTTCATGCCAGGCCGTTCCAAGCAACAGCAGGGGGCGTAGCCAAAGGAACTTCAAGAGTTGGGGCCAGGACCGACCCTTGAAGAGTTTATTTTTCTCGGAATGTGAACATGCCAGCGTGGTGGTGCCACATTTTCTTTGCAGTGATAAAGACAACGGCCTTCCCGCCACCCGTTTTGCAGGGTTTCGAAACCTGCGCACCTGTTCCATGCCATTTTCTTTTCATTTTTGCTAAGGAAGCGTAACATCGCCCTTTTTTTGGTTGCAATCCAAGACGTTTGCGCCTCTCTGATGCATATAAGGAGCTGTTGCTTTCCGTTCTACAAGGAATCTTCAGGGGTTCCAAGAGGACACAACCAACACCACGGAATCGGCCCCACGACACGAACACACCAAGATGCGCTTCCTCTGCTTGCATGGAAGGGCGACATGTGCACAGGTACCGTGCCATCCTCATCCCTGGACGTGACTTGGCAAAGGAAAGGCCACCAAACTAATCCAAGACGTACCCAAGATGTTTGAGATGCAGACGGGTGAGTGGCGGAAGGCGGTCTTGAAGCAATTGTAAACTGCTTTGAATGGTTTCCCATCAAACCTACACTAATCACCCTACGATGAAATGACATAGCTAATACTACCCCGACCCTGGCAGCAAGCATACGCAAGGAGCTCGCCGAGCACGATTTTGTGTTCATCAACGGCAGCATACCAATCCCTCAGTATCCAGGGGACGACGGTAGGCGATAACGGCGGCCGGGGTAACCCATACATTCTCGTACTCACTTCCGGCAGATGCAACGGCTTGCGAAGTCGCCGACCATCTCAAGTACGGCTACCTGGGAGAGCTCACAGAGGTGGGCCAGTACCAAGACCTGCTCGGCGGACTCATTGGCGTGGTGCAAAGCCAGGGGCCATTCCACGGCATCATGGGATTTTCCGAAGGAGGCATCGTCGCCGCCACCCTTCTTCTCGAGGACGCCCGACGACCATATGCCAGTTTCAAGTGCGGCATTCTCTTCAGCGCAGCACCTCCGCTGGACCCAGACGAGCTCCGGCAGGGCCACATTCGAAGCTTGGATCCGGAAAAGGACGGAACCGCACTCCATATCCCCACAGCTCACGTCTACTCGCACGAGATTGGCACGACTGCCCAGCACGTCCAGTCGCCCCTGAGCGGACTCTGGGCCGAACGCGGATGGATACTTCCGGAACATGTGCACGGCTCCCTGGCGCGGCTCTGCGACAATGCCGAGGTGTTTGTGCATGATCGTGGGCATCAAGTACCAGGGCCAAGGGATTACCAAGAGCTAAGAGGAGCTCTTCGAGCCATTAATCGCAGCATTGAGAGGGCCAGCGACTGATGTCCGGCCTGGGCAGGGAGAAACGATCATGATATGACGGGGGAAGGGGGGGATGAGGAGCCAACTGCATACTTTTATCCCAGATACTGTCCAATCATCAGACGTTAATGAACATGACATGTCATGATATATGCAATGCTACGCTTCACCGCCGACAAGACTGCAAGCGTAAGTGTGCAAACTGAGTTTGCCAAGGGCGGGACTGTACGGATACTCCCTGTGCACATGCCTGTAAGTGTCCCCCTGCGAGCGATCTCTCGATTCATTAATCCCCGGTGCCTACTCCGTAATCAGTTAGCCAAGGCAAGGACCCTTGCTCGCCAACCCGCAGAATCAACTATCCGCAGAACACTCCAACCCCTGATCTTTTGTGGTTAAGGGAATTTACCCCTGTTACCTAGGTAGCCTTAGTTTAACCGAAAGCTAATCCTGTTAGTGGTTGGGTAACCTCTTGTGGCTAGGGGAGCTTTGTAAGGAGTAGAAAGTTTAAAAAATTATAACTTTTTACTTTAAATATATAAAACTTAAAAATCCCTATATAATTAATTTTTTTTTCTTATTAAATTTCTTTTTAAAAAAGTATTTAGCTAATAAAAAGGTAATTTAAAGTAATATATTATTATGAAAAAGAGAGGCTAGGCCCTAATTGCCTATAACCTTAGGCTATTAGGCCAAAAGGTTAACTATGCGCATCTTAGTTAGAGGCTCACGGGTTAATTAGGTCCTATAGGGCACCTACGGGCTATGCCCGTAGTATATATTATCTCTTTAATTAGCAAGGAGTAATACTTTATACCTTACCTTACTTTATTCTTATAGTAACCTTAATATATATAAAAGACTAAAAAATAAAAACTATATAGTTTTTAAAGATTATAAAAATAAATAGTAAATAAGTAATAGAATTTATCCTTATAAAAAGCTAATTAGCTAGATAAGGAGTTATAAAATAAAATAAAATATATAATAAAGGGCTAGCTTTTAATTAGTAGTCTTGTAGCTTATATTAGTTAAGTATATATTATACTTAGGAAGGAAAACTATTTTAAGGGAAAGCTATTCTTTTATAGCTATTTACTTAGGATTTATTAATCTAGCTCAGATAAAATATATAGTATTAGATAGCTCCCTTTTAGAGCTATTTAATTATATAAGATATATATATACTAGATAGAAAAAAGCTAAGTTATAGCATAAAGAAGATTATACTTATAGGGTTTTATATTTTAGATATTAAAAATTAAATAGGAAATACCTATATAAGAAAGTTTGCTTTAATAAATTTATTAGGCTTAAGATAAAGCCCTAAGTCCGAGTTATATAACTTTTTTTATATAACTAGATTTACTTAAAAAAAAAGTTTATATAACTTTTTAATATCTCACTTATTACGGCAAGCAAGGAGCTTGCCTCACGGAAGGGTCGGTCACGTGACCTCTCACGTGACCCACCTAGCTTATATAAGCCCGAAAGGGGCTCTCTTCCTAGCTTAGAATATTCATCCCATTTTACAACCTCTTTTCCGTTATATTAGATTAAAATAAAAAACTATAAAAAAAGCCCTTAGGTTAGTTTACTTAAAAGCTAAGAAAGAGACTACTTAAAAGATAGACTAGGTATAAATCTATTATTTATAATATTATAATTTATAACTCTTTAAGTTATTAGGACTTTTATTATTACCTGAATTAGCAGGCAGTAAAAGTACCTTTTATTTCACGCATTTTAATTAGACCAAACCCTCAGTCGTGCCCTGGTTGCAGCCCCTTGCCGACTTATGGGATAGGGTGGGTCAGACTTTGGGCGGTCCCTGTAAGTACGGCGAGGATCCAAATCCATGCCCGTGGAAATCCCTTCGCACCTGCCTGTTTTAGCACACGGCATTGGCTCGTATGGTGAACAGGGCTGTAAAGCAGACTCTGTTTCAGGAACCAAACTGGGAACCAGGGCCTAGTATATCTCTCAAGTAGGCTACAAGTGTTTGTAGTTCGAAACGCCAGCCTCCCCTTGGTGCGACCAGAAGGATCGAGTGAGTCGCCCAAAGCAGAATGGATGCTAGAGCGCTGGGAATTTAAGACGTCTTTCGTCCCGTCAGTGAGAGATGAACTAGAACGATCCTTACTGAATACGTAAGGTCAGTGAAACCCAGACAGGCATCGCATGCAGACTCCTCCATCACATCCCCCTCTTAACACCTCTACTAAGCTACCGACACCATGGGTTCAACGACAGATCAGTTCAGCCACGGAAATGACATTGCCGTGGTGGGATTCTCTTTCAAGCTTCCCCAGGACGTTGAAGACGTTGACAGTTTCTGGCATGTTCTGCAGAACCGCCAAAACTTGATGACTCGCTGGCCCGAGTCCCGCATCAACGCTGAATCGTTCGTGTCTGGTACACGAAGCAAGGTGCGTTGTCGTATGCGGTTTTAAGAGGTTGATCAGGAGTATTGTTTCTCATAACCTTGAAACGAGTGTAGTTTAGCTGCCATGGCGGACACTTTATCAACGATGACCCGGCAGCCTTTGATGCCCCCTTCTTCTCCATCTCGACAAAGGAAGCAGCTGGTGCGTGCCTTCTCCGGCTCAAGATTGGAAATGAGGATGACGAGCTGACATTTTCCGGTGAAAAAGCTATGGATCCTATGCAGAGATGGACATTAGAAACATCCTACCGTGCTTTCGAAAATGGTGAGCTGGCGAGAATCAATGTCCGCATAGTATTGTCCACAATCTTTAACAAGCCATTGTTTGTTACTTTTAGCTGGCATTCCCGCCGAGAAGCTCAAGTGCTCAAGGACCGGCGTCTTCTCTGCGTCCTTTACCGACGACTGGGCCAGGATGCTCTCACAGGACCCCGAAAACGTTGAAAGGACAGCGGCCACTGGTACTGCGCCCTCGCTCATTTCGAACCGCGTCAGCTGGTACTTTGACCTCAGGGGGCCCAGTGTCCATGTTGATACTGCTTGCTCCAGCAGTCTATTTGCGGTGGACATGGCATGCCAATCTTTGCGCGCTGGCGAATCATCGGCTGTGCGTGTTCAACTCTCTTCGTGTAACTCCTGGTAGCTAATCAGGCACGGACGGCACAAAGGCACTTGTCACTGGATCCAGCTTGATTCTCACCCCGACCTTCACCCACTTCCTATCGAATCTTGGCTTCTTGTCTCCGGATAGTAAGTGTTGGGCTTTTGATCATCGCGCAAATGGCTATGCCCGAGGAGAAGGTTTCATTGCTATTCTTCTGAAACCTCTTTCTGCTGCCCTACGAGACAACGACATGATTCGGTCTGTCATCCGAGCTACTGGCTCGAACCAGGACGGCCAAACACCTTCATTAACGCAACCTAACCCTAGAGCACAGGAAGAACTGATACGCCATGTGTACAAGAAGGCCAATCTCTCTCTTGACAAGACACGATATGTCGAAGCTCACGGTAGGCTTTAATGTCTGTTTGCTACTCACTCCTCCGAATTGCATACAAATGACCGGGTGATATAGGTACTGGGACACCTGTTGGTGATCCAATCGAAATGAAAGCAATAGGAAGAGTCTTCCGAAGCTCCCGATCCGCTTCGGCACCCCTTTACGTGTAAGTGACATGCGACTACTATATATGAACAAATAAACACACAACCCAGGTGTCTAGATTGCTAATCGAAGCTTCAAAGAGGCTCGATCAAGAGTAACATCGGCCATCTCGAAGGAAGTAGCGGGCTAGCTGGTGTCATCAAGTCTATTGGTAAGAACACCCTGCGTCCTCAACCAGCCTCGTCTGCTCAACAAGCCGGCGCATTGCAGTGTCCCTTGAAAAAGGCCTCATTCCGCCTCATGCGCTCTTTGAAAAGATCAACCCCGACATTGATCTCGAGTTCTACCATACTGCTGTATGTCCGATCCCACCCTTGATAAGAAAACAGGGAGCTGATAAAATGAAGATCCCAATCCAGGAAATTGTCTGGCCGAGCGACGGGCTCCGACGGATATCTGTAAATTCGTTTGGGTTTGGAGGCACCAATACCCACGTTGTGCTAGATGACGCGTATCACTACTTGCAAGAACGCGGCATCACCGGTAATCATTGCACGGTGGCAGCGGCAGGACCTGCGTCGAATGACACCACGTCTGTAAACGAGAACGGTCCAGTCAATGGATGTTCCAATGGATGCCGCAACGAGACATCCAATACACCCCTCAACGGCATCAATCATCGCAGTCATGGTCAGGGCAAGTCTCGACTCCTTGTATGGTCTGCCGCAGACGAAAAGGCAGTCAAGCGCATGGTCGAGGGGCAGCAAGCCTTCTTCAACAACCAAGTCGCTGGAGACGCCGTCAAACTCGACCAGTTTGCGTACACACTGGCTGCTCGACGAAGCCGCATGCTCTGGCGCGCAGCAGCCATCGTCACGGATGAACCAAACGACAATATCAGCATCGCCGCGGCCAAGCCAGTGCGCAGTTCAGGAGAGGCTGGGCTGGCTTTTGTCTTTACAGGCCAGGGAGCACAGTACGCCGGTATGGGCTGGAATCTTGTCCACCAATATCCTATCTTTGCCGAAACCCTGCAACGGATTGGCAAAGTGTACAATGGCCTTGGGTGTGAATGGCAGCTGCTTGACGAGCTGCAAAACGCCGAGAACATCAATTACCCCGAGTACAGCCAGCCGCTATCCACAGCCATACAGCTGGCTCTAGTCGATCTCCTAAAGAGCTTCAACATCTTGCCCAAGGCAGTCATTGGGCATTCCTCAGGCGAGATTGCTGCTGTTTATGCCATCGGGGCCCTGTCGCTGGAGTCAGCTTGCAAGGTCTCCTACTTCCGCGGCCAACTCGCCGGCAAGCTTCGAGCCACCAGCTCAACAGTGGGAGCCATGATCTCGATAAATCTCGCCGAGGATCACGTCCCAGACTATCTTGGCAAGCTAGGCATCACAGACGTCTGTGTTGCTTGCATCAACAGCCCGTTGAACTGCACCCTGTCGGGCCCGGAGAGTGCCATCGACGCAGTAAAGGAGCAGGCAGACAAAGATGGTATATTTGCCCGGAAGCTCAAGACAGGCGTGGCATATCATTCGCCTGTTATGCTCGCCATTGCCGACGATTACAGGCAGCAGATGGGACACCTCGAACCCGCCACGACGTCCTCGGCAAGTTCCATGATTTCCACTGTGACTGGCAACAGTGTTCCACGTGCTGTGCTGGCTACGGCTCAGTACTGGGTGGACAACATGGTGTCTCCAGTTCGCTTTGTCGATGCTGTCCGCGCCTTGTCACAGCAGTCCTCTACGTGGAAAGCTGCATTCGTGGGTAACATGACGGATCTAGTTGAGATTGGGCCGACTGCTGCTCTGCGTCGACCCGTCGCAGACTCATTGGCCTCGGCAGGTCCCCGTGCAAAGAAGATCCGGTACGCGAGCGTCCTACACCGTGGTCGGTCCGCTGTTGAAACTACTCTGGAGTTTGCCGGGCACTTGTTTACCTGTGGACATTCAGTGTCGATTGCCGCCGTGAATCAACTTGACGTCGATGGCCATTTCCTCGTCGATTGTCCCGAGTATCCATTTGACCACTCCAACAGATACTGGTCAGAGTCACGCATCAGTCGCGATTACAGATTGCGTGGTGCCGTAGTCGGTGAGACCTTGGGTCAACGGGTTTCAGACTGGAATCCCCTCGGGCCAAGGTGGAGGAACTTTCTATGCACCGAGTCGGAGCCGTGGGTTGCCGACCACAATGTAAGCACTCGTTTACCCATTGCCTCTCTGCAGATGATCCCCCTAACCCACGTGCGTAGGTCAGCAACACTGTTGTGTACCCAGCGGCTGGCATGCTGGTCATGGCAATGGAAGCGGTGCAGCAAATGGTCCCTGCGAATAGAACGGTTGCAGGTTACTCTGTCAAGGAAGCACGCTTCATGAGTCCCATCGTCGTGGGAGAGACGTGGGAAGACAGAACAGAGACGACAGTCGAGCTTCGGCCGGTGCAGAAGCCATTCGAGAAGTCCTCGACGTGGTTCGACATTCGAATCTTTTGCTACCGCAACAAGGAATGGTCCCAGTGTTTCTTGGCGAGCATTCAAGTGCAGTACGAGGAAGATTCTCTGCAAGTTGGGGTTCAACAAGAGAAGAAACTCGTCGACCAAGACGTCCTAGCCCGCTATGAGCGTGCGGTCAAGGCCTGCACAAGGCCCGTTGATTCCCACGTCTTTTATCGCAACGCCGCTGACCACGGCCTGCGATATGGAGACTGGTTTCAGCTGCTGGAGGACCTCCACTGGGACGGAAAGAACACTGCCGTCGGTCGTATTGACGTCTCCAAGACACAGTTCCACTCGACTAGCCTGGTGCACCCGGCCGTCTTGGACAACGTGTTCCACATGCTGCGGGCGAGCTCCCAAGCCTCTGCCTCGACGTCAGCCACTAATGTTCCCGTCAGGATAGTCGACGCTTGGTTCTCTGCCTCAGGATGGCAGAGCCCGCAGATCAAGAGGCTCGCCTGCTGTGGCATTGCAAACGTGGATCAGGAGGCTGGCGAGGATGGTACCATCTACGCGCTCAGCGATGATGGGAAAGTCTTGATGACTATCCAACACATGATTACAGTGGCCGTTTCCAGACCCGAAGAGGGTAGCACAACAGAAAGAAAGCTTCTTCACAAAGCCCAGTGGAAACCGCAGCTGGGCCTCCTCGATCCACAGCAGCTTACACAAGCTTGCGTCAAGGGTAGCATCGTCAAAGATGACGCAACCATGGTCGCTCACCACGCCGAACTAACGTCCATCATGAATGTCGCTCTTGATAGGACTCTCCGAAACATGACCGTGGCGGAGCGTGAAAAGGTGCCCGTCTCGCTGGAGCGGCACATGGCGTGGGTGAGACACCACATCAGCACGCTCGAACCAGGCCAGAGAGACGACCCGGAAGCGCCCATCAGCGACCAACAGCTTGAGCAGCGACTTGAGCACATCGAGGGCATACACCCACCTTGGAAACTACACACCAGTGTGGTGCGCGAGCTGAAGAACATCCTGCTCGGAGCCAAGGATCCGCTCGAGGTCATCTTTGATTCGGATCTGGCCGACGTCTTCTACGCAGACATGTTTGCTCAGATCTGCGACGAACGGCTGCGCAACTTTCTCGATCTCGCCTCGCACGAGAACCCCGGCCTGCGCATTCTCGAGGTTGGCGCCGGGACTGGCGGCTTCACGGGGCACGTGTTGACCGCGCTGCAATCACTCGAGAAGGAGAGCGGAGGTCTGAAGCTGGCGGAATACACATACACTGATATCTCGCCCATGTTCTTCGAACGGGCACGGGAACGGTGGAGGGCGTTTGAAGGCCGCATAAGCTTCAAGACCCTGGACCTGGAACGCACACTCGAGAGCCAGGGCTTCGAGGTCGGCTCGTATGATCTAGTTGTTGCCGGCAGCGTCTTGCACGCCACGGCGGATCTGGTGGGAACGATGAAGAACGTGCGGACTGCGCTCAAAGCTGGAGGGCGGGCGCTGATCCTGGAGGTGGTCGCGCCGGAAGACGTTGTCGTCAACTTCTCGTTCGGCCTTGTCCCCGGGTGGTGGCTCGCGCGTGAAGAATGGCGCAAGATGTCGCCCCTTTTGAACGAGAGTCAGTGGGACACGTGCTTGCAAGCGAGCGGATACTCGGGCAACGACCTCGTGCTCAAGGATTACGAGGGGCAGGGGTATCATATCTGCAGCATCATCGTGTCGACTGCTGTGGAAGCAGAGGCAACAGCCCATGTGGATGTGAGCTACAAAGTGCTGTTGGTTGTCGAAGAGGCATCAAAACGACAAGTTGAGCTGGCCAACCACATTCACAACTCGATGAGTGCCCGGTCTGGAGAACAATCCTGCAGCATCATGTCCATGCAGGACTTCCAGGCGATCATACCAGCAAGAGATGATGTCGTGCTTTGCCTAGCAAGCCTGGACAGTCCCTTTCTGTACGCCATTTCTGAGAGCAAACTAGGCTGGGTACAGCATCTCATGCGCCACACCAGAAAGCTGCTCTGGGTGAGTGGTTCAAGCATTGACGACGACACGCAATCACAATTCTATAGCCTGGCCCAAGGCTTCTTTCGCTCGCTGCGACTCGAAGTGGCCGAAAGCAAGATCGTCACGCTTGCCATCGAGACAAGGGATGCGACAGTAGCTGTCTCGGCACAGCATGTTATGAAGGTCCTCCTAAGCTCGTTCCTTGACCCATCTTCCGAGGAGCTCGAGTATATGGTTAGTCAGGACGGCCTTCTTGAGACCTGCAGGGCTGCAGAAGACGTTCGTGGCAACGATGCGCTGAATGCCCTTCTCTCTCCACACTCCCACTCAGGTACCTGGTCAGAAGGCCCAGCGTTGTCTCTCTCAATCAAGACGGTTGGAACACTGGACTCGCTATGCTTCACCGAGGACTTGGAGTACGACACGGAGCTGGCAGCTGACGAGGTCGAGATCGAAGCCAAGGCCTGGGGTGTCAACTTCCGTGATGTCCTGCAGGCTCTAGGGCGCCTAGAGGAAAGGACATTTGGGGTCGACTGCGCTGGTATCGTCACCAGGTTGGGCAGTGGCTGCAATGACAATTTCCAGCTGGGTGACCGGGTCTGTATGGCATCCCCTGGCTGCATGCGTCGAAACCCGCGTGGACCTGCAACGTCGGTGATCAAGATACCCAGCGACGACATGTCCTTTGCTGCCGCTGCCTCAGTCATCGTGCCGGGAATGACGGCGTATCACGCGCTCGTCGACGTTGCACGAGTCGCAAAGGGAGAGTCTGTCCTCATCCACTCGGCTGCAGGCGCCACAGGCCAGATGGCCATTGCTGTTGCCAAGATGCGAGGGGCGTCTATCTATGCGACAGTTGGCAGTGAGGAGAAGAAGCGCTTCTTGGTGGACGCTCTAGGTATCCCCGAGGACAACATCTTTCACAGTCGCAATACGTCGTTTGCGCAGGGAGTCATGCGCGTCACCAAGAGGCGTGGCGTCGACGTTGTGCTCAATTCTCTCTCTGGGGATGCTCTCCAGGCTTCGTGGAGCTGCATTGCCCGTCGCGGACGCTTTATAGAGATCGGAAAGGCAGATATCATTGCTAACTCGGGGCTTCCCATGTCCTGCTTCGAGAGAAACGTGAGCTTCTCCGCCGTGGACCTACGCGAGATCCTCATCGAGGACCCTCAGGCCACTGCTGAGCTGCTGCACAAGGTCATGCAGTTCACGCGTGACACTGGTGCCGCGCCAGCGCCGGTGCGCTCTTTTCCAGCTAGCCAGGTCGAACAGGCTTTCCGGACACTCCAGAACGGCAAGAATATCGGCCGCATTGTGATTGAGCCTGGCCCAGACGATATTGTCCCTGTGAGTGCAATCTCTTATCCCTTGTTCAATCCTAGACTAACATTTGCATCAACTCAGAAATACCTGCTAGACCGACGACCGTGGAAGTTTGATAGTAACGCATCGTACCTCATCGCCGGGGGTTTGGGAGGCATCGGTCGTGCCATTATGAAATGGATGGCGACGCGCGGCGCCAACTATCTCATCGTGCCATCAAGATCCGGAGCCTCATCCCCAGAAGCAGCCGCCGTCATTGCTGAACTGGAATCTCAGGGTGTTTGTGTCGTCGCGCCAAGGTGTGATGTGGCCTCGGAGCTGGCACTGTCAAGCGTACTTGATGAGTGTGCACGCACAATGCCCCCTCTCAAGGGTTGCATCAACGCCGCCTTGGTTCTGCAGGATGCCCTGTTTGAGAACATGACGCTTGCTCAGTGGGATCTGGCCGTCAGGGCCAAGGTGGACACGGCGTGGAACCTGCACCGTCTCTTGCCCAAGGATCTCGACTTCTTCGTCTTGCTGTCGTCTCTAGCCGGGCAGATAGGACAAGCCGCAACCTCGCAATATGCCGCGGGCTGTACATTCCAGGATTCTCTGGCACGCTACCGCGTCGAGCATGGCCAGAAAGCTGTGTCCCTTGATCTTGGCTGGATGCGTGACATTGGCATTGTCGCCGAGACAGCCGCCTTTCAACGTCGGCGACTCGCCACCGACGACATGCAGCAGATCAACGGCAACGAGTTGATGGCTCTCCTGACATTGTGCTGTGATCCGACCGGTTCAGAAGCAAGCCAGATGCTCGTGGGCCTACGAACGCCAGCCGACTTCCTCGCCAAAGGACAGAAACCTCCGGCCCTACTAGAGCGGCCATTCTTCTCAGCTTTTTCCCGAATTTTGGGCACCGAGGTCATCTCCAGCGCAGGACCGGCAGCGGACCCAGCGGCGCTGTTCCGCGCTGCTGCTGAACCAGAAGAAAAGGCCCAGATCGTCATCAACTCTCTGGTTGCCAAGCTGGCGCATGCCATGTCCATCTCGCCCGAGGATGTGGAAGTCTCAAAGCCGCTGTCGAGCTATGGTGTTGATTCCTTGATGGCGGTAGAGCTTCGCAACTGGATTCGACGCGATTTTGCTGCGCCAGTGGCTGTCTTTGATATCATGGGGGGCGTGCCTATTTCGATGATTGGAGAGCTGGTGGTTGCCAGAAGCACTACTGTTCCCCACTTATCTAGTTAGTATATATATTATCTTTAAATATAATATAAGCGGGCTAGATATAGTAAGCTGGATCTAGAGGAGGATAGTATATGCAAGAGTTATTAATAGAAGTCTATTAAAGGAGATATTAGTCTATAGTATGTCGAGGATGGAGAATTAAGTGGTTTCTTTATGGCTAGCAACCGTGAACACGGCTCTAACAGATCTTCAGCATTATCTCAACCTAGAACATCAGGACTGTTCGGCTGACTGTAATCCCGTTCACGCCATATAGGCCTTGTGTAGAAGTGAACCGAGACGTTGGTGTAGGCTAAGCCCGACGGGAATTCAATGAAGCATCGGTATTAATTGGTACAGGCTTGATAGAGGGCGTGTTAAACCAAGCATCTGAATGGAGTCTGCACAACTCATGGGACCTGGACGGGCTGAATCGGCTTGCCCAATCAAGCCAGGTAGGGTCATATATCGACATTAGCGCATCGGGTGATTTCAAATAGCCCCGGAACCGCGCAAAGGGCTCAGTTTACAACGGTCTGTGCCGTCACCACAATACAGAGCATGGTGCCTCAAGGTATTTCCAGCATCACGGCCCCATACTGCCATGGCCTTCATGGCTGTATCGCCGGGGATTGTTATTGCCATCGCTTTTAAATGTTGGCTTTGCAGCCCATCTTTCTATTAACCCGCCATGCTCTGCCACACTATGAAAATGCAATGCCTTAAAACACCTTCTTCACTTTGTCATCTCTCGTATGATCCTTTCCCCATCTATCTCTCCACAAAGGCGCCTCAAGGTAACGCCATCCCATGGGCGCACCACCCATAGCCCAGCGGGTTTTCATCTCGCTCAGGGTGACTGGGTTGACCAACTCGTAGAGCTCCAGTATAGGGTATCCGAACTTGGATTGCTTCAAGCCCGCATTGAACTCGGCATTGCCGATGCCCGGTGGTTCAGTAGGGACAGAGCCAGGCTCATGGCGGATAGATGAGGGAATTCTGGCGATATGACTTGTTGCGGTTAGTAGAAAGGTTGTCAAGTAGGACAATTGCAGCCAACTTACGTGATGGATGCCCGTCCTCCGCCCCCAGCTGTTTCATAAAGCCACAGCCGAACAACACCATCCTTCAGCCGATACTTGCGATACTCGTGGTTCTTCTCTCGGCTGATGATATTGGCCAAGTGATCAGGCTTGATGGCAAGAAGAACGTCGGTGTCAATGCGCTCTGACGGGGAGGCGCTTGTCGTAGATTTGGGCTTGGGCTTGGGCCTGGCTCTGGTGCGGGGTTTGGCTTTGTTCTGGGCTCGCTTGGCTGCTTTAGATGTTTTTCTCGCCATAGTTGAGGTTTGCAGTAGCGAAATGGCAGCGATGATGGAGCAGAGGTATTCCTGGTGATGGTGTTGAGGTGATGTTGTGGTCGCCTTATGGCGGGAATAAGCCAATGTAAATACGGCACACCATTAAAGTTTAGCGCGAGCGGTTGTCGGGTGATAATTCTGTTAGCTGACTATTTTCTATTTTCAGCTTTTTGCAAGCTTAGATGTCTGGCCTTGCAAAGATCTGCCTCTCATTGCATTAGCCTTGCAAGAAGCTCTTGCCTTTACTCGCGTTGGGGTTTACTTTTGGTATTATCGAGTAGCTCAGAGTTCAATGCTAAAAGTCGAGGACACGGTATGTAACTTATCTTAGGGAACAATGGATTAATGACTAGGTAGGCATGTCGGGGTCTGATGGGGTCTCTCTTTATACGGTGGGTGTGCCGGCAATCAAGGTTACGGTGATTTATGGAATTCAGTTTTAATTTTAAATTTGGGTTTTTTGGGGTTGTGGCTGGAAGGCCTCTTAGAAATCTTAAGGTCGTCACTATTTTCCAAGCGCCATCCTCATCATCAACAACAACAGTGCGCCATCAAGAAGGTGTACGGAGTCAGATTTCACATTCGGGATTCCGGCCTGGTGGATAATGTAACCAGACTTGAAACTCCCCCGTGTAGATAGCTCCAGATCTCCCCGTCCTCCGGCAACCGGCCATTCAAACCAAACCTTGGTTAGTCTTTTACTCCCAATTTCGACCCTGTAGTATGACCCTTTGCAAATACTCCATCGAAAACGATCTAAACAGCTTCTTTGGGTCCTTCGACCAGACTTGCACCTCGTTCCAGATTCCCTCCAGCCCTAAGGAGGGGGGGGTATCGGAAGTAGATTGGAACGAGATATGGTTGCTTACCTTCTCCATAGCTTGACACGTCGGCGCTTAGGCTCGTGAGCCGCAGCATTGAAGGCTGTTCCTTATTACAGTTGCAGCCCGCCCCTTGATGGGAACTTGGCCAGAAGATCGAGCCAGAAGATTGTCCTGTGTCTGGGCTATATCTTGGTCTGTGGGAGCCTCTTGAGAACAATGTTACCAGTCAGGTTGCAAGGACATTACCAAGAAAGATGTCAAAGTACCTAGAAACCTCATGATTGAGGACTTCTTGTATGCCTTGGAATTTTATCGGTAAAGCTAAGCTAAAGTCTAGGTCCCTCTAATCAAGCTTAAAGCCTCCAGGCTGCAAGGTCTGAAAGATGCCCTCTGGGTCATACCTAGAGGCTACCTGCTTTAAGAAGGACACACTTTCCTCTCCAAAGCTTGCTACAACATCCTGTTCTTCGTTTGCGTAGTTCATATACCTGAATGGAACAAACTTGCCGTACTGCCCAGCTAGAGCCTCAATCTCAGTTCCCAAGCTCTTCAACAAGGCTGTGACCTCCTTGTCGTCAGCCTCGTTTTCCCATACGATAGCCAACATGATATTTGTTAACGGCTCATTGGCACCTTCGAGCCCGTACATATTTCCCCTACCTTCCCTCGCTGCCTTGATTCTCATGGCAGGAGTGATATGGTTGATATCAAAAGTCATCTGAAATCGAGAAGCGTGAGGCTTCGTAGTCCGCACCCAGAGCTGATACACAGACTTGAGCAACTCAATATCGTACTCAATGGCCAATGTCCAATATGTGTTTCGTTTTCCCCGTGAGTCAGTGACCTCGGCAACTTCGGTTGCCAGAGAGCTGCAATCATCAATCCGAAGAGTGCTGAAAAGGCTTGGGAGGAGGCGCAATCCATCAAAGATTGGAGGATTGTCGACGGCCTCTGGGTACCCCATGGACAGACCAACAATCGGCTCGTTGTCCCGCCACGTAAAGTCCATAATCAGGTGAGCTTTGCCGTTCTTGATCAACCCATGCGAATACCGGTCGTATTCATTAAAGACGTCGTCAAAGTAGCTTTCGGCAACGGCATGCACGCCTCCCCACATGCCTGTATATGGGTACAGTCTCAAGGTGAGGCTTGTAGCAATACCAAAGTTATGGGCACCGCCTCCAGGTAGCGCCTTGAAAAGGTCAGGGTGAGAAGTCTTGTTCGCCGTCACCGTGTGACCGTTTGCCAAGACCAGGTCGACGGAGAGCAAGTTGTCAATGCCCCAGCCGCCTGGGGCTGATAGATACGAAATGCCGCCTGCCAGTTTCATATATCAGTTATGTTCAAAAATGGCGTGGAATAGAGCTGACCGCCAAATATGAATCCAGGTACGCCAACGTTAAAGTCACGACCGCCCACAGCCATAACACCCTGCTTCTCAAGGGTTTGAAACAATGGGCCCCGTTTAACTCCAGGTGCTACGTTGACGGTTTTTTTTGTCGCCCGAAATCTTGACGTGATCGAGATTGGAAAGATCAAATTGAAAGCTGCCATCACTACTCGAGCCCTTGCTCGCCGAGTGGCCGCCGCCCTTTATCCCAAAGTGAGATTTAGCTCGAACCACCTCAATCAAGGCGGCTTTCACTTGAGCCGCGTTCGTTGGTTGAAAGAAGCAGACTGGGGCTCTCTCTTGCTGTCTGGCATCCCAGAACGAATCCCGGGCGGCGGCAAACTCCGATGAGGATGATTCGACAATCTGGGCAGGGTAGAGTGCAGCCACGGCGTTACACTAGATTTGGATCAGTATGATTGAACTTGACAGAATTAAAAGAGTGTTCAGCTGACAGCCACAACTGCAGGGTGCAGGGCAGTGGATGGCCATGACGGAAAGAATCCAGGTGCTAAAAATGAGAAAATTGGTAAAGATCATTGGTTACTGATCCGTGAACTTCTGTGTTGAAGTGTGCTATGAAAAGTATTTTGTTTGCCCAGACTCTTCTTATATAGTTCTTGAGATGGCCGGATTTACTGGAATCTTTTGTGATGCGGGGGAATTCTTGGTTTCCGAAATGCCCTCTATCGGCCGCCGCGGCTACCCGAGAGCAAGCTGTGAAGTATTTTGACTTCTCCTTTCGTCGACTTACCAAACACCAGCTTGAATAAGACTGCCGTGACGTTGGTCGGCACATAATTACAATGACCGGAACCCGACTACGAATCAGAGTGCGTGGCGAGACCGGTCGCCGAGGATGCCAGAGCCAAGATCTTGGGTTCCATCTCCGGCTTTCCAGGGAACCGGAATGCCGATCCGTATCGGGCAAAGCGTTGAGCGGCCTACCATTTCGGCGTTTCCCCGCCGCTCACGGCCCGCTCTGCTGTTCTCCCCCTTTCACACACATGCCTCCAGTCTCAATCGATTACTGCGCTCCGCTACCCCGTGTATTAGGCAATTAGGTGCAGGGCTTGGTTACAATTGGAGGCATTTCGGATGGATTCGTTCCAGGAAGCCCGCCGCAGCACGCCGCCGATGAGCGCCCGCCGGACCCATGGACTCAGAGCCAATGTTTGTACGCAATGCCGACGTCTCAAGCGAAAGGTTAACATACCCGCCAATCTGATCACAGAACAGAGACTGATGATCCCAGTGTAATAGGCAGACCCCATGCTCAACGTGTATACACCGCCAGATCCCTCATCTCTGCCACCTACCTGCCCCATCATCGATGGGAGCATCACGTCACCGGCATATGCCTTCCCCACGCCATCCTGATGTTCATACCAATGACCCCGTCGCGAGCATTCAAACGCCAGCACGGACAACGGAACCATCCACGGCCTCCGGGTCGGGCTTCCATTCCTCCCGCATCGGACATTTGCTCAATTCGCGAGGGGCGCCATCGTATCATGGGGCATCCTACTTTGGTTACCAATCCGCCGCTTCCTTGATATCCATGGAATCACCCGAGTTACCGATAGGCATGTCCTGCATGCCCCACTCCTCCACAAGACCGAATCCTCATTTCCACCGAGATGACAAGAGCCCTTACTCGCATATCTGGGAGCTCGTCGGGTATCTGCCAAGGAGAAAAGAGCTGGTCGATTATCGTGTTGAGAGATTCTTCACTGAGCTCAATCCGGTCTACGACGCTGTCCACCACGAGACGTTTCAGACAAGCTATGATGCCTTTTGGAACCGCAAGTGGGGTGACGATGATCTGACGGCTGTGGACTTGCGATGGCTTGCAGTCCTCTTCATGATGCTTGCCTTTGCCGAGTTGTTAGACTGTTCCCCAGAAGCATCTCCTGAGGCACAGAGAAGCTGCGAAGAGACTTCGGTGCAGTTCTTCTGGGGATCACGAAAAGCAATCGTTCTCGCACCCACATTGTCAGGTGAGAGCCCTGACCTCGTACGGGCCGGTATCTTGGTATCGCGATACTTGATGTTCTGGGGACGCAAAACCGAGAGCTGGCTTACGAGCTCCTTCGCCATACGTATGGCACAGGCGCAAGGTATGCATGTTGATGGAGAGTCTTGGGGTCTTCCCCCAAAAGTGCTTGAGACGCGACGACGATTATGGTGCACACTCTATTCTATGGATCGGTCAATATCACTCGCGACTGGTCGGCCTTACACCATTAACAGCAAGCACTGCATGGAGATGAAGATACGAAACGTGTGGATTGATGACAACTCTCCCGAAGATGCAGCAGCTGCTGTGGAAAGGCCAATCGAAGACCCAACACAGAGCATCTACTATAGATACACTCAACAGCTTGCGACCATCCTGGGTGACATCCACGACGACTTCTTCGGCCTTGTGCCAATGACGGCATCCTACCAAACTTATGAAAAGGTCATGGCCTTGGACCAGATCCTGCTGGACTGGGCCGCCGGTCTGCCGCCCTACTTCCGCCTGGACGATGCTGACACCTCCATGGACTCTGATCGACCTTTCTTACGGTGGCAGAGATTGTATCTTCACTCGTCTTACCACTTTGCGCGGATCACATTGCACCGTACTTATGTCCTCCTGGAGTCGATTACAGATCGCTTCCAGTATTCACGAACGGCATGCATCTCCTCAGCCTGTGCGGACCTCCATCAAAAACTCTCTCTCCGAAACTCGTCCATGACAGATAGACTCCTTGCTGGAGCTGCTATGCACAACCTTTTCAACTCAGCACTCGTCCTTGGCATTATTGCCGTCAAGGAACCACATAGTCCTCGGACAAACGCCATACTAGAAGACCTGGCTGCCTACTGTGAGAAAATGCGCGCCGATACCTGGGCGAACGAGTTCGTCATGGCAGAAGTCAAGGTCATTGAGCTGTGCATCTATACAGCGAGAAAGACAAGCGGAGGAGGGTCAGAGCGGTCACACTCTACACAGCGCCCAGATGTCGACAATACGGCTTGTCAGGATGGCGATGTAAGCTATACTGATGAGCTTGATGTCCATGCCCCCTATGAGAGTTGGCTTGACAGCTGGCTCGGACCTACACGAACATTTCCCGAGCCGCTAGACTACCAATTTTGGGAGGACCTTGTCGGCACATTGGAGGCAAGATGATGAACTTGGTATTGATACAACTCTAAAGCTTGATAGATGCCACGACTGGGTTTGTGAGCGTGCCGATGCCATGGGAAATGGTGATCTGCAGATCACTGCCAGCCTTTAGATACCGCGGGGGTTTCCTCCCATGACCAATCCCTGATGGCGTTCCCGTCAATATCACGGTACCTTTTGGTAGGGTACTATCTCTTGAGAGGTGCTCAATGATTTCACCCACAGAGAAGATGAATTCATCCGTCTTGCCGTCTTGCAGCACCTCACCGTTGAGGGTTGACTTGAGACACACGCCCCGGTTGACATTAGTAAACACCTCACTCCTGACCAGGCAGGGTCCGAGGGGACAGAACCCGTCGAAACCCTTACTGTATCCCCACTGTGAAGTCTTGGACTGGACATCACGGGCCGTCACATCGTTGGCGGCGGTGTACCCCAAGATGTAACGTCCTGCATCTTGACGTCTGACGTTCTTGCAGTCTTGGGCGAGCACAATGGCGAGTTCGACTTCTGCATCGACCATGTCTGGCGCTGAGCTGGGCAGAATGATGGGCGAAGACGGGTTTGTGAGGGTTGTAGAGGGCTTGGTAAAGACTTCAGGGATGCTGGGGAGGGGGCAGTTGAGCTCTGCTGCGTGGTCTTTGAAGTTGAGGCCGATACAACGGATGGTGGCGACCTCTTGGGGTGATAGTGGGGACAGGAGCTAGTTTGTTAGCAATGAATGGTTCACTGAGAGGAGCGAGGCACGTACCGTCTTGATGAATGCAGTCTGGCCGGTGAATTGGCTTTCGTCTACCGCAGAGGGACGGTCAAGCAAGCGGACCTCGACTGGCCGGCCTGCGGCGATGGCCAAACCGACTATGACTGTCAGTCTTGGCCCTCAAGGCCACAGAATATGTCTCACCATCAACATCTTGATCAATGGGCTCTCCACACAATTCTAGGTCGTCTGTTGAGACGAATCGCACAAAGCGTGTCCAGGTCTGTGTTTCGTTAGTACAGCTCTTAGACCAACAGTCTGTGATAGAGTGGCTTACAGCTGGCATGGAACCCATCTTGCAATAATCACACTGAGCCACAAAGAGGACAACACAATCAGGCCACGATAAAGAAAGGGACAAGATAGCAAGTCAAACGATTTTTCGAAATAAATAATCGAGGACTGGAATCCCGCCTCAAGGTCACATCCATGCATATCAGCTTGCCCGCTTCTTCCTTGCCGCTTGCCGCTGCTCGCCGCCCGCTTAGTCGGAGTCCAACTTTACCCGCCGATATCAATGCTCCACCTTCGCCGACGCCAGAGCGGCCAGACTGACTCGCCGCCCACACACACCCTGGTCATCGTTGCTCCAAGCGAGGTGTTCGCCGCTTCGCCGCTCGTTATCCGCAGTCTGGTGCCAGTGTTATCGTAGCGTCGCGATCCTAAAGACGGGCAATGTCTTGATAGGCTTATCGCTTGCCCGCCTCCACAGACCGTTGTCTTGTGTTGATCTGGATCCGGGGTATAAGTGTCAGGTGTTCCCCAATGTGTCAAACTTGACCATCCAGGCCATCATCTCTCGAACCGACTTCCCTGGGTTTGTTTCCTTCAGCTGATAACTTGACGTTGCAACAAGACAAGATGGACAAGTCTGAGAAGATCATCGACGATGAAGTCGGCCGGCTGAGCGAGAATATCCAGGATTCGAACTTGTTTCTCGATCCACAGAGTGAAAAGAAACTTGTTCGGAAGTTGGATATTTGGATTGCGCCGGTTATGACCATCATTTTCCTGACAGCCTATCTCGACCGTGCCAACATCGGCAATGCTGCCTCGGCGGGCATGACGGAGGATCTTGGCATGACCAGTGGTGAAATTGGCAGTAAGCATCCCATTCTAACTCCAAAATGATATAGGATCACTGACAGGACCAGATGCCGTCACCCTCTTCTACGTCACCTACGTGGCCGCCGAGGTCCCCTGCTCCCTCGTCCTCAAGAAATTCCACCCTTCTCGCATGATCCCTCTCCTCATCTTCTGCTGGTCTTGCGTTCTCATCGGTACGGGCTTCATGCACAATGTTGGTCAACTCTACGCATCGCGCCTCCTCCTTGGCCTCTTTGAGTCGGGCATGTTCCCTTGTCTGGCACTGTACCTCTCGACCTTTTACTCTCCCGGCGAACAAGCTCTACGCATTTCATACCTCTTCGTCTCCGCCGCACTGAGCGGATCATTTGGTGGCCTCTTTGCCTACGCACTTCTGAAGATGGACGGTGTCGGTGGTCTCGAAGGTTGGCGCTGGCTCTTTATCATCGAGGGCTGTGCGTCGATCCTTGTGGCGGGGTTCACATACATGATGCTCCCCGACGACTTTGAGCACGCTCGGTTCCTGAACGAGGACGAAAAGTCCATGATGCGAGTTCGCGCCGAGATTAATGCACGATACAACGGCAAGCCGGACTTTGACTGGGAAGAGGTCATGCGCGCGGTCAGGGACCCGAAGCTCTACATCTCGTGTTGGTCGCAGTTTATGGCGGATATCTGCTCGTTTGGCCTGAGCTCTTTCCTGCCTCTGATCATTCGCAGCTTTGGATACGGAGTTGTTACGACTCAGTTGTTGACAATTCCTGTCTTTTTCTGGGCCAGCGCGGCGTACATTGTGGTCTCGTATCTCAGTGACAGGTGGAAGCAGAGAGCGTTGTTCATGATGCCCGCAGCCTTGGTCACGGCTGTTGGATATGCGGTCAACATTGGCGTGCCCATTGATCAAAAGGGTGTGTTGTACTTTTCGACATTTCTCATTGCGCCTGGTGTGTACATGATCGTGGGATTGAACTGCGCATGGCTGTTGAACAGTCACGCGCCGTACTACAAGCGTGCCATGGCTATCGGTATGAATCAGTCCATTGGTAACACCGCCGGTATTGTGGTAAGTCCTCCTCTTGCACGCCTCCCGAATCACCAAGTTGATAGGTCTAGGTTGGTCAAATCTTCCGCACGAAGCAGAACGGAAAATACCTCATGGGTCTCAGCGGTTCTCTCGCTGCCGCCTTGCTGGCAGTCCTCGGTCATGTCTCACTCTACATCTACCTTAGACGCGAGAACAAGCGTCGCCAGAATCTGACGGAGGAGGAACGGGAGGCCGAGATTACCGCTGGGAAAGGTGGCGATTTCCATCCTGATTATCGCTATGCGCTGTAAGCTTGACATTCGTGCGTCCGTAGCCTCACTTGCTATCTTCCTTGCTGAGATCTCAGCTTCTGGGGGTTTGCCCACAGCCTTCCAAGGCCGTTTTCCTACCCCCCGTTCGCAACCTCGTGCAAGTGTCCGCTTGAGTGCCTACATCAACATACCGTATAGCAGGCTGACGAGGAGCGATGGAACTATATAGATATAGCTACCTGTACAGGCACATAGTTAGGTTAAAATGCATAATCATTCTTGGAATTTTACTTCTTGATTAGCTCAATATATAGTAACGCAGTGTCGCTATGTCAAAGCCAGCTATGATGTGCTTGATATCATACTCGCACAATCTTACCCGCAAAGCCTCCACAACTGCCTCAATCGACTCAATCTAGGTGCTGGTGCTGGTACTGGAACAGGGCGCTGTTCTCTCATCAGCAGGCACTCAATCGCTGTCCAATACCCACTACCCGGCGGCTCTTGGCTGAGTATCTTGCTATTTACTACATTGATGATAGGTATCTTGCCATCAGAGGGCCAGTGAAGACATGCCTGATCTGCAGGTGCTCCGCTGTCTAACAAGAACTTGACAGTACCCAGTCTCTTTTCAAGCGGAACCTGATCCATGTGACTGTCAGTTTTGCCAAATATTGCGTTTTCCAGGGGGGAAATGCATTTTCTTGAGCTCGAACTTGTCAAGCTCTGATCTGAAACCTTGTGCCTTAGATAAGGCATCACACAGAACCGTGCAGCCAAACCAAAGAATGTACTTTCATATACGCCACCTTCAATATGCGTGATCCAGGATACTCCTTCTTCGTCATAGGCTTCCTGTAACATGTCGTCGAATGCGTCAAGTGCCGATACTAGTTTCGGGCGGTTAATTGTAGAGTCTGCAACCCGAGATGCGTAAAGCATTGTCCTCTCAGTCAAGCCCTCACCGGACAAGCGCAAGTATGCACTAGAGCGTTTGAGGATGATATTTGTCCTGAGATGAACAAGGTTGGGATCAAAGTCTTGAGGAATTGTGAGATTGATCCGTGCCCAAACTTCAGGCGTCGCTGCCCAATCGCGAGCCGTTCGGTGAAGAAAATCGACAATGCCAGAGGAAGACATTTCCAGGATCCCCCTTGTATTGCTGCTCAAACGGCGTTTGACTGTGTCGTCGATACCAGACCTTGCACCGTCTCGAGCCAGCACAGACTCGAAGTCAAAAGTGAGAGGTAGGCTATTATCAGCCAGCCACACCATTAGTGCATCTGGAGGCTCATGTGCTGCGCGCACAATCGCCAGGAGCTTTGACGAGTCTGGCACAATGTCATCTTCAATGCTGCTCCAAATGGAAGAATATAGGTCGGCGATGTTGCTCGGGAGGGCGTTGACCAGGGCTTGGAGGTGGTGCAGGCCACGGCCCTGACTGGCGGCATGGAGGAGGCTCTTGACAACGAGTGTCAACCAAAGAAAAACGCCATTGGCCTTTTCAAGCAACTCTTGCATAAGAGCTTCAGTCTCACTGGGGAAAATGAGTTGCAGCTCCAGGAACCCGCGAGTAGCTGCCATTCTAGACGTAGCGTAATGTTTCATGTCAGGAAACGTCAGGTCTTGCATTCGAAGCTTTGGGTGTCGATGGAGTACGTCATCGAACTCGCTCCACTCACGGCTTGCCATGCATACCTTGGTCCCTTGCTGAGAATAAATAACTCGAAGAGGGTCGAGAATTTGCGTCTTGATCCTGACGGGCTCGACTTGGAACTCATCGAGACCGTCAATGAACAGAGCCAGGGCCATGGTCTTCCCACATTCACCGAGAAGATGTCTCAATGACTCCTCCAACTCCCACATTTCCCACTCGGGCTGCTCGACAACCCCTCGCGAAATGAGGAGCAAAGACCACCGCCGAGGAGCAACCCAAGGGACCAGTCCAGGGTTGAGTTTGAGTGACTGAAACAAGAGCGTCCTGATAAGCCCTTGGCGGGATTTCTGCCAGTCGGACCCAGCATTCCAGGCGTAATAGCTTACAGTCAAGAGAGGGAGCTTTCCAGACCAGCTTTCAAGCTCGCCTCTAAGCTGTGGGTGTTGGAGGATGAACTTGAGCAGCGTTGATTTTCCGGACCCAGGCTTCCCAGTGATCCAGTACGGCTCGTTGGTCCTGTCTCTCAGCCATGTTGGAAAGCATGACCATGGCTGACTTCTTTCGCGCCCGTCAACTTGTCTTTCAAAGACCCAGGAGAAGGTTTGCTGGTATGCTTCAGGAATAGCATCCTCTCGGCTTCGAATGTCTCTGAACTTGAGACTTTCGGTGATGGCATGGCAAAATTGCCAGTCCTCTTTTCGGTGTTTACTGAGCCACTCCCCTGTCTGCGCATTATTCCTGGGTTTCCAGTCCTCATCCCATAGGTACTGTACCAGCTGGTCATGTACACTTTTTCCACCCAGGGTAGACGTGCTAAACATGGCAAAAACAGCATATAGTCCAATATTTCTGGTCGCAAATGCTCCGTGACTCAGGTCTGGAATCAATCTGGTCGTCGAATCCTCGTCTGAATGTTTACTGAAGCGTCCCAAAACCCCTGTCATCTGGTCCAAAAGGTCATCAAAGCGGACGATCCTTGATGGACCTCCAGCTGACTCTGCCCTGGCTGTGTATTAGCGCCTCCTGAAGTAATATTCTTGAGCGAACTTACCATAGTGAAAAGGGTGTAAACATCATCATCCGGTTGTGGACGCTTCGAAACTCCTCAAGCGCAATCTCTCTTTTCTCAGGGGTCCAAATGTCCAAATAGGTGAGACCACTGGACACCAAAGATCCAACCACGGCCAAAAGTTCCCCTGCCATGCGACCGACATCCTCCGAGAGGTTGGACATGTGCTTTTCTGTTTTCAGAGGAGCTTCTACCTGTCGATTTGAGATAGCGGTTTGTATCCGTTGGGAGGCATTATCCAGTTCCTTTGAGTGTTCCCTTGTTGAAGTAAGTAGGGAGTCGCAAATCGTGTCGCAACGTGTATTAACTTACCATAACAGATAGAAAATAGTGAGGATAATCACTCGACTCTGAACACACTCAAATTGCCCAAAGACTGCCTCGTCTATTTTGCCCAATCCATTGACGCCGATGGACTTGGAGCGCAGAGGGTATAATGCCGCCTGGACCTCGTAATAAATTTGGCCAACCTCCTGATTCAGCTTGTTGAGAGTTTTGGTGGCTGTAGCGTGAAAATTCGACCGAGATTTTGATCTCACACTTCTGAGGACGTTTGGTCCTTTCCTAGGTAATGGTTAGAGAATGTAAATAATAGGAATTCGTTCAACCTACTTCGAGTCAAGAATCGCCAATGAAAGGATGCGATGGCGCAATCCTTCAACGTGCTGAAGCAAGATAGTGTTGCTACTGTCGCCCAAACACTCGGTACTCGACCGGGTAGATTTGAAGCCGCAATAGACATCGTCGAATTGGATGCACAAGTCGCACAATTCTTTGCTAGAGTCAGAATGGGCCAAGCCCTCTTGTATCACATACTTGATAAACCCAGTTAATTCGACCAAGTCGCCTGAGTCAGGTCCCGGTGGAATCCCAATGCAGTTTAGGGACAGAATGCGAGTACCAAAATCCACAAATTCGACAACGGTTCGCAATGGCCCTAAAGCGGGCGCCATTGCTTCGGGCGATGAGACTACAGCATGGGACTGTTGGTAATAATTGAATTCTGGCAGTGGCCCAAAGTCAGTTTGGTCTCTGATACATTCTCCTCTATAGGTTCTAGCTGGCCGTACCAAAGTTCATTGTGCCCCCTTGCGAGTTGTACTGGTTGGCTCCGAACGCGTTCAGCTGGCCTTGTCCCAGGTTCACAGCCTGATATCCATGTCCTCCCTGGGCGATATGTTGGACGGTCCCGAATTCTCGTGGGCAGTTAAACTCTGAGTCCGGCACCGATGGTTCAACCTGAGACATCTCATTAATGGAATCTTCCAGCCGACTAAGCTGGCTCTGTGTTGCCGTTTTGAAGAGCTGGTTAACGGCCAAATTTTCCAGCCCCTTCATGAGGTCTTTCATCAAACTCTCAACCCGGTGGCCTTTGCCTAGTCGCAGAACTCTTGCGCGATAGAATTCCACGATCGATCCGTTCTTTCCATTCTTGGACTGTTTTTCGACGTCCTGGAAGATTTGCAGTAGCGAGTCGGCATTTGTTTTACATCTGCCCACAGTGGTTTGAACTGGAACGACTGCCGATTCGTCGAGAGTGCTATCTTTCAACAGCTGCTGGACATTCTCCAAGGTTTCTTGTACCAGAGGCAGATGGTGGTGCACTTCCTCGAATGCCTTTGGGAGTCCTCGGAGATGTTGGATGGCGTTATATGTCAGCGGAATTGCTTGAACGACGGTAATGGTGGACGCAATAATACTGAGAGGATCCATTATCACCAATCAGCAAAGCTGGCTGTGATGAATGGGAGTCTAAGTAGCAGGAGAAATGATGACTGCGGACGGGAGCATATACTCTACCAAAGTAGAGACGACACCATGATGTTGAACAAATCCATCCAGCCCCCGCCGGATAGGTAGGATGTGATATTTCTTGTAATTTCCCCTCTGAGGGTTGAAAATTAGGCTGTGTAATCGAATGGTTGGTCGCCAAGTGTCAGCATGACGCCACAATATGCACTCCAAAAATGAAGCGGTTTGAAAATATGGATTTCACTCGTCGAAGAGTAGCCCTGACCATGGCCAAGCCCAGACTCTGCTGATGGCGGCAAACCGCGGGATTTTATTGGCAATCTCATGTGAGAACCTGTCGGCTGTCTGGCATTTGCTAAAGCGGTTGGCGAAAGCGTAGTCATCATTCGACGAGTTACATTCACCCCCCTCCCCTGCGGTCTTTTATGTTGGTTATGGGGTGTGGTGTGTGTGTGTAAGGCTTCAGTCACATCAGGCTCCCCCTCTTAGCAGACAAAGCCTTTGCAAGTCTCATGATTTTCGCTCATTGTTACAACGATCTTCAGGCTCAATTAACCCATCGAGGGCCGGGTTTCAACTATAACAAAGAACACATTTCCAATACCTACATCACAGCATCATATCCCAATGCTAACACAGTGGTGGAACCAGTGCACATACTCACAGGGCCATATCAAAATACATGCAGTTAGAAAAATGGCATCACTGATTCATTATAACCGATGACTGAATCTATCTCTCACTCCATAACCTCCATAACCGCCTTCCTTTGCAGCTCTCCTCCGCTAACACCGTGTTCGATTTATCCAAAACCCTAAAAATCATGCTTCTTGTAAGCCCTGCTCCAAGATGCGCCACCCGGACGTTTCCTGATCCCGCCCGCCGAAAGAGAGGAAATTCCAGCTCCCCGTGCAAAGTCTCATGCTGATCATTTCTTACTTCTTGGCAATTACAATAGTGGTGACTGGATATTGTTAGCCAACTAGTTCACAACACACGACTAGTTACCTACCCTGTTGAGCAATGATTGTAATCTGGGGAACCAAGGACTGATCAATAAACTGGGCCAGATTGACACGGCCAAGATCACGAATGAGGCCGAGTTCGACGCTGCCGAGCGAAAGTCTGGACAAGTCGAAGCTGTCGAAGATGCCGGTCTGAGCAATCGAGAGAAGAGTCGAGAGTTGCTGGAACTGCAGCAGAGACTGGAGGTCAAACTCCTTGGAAAGAAAGAGGTCCTGGAAGATGACCACGTTGAGGTTGTTCCTGCGACCGAGGTTCTGGAACAGACGGAGGTCAAGATCGTTGACTTTGAGTAGGTAGTTGAGATCGACCTGGCCGAAGGCAAGCTCATTGTCACGTCCGCCACGTCCGCCGTCGCGTCCGTCGCGACCGTCACGACCGTCTCGGTCCTCACCACGGTCGCCGTCTCCACGGCCATCGCGACCGTCGCTGCCATCACGGCTTTCGTTGAGCGCGGCGCGGGCCTGGAAGGCAGGGAAGCCTGGGGCGGCGGCAGCAAGGGTGGCGAAGGTGGCAACAAAGATCGTGGAGAACTTCATCTTGATGATTTGGTTGGGTTTGGTTGTGAGTGAGTGGGTATCTTTCGAATTAGAAGAATAGTATGAAATGCGAGCACAGCTCAAAAGATCAGAGAATGTATGTTGAAGGAGTGGAAGCGAATAATGAGCCCAGCTGGACAAGTCAGTTTTCCTGCGTTCGTTTGATGATACAGTAGATGGATTTAACTCACCTCTAGAGAATGAATGGAGAATGAATGAAGGCGTTCGACACAAGGCGGATGATGGAGCTGTAGTTGATTGCTAAGACATCAGGACGGACATGCCATCTTTATATAAAGAATTCATGAAGTGAATGGTAACATTTCATCTTGTCCCAGATGATGAAATCATCGCGTCTAGCACATACCTTTGGTCGATCACAGGGCTGCGTCAGAAAACGAGCCCTCTCTTACCGGAACACCAACTCCCGAGGGCCAAGATGGACTGCATGGGAGAGATGCACCTCGTCACGCTAGCAAGTGCGCACTAACAAGGTAAGACACGTTGCTACGGGAAGTTCAGAAGCCGAACAAGAAAGGAATTAACCTTATCTGGTGGAGTGCGGCAGGGCTGGGGGCACTCGAGGGCTTGGTGGAACATGATCGTAAGTTGATGGCAGTATCCGATCGTCCAACCGTTTCACATGACTCCCTGTAATTCATCGGATGGCCGGAACGTTCTGCGCTCTGTGCCTGCATGATTGTAAACCGTCGATCCAACAACGGGACGACACCGGAAGGTTGATGTGGTCTTGACTAAAGTCCCCAGATATTCCTTGTGCCAGCAGGGGTGCAAGTCTCACCTTAACTCGTCCCGTCTTAGATTGGACGGTTCGCGTTTCGGCACACCGATGGAGAAGCACGAATTGACGCGGATCGGCATCGCGTGTCTCAGAGCCGCACCAGATGCGACGCTAAGACGGGCCAGTAGTTGCCGGTTGGATATGCATGGGAGTCGGATTTTACTCATCCATAATTGCCCACTTACCAAGCACAACTAGACATAACCTATAGGTCGAAGAAAGATGATTCGCCACAGCGCGACAATACCAGTTAAACGCAGTCCGTTCGGCTCGGGTCGACCTCACTCGACGCACAGAAACTGCCGACCTCGGTTATAATAAAACTTGTTTACGCTTAATAAGTTTAAGCATATTACCAGTGGCTTGCACTACTCTTGTGGAACTTCTCGCTCGTCTTCGTTGGTTAAGGCACTCGATCGAGAAGTAGGTGGTTAGCCTTGGAATCAGGCTCGGCCCGATCTCCCTTTGAGGAAATGCATAGAAGAATCCTCCAAAATTCTCATAAGCCTGACTCACCGTCGTAAAAGGGGAAGCAAAGGATTGCTGAAGGTTACCGATTTTGCAAAGTTTTGGCACGGTTCCCAGTTTCCAGGAAATGGGCGTCTGTCTGATACCTTTGTGAGACGTCAAAACAGATTTTTCTTCCTACTGTTAAGAACGGCAGATAAGGTCCCTAGTGTAATATAACCACGTGCTTTAAAATTCCATATCCCTTTGTAATTCCATTGCTGACCCCAGTTCAAGCACAGTCCCACCACCACCAATCATTTTGAAGAGAATAGTTTCTACTTGTTGACGTCAAAAACCGAATCGCCACATGAACCAAGCCAGCATGGTAGTGTGCCCCTGCGCCAGTCCACTCTTGATACTGGCTCTTGTCAACCCATGTAGATGTTGGTAGGTCCAGGGGTAGTTCTCCGTGAATCGACTGATCCCAGCCAAGACCTCAAGCCTCCTTCTCGAAATCAACGGAGTCGTCCAAGAGGTATGGACTCGGCCGCATCCCAAAGGCTGCCATCTCTCGGTTCTCCAAGCCGATGATAAACTGTATTGCGGCCTTCAAGGTTGTTTGCACACTATCGATAGTGCCATCTGAATTTCCGAACCCCAGAAAGACACGTTGGTCATGGTGTATGGCGTCAAAAGAAATAGGGCTGCTCAAGCCCTCAGTGCATCCGGTGCGCACTAAAGAAACGGGGATATCCCCAATGTCGTTCGGTGTCAAAGGCCCTTCTGTGGGCCCCATTGTTTGGTCCAAGACGATGAAGACGGCCTTGAAGAGAGGTTGTAAGATATACCTCCGGCTCAACGCCACAAGCCGATCGCCTTTCCCGTCTTGCCACTTCTCTGAGGCATTTGTGGGAGATGATAAACCCCTAACCTCTAGCAGATCGTCTGGGAGCCGGCTGAAGATGTCGGCCGATAGGTCTTGACAGAGATTTGTATGGAATCCAGCGATATCCGTCAGTGTTGGCCTGGCTGTATCCGTATCCCACCCTAGGGATATACTTTTGCCCACATAGCGGCCGTATTCGATGTCAGTCTCGTATGGTTTGAACCACTGGCGGTACAGCCATATATCCACAAACTTCCATATGCCGTTGAGAAGATCTGATCCTTGTCGTTGGGGATCCAAGAGATATATGGCGGTGGATTTGTTGTGATAGTCAAGAATATGTCGAACAGCCCAGCCTCTTGACTGTAGTGTTTGGCCAAATGACCAAGACACGGGGTTTTGTTCTCCAGCCCGTAATCTGAAGCGCGATGGTTTTCGAGAAAAACATTCGAGAACTGCCACTCGATGACTCTTTTCTTTAATACCACGAAGCTGATGCAGAATTTCCTTTCTGGTCTTGTAGGGCCCTTGGCGTGCCCCGAGACGGAGGCGCCGGCGAGTCATATGGATGACACTAGGCATCCCGGCGATCTTGTGTCTGTGAGAAGTCGAGTGCGTCCATCTTGGGTTAGGAAGGTGATGATATGAGGTTCAATTTCGCTTGAGAGAAGAGTAAAATGTGTCCTTTGTTATAGATGAAGCCCGGCCCTCGATGGGATAACTGAGCCAGAAGATGGAGAGAAGAGTAAAGTTGAGGATCAGATGAAATACATGCCTAGACGGGATATGAGTCATAGTTTCACAAGAGAAAGTTTAAACCGTATACTCGAACCTTAAGAGCAGCCAAAGAGGAGAGGAGACAGGCGAGCTTGACATGTGCAAGGTTTACTTCCTGTGGCTGCTGCAAGGATCAAACTTATAATATCAAGGTTTTGGAACCTGATCCGCATTTTTTCTTATCCAGTCAGGGCCTTCAAGTAATCACGCCTCGGGGGAGAAAAATCTAGATCCATTATAAATGATTTCTGTATTAAAAAAAAAAAATGAGAAAATCCTATACACCCGCCAGCTCGTGTGCGTTTAATTGCTCCAGGGGAATCTTAAGTATAACCTAGAAAATCCTCTTATATCCCATCCAAGGTATAAGTCTATCTAAAGGTGCTTAAATCTCTTGTCCGAATGCCGGGTATCGAGGTGCGAGAATATTATCGCACGAGTATCGAACGACATATGGGCTAGAAGTCGCCTCGTTGCTGACAATCACTTGGCCGCTAGGGGTCGTGATAGTGAAGTAGAAGCCGCCGCCGTACTGAGCTTGGCCGTAGACAAACCGAATGGGCACATAAGCGCCAGCGGGCATATCAATACTAAAGGATGCCGACCCAGCGATGTGATCAGGCTGGTTGTAGCGAGCCTTAGCATCGGCATTACCCTCAGACCAGCCAGCATAGGCCTCAGCACCAATCCATAAGTAAACAGCGTCATTGGCGTAAGGGATATTAAACTGGTACGTTCCTGTTTCACAGGCATAGATGTAACCGTGGTGGTTCAGGGCGAAGTAGTCTAGGCTAAGGTCTGTCGATGAGCCGTAGATGGGGCTAGGAGCATTCTCGGAGGTGGGTTGGTAGAGACCTCCGACATATGGCGTGGTACCAACGTAAAGCGGGTTTACACTCTTGAACGAAGCGGGATGAAAGCTCGAGTAGGTGGTATCGGTGTTCTGGGCCGGGTTGCTGTAGTAGGCCCAGTCGAAGCCGAGGTTGTTGCAAGAGATCGGGGTAGGGCAAGCCGTCGCGGTGGTAGTCGTTGACTCCTCAGTTGTAGAGGCCGACGATGTAGTCTCCACGGCAGTAGTCGTGGTGGTGGCTGGCTCTGATGTCGAAGCAGAGGTAGAGACCTCAGTTGTCGAAGAGACCTCGGATGTCGAAGAGATCTCAGTAGTCGAGCTTAGCTCGGTCGTAGTGTCGACAGACGAGATCACGGTCGAAGACGCAGACTCGGTTGACGAAGTGACCGCGGCGTCAGTGGACTGCGTCGTGGACGGTCGGCAAGGCCCAGCCTGAACAGCTGTCAAGCTGGCACAGGCCAAAGCGGCAATGAAGCTCTTGGCATTGACCATTATGAATGAAATGAACGAAAGACAGTAGTTGGGTTAAACGAAAGACTGAAGCTGGCTGGGCAAACAAGACGGTGTCAATAGGCCCCGTCTGGCAGCTCCTATTTAATCTAGCACAGCCCATCAGGGGCTCGTTGATCATGATGCGACAGCTTTTCGATGTGGAGTTGCAATTTGGTCTCCGCATGAGACTATTGAGACTATCGATTTGGGCCGCCTGTAACCCCACCTCAGCTTGGTTACTAACGCTCTTTTGTGCTGGTGCATCACTAGTGCCAGGCACCTATCCACAACAAGACAGCGCTGACTGCTCACCACTGGCCCTAATTTCCGCCAGCGCGCCTGTTAAACCTTGTCACCAACCAGTGTTGATCTTCATTATGAATACGAAGCTAGCCCAGGGGATCTGCTCCTCCACAAAGTGTAGGCAAAGCCGTTGAGTAAGGCGTAAGCGCCCGCAAGAACATTCTCAAAGGGTATAGTTCAACCGTCCGGGAAGCCCTGCTAGCACGCGATGCTACATAAAGCCGAGCTGAAAGACATGTTTCCCATGCTGTTGTTTGATCTTGTAAGCTCTAGAATGTTGTGGAGGGTGCTCCATTGTGCAGCTAGTCTACAGGCCGTGTTAGTGACTGCCTCTTTCCAGAGTGACAAGCCTTGGCCTCAATCTCGTTCAGTTGTTGCTGGTAGCGGAACAGAGTAGTGACCTGGGAGAAGCTTCTTAGAACACGAAATAAATTCACGGCTCACCACGACGTAAGTCTGAATAATCATCACATTATTAAGGTCATCACTCTATGACTAGAAGTTAGAGCACCAACGCACACTTGTTTTTAGATAACTGGCTCTCATGACGAAAGTGCATTCCATGATTATAAGCGAAGTACTCGGCGGTATTAACATTGAACCCCCGTTCAACGAAGAGAAATGAGACATCCACGAATTCATACATCTGGCATCACTCTACAAGACCTAACCAAGTAAGATCCAAATCAGCAAAGCTTTTTAGCGGGAATATTCGGTTAGTACATTTGATATGCCGACTCGCCACCCAACAGCCACACCCAATCTAGGGGCAGTCCTTGGTTGGAACTATCTATTTCTGGTAACCCCCAACGAGATTGATGAGGCATCTCGTCGAAATTTTCTCCCATGGGCTGCATCTCGGGTAGCTCTGTCAATCCTGGCGGTCCAGTCGCGATCGGATGGCTCCCAGACCCCTGGGTAATTGAGTGACTGACATCCATTGCATCAAGTCGGGGAGAAGGTATGGCTGAGACAATAGCTGCCTCTTCGCCTGCTTTATACTCCAACAATGCCTCATCCCGGGCCATATTGGCACTTGATGAAGCGCCACGTCGTAAGCGTTCGACCTTGGCCCAGCGAAAGTCGTGGAAGTCATACTCTGCGGCATCTTGACCGACGAGCTGGTGTTCGCTGCAGCATGTCAGTGAATTGGCAAAATTCTGGTGGTGGGTAGTATGAATTCACTGTCGAAAAGCCGCCAGATCATCACTAGTAAGAAGATACATGCAGTCGCAATGCAAAAGTCTATGAACAGCTTCGACATACTTGATACAGTTAGCATTGGCTTGCCAAGCCTACACTCTCACTAACCAATTACCTCACAAATTCAGACCGGCTTACAATCTCTCGAATGGCAGTGAGAAGGTGAGGAATTGCCTCTACCAGTTCGAGCGCTTTGGGGTCGGTGAAAGGATCAACTTCAGCCAGGCGGCGTGGCCCAAAGAGCCACGCCGCAGGACTGCGTGCCCGAGGTCAGTACTATATGGCAAAGCTAACTATAACTGAAGTAGAAACTCACTTTCTAAAGCCACGTATGAATGCACCCCTACCTGAGGATCAAACTTGACCATTGCCTTTAGGGCTTCTCCGACATTGGTTGCTATGGCGCCAAGATCCAGACTCCTAATATCGATCGCTTGGCCTCCGAGGGCATACGTATGCTCAACCACCATGCCGCCGCAGCCTGCTCGCCCACACGGGCCATGCTCCTCAGCGGAACCGACGCCCACCTTGGTGGCCTGGGAGTCTTGATCGAGTACAAGAGGAGTGAAAGCGGAGCTAAACGCTTTGGTGGCAAGGCCGGCTACGAGGGCTACCTCAACAACGATGTTGCAACTATACCAGAGGTTTTACAAGACAATGGCTACTTTACTGCCATGTCAGGCAAGGTCAGTGTTCAGGGCACTTTCTGCATGAGATTCAGGCTCATTGGATCTTTAGTGGCATCTTGGTCTCCGTGCCTCCCAAGGGCCATGGGAGCGAGGCTTCCAGAAGGCGTTTGCTATGCTGCCTGGGTGCTGCAACTACTACGACTAGGAACCTATACAGGAGAGATTCCCAGTCGGCGGTCGCCCAGTTCACGCGGAAGAGGGAAAAAAGGTTGATATGTGAGTTCCGATCAGCTCTCATGTAAATATATGCGTGATTAGCTTCAATTACTGACGATGGTTATTGCTCAGGACACCTAACAAGACCGAAGACCCGAACGGATTCTACTCGACCGACTTCTATACGAATCGACTCATTGAATACCTCCAAAACCGCTCCGATGACGATAAATCGAAGCCCTTCTTCGGTTTCCTCCATACACTGCACCTCATTGGCCTTTGCAGTACTCGAAGGCACAGAGAGACAAGTGAGTGCTCCCCCAGGGACCACCAGACAATATTGACTCTCCCTCAGATACAAGGGGATGTATGATGATGGCCCATACGCCCTACGAGAACGCCGACTGAAGAAGCTCGTCGAACTGGGCATCATTGACGAATCTGTGGTACCGCACAAAGTCGAAACTGAGACAATGGGTGTTGGAGAGTGGGATGAGCTCACACCAGAAGAAAAGAAGCAATCTAGCAGAGCTATGGAGGCATATGCCGGCATGGTGGACTCTATCGACGTCAATGTCGGAAAGATAGTCGAGTATCTAAAGGAAACGGGAGAGTACGATAACACATTTATTGTGTTTATGAGCGACAATGGAGCTGAAGGTGCCGCGTAAGTGTCAATGGCCCCTGAGTTAGAGTTGAACTAACTATTCTCTTCCCGACAACAGCATGGAAGCTGTTCGTAAGTAACACGACATCATTACGGAGACACCCTTGCTAACTACTGTTGCAGCTGTAATGGGAGATAGCATCACCCGCGCCATTCACCAATATTACGATAACTCGTACGACAACATTGGATCTTGGAACTCCTTCACTTGGTAAGCCTATTCTACATGACACGAGAGCATCGGTTAACCACATTATCTTCAGGCTCGGCCCTCTTTATCGAGACTGTTCAAGTGTTTCCCATCCCAGGGCGGCATCCTCGTCCCTTGCGTCGTTAAACCGCCCGCGAATACGTTTCTACCCTCATTTTCCCCAGGCTCATTGAACCGCTCCTTTTCCACGGTCATGGACTTTGCACCTACCTTTCTCGAACTGGCTGGAGTATCCGTACCCCCAGCCTCTGAGAAGACTGTGTCTACAGAGTTAGGGAAAGGCTCCGCCACCGCCAAGCGCAGCATGACCACCTTCAGGGGTAAGGATGTACACGCGATGCGAGGCAAGTCCTGGATCCCACACTTTGCTAGAGGAAAGAAGGTCGAGGATGAAGAGGTCTGGGTGATACATTCATCGTCCGAACCTGTCGGATGGGAACTGTTTGCGCGTGGTGCACTCAGAAAGGAGATTGGAAGATTGTACACTTTGACAAGACAGAGGGCGGCGCAGGAGAAGGTGACGAGGGCTGGGAGCTGTTCAATATTGCTGAAGATCCAGGAGAGACAACAGATCTGGCCAAGAATGAGCCAGAGAAGCTAAAAGAACTCCTAGCGCACTGGGACGAGTATGTGGTTGAGTGCGGTATTGTATGGGGAGAAGTGGCTTCATCTTCGGGTGTCAGCAAAGATGAGGCCCCGCAGCTATGGGAGGACGAAGTAGAGCTGCAGAAGGCATGGATGGGTGCCAGAGGAGGTGATTGTCCAGTCGACTGCAAATGGATGCGTAATGATGGAAAGTAGTGATAAAAAGTTCCATTCTCTTCTAGTAGGATCAAAGAGAGGTACAATTTCTGACGATTTGTCCCAGCCGTCCAACTTAGAATGGAAGGAAGTCCCAGTTTTGTGATTCTAGCTGGTGTAAGTCCTTGTACCAAAGCTGAAAAGGGGATCTAACCTTGATATGACCACCAGTCAGGCACGCCATGCTTCTCACTTTGCCACATAGACTCCAATATTCTCAGGGCCTGCTCCATATTCTGTGATCTTACAACGCTGAGCAAAGTTAGGAAAGTGTCTCGCACCGCCTGTCGATCCGTCGCATCAACAGCCTCACAGCCTGCAGCGAATAGGGGAGGCGTCAAGGCGGTTGCTGGTGAGGCTCCAGGTGATGGTGTGATTGAGCTTGCTACTCGAACAATAGCGTGCACTGAAGCTTTCACGACTTCAGAATTCGAGGGAACTCCCCGTACTCGCCTCTCCACCAAGATGCGAGCCATGGAGAGGTAGGTTTCAGTAGAGGCTGTGAAGTCGCGGACCTCACTCTCAGAGAGCGCTTCCCGAACCCCGGGGTAGAAGTTGAGGCCGACAGGTGAGCACACCACTTCGTGGTAGATTTCTGTAAGCTTCTTATGGAAATCGTCGGCAACGAGATCAAAGTCTGTCTGAGTTAGAAATGAAGTCGCTCCAAGAGGCACAGCTGAGAGCTGCTGTCGTCGCTCCCATGCCGATGCACCAATTTCGCGGAAAAGCAAGGCAAGCCTGGTAGGAAACCCAAAGTAGTCGTCACAGGCATCGAGGGCGAGTTGTCCTGGTTCGGATATGGTACCCAGGGTAGCATCCTGCGTGACGCATTGGCCTGTTACGAGACCAGAGGTGGTGATGGCGGTGAGTGACTCAAGACTCAGGTACCAGCGCGACAAGAAAGTTATGATGGCTTCCAATTCCGCACTAACACCCAGGGAACTGGTTGGATCAGAGACATGAATGCTGGCCAACAAAGCCTTTGCACCTTCAGCGTGAACGCGCCACGACCTAGGTTGGACATCTCCAGAAGAAACGCTCACTAGACAGAGCATCAGGGACGCCGCCAATAGGCTCGCCTTGTTACTGCATGCCCGTCGTGGTAGTTCATTCTGGAACGCCAACAGGCTCATGCCCACATATCTCGAAATGGACGTGTCTGGGGTAGTGGTGGTTCTTCGGAGGCCTGCCTGTTGAGCTGCCGAATATGCCAAAGTAGCATAGAGAAGTGAGGGGGTCTGCAGGGCCAATGGGACGATGGTATTGCAGAACAGGCGTTGGCCATGTTGAGAAGAGATGACAATACAGGATGCCTCGGTTACAAAATGGTGCAGCAGAGCGCGCTCCGATCGTCGCAACCAAGAGAGCGGCTCCAATGCACGAAGAATGCGGTCATCTCGGCTTCCGGGGGTCTCGCGACGGCGTTTGCTGCGGCGTCGATGTCTCTGTCGTCGGTCGTCGGCAACACGTTCCATTTTGGGCTGAGAAGGTATGTGCATGTGTAGGGGGGAAAATGCGCAGACGGTGGAGTCTGGGGAGTCTGGGGTACAAATCTGTCATCGGAAGCGGCTAATCAAGGCAGATAAGACCCTAGCGCTTTGTCAAATCGGCAATAGTCAGTCCAGCCTGCATGAATCATGAGACTTGATAAGTGGTGCTGGTCGTACTGATTCGATATAGTTCCAGTCGAGTTCGACAATCATTACAACGACAGACAGTGTACCAGTCAGAAGAAACCATGGAACAACAGCGACTCCCTACCGAGTATAACCGCCTATCCCATTAATTGATCATACGCTGACATGCCCAGTTTCCGGCCATCCCATTACCAGATTGATCTCTTCAATCTCATTCTTCGCCCCACGTTCTCATACAAGGGGAGAGTACAGATTGAACTAGACATCTATCAGCCATCGAATACAGTGTGGCTGAACGCGAAAGAGTTGGATATACTCGATGCAACCATCACTTTTGGTGATTCAACCCTGACATGCAATGCAATCAACCATGTCAAAGCACTCGAACGAGTCGCATTGGTATTCCCGGGGATTATCACAGGCAATAAAGCAACAATTCTCGTCAATTTCTCTGGCATCATCAACACCGCTCTATCAGGATTTTATCGCACGTCGACGCAGCCCACCCGAAGCCATGACGCCGCTTCTGACGATGCATACGTCTTAAGCACCCAATTCGAGGGCTGCGAGGCGAGAAGAGCTTTCCCTTGCTTCGATGAACCGTGTCTCAAAGCAACCTTTGACATTCGTCTCGAAATACCTGACAGCCTCCAAGCTCTAAGCAATATGCCAGTCAAGTGTGTCACGCCCCAGAATGGCGGTACCAAGGTGGTTTCCTTTGAGACAACCCCCATCATGAGCAGCTATGTTAGTGCATCCGTTCTAACAAGTCTGAGGTTGGCTAATATCTTGTAGCTTGTTGCTTGGGCTATCGGCGATTTTGAATACATCGAATCATCCACCAAGAGAAGTCCTGGAGGAAATACCCTGCCCGTTCGAGTGTACACTACAAAGGGACTTTTACCTCAGGCCTCTTATGCATTAGAACATGCGTGCCGTGTTCTAGATTACTTTTCAGACCTCTTCGAGATTGACTACCCGCTTCCGAAACTCGACCTGATTGCCATCCCTGAGTTTGTACGTCAGTCCTGATGTCTCCCAGTGTCTGCTGTTAATTGGTTATAGGCCCATGGTGCTATGGAGAATTGGGGACTTTGTACCTTCCAAGCCACGGCTCTCCTGTACGATGAAGCCACCTCAACTCTTGACAACAAGGAGCGAGTTAGTTACGTGATTGCGCATGGTATCTCCCCTAGCCACCTTGGAAACTCGTTCTCTAACTTGGTTCAGAGCTTGCCCATCAGTGGTTTGGCAATCTCGTCACCATGGATTGGTGGAACGATCTATGGCTCAAGGAGGGCTTTGCCACTTGGGCTGGTTGGCTTGCAGCCGATCATTTCCATCCAGGTAAGCTGAGCAAAATTTTGGAGTGGCTTACAGCTAACATTGGAAAGACTGGAAAGTTTGGGACAAGTTCATGGTGAGCCTGGTTACCCGTCCATACCCAAGAGAAAACTGACATTGTCTCAGTGTGAAGGTCTCCAGACAGCGCTTCAACTTGACTCACTCAGGGCATCACATGCTATCGACGTCGAGATAAGAAATGGCCCGGATATTGATGAGATATTCGACGACATTAGCTATCTCAAAGGTACTTCGTTGATTCGCATGCTGGATGGACATTTAGGTCGCGATTTGTTTCTCAAAGGTGTTAACAGTTATCTGGCTAGCTTTGCATATGGTATGTCAGGCTGTCTTTTGTTGTTACTGTTCATTACTCACCCTGGTAGGGAATACTACTTCATCAGATTTGTGGAATCACTTGAGCCAAGCATCAGGAAAAGATGTTGCATCATTCATGGTACGTGTACACTTTGATGGACCTCTCGGCCTGGTTTGCATGTTAACGCGTATTCTCTAGGACGCTTGGATGCATCAGATAGGCTTCCCGGTGGTCTCGGTCAGCTATGAATCGAGCCAACTTCAGCTATCACAAGAGCGGTTCTTGCTTACGGGCGACTTGAATCCTTCTGAGTCTGAAGCTGTGTGGTGGGTTCCAGTGAACCCGATCCTCCTTGGCCCCGGCCAGGAATTGTCGAGCAAGTCTCTACGCGTGCAATTTGACCTGAAGACGGGAGTGGACATCGTAAAGCTCAATGCAGGTCAGGCGGGCTTCTTCAGAGTCACCTACGCCCAAGACATCTTTGCCCGGCTTATTCACAATCTGGATGCCCTCACAGCTGGGGAAAAGGTCTCTCTCATTGCGGACACTACGGCTCTTGTACGAGCTGGCCGGATGAGCGTGGTTGAGCTCCTCCAGCTACTGTCATCGTTTCTATCCGAGATCAATTACTTGTTAGTCAACACCTTAACCCCGTACAGACCAGACTAATCATCCCCTAGCGTATGGTTACAGATTTCCAAGGCGCTTGATATTCTCAGCTCGAGTTTCTCCGACACTCTCGGAGATGAGCTTTCAGGCTTCGCAAGATGGCTGGTACAGGATATAACTCCCACTGTTGAATGGGAAGTGATGCCGGGCGAAGATCACAACAAGACAAAGATGAGAGCCCTGATAATCAAGATGGCAGGTTTGGCAGGAGACAAGGGGTAAGTTATACTCGTCCAGGGGATTCTGATCTAACACCGGAACAGTACGATCAGAGAAGCCCTGCAAAGATTCGAAGAATACCCTGGCAACACGCTTCACAGCAGCCTTGTCCCGACTGTGATCTCCATCGCGAGTGTTCATGGAGGCTTATCTGCCTACCAGAGGTTGAAGTCTCTCTACCTTGACCCTCCTCCCACGTCGATCGGCCACGGTGAGACTTACTTGCGAGCGCTGGCAATGTCCCCTTTACCAGAAGCATTTGATGATTACCTTGGATTCCTTCTCACCACCAAGGTTCAAGTCTCGGATCTGCACGTTTCGGCCAACGCGATCTCTGCGCAGCCATCAGCCCGGAAAGTGTTTTGGGGCTGGCTGAGAGAGAACTGGGCAAAGATCTTGCTCAAATTTGATGGGGCCTGGCCGAGCCTAGACAAATTCTTGAGGCAAGGTCTTGGCGAGCTGTGTAGCAATAGTTCGGAGGAAGAGGTACGGAGCTTCTTCTCGGAGAAAGACTGTGACACGATTGGCTTTGGGAGAGGCATGGATGTGGTGATGGAGCGAATTCGGGTGAATGCTCGGTTCAGAGAGCGAGAAGAGGGGGCACTTGGAGAGTGGTTAAGCGAAAAGGGGGGCCGGCTCGCTTGAGATCCTTCGCTCGGCAACAGTTGACAAGTTCTGGTTCTGAAAACCCGTTCAGTGTCCGGCATCGGAGATGGACAATCGATCTCGAACGAGACTCAAGTATAATTAACAGCCAGTTCTCTTCAAAAGACCTGGCATCATTCCACGACTCATTGTATCCCAAAATTTGTTCGTTCGACCGACCTAGCAACATGGCCAACACCGATATCACGACTGTTATCAGCGAAGAGCTCGCCCCCGCGCTGGGTCCTTACGTGGGTCTCAAACGCGTCGCGTCAAGATTACAATGCTAACCGGATCTGGAGTCCCACGCGGTCAAGGCTGGTGGCTTCGCGTTCTTGTCAGGCAACATTCCTGTTGACGCGACTGGCCAGGTCGTGCCAGGTGGGGCCACCGAGCAGACCGAGCAAGTGTGTCAGAATATGATGTCAGTTCTGAAGGCTGTTGGGACCGAAGTTGGTCGGGTTGTCAAGGTCAACGTAGGGAATCTTAAGGATGTTTACATCGGAAACAGTTTCTAACATTGGACAGATCTTTCTCGCTGATATGGGAGACTTTGGGGCCGTGAATGAGGTTTATGCCAAGTATTTTGTGCACAAGCCAGCCCGAAGCTGCGTTGCTGTGAAGGAATTGCCCAAAAAGGTGTTGGTGGAGGTTGAGTGTATCGCGGCTCTGTGAGGAGATTTAGAGATAGCGTCAATCCATCACGATAAGACTTGATAAAAGTTACAGAATTATTGGAGACAGTATCATAAGGGATTTCTAAAAGCTTATTGTTTTCCAATGCTTTAATTCTCTCTGTTATCTGCTGTTTGCAAGTTGCCAAATACTTGCTCTAGGGTAAAAGGTGGCTTGGAGAATGACCGCTCTCCCCTTATCTTATCTCGTCGGCACAGCTTTCCACCTGGACCCTGTCGGCTTAGCTTGTCTTGGCTCCATCGGCTCCTCTTGCCTCTGTCATCATGACCCCTGACTCGCCGCTTCATCCCCTTGCTCCATATCTCGATAGCCAACGCACCCATTATTCTACCATGCTCTGCTCGCCAACACTTGACTTCCATGGCTAGCACAGCCAGAACCTCTTCACGCCGGCCCCGCCGCCGCACTCTCCTTGGGTGCCTCACGTGTCGGCTTCGCAAAGTGAGATGCTCACTGGAGCAGCCAGAGTGTCAGAATTGCACCAGACTGTCAATTCATTGCGCCGGATACGGCGGTAAACTCAAATGGTTAAACTACGAATGCCGAGACGGAAAGCAGGTCCGTCTCAAGGATGCAGATGGTGTGGATGGCGAGAGGGGGGCGGGGAGGAGAGAAATCTATAGCCGTATGTGAAGTGTCGGTACTATCAGTCGACACTCTTGTTCTTTGCCCCAATTCTTCTCATTCAAATAAATTAGGTGTTTTGCTGATGGCACCTATAACCTTTGGCCACACCAGCTAATTCTTTACACATAGTGGCCGAGAGGAAACGAATGTCACAACACATGGCGCAGTACTTTGATGATGAACAAGACCTAGAACATTCTCTGAACGAGGTCTTGGAAAGTCTAGAGAACCATGATCCTGCTCCACATGCCTCAGAAAGTACTCATGGAGCAGACGATATTGATATTTTGCTAGCAGGGCCGTTTGGTGTATTTCAATCAGAAGTCTCACTCTTGCTCGCATCACACGAAACAGACACTCCCCAACCAGCCTCTGTTGAAGCTGATTCAGTCTTTGATGAAAGAGGAGAAACCAGACTTGGCGGAGTAGACAGAGTTTCCTCTGATACAGGACATGTGCTATCGCCATTGGCAACACATACGCCGACCTGCATTGCCCCTCGCGAGGTTTTGGGAAGTGTCATTACAAACAATGCACAGCCCAGCTCATCCCAGAGCGAAGTATGGGATGACCCAGCACTAACTAGAGGTGGGAAACAATTCCTTTGCGTTCATAAGCTCACCAGGCTTTCTGCAACTCTGTTGGGCTAACTTCCATTACAGCCAGGGACAATGCGGCCACGGGCCACATTCTTCTTGACAATGACACAACCCTTGGAGATTTCGAAACATCTGATCAGCCAACTCTTCTTTCAGGAGAGTAGACATGACCTAAGGTTAACATGTTTGCTGACAAGTGACCAAGGCGAATTTGATGTCTCTGAACTTAATGTTGAATCAAACACAACACAACCCACAGACATCAGTCAGCCAATAGGCAGAGAGATTTCTCAGGATGACCCAACGTGGCAAGGCCTTCTTATTTCAGTCGACCAAACCACGTTGGCAGAGATTCGGATGCTCATCTCTCATTTCTCTTCTCATCTTGCTGACCTCCTCTCTCCAATATCCCCACCTGCTTGTAACATACACGCAAAAACTTCTCTTGATCGTGCTTTACTATGCTTTAGCCGTCTTAGCCTTCTTGGGGATGCGTGTATCGGTTCATGTGCTGTCATGTATAGCCTGCTAGCTCTGAGTGCGGCACACATGGATAGCGTCTACCAAGGAATAGGAGAGTCTCCTGATCTTCGCATCATTGGCCAAACCGAAAGGAATGAACGAGAGTGGTATTCAGCTGGCCAGAGGTATGCAAGGCTGGCAAGGAAATCTGTCGGTTATTTGCTTGCCAAGGAGCAACTGTCAAAACGGGAGCACAAGGATATGACTATTGCCCTTTTAAACATCTCCGTCACAGAAGTAGGGGACTTGTGTTCCAAAGCGAAGCTCTTGCGCTGACATCTTAGCAGGCAATATCGGACATCTATGGTCCATATCCCGAGCTATTAGGGCACTGCGTTGCGTCAATGTCGCGTCAATCCCGGAGGGACGATACTTCTATGCCGCATTCTGAAAGTCTACGATGCCTTGAGTATTTGTTGTTACAGAGCTGCGTACTCAATTACTCACTGCCCAATTCCCCTGGCCCAGAACTTTCATCCCAAGACGAACTCAACCTCCTCAAAGAATCGGAGGTATGGGGTTGGTTTGTGGTCTCAGGGGTAACCACTGATGCCGTAGCTGACCCAAAGACGGGTAGACTCTCTGCCACAGAGATTCGGAGGCTGACCGGGTCCGTTATTCCACCTTTACTACTACAACTGATTATTGATAATACCCTGTTGCTTCGAAGAAAGCAACAGTGGACGAGAACTCAAGAGGCAGAGATTGCCAACCTCGAAACAAGAATCTGCGATTGGACCGCGCAGTGCGAATATGGCGATGAAAACAGTTTGTTTGATTCAAACCAAGGCGAAGACACTGAGACTAGTTATACAAATGATGGCAGCGACTCCGAAGGTGAGGAGACAACGACCGTGTTGGCGTCAAACCGCCACGACCAGGTCTCTGGGGCGTCTCTCACACTTGCGTACCACACGGCTCTTTTGCTCTTATTCTTTTCTGTTACGAAACCAACAAACCCTTTACTCTTGAAACCTCTAAGACTCAAGCTTCTCAATCAATTGGAAGCATACGTCCAAGAAGTGGAAGAGACGGAGGCCCATGTCGGTGTTGCGTATGGAATGGTTTGGCCTTTGAAGGTTTTGGACATGGCTGGGCTGGGCAAGTCGAAAGCCAAAGAGGTTGATTCGTTGTGGAGGTTTGTTCGTGGAGGAGGGTGGAAGGTTACACGCCCTGATTGATGGTAGGATTGGATCTCATGGAAAAGGTGTTAGGGAGCTTGATATTTCTTGACGGTGACACTGTTGTTGATGTACTTTTCCTCCCTCAATGGTTCAAGACCTTGCTGAGCCAACGATTTGAGGGTGATGCTCGGAAAATACTGCGTTTCTTGTTATCACGACCAATGACCTCTTTTGAGGGCGTCATTGAGATGAACTATCCTCGGGATCTTGTCTTGTCACGGTGAACTATTGACATTGGCAAGGCTCAAACCTGCAACAGCTTGTTCAAAATTGGGACACTTAATTGAAATGAAGTTGAACTAAACTATCTGAAGGAGACACAGGCACTGGACACAGCGTTACCCCATTAAGCACCCTCTTCCTTGGCCTTTGATCCTAAAACGACGTGCTGATCCTCTGTATCGCGTGACGACGGCAACCCCTCAACAATTTCCCCACCAGTCTCTACTTCAAGCATAGTGGTACTGGTAAAGTCAACGGGGAAGAACCAGTGAAGGGCGAAGGCTACAAATGCAGCTTGAATGGCAAGTTAGTCATGTTGCAATACATGTATGAGGCTGGACTTACAAATGCAAAAGCCAAAGATGAATGTGAGATTGTAAAAGTTGGTGGCCCCTTGTGAGACCGAGATAGAAGGGTTAACAGAGGCGGCAAATCCAGGGAGACTACAGTGGGTTAGCTTTGGTGCCGAGGATACGTTGAGAAAGACTGACCTGGGCGCTGTGCCAATGAGCCAAGCTGCGACAGTCCTCCAGTTTACGCCTCGGTTGTACCAGTACAGAGACCTACTAGACCCTTCGAAAAGATCGGGAACATGGAACTTTCGTTTCTGGATGATGTAGTAGTTCACACATAGTATGCCAATCAGGGGCCCGATAAATACAGCGTAGGCACTCAAAACGGCTAGGAACCTATTCATGGTCAGCACCCAATAACGTCATGAATAGACTGGAAAGAGGGAAATTTACGTGGAACCACTAGCAAGTTGCTGCCATGGATTGGGAAGGACACTCAACGCCGCCAAGATGTATGCACCGCGTCTAAGATTGATGTACTTGGGTAGCAGACTGGCAACGTCCAACCCGCCTGCGAGGACATTTCCAGGCACACAGATGGAGAGCTGAGCGACGATAAAGGCAAAAGCGAGGAAGAATGTAGCTGCTCGGGTACCACTCTCGCTCGACTTGTTTGAACTCGAGTCCTGCATGGCGACAAGTAGTTGGTAGGGATCCCAGAGGGGAGCCCCATCACCATATCCTATAGAACAGGGTGAGTTGGGTTTCAGAGAAAAGGGTTGCAGAACTTACGCTTCTGAGTAGCTGCAGTCACGAGGATACCGCAGATGCCGGTAAAGGTAGTCGTGAGAACAAAAGAAGTAAACTGGCTTGATACGACCTGGCTTGGCCTCTGGGCGAATCTCGTATAGTCGTTCTGGTTGAGAATGCCTGCTGCAGCTGCACCGAGAACACTCATCATGCCACTGCAGATAGCCCAGCCAAGAGCAGAGCCCTTGAGGACGACGCTATCGTCAAACGCATCATTGAGGCTCTCTCCAGGTCCTTTTGTGCCAAGAGCCCAGCCCAAGAGAGCAACAAAGGCCACCAATGACAAACCGGCACCGGCATGAAAATAAAGACGGAGCTGGTGTGGCTTGAACCAAATAAAGACACAGCAGATGACGTTGAAGATGAAGTATCCCACAAACTCTGCGCTTGTGATGCCTATATTCTCGGGGAGTTTGTTCGGGATGCGTTGATCGAGGGTTGGCCAGATGGAACGGAGGCAGACAAAGACCATCTTGCCACCAATGACGGCCTGAACGCCATACCAGACGAGGGAGAGAAGGATTCGATTCAAGACGGGAAAGTAGGCACCATAAACACCTAGACAGTTAGCATCTGGGTCTTTTACTGAAGTCAATACATACCCCAAACAGAACGACTGATGACGGCATATCCGAGATGACTGACGGCTCCCGAGATGGAATTCAGGACGGTAAAGAAGCCAGTCACAAGAGAACCAGCCACGATGACAATGATGGCCTGCCACCAGTTGAGGCCAACGGCAAGAAGTGAAGCGCCAGTCTGGTAGGTGCTGATGTTGACGTTGACCAGGAACCAGAGCTCAAAGAATTGAAGCCATCCTACAGGTCATTAGTTGGTCGATTCACAAGTGGATGAATGGTCGTACCCCAGGTTTGACGCTCCAGTGGAACGGGCTTCAAGTCCTCATTCACCCATGGAGTAGATTCCTGCTCCCCCTCCGGTATTCGCAGCTTGTGTATGACACTGCGGGCCGTAGGCATGGTCGATGATGCAGCAGGGTAACGCGTGGGTCGCTTGCAGTTGGTAATGATGGATCCAGTTAGCTAATGGAAACAGTCTGGATGAAGAATGAAGCCTGAGTCGAGAAAGATATATTAAGTAACTGATGTAGGGTTTGTACGAGATCAAAAGCTAGCAAGTGTAGCCGAGTGATCTTGAACTAGTGGCGGAGGGAACTGTCATGCCCTGGTCCGATGCTCCACGTCGAGATTAGCTTCAACATTAGCCTAGTCCAAACTTGGTGGCCGGTGATAAGCGCTGACTCAAGGACAGGAATTCCTCGCCGATAGACTATGGAAAGTCTTGCCGATCTACTGACTCCCACAACGTCAGGGGACAAGTCTGGATTTGGACTGAATCGAGTTGAAGCGTCCCGGGAAGAGAACCGAGCGGCGGTACTTATTTAGGTGACCCCCTGATAAGATGAAAGAGATGTCAACAAACCAAGACAAATACTTATCATTATTCACACTCATTCATCATGACAAGCAAGATCTACCGAATTGGCGTCGATGTTGGCGGCACTAACACCGACTGTATCATCTTGGGTACGAGTGAGAGTGATTAAGCAGGCGCACGCTAATTGTTGATAGACCCCTCCAAGTCCAAGGAGTCAGACCGAGGTATTGTTTGTTCCGTCAAAGCGAGCACCACCCCTGATGTCACAAGCGGCATCAAGTCGGCAATCGCCAAGGCCCTGGAGCAGGGAAACATCCCAAGAGACGCTGTAGCTGCCGTCATGATTGGCACCACGATAGGACATGTCGATTGTCTCCCAAAGACTCGCGTTAACACGATCATAGCATTTTGTCAATGCTGTAGTCCAAGCCGACAGCCACAACCTCCGCAAGGTTGCCGTATTGAGGCTTTGTGGACCTTATACTCGCGAGGTGCCGTCGTTTTGCGACTTTCCTCCTGCTCTGGCGCGGATCATGAATGGATACACGGCATACCTTGATGGGGGTCTTGAAAGTGGGTGAACCTCAATACGTGGTGCTCAACACTAACAGTACAATCATAGTCGACGGACGTGACATTACCCCGTTGAGCGAAAGGCAAATACGGAATGAATGTGCCAAGATTCGAGAACTAGGCATCTCTGACATTGTTCTCGTCGGTGTATTCTCACCATTGGACACAAATGGTCGCCAAGAAGAAAAGGCTAAAGCCATTATTCTTGAAGAGATTCCTGGTGCTGATGTTGTCCTCTCAAGAGATAGTACGTGCCCCTATTTCGTTTCTCATGCCATGGACTAACAATATGTCTAAAAGTTGGAAACATTGGCTTCTTGGAGCGAGAGAATGCATCTATTCTCAACGCTTCCATCATCAAGTTTGCTCGTAAGACGATCGCTGGATTCGTGACTGCAATGAAGTCACTTGGCCTTTCGTCATGCCCCCTTCTCCTCACTCAGAATGATGGTACTCTTATCGATACAGAGACAGCCAAGAGGTGTCCCATCCGGACATTTTCTAGTGGACCTACGAACAGCATGTCTGGAGCGTCATACTTGGCTGACTTGGTCAGTGAGAGCAAAGGCCGTCAAGTGATTGTTGCCGACATTGGAGGAACGACGACAGATCTCTGCGCCCTGTAAGTCATATTCCTTGACGGCGGAACATGTACTTACGATTAATAGCTTGCCGTCTGGTTTTCCGCGGGAAGCAGGCGCCTGGGTCGAAGTCGGTGGCGTTCGCTGTGCCTTTCCCATGCCTGAAGTCCTGTGCCTTGGCCTTGGAGGTGGCACCAAAGTTCTTCATAATCCGGATGGTGGTGTCACTGTTGGCCCAGAGTCTGTCGGTCATCGTCTGCTCTCGGATGCGCTCGTGTTTGGTGGCACAACCTTGACGACTACCGATGTCGCTGTGGCCGAGGGCAAGGTGAACATTGGCGATGCCACACTGGTTAACCATCTCAAAGGTACAGATACGATTCAGAAGGCCCGTCAGCAGATCAAACAAATCCTAGAGCGTGGTGTCGACAGTATGAAGCTCTCTGCAGAAGATGCTGTTCTGGTTCTTGTCGGCGGTGGCAGTATCGTCCAGATGGATGAAGTCAAGGGCGTCGCCAAGATTATCCGACCCCCGTGAGTTTATTCCTCACCCGAGAACCACGCAGAAGCTAACTTAGCCAAGCCACTTCGATTGTGCAAACGCTGTCGGTGCGGCCATTGCCAAGGTCTCGGGTCAGATTGACACCATCGAGATACTTGAAGGAAGGGATGAACAGGAGATCATCGAGTCCACCAAGCAAAAGGCAATCGAGGCTGCCATCGAAGCTGGTGCAGATCGTGATACGGTCAAGATTGTGTCACTGGAGAACCTACCCCTCGAGTACAGCGCGGTCAAGGCAACTAGACTGATCATGAAGGCGGTAAGTCTATTATTCCCAAGGTCTGACGTGACTAACGAGACATTAGGCGGGCATGCTCAGAGTTGATGCCTTGCTGCAAGCGACTACTAAAAAGCCTAATGGTGTCTTTGAACCGACGGCAAACGGTCACAAACATGAGGTGGAACAGAAGTCTGACGACTATGCCACCAGCGCATCCGCCTCGATCAAGATTTCTGACTACAAACCGGAAGTCACCTCGGACGGAACATGGCTGGTTTCGGAAGTTGACTGTGAATTTCTGGCCACAGGTTGCAGTGTCGTTGCCTGTGGTGGCGGAGGACCTGGATACAACTGTTACCTGGCAGCCCGTGCAGCCTTGCGTCAAGGCAAGCAGATGCGGGTGGTTGATATCAGTACCATGCCAGATGATACTCTGGTGTTTGGAACCAGTACCTATGGGTATGTTTGCTGCTACTCTGGCTTTGTCCAAACTGACACTACACAGCGCTCCCGCCGTTGTATCCGAGCGACTGCCTAGCGGCACCGAGGCCATCGATGCCATCGACGGCGTTTTGCCGTACTTTGGAATCAATAAACCGGGTGCAGTGATCGCGGTAAGCCTGGCTGAGTTGTGCCATGATCTGATAACTGATGATGGATGTAGGACGAGATTGGTGGTATGAATGGCTTGCGACCGTTACTGACATCGATACACTATGATGTTGCTACAATTGACGGCGACTACATGGGCCGTGCATACCCACGCATCTACCATAGCACCACCTACAGTAAGTTGTTGTCTTATGTTAGCATCCCTCCTAACTTTGATCAGTCAATGGGCTCCCAATTGTCCCCTGCGCACAAGCAGATGGCATGGGGAACACAGTGGCCGTGTCTAAATGTGAAGACCCGGTTCGACTCGAAAAGCTGCAACGCAAGGCTGCCCTTGAGCTTGGACTCTTGAGCCAGATGTCCCAGTCTGGCATGCGAGTTGGTGATCTTAAGAAGTATGCTGTTCTAGGGTCAACGTCACTCGCCTGGCACATAGGCCGTGCCATCTACCAAGCGCGGCAGGAAAAGACAAGTATTGTCGACGCTATTGTAAGTACTTTCCATGAGAGATTGGACGGAACTAACGGCTTTCAGCTCCGAGCTCACCCTTGTGGACGCCTCTTGTACACCGGAAAGATTATTGACGTTCGTCGTTTTGTCTCTGATGGTGGATACACTGAGGGTTCCGTCCGACTTCGAGCTATTGGAGCAGAAGAACGCGAGGTAGGAGAGACTGTATTCACCGAGACCCGAGACATGGTGCTGCCATTCCAAAACGAGTACCTCTACGCAGCACTCCAGGATGGGAAGCAGGAAGAGGTGATCTGCACAGTTCCAGATCTCATCAGTCTCATCGGAATGGATGGATACGCTCTAGGAACTCAAGATATCAAGTACGGGCTCAGAGTCAACGTGATGGCGTTTGTGGGGCATCCCCATTGGTAGGTCATTCTAATGGCTGACTATTGGCTTTACTAACATGCTGATCCAGGTATACGGAGCGCGGTCTTGAGCTGGGAGGACCCAAGGACTTTGGATATAAGGATATGAAGAATGTGTCTGTAGCGCCGACTTATTATGACCCTCCTAGAGTTACAGACATGTTTCGACCAAGGTAACGAGAGAAAAGGAATAAATACCAGTTCGTACTGAGATGTGAGGCATAATAGAGAGAACAAAGTTAAGATTAACCCCTCAATTGGTGGGATACTCGTGTCTTCCTTAACAAGCCACCAAGCCATCTACCCGGAGTGACACACGTCTCATGCATTGCCGAATAATCTCAGTTTCACCGTGAGATACACGCCGGTCACACAGCCAGATGGCTTCTTATCTTGCTCGAATGTTTTGATAATGCACCTAAACCGTCTCCAACTCTCCCGCATGCCCATGTATCTCGTCAGATATGATCTCAATCCAAAAGAACACAAGTTCCCAGCCAGTCACTCAAGCCCTGACAAAAACAGCTTCAAATGTATCGGTCGGATGCACGCAGAGAGCTTTGAATAGAAGGATATCGGCCCCAGCCCCCTTTCAACTCGGAAGAGACATTCCAAGGTAAAAAAATGCTTTATCCCTCTTCCACCGATTTCACTGGTGAGGGTATACTCAACATAGACCTTTAGGTGGCTTGAATACGGCGGATAAAAGAAGAGTAAAAGCCCCGTATTTCTTGCGAGATGATGCAAGCCGCCTAAAGCGCTTCTGAAAGAGCCCGCGAGGACTACTCGAATGGGAATGACAATACCTGCATAGGTGTAACACGGAGTACTCTCACCGGGAAGCATGGTATTTGCCACCTGCCTCTAAGCAACCGGAGAATGTCATCTATGAAAATGTAGTCAAGACATGCTTAGGTCCATTAGCAGAACGTTAGATCTTGAGAGGTTCGCCATGGCGGTCGTTGGACACAGTTGCATTGCCAGGTTAGCTTCAGTGGCAAGACAAGGCTTTTTTCGCGATCCTGTTAGATCAGTTCTTGCCGCCCCTGCTTTGATCTAGGCCTAGGGAAGAGATCATAAGACCTAGGTGCAAACAGCGTTGGCACTGAAGATCGTCAGCGGTAGTCACATGGCGCCCAGCAGCGCCCGTTAGCGATTCCCATAACTAGACTAATCTTTCATCCAAAGAAGCATTTCTAGTATCTCGCCAGCCTAGTAGGGAGAAAAGGGCATGGTCAAGCCGCGATCTTCAAGGCTGTAACAATAAATTCCAAGATGAATGTAGCTGGTGCACACCACTCATCACAGTGTCCTTGCCAGCTGGAACAAACTTTGGAGTCCCAAGGCGGGATAGTTTCATCACCCACGGCCCAGGCCTGTTAGGAATGCGCCTCGTTGCGGCACCAGAGACAGATCCGTAGTCCTGGGCCCAATATGGTTCCCCAATCAGAGCCAAGCCAAAACATGCATGGCTACTTGTGGCTTTGGCAGATCTCGAACTTTTGAGATGCGGCGATCACTACTACGTTCATGCTGGATATTTGGCCAAGTCATTTGACCCCCTGTTGCCATGTCTCTCCGGCCTTGTGACCGTCCAGTCCCGAAGCCACGCCTTTCGAAGGTATCATGTGAAACAAGTTTATCAGAACCTGGAGCTGGACAACTCTCAGAAAACTCGACCATTCAATGTCTGGATTCACCACAGTTTAACTCATGAGCCTTGCGGCAGTGCCGAATCAATCCCTGATTTCTAGAACAGGGACACTCAGGAGAAGCTTTGCCTAGCCGTTGAAAACAGCAGTGGCTGTGCCTAGATCGCTCCCGTGAGAGACCACATCTGGACCGTTCCCCTGAAAGGTTGAGCGCCACAGATTTAAGCTTCTGATAGGGCTTGTTTGTCTCGCTGCTTTGGGCTTAGCAATCGCTTCGAAAATGCCCATCTCGACCAATTCCATCGTTATTGGCCACCACAACAATCTGCAGCAATCTATGGCGGTCTTGGTATTGAGAAGCATTTTTCAATATCTGAATAAATTCATCTGGTTTCTGCAACCCAAACTGGTCATCACTCAACTTCGTCCAAACCCACCCCAACATGCACTTCCCATCGGTTATCGCGACAGTCCTTTTGCTGCTCAGTCAGCCGGCTTCTGCCCAAAACATGACGGAAATCTGCGCTGCTGCCCCCGGCATCCAAGACTGTACAGGGTCGTTCAAAATTCCTGTTAAGGCTCAGCTGAAGACTTGCAGAACCAAGTACTATTCGGTATGTATAGCAGTTGACTACCAGATCATGGCTAACTTGAATGACAACAGATTGATCCCTGCAAGACCGAAAAGAGCTTTAGATACCCTTGCCCTATTTGGAGTGACCCGTTTAGAATGTGTGATGGCACGACTTGTGTTCCTGGTATGTTTATGCTTTGATGGCGGATCGGGCCCATCAACTCAAGGATGACTCTAACAAATTCTTAGGCACGGTTGAGAAATGGACAGATGCTCCTTGCGGAATCAACGTCATCACGAAAACTGTTTCCGTTTGTCAATCCATCCGAGATACGTTGGGCGGTGCCGGAAGCTCTTTTATTGACAAAGCCAACACCTTGTGCAACTGTCTCCCCCAAATGCTCTGGCTGGTCAACTCCGGGAGGTATGACAGCGCCTTTAGACCCGACGGTTTGCTCAAAGTTGAGTCCGATGTGGTTACCAATGTTATTCGGCTGCAAAATGTAAGCTTCTCTGGAGGTTTGTACCACAAGACTAACTCTTGTAGTGTTTCCTTGAAAAGGAACTCGGAGTCAAAGATAATCGAGCTGAAGTGTATGCCGAGAAACTCACTCCTAAGGATGGCTGGCTAATCTTTACCGCACCCGAGGTATGATTTCATCCCCCTAGAGTAAAACTTGCTCACAACTGGACAGATTACTTCCGCAACATATGCAGAGTTAGCCGTGGCTGTTTCCCCCTGCCTGACTGGTGTTGGGTGTAACCCAGTTGCTGTAACTGGCTTTTTTACGAGATATGTCAAATCTGCGGCACTCGGTATGGGCTTGCAAGTAGCAAACTTGCTTCTCAGCTGGGTAGAAACATTTGGCTCCATGAAGACGAAAGTCTCGACGATTATAGGTGCGACCAACACCATAAAAACATCCGTCGCTGCCCTTCCTGGCAAGGTAGACACAACCAAAAAGACTGTTTGCAAGGGAAAGCTCTGCTCCGGCCCTGGAGTGACTGCTTTTTTGAGCAAAGGTATGCATTGGCCAATCACTATAAATGAGTATTCACTGACTGTGGATAGTTAACAAAGCCATTACTGCTGCACAATCTCTGCAGAACATCCGACAGTCAGCTGACAAGGCGGCGAGCGCTATCCCAGAGATGATCAGTGTGGCCGACAAGGCTATCGAAGTGACCAAAAAGGTTCCGAATTCGAGCTTCTTCATGGACCTCATTGAAAGTGGTTCCTTCACAAAGGTTACAGACATGCTTGAATCCATACAGATTGTCAAGAAACTGCCAGAATCGGTTCAAGAACTTGAGGACAATGTTGGTCCTGTCCAAGAGCTCGTTTCCAAGTATGAGCCCCTTGTCAAAACAATTTCTGCAGTTGTCAAAGCAGTCACCTCATTCTCTTGGACTCCGTACGCCAAAGAACTTCAGGCAGATTCTTCGGGCAAGTTGAGGGGTTTGTTGACTGGACTTCAAAACACGATCCAATTGCAATTGGGCGAGTCACTTGATGATCTGTCAGCAGAAATCAAGAGCTTGAAAGATGCTTTGGCTACCCTTCCAGTCGGCAAAAGCAAATTCGATTACGACGCCGACGTGACCTTCTACAGTCGGTGGTCTGATGTCTCGGTACCTGCGCCATGCTCAAAGCAGAACAAGGCGAACTTTGCGCTCTCTGGATACAAGACCTCTTATAATTACCCCAGCTTTTACCGCTGCGATTATGGGCCTCAGCGAGTTCCGTGGCCCAGGCATTTTGTTCCATATATGAAGATTAAGATGAACTAGATAGAATAAATGACTTGGGGTTTGGTGTTCAGAACGTGGCTAAACCATAGACAAACCCATCATATTTACATTCTCCAGCCAAAACGCCATCTCCTCGGCACACCGTGCTACAGTCGCACCATCGAGGACTCTGTGATCTGCACTCCAGCTAAACACAGCCTGCTCCTTCTCAACCAGTTGCCTTGTTCCATCTTCGCCTGTCTCAAATGCAGGCACCTTTTGTGAACGTCCGATGGCCAGAATCATAACCATAGGGGACATGATAATTGGTGCCACTACTTGTCCTCCGATACTGCCGATGTTGCTCACCAGCATGGTTGCACCTTTCATGCTATCCGGGCTTAACCGACCCTCTCTCGCTAAAGCGCTTAGACGTTCGATTTCTGCCGCGAGAGAAATGATGGAATGGCCTTGGACGTGTTTAATGACGGGAACAACAAGTCCCTTTGGAGTATCCATGGCAATTCCGATGTTGTGAGATCCCTTCAAAGCTAGTTGAGGTTTCGCACCCGTCTCGTGTACCAAGGAAGAATTGAGCGTGGGATACTTGGTAACTGCTTGTGACAGAGCCTTGATAATGAATGGCAAAGGCGAAAGTTTCTTGGCATCATTTGCCGTGAGTTGGGCTAAAGCCTTGGGGTTGCTGAGAAACTTCTTGCGGAGTGACGTCAAATCTGTCACATTGACTGTTTGAGTGTAGAGGAAGTGAGGAATTGACAGAGATTGTGTCATGGAGTGGTACATCTGGTTCTGAACTGGGGTCAGAGGGACAATGACATCCTCTGGTGGCGTCGTGGTACGTGTCTGTTGAACCCCTGTCGAATCATGCGAGTGGCTCCTCGCTGCCATATGCTTTTGGACGTCTTCTTTCAAGACTCGTCCGCCCTTTCCAGTCCCTGTCACTTCTGAAAGGTCGATGTTGTGCTGTTTGAGTAGATGTCTCACAGAAGGCAACATGGTGCCACAGTTCTTAGGTGTTGAAGCAGGTTGGCTGTGATGTTCCGTCGCTGGGTCTGGAGTCGAGGGGGACGTAGTTTGTTCGGCCACGGCATCTAACTTCTGCGGTGGTTGGACAGATCCTGAAGATTCTACCTCCTCTGTGGGGGGACTGGAGGTTTTCGTGTCGTCGGCGGTAGGGCCATCGTTGTCGTCGACCTCGATATCCATGAGAGGCTTCAAGGAGTCAACACGATAACATCATGAGGACAGGCGGGTTTACTTACTGCACCAACTGCTGCCATATCATCCACTTCATAATTAATCTTCTTAATTGTTCCATCGTACCGAGAAGTGATCTGGGCTTCTATTAGCCATTGTTGGCCCCTAACAGATAATTCCTACCTCAACTGAAGCCTTGTCCGACTGAACCTCGCAAATAGGATCAAATTGCTGTACTTTGTCACCTGCTTTGACAAACCATTTGATGATCTGGCACTCGGTAATTCCTTGGGTATCATGTCAGCTCTCCTGAAAGGGCGTCTGCAATGGTTCAGGGGGACCTTACCTTCGCCAATATCGGCAAGAAGATATGGCTTCACCACATTGTGTGTAAGACTTGTGTGAAAGAAGCGCCCTGGTAGAGAAAGACTACCAGCCCTGTAGAGTGTGCCACGTTGTGTGATCAACCTTCCTGGGAGACTAGCAACAGAACGACGCAACATTTTGGCACTTGAACTAATTGACGATTGTAACCAAAGCAGAGTTGGAATATTTCCTCAATACATTAACAGAGCCAACTGAACCGATTATGACCACAATATCAGCATCCTCCGGAAGACCGAGCCAAGACTGACTTGAGCCGCCAAAATGCCACCACTAGCCGTCGGCACTTTTTTTAATCACCGTCTTTCAGGGGTCTAAGGATCGCGCAACTACCCGCGGGAATAACGTCTCGGGGAAGATATGAATGCCGTAGATTGTTTGATCCTATTACCGGTGCTCCGCTTATCGGAAGACATGGGAATTCGCATTGACATGTTGACATTGACATGACAGGTCCTTTTTAGCCGACGTGGCCCGCCTAAAGCCGAGCATGGCATTTGTAGGGCGTTCTTCACTTGTGGAATAAGTCGGGCTCAAGCCGTCTTGAAGTCCATCCTCGTAATATTTGCAGTTGGACTTCAACCTCACAAAATGACAGTCTTGATACGTCAATGCCGTGGCCACTTGGTGAATAGAGGGTTGGCAGCGTATTGTCGGACCCTCAACGCGCCAAGATCAACTCGATGGAGCTCAACATCTACTTTCACTCCCCAAGATGGCCAGTAAGTGTTATTCCGTACCTGTATCTTCCAGTTTGTTCAATTATTGACGATTGACTTTGTAGGCCACGATTCCCAGGCGCCATCAACAGCTCCTTTGTGCGGACAATGCAATGGACCGAACCAACTACGATCCCCACGATTCCGACGTACCGCATCATGAACTCTAATAGCATTATTGAAGATGAGAGCCAGGTCTCGTCCGAAGTAACACCCGAGCGAGTACTCGGATGGTACAAAAATATGCTCACAGGTATGTCTCCTCAAGATTGAGTAGCATATGCTAACCATCCTTGTAGTCAACATCATGGATGGCATTATGTTTGACGCACAGAGACACGGTCGTCTGAGCTTTTATATGGTAAGTATATCGCGGGTATGTAGCTCTTATACTTATACTATTAGGTCTCCCATGGTGAAGAAGCTCTCATGGTTGGATCTGCAGCTGCTTTGGATGCCGGCGACGTTATCACCACCCAGTACAGAGAACACGGCGTCTTTCTGCAGCGCGGATATGAGTTGAAAGACTTTATGTGCCAGCTAGCAGGCAATCACAATGATCCTGGAAAGGGACGTAACATGCCAGTTCACTATAGTGGAAAGAGCAAAGTTAATATTGTGAGTCTTGAAGTCAGCCCGTTTGACGAAGAGGCTGACCCCTTGTAGCACGCGGTAGCCTCTACCCTGGGCACACAAATACCCCATGCCACCGGCGCCGGATATGCCCTGAAGATGGAGGCCCTCGAGAACCCTGACCAGGCACCAAGAGTAGCAGTGTCGTACTTTGGCGAGGGTGCTGCGAGCGAGGGCGACTTCCATGGTGCACTTAACGTCGCTGCTACACAGGATGTTCCTGTCATCTTTATCTGTCGCAATAATGGCTTCGCTATATCGACCCCAACATCTCAACAATACCGTGGAGACGGAATTGCCGGCCGTGGAGCAGGCTACGGCATCGAGACTCTCCGTGTTGATGGTACCGATATCTTTGCCGTGTACCAGGCAACTAAGGAAGCCAGAAGGCGAGCTCTTGAAGGAGGCGGACGACCAATCCTCCTAGAATTCATGAGTTATCGTATTTCACACCATAGCACAAGCGACGACAGCTCAGCGTATCGCTCTAGCAGTGACGTGAGCTATTGGAAATCTGATGATCGCCATCCCGTCGCTCGGCTACGCAAGTGGTTAGAGCACCAGGGTGTGTGGGATCAGGCCCGAGACACGGAGCTACGGGCGCAGCTTCGTAAGGACATTATCCGGGAGCTTTCAGAGGCAGAGAAGGAAAAGAAGCCTGCGCTTCGTGCAATTTTCTCTGACGTCTACGCCGAGTTGACTGAGGAAGCTGAAGCACAGCGCCAGGAACTCAAGAGGATTATGCTCAAGTACCCTGAGGAGTACGATTTTGAGGAGCATGAGGGAGGAATCGAAGGTCTATAGTTGACATAAATTGTGTCCATGATCTCATTTTTGTTCAATTAGCCTTGTTTCACGGACGAATGCATCAATATCAATTTTTTCACTGTGTCGTCTTTGCAGGCTTTTACTTGCATCTAATCTACCTAAGCTGACAGTAAACTTGTAAACCCTCCTAACATATTCGCATAAAGCTCTATTGGCAGTTGTCCGAATGAATGATTCGTTGTAGTCCCTGTCCGGCCGCAAACTTGGGGTGTTGAGGACAAGCATTGCAGATGTGTCGAGAGGTTCACACTCAGGCCGCAGGCGATCAGTGCACGTCATGTAAAAAATGGTGAATAAATAATCTGACATTTACAAGCTATAGCTATGAATCGTACGCATTTTCAAAAGCCCAAAAGGTCGTAACAGCTATCAATACCACTCGCAGCCTGGCCTACTTCCCGCTTCACATTAATCCCACCTGATGGCTTACTCTAATAATCGTTACTCTCTAGAATTGCATCATATACCCCTGCGAGGTTTTGTTAGTGCAAGCATAGCAGAGAAAGAGGGACAACTTACTGGCAACATCTGGGAAGATATATTTCTCGTAAGCTAGCCCTGTGTGTGTTGTCCATCCCGCCACTCTCTTCACGGGTGCCTTCATTTTTAGTAGATTATGTTCCTGTATCGTAGCTGCAATCTCAGAGCCGACTCCAAAGTTCACCATACTCTCGTGGACTACCAGAGCACGCCCTGTCTTGGCAACGCTGTCGAGGATTGTCTGTCGGTCCCACGGGAAAATGGTTCGCAGATCAATGAGCTCGATGCTTAGTCCAGGACGGTCTCGCTCGGCAGCCTCAATAGCTGCCATGCAAGTGTACAATGGCCGTCCGTACGAGATGATTGTGACATCATTTCCGGGCTTAACAACCTCGGCTTTGCTAATAGGCAAGGTGTACGACTCGTCAGGAACTTCTTCGACCGCGGCTCGATACAGGATCTTGGGTTCCATGAAGATAATGGGATCTTTGGATTCGAGAATCGCTGAAAGAAGCAAACCCTTCGCTTGCGATGGGGATCGAGGCATTACGACTCTGAATCCGGGGACGTGGCCAAATAGAGACTCAGGCGATTGCGTGTGGTAGCTGATAAAACTCGGAGTCAGATCTGGGGCCGAGATATCGCCAATCTTCAAGCTAGACTTACAGCGCGCCGTGACCAACGCCACCACAAGGCATGCGGATAACGAGACCGCCAACGTTGCCACCTGTTTTACCTTCACGATATCGAAACTTGGCTGCCTCGTTGACGATCTGGTCAAAGGCTGGAAAGACGTAGTCGGCAAATTGAATCTCAACCACAGGCTTCATGCCCTCTGCAGCGGCACCAATGGCTGCACCAACAATACCCTGCTCGGTAATTGGAGTGTTGAAAACGCGATGTGGCCCAAAGTCATTCTGCAGACCAGATGTGCAACGAAAGACACCTCCAAAGGCCACATCCTCGCCGAAGCAAAGAACCTTGTTAGATGCGCCCAGGGCAGTACGCAACGCGTCGTTGACGGATTGGAACAAGTTCTTGCGTGTAGAGGGACCGTCGGTCGGAATGCCCGGGGTTTGGGAAAGGGTTTCTCGGTTGTGATGCAGTAGAGGAGTCTTTGCAAAATCGATGGGAACATTGAGTCTTCGTGGTTTGGCAGCCTGGGAAGCAAAGCGGCGGACGTGATTAAAGCCCATCTTGCTTCGAGACGCTCCAGAGATTGAAGCCATGTTGAAAGTGAATATTGGTCAAGATCAATTTGCACAAGAAAACATTAAGGAGCTTGGATGGTTTACCAAGCCCGTGGCGAGCGGCCTTGTAAGAGTACCCTATATCCATACTGTTGATTAGATTCCCTGTCACCATCCTGCATTTTTTCATCCTCGGTCCAAGTAATCGGACATGAAGGTGTCTCCGAATTACCTCTGTGCCCGGTTCGTGATGGTTACCGACGGTACTAATTCCAAACCCCGAGTCATCTGCTTTCGTGGCAGCCTTGGTATGTTGGGCCGATTATCGGTTGTAGATTTACAGATAACATGAGCTGTAGATGTAGATAGGGCGTAAATGACAAGCCGGGGAGAGTGTGCACACTCCGGAGATGACATGGGGTTAAGATTGCATCTGAGGCGAACAGTGACCCACCCGTGAGATTAGTCTGAAGGCTCGTCTGTGTTATTGGGGCCGACTAGTGGCTGTCATTATCTCGGGGAGATGTTTATGCCCCGAGAATCTTAGTTGACTCACCATCCCTTTCTAGGACTGCCCCGGCTCCGGAAGAGAGGAAGTTTATGAGCCTGTTACTAGCAAGCTCTCCTGGAGAGTGACATTTTTCGAGTCCATTTTCATTTTGCCGAGTGCATTCAGTCTTCTGACCTACAACTCTCATATTCACATTGACGCTTCAGTCGGCAATTCCGCTGTTCATTGGCCGCTTCACGTCGCCCACAGACATAGAGTACTGTTTCCGCAATGATCCCTGGCCGTTGGTCTAGAGTGGCGGCGCGCTCGCCAACCGCTTGGCCCTCGAAATGCCTTCTTCGGATGCGCACAATTACGACTCAAACAAGCAGTACCAGGAGCTCAAACAAGCGCGAAAGACGGGTATGCCACTCTAATCATCAAACCTAGAGATTGGAAAAAGTGTGCAAGACTCACTGCTAACTCTGAGCCCAGTCGTTTGAGAGTAAGCGAGCCTTGGCTTCCGAAGCAACGGCACAAGCAATCCCCCAATTCTACCATCCCCCAACCGAACACCATGTCGACTCTCTGGATGACTCGTAAGTAACACAAGGGATGGAAGGCTCTCCTGTGTTACAGCTAACCATGAACCTCAGATTCATTGGAATGTCTGGAGCGCAAATATTCCACGAGATGATGAAAAGACACAACGTTGAGTGTATTTGTGAGTCAACCTCCAGTCTCAAGTGTTTTCCTGGGCCTGCCACTAACAGGCATAGTTGGATACCCCGGAGGAGCCATTCTCCCTGTTTTTGATGCAATCTACCAGTCCGACTATTTCAAGTTCATCCTGCCCAAACATGAACAAGGAGCTGGACATATGGCTCAGGGCTATGCTAGAGCGTCCGGCAAGCCCGGTGTTGTGCTGGTCACATCAGGTCCGGGAGCCACCAACATGGTGACTCCGATGCAGGATGCGCTCTCTGATGGTACGCCGCTGGTCGTCTTTTCAGGACAAGTCCGAACGACCTCTCTTGGTAGCGACGCCTTCCAGGAAGCCGACACGATAGGCATAACGCGAGCTTGTACCAAGTGGAACGTGATGGTTAAGCACGTTGACGAATTGCCCCAGCGGATTAATGAGGCTTTTGAGATTGCTACCACAGGGAGACCTGGACCTGTTCTGGTTGATCTGCCACAAGATGTGACTGTCGGCATGTTGCAACGGGCGGTGGCTGCGAAGGCCCATGTGCCGTCAAGATCGATCCGACATCAGATGGCGGCAATGGCAAGGGATTATGAGCTTGAGATTGACCTCAAACGCGTTGCTCGTCTAATCAATCTTGCTCGCAAGCCAATCATTTACGCTGGGCAAGGCGTCATTCTCTCAGAAGGTGGTCCAGAACTGCTGAAGCAATTGGCCGACCGGTGTTCTATCCCTGTCACAACGTCACTGCAAGGCCTTGGCGCATTCGATGAACTCGACGACAAGGCCCTTCACATGCTGGGCCTACATGGAACAGCATACGCCAACATGTCGATTCAACATGCCGATCTCATCCTGGCCCTAGGTGCGCGTTTTGATGATCGAGTCACCATGAACGTTTCTAAATTTGCCCCTGCTGCTTACGCTGCGGAAAAAGAAGGAAGAGGAGGTATCGTTCATTTTGAGATGGTACCGAAAAACATCAACAAGGTTGTGCAAGCTACCGAGGCCGTAGAGGGCGACGTTGGGGCCAATCTAAAGCGACTATTGCCGTTACTCGATCACTGTGCACCAGAGAGCGAGAAGCGAAAAGACTGGCTGCAGCAAATTGATCAGTGGAAGAAGAGATGGCCCCTATCCAGCTTCGACCGCGAGTCCCGTCAAGGCCTCATCCAGCCGCAGGTCGTCATCGAGGAGCTGAATAAGCTTGTCGCACATCGGAAACAAGACATGTATGTCACCACTGGTGTCGGGCAACATCAGATGTGGGCGGCTCACCATTTACGGTGGTGGAAACCTCGCTCTATGATTACATCTGGTGGCCTCGGCACTATGGGCTTTGGGCTTCCAGCCGCGATTGGTGCCAAGATGGCAGATCCGGAAGCTCTAGTCATAGATATTGACGGCGACGCCTCATTCAGCATGACATTATCTGAGCTGTCCACGGCGGCGCAGTTCAATGTCGGCGTCAAAGTGTTGTTGCTCAACAACGAGGAGCAAGGCATGGTGACGCAGCTTCAGAACATCTACTACCAAGATCGCTACGCGCACACACATCAAGTCAACCCAGACTTTGTGACGCTTTCAGAGGCGATGCATGTGCAAGCTCGGCGAGTATCAGACCCAAAGGAGTTGGTAGAGGGTTTGGACTGGCTGGTTCATTCCGAGGGACCGGCCCTTCTTGAGGTGATAACAGACAAGAAGGTCTGCGTGTTTCCCACCGTCAAATCAGGGGGAGGGCTAGATGAGTTCATTGCATATGATGAAGGTAAGGCATCCATCCATTCATCTTAAGACCCCACTAACGGGTGTTTAGAACAAGAGAAACATCGAAGAGAGCTCATCCGTGAGCGGACGAGTGGCGTCCATGGCTGAGCCTGGACATATGGGTTGAGGATGAGGGGCCGGGAGGATATGTGTTTACGGATGCGCCTACACTTTAGATCTAACATGATGGCTCGGGAATTGCTACTGAAAAACGGGTAGGGGTTGGGTTCATTTACTCGGACGTCAAATAGCGATTGGGGGTGTTTTTATGGTCCTCTGGCAGTCTATCCTCGTATCAAGCCAAGAGCATTGAAGGAAGAAACCTTAACCTTTGTCCTTCTGTCCTAAGATGTGAGAGTGTATGCTTTAAATATCAGGACCTGGTTGGGAAAGGGCCTTTCCGGTGCTAATAATCAGACTAGTTCTTATAGCACTACCTCGCTGTATAAAGGTTTCAGGGCTTGTCTCTAGGCCTGGATTTGTTATGCCTGTTGAATATCTTAAACAGAAGAGTTGCTATGCTGCTTAGTTCCGTCGCAGTCGAGGCCTGACCTTTCGATATCCTCAGACTACGAAGGCCGTACTGTATATCTCCATTTGTAGACTAATACCAGCCAAACTGGCAAAAGGAGCTCGGGATTGCTAATGATTCCGTACTTTGCCGATAGTAAGTCATCTATAGAAGCAGAGGATTAGTCGGCTATTTTTTGAATCGGCATAAAATAAGTTCGGGGGTATTGTTATTACGCCGTAGTTCTGCCAAGTGGATGCAAGTCTCGGCGTCTTGTTTTTTGCCGAAGCCTGTGTGAACTGAAGCTACTTAAACCAAAACAGGTCAGAGACGTGTTTTATTAAAAAGATGTTTCTTCTTGAATAATTAAAAGAGCTGCACTTATGTCTGGGTCTTAAAGACGATTTAATAAGCTATACAAAGACATCTCGTGGGTAATAGAAATCCCACCAGAGAACAAACTGGTGTTCAGCTCCAATGTAAATAGCACTCTATAAAATAGTTTCTTTGCATGGAGACCTAAGCCTAACTCGGTAATACCTCCAATGCCCCTGCACCTCTCATTCCCGTCTCCTCTTCTCAACTCTGCTCTCTATCCTTCTGCATCCTCTCGGCCAGCTGCACAATGCCGCGATCTTCTGGTTCTAGCAGCGAGCGATGGCTTCATTCAGCCACCCCATCCTTGCCTCAGAAAAAATCTATTGCGTAAGATTGCACAACGACAAGACCCGCATCAAGCTGACTCCATTGACCAGCTGTCGCCCATGTCATGCCCGCAAGGTTCGATGTTCAGGACGTAAACCATGTAACAACTGCACTCACGAATCCGAATGCGTCTACCCAACGCGAGATCGTCAAGTTAGAGTCCACCAAAGGTAATCTCATCTGTTCGGCAGTTCCCTCCTATATCCACTCCCATCGGTGTTCTTTGTCATTCACCTAGGTTAAGTAGTGAAAATGCATCTAGAACTCCGCTAACATCACCAAGTTTCCTCGACCGGATTCTTCAGGAGAATGCAGAACTGCGTGCCCGTTTACCCCCGCCCGAGTCACCTCCCGTCAAATCTACACCGCCCCCGTCTCATCATGACCCGATGCCGAACGATGACGAAGATGCTGCTCAGAACCAGATCCTAGAGGAGAGTGACTGGTTTGCTCACACCAGGAGTTCCGACACACCCATCTGGATTGGTGAAATTGCTGACGCCGCGTTTGCCACTCGCTTTCGACAGTTTGCTTCCTCTTCCAAAGCGCCAAGTCATATCCCTCGCACTCAGTTTGCTTCTGATGATGCTATCCGTGGTCTCGCGGCCACCAACCCGCCATGGCCTTCACCCCCTTGCGCCAGACTCTTGATCGAGACAGCACTCCAGTTTCTAAGGCACAATTACCATATCGTTCGACGAAGCGAGGTGCTCGCTTTGAGCACAGGTGGTTTCGACCATTCCGGCCAAGGGACCAGCTCAGCCTCTGCCGCCAAGATGTGGGCGTTATTCGCCATCGGCGAACTCCGATCAAGCAAATGCCTAAATTTGAACAACAACTTCCCCGGCTTGGCTTACTTTGCGGTTGCCAGTGACACCATTCGTATCATCAACGAGAGGCCTCAACTAGAGGTTATCGAGACTCTGCTGCTTCTGGTGAGCCCTAAGCCTTTCCCAGCCAATCTCCTCGCTGACTCGTGCTTTTGGCTGTATACTCCCTCGAAACGAATCGCCGGCACTCAGCCTGCACATTTGTGGGCTCTGCCTTGCGGCTTGCGACCATCATGGGGCTCCATGTCAACATCGGGCATGCCTATGTTCCAGATCCCGACCCGAGGGAGCACCGTGTTCGAGTCTGGTGGTCAGTCTACATCCTTGACAGGTTCCTATCATCAAAGATTGGCCTACCACTTCTGATATCAGATGATGATATCTCGGTTGACATGCCATCGACGAACTCAACTCTCAACTTGGGAGACTTTGGTGATCATGTCCATTTTATGGCCGTGGTGCGACTTGCTAAAATCGCAGGCAACATCTCCAGATCACTCTATGTCCGTACACCTCAACGTGGGACATTCCTTCAGCGGGTGGAAAGGATTCGAGAGGAGCTTAGTCAGTGGAGAGACCAGCTTCCCGGACACATGAAGCATGATTTTACTAGTGGGAGTGACAGTGACATGTACTCTCAGCCTACCACGTCCCCTCTGCAACTCACATTCAACCAGGTAACTGCCCTTGAGCCTATTCTCTTCCACTGATGCATACCCAGATCCCTGTCTTTGAAATTTTTATGTATTGTTATTTGCTGACTGTTCTAGTTATTGATCCTAGCAACGAGACCAGTCCTGCTCTTTGTATTCCGTCGTCACATCGAAGGAAGCACCACGGCGACATCCGACAGCAGTCTTCCTAGCCATACATTAGAGATTGCTGATGCTTGCATTCACTCTGCCAGACAATCCTACCAATTACTGTCACAGTACTGGGTGAACGGCGACTTTCACGTCTTCAATTACTCTTATGTCCAACATCTCTTCTCCGCTGCCGTCATTCTTGCAATAGCTGGAGCTTTAGGTCGAGAAACTTCGCAGAACGACAACGATGAGTTCAACCTTGCAGCAGGCTTTCTTCAGCAACTGGAACAGAACGGCCATTTCGCCGCCATGGAGTTTTACTCTCATATTAAGGAGATTCGATCTACTTTGGAGAGATTGCATTCAATTGGTGGCTCCCTACTTTCATCCGAGAACTCTGGACCACAACCTTCAGTCCAGGCTTCCCAATTGACGTTCAGTGACCAGACCCTAACGGTGACCAGCTCATATGACGACCACGGCCTTCAGTTTGTGGACGATTTACCTCTTGATCTATCGTTTCTTGATGATTGGATATACGAAAATGCCCTCCAACAATTATGTTGGGAGGAACAGTTGCCTAGCCATGATTAGTTTTCGAGGAATATGAATTTTATAGCCTGATTTTACCTTTCGCCCCTGCTCCCTGTAAGGTATCCCTAGTGTGACCGTAAGGCGTCGTCTGCAATCAACCCGACTGATGACTGACTGGCAATTGGGTCTCAACGCTAGCATTCTATAGATAAGTGTTCCTTCATCCTTTACCAGGCACTCTATCTGTCTATGATAAGGAAAGCGGCGAATAGGGGTTAAACCAAGATCTCCCAGGGGCCTTTGATCACAAAATTGCGCACGAAGAGCGGGCAAAGGTCTACAAGTAGCGAAAAGATGTCTTTTGAGAAACAGAGGAGGAACCACTGCTCAAATGAATGTCTCCCATCTAAGCCCCTTTTCTCCGTTGCTGCATTACCCCTTTCGCTGCAGCGTGTGGTAACCAAGCTTCTCTCTTGCCTCAGCAATTGTGGACCCTTGAGATATCATTGATCTGATACCCTCCTCACTCTTCTCAATTGTCTTTGCAAGGGCAGCCACCTCACGAGCCCTGTCCCGAGGCACGATAACAACACCATTCGCATCAGCCACCACAATATCGCGAGGACTCACTCTCACGTTTCCCACGCCAATAGACTCATTAACTCCCCCAACTTGAACTCGGTCTTTGCCTGTACGCATCCATCGTCCGGCCGTAAATACCGGGTAGTTGTCGCTGATGGCACGATCGACATCGCGACACACACCATCAATGACAGTTCCCGCAATGCCTCGTAGGCCGGCGTATTGGGTCATAATATCTCCCCAGACCGTGCAGTCAGTGCGGCCTCCGTTGTCAATCACAACGAAATCTCCAGGAGCCACATCGTCGATGAAATCGCCCACACTTCCAGGGGGGTTGCTGGCGGGCACGTAACGCACAGTGAAAGCTGGCCCAACCGTGGTTTTTTGGTAGTTGGTCAGGGGCATGATCTTGAAGGCCTGTCCTGGAATGCCAAGCTTGTCGAGGGCATCCGAGACTCCAGGGGTATCAGAATCGGCAAACAAGGCGACAAGTTCTTGATCCTCAGGGTCGGGTTGCTTGGGGTTTCCCTTGGGCGTGTCGTTATTTGTCTGACCCTTGGACGCAATGGAATGGAATTGCTTATCATGCATGACCTCTGCCACTGAACGGCCAGCTCGGACTTCTTGAAGCATGTTGGTCTGACGACGATCAATGCGTTCTCCCAGATCCAGCACCTCCTCGATACGGTCGGCAGGCACAAAGACGGTTCCGCAATTATCAGCGATAACATAATCGTCTTGCTTCACCTTGATGCCTCGCATCTCAACCTCGGTTCCAGAGTCAATTTGGATGAGTCGATTTCGAGCACTGATCATGGTAACCCCACGACCAAAAACAGGGTAACCAATGTCCCGGCTACCATCGATGTCACGACTCATTCCATCAATGACAGAACCACGAATCTTCTTGGCTTTGGCTGCGTTGGCAATAATGTCTCCCCAACATGAGATACCCTCGGTGCCGCCGGCAATGACGAGTACACGGTCATCGGTTGTTACTGCGTCAATCACGGGCGTGATCAGATGCACAGTAGGTTGGCTGCCCTCAGTCTTGGGTCCAACTTTGATGGTGCTGGCGCGACCGACAATCTTGGGACAGTCCCAAAGGGGACGAAGACCATAAGTGGCTCCAGGGAGGCCAAGAAAGTCTAGCGCATCAGACACCGTGTTGGTGTCCAGCGCAGAAAGACGGTCGAGAGTGCTGGCTGTCATTGTGGACGAGGAGAATCGTATGTTTGTTGAAATTAGAGATGATAAGGCATAGAAGGGCAAATGTTTACAACCTATCATCAGCTTATATGTCAAACGAAACACATGAGATGGTTCCTGTATCGGGCAATGGAACATAGCCGAATAGTTCAGGTCGGTCAAAAGCAAGTGGCCGATTGGATCGGCGTTGACAACTAGACTTGGCCGAAAGTTCCACTTGCATTCCCGGCGAGCACCATAACTCGCCGCTCAGTTTATCGCAGGCGAAATTTTAAACGGCTACTTACCAAAGCCGTAGGCCGAGTTGAGTAGCCATTCTGCTACAATTCCCTCCATTCAAACATCCAGCTACCATGATGTTTCATGCGACGACGGGGATTCTTTCCAACAGCTATGATTCCACATGTCTTCAATCGATGCTTATAAGAGAAACTCCCAGCTTTTCTCGCAGTGGCTTTCAGGCATCTGTATTGTTTTATCCCCCTAACTTCTGTTGAATGACCTCCTTGCCTATTTGCTTTCACCAGCAACTAAACCAAGGATTTCACTTACTCCTGCAACAGGAAGGATTTATTGGTTGATAAGGCTCCTGGACTACCTTCACAACGCTACATTTCAAGTACTCGAAATGAATAAATCAATCATTCGTATGACTGGAATGCCGCAGCCAAACTCGCCGAGATATTTGAGAAACCTGACTGCATCAAGTTTCGCACGCTTAGAACCATCAACCTTCAGAGACATTAGGGTCAGGTTTCTCCAGTACTACACAGACGAGATATTTTAGTCATTTTTACTCTGCATTTACTCCTACTAAACTACCTTTAATCCACTGCCCAAGTGCCATACAAGACTTGTAGTTCTAGACCTTAACTTTGCTTATTCTGAACCCAGAATATCATGCAATGCGGCAGCAACGCTCTCCACATTGTTGCTTGTCACTAGGAAAACATCAGGAACTAGAACCATAAATATAAAGCAAAATACTTACATCCAGTCACAGACAACCTTCCCGACGGAAGGAGATAGATATGATGCTTCTCTCTCAACTCTACAACTTGAGCGCGAGAAAGTCCCGTCATTGAGAACATTCCAATCTTCAAACGTTAGCGCACTGCAAAATCTTCTGCATAGTCAGACTTACATCTGAAAGGAGGTGATTCCAAGATCCCCGCACCTTTCTGCGCTCAAGTCCTTGATACAAACTCAATCGCATCCTCTTCATGCGTTCACTCATTTCTACCAAATCCTCAAGCCACTGCTTGAAAAGAATTGGATTTCCAAGAATCTCAGCCACTATCCTGGCACCATAGGAAGGACAAGAGGTAATCTCAGCCCGCGAAACCTGAGTGAGTAATAGCGTCGTATTTGCTGCGGCTTTGGCGTCTAGAGCGACAACATGGAGAACCCCTATTCTCTCACTGTACAAGCCAAAGTTCTTCGAAAAGGACTGCGCAATAGCAAATTCCATATCAAAGCTGTCGTAAAAGTGAGTTATCGCAAAAGCATCTTGTTCCAGGTTTCCGGAAGCAAAACCTTGGCTGTGAAGGGTTAGCAGTCAATCAGACATGGATATTTGAAGGACTTACTACGCCATATCAAACACGGCAAACAGCCCAATCTTTTTGCAGATTTTGGCAACAATTTTCCATTGGCTCTCTGTAAGATCTGCCCCTGTCGGATTGTGTGCGCACGCATGAAGTATGACTACATCTCCTTTCCGGGCATCCTTGCGAAGGGTTTCTGTCATCCCTTCAAAGTCAACCTTGGATTTTTCCGCATCAAAGTATGGGTAGAATCGCTGTTGAACATCTGGGCCGGCGAGCTTCCAAATCTCCGTGTGGTTGATCCAACTCGGATTAGAGATCCACACCGTCTTGGGCTTCAGCCTGGTCGAGAGAAACAGGGCGGCAATGTGGTTAGCCCCTGTGCCAGAAACGGTTTGGATTGAGGCGACGCGCTTTAGGTCTCGAGTTTTGCCAAAAGCCAACTCCTGAGCGCCTCGAATCAAGCCTGGATGGCCACTCAGGGGTAGATGCTCATGGTTGAGGATGGGGTTCCCGTGTATTCGCTCCTTGGCCTACAACAGTCAGCCTGGTTCCAGTTCGGATTATCAGTCAGCACCGCACCTGTACGACCGATGGTAGAATCCACGGCTTTGCGTTCTCGTCGCGGTAAAACCCCGGACACAAATCAACCTTTTTCTCGCATGTGTCCGCTTCGTACGCGGCTACGAGGGAAAAGGCCGGGTCGGGCTGGATAGGGGGAAGCTTGTCGAGGTACGACATATCTGCGACTGATGAATGGGTGGCAGGCTATACACAGATGCAAGGTCGTATTGAGACAAGAGATGTGCAGGGCACTTATAGAGGGAAACGGCCATTATTGCGAATTCTCGAGGCCGAGCTGGGCAGGGAAAAGTAGGTATGGAGCTCGGCCACCAGCAGGACGCCGGTTCTCGGCTCGGCCTTGAGCAAGATGCCGAGCGGTAAAGCAGACCAAGAACAGCCGGTTTGTACTAGTTATTTATTAGCCAGCGGCTTGCGCAAGTGATTTATCAAACACGCACATTGTTTCCTGTAATTCTGTCTAATCCAGCGTTGCTCAACACTCAAGATGGACTACCAATCACCCCTCACAACCACCGTTCACAACCCGCAATTGCGCCTCCTAAATGCCCTCCGCGCCAATTCAGGGCCAATAATGACCTTTCTTGGACTTCCCTCCTCTCGTACGGCTCAATTAGTAGCCTCAACCAACCTGGATGGCATCATCATTGACTGTGAGCATGGACACATAAGCGACGATGCCATGCACAACTCAATCACTGCCATCTCTTCCCAAGGCGTCTCTCCGCTCGTTCGTATCAGGATGACCCATGCAGATCTAATCAAACGCGCCCTGGACGCCGGCGCTCACGGTATTGTCGTTCCCATGATCAATACTGTTGACGACGCCAGGGCTGTAGTTCAGAATGCCAAGTTTCCTCCTCAGGGTATAAGGGGGCAGGGTTCAACATTTCCTGGATTCGCACTTGGTATTGACATCCCAACATATATGAAGACAGCCAACGAGACTCTCATTACTTGTCTACAAATCGAGTCTAAACTGGGTGTTGAGAACGTTGATGCCATATGTGCAGTGTCCGGAGTCGGTAAGAACTCACCCTCCTCATGCTATCCAGTCGTCTAACAGAATAAGACATGCTATTCATCGGGCCTAATGATCTAGCCCTGTCAGTTCTCGGTTATGTCCCAGCCAAAGGAGATGAGCCTGAGTTCGTGGAGGCGATTGAAAAGATCGTCAATGCTGCCAAGAAGCATGGCAAATGGGTTGGCCGGTTATCGAATGATGGGGCTTCAGCGAAGAAGCATTTGGAAGCTTTTAATACCGTAGCATTGGGCTACGATGTTCGCGCCATTCAGAATTGGTATAGAACAGAGCTGCAAGCAGCGCGATCTTAGAATAGAATAATCCCATTTAGCTAAGCACTTCCGTCCTGATCCTTAAGAGGATGTTGTATAACAAACTTCTGGAATTTAACTTGACCCTCTCCCGATAAGCGGATGGCCTCGATTGCCTTCCTGGCATCATTAATGACGGTTATATTGGGGACACGGAATCCTGATCCATAGTTGACAGCTGCCCAATCAACTATGTTGACTAACCGTGACTCATACTCTGCACTCGCCGGCGTGAAGCCTATGGGAGGAGGCATGGGCAAGTCCCAGCCGCGAGCTGCAACGCACCACTGCCACTTGTACTTTGAGCCCACTATGGGGACAGTCGCAACACAAATCATTTCTGGTGAGCAATGCAGGGCTTCGCAGTGCCTCCACGAGGCGGATTCCCCAGTCGATCCCACGGTGTCGAAAACGTAAACCAGAGGTTGGCTCTGGGCATCGAGAACAGCCTGGATCTTGGCGACGACGTCATCGTCTGAGTAGTCAAAGCAATGAGTAGCTCCCATGCTTTTCAGGGCCCCATGATTTCGAGACGATGCTGTAGTGATAATAGGACTCAGTCCGGCCGACTTTGCGAGCTGGATGGCTGCGGAGCCGACTGCGCTGCCGCCCCCCCAGATCAGAATACCACCCTGTGCCCCCTGTTCACCATCGACCAGTGGCTTGAAGGGGATCTTCATTACATTGAACAACGCATCGGCAGCTGTGCGAAGGACCACGGACATGGCTGCTGCGTCGTGGCTTGGGAGAGAGGGCGGGCGCTTGGCGATAAGCGTGTTGCCCTCCACAAGCAGGCGTCCCTGGTGTGCACCAAACTCGGACCCAAAACCCACCCTTTTCGAGCCGTAAATGTATTCGCTTACAGCGTAGCGGAAGTTGGGCCCGGCTTTAAGCACCTCTCCACTGAATTCGTACCCGCAGACGTAGTCATTCAATCCAAGCAAGACACCATGCTTAACATCCGCAGGATTGACGCCGGAGTAATGTACTTGAACGAGAGCCTGGTTTTGGCCAGGTTCATACTCTGCGAGTATATCCCTGACGGAAAGACCGTTGTCGGGTCCAACGTAGATAGCTTTGTTGAGAGTACCCATGGTGACGGGAGGCTTTTGGTGCTGAAAACAGGAGCTCTATTGGCAAAAACGGAAGAGAAAGAAATTTAAAGGAGAACTAGGGACTCTGTGATATGCATTGTATCACCAGCGGTAGAACATACTTTATCTTGTGTTTCTCGGAGGCAGTCTTGTATTCCGGTGGGGGCCTCGGGTAATTCCTGACCTGGGCTGCGGGACCTGGCAGGGCCCCAACTCTCCTTGACTCTAGGCACCAACGTCAGAGATCTGGAAGCCAGGGTGGGTATGAGGACGGCATCGGGATCTGTGGGCGACGTGCAATTGTGGGAGTGGCCCCGAACTAGCGATGAGCTCATTACCAATGGTTCTTGGGCTGCCGACGACTCAGGGCCATCGGGAAGCCAGTCTAACAAGACAAGCAAGCTATCCCAAGATATAACCCACGGATCAAGGACCTGTTTGCACCAATTGCCGCCACGGTTCTATACCTGTAACTAAACTGACACTATTATCTCAACATGTCCAAACAAGCGCCTCGTATCCACAATGAGATTTATCCATTTCTTCATCCTGCCAAGTTCAGAAACTCTCTCCAAGGACAGGTAGTACTTATCACTGGTACGTCTCAGCACTGTAGGATCTGGGTTTCATATTGACGCTTCCTTCAGGTGCCGTCGGCACTATCGCAGGCGCCATAGCAGAATGTTTTGCCACAGCTGGTGCTACTCTCTTTCTGTCGGACATAAAGGATTCTCTGCCAGACTCTGTGAAGGAGAAGCTCATCAAACTTGGTGCCGCCGGGGTGCATTACTCTAAGCGCGATGTAGGCGCTCCAAATGACTGCGAAGGGCTAGTGAAAGAGGCATGTTGTATCAAGACTCGATATTGCCCAGGGGAGCTTAAGATAACATGTGGAAATAGGTTACCACTACGGTTGGCAATGTCGACGTTCTCATTAACGGGGCTGGCGTTGTTGGAGTCCGCGTGGTATGTGCCGTCGTCCGTCTTGCCTACATGACCAAGACTAATACGAAAGCCTATAGTTCCACAAGCAAGACCCTTCGCTGTTCTTTCGAGACATGGCAATCAACTTGAATGGCCCATTTATGCTGATGCGCCTGATCCTGCCCAGCTTTATCGAGAGGGGCCGCGGATGCGTAATCAATCTTGCTTCGAGGGCGGGTACTATAAACGTACCATTCAACATCAGCTACTCTACCAGCAAAGCAGCTCTCTTGAGGTTGACTAGCGCTCTCCAGGCTGAAGTTGACGAAGTTGCCCCATCATCCGACATCCAGCTTTATTCCATCCATCCTGGCGCGATACGCTCGGGTATGACGACAGCAGGTCAGATGGCATCTCCCCATGCCCACAGGCAGTCCAAACGCTAATGTCTATGACAGATGGCCAGAGAGATCCCTCTCTTGCCGAGTATCCATTTGTCGGTGCTCGCTTCGTGGAATGGAAGAAGAAGTTCACCGGGTCGCCGTATCTGGCCGGCATGGCGTCTGTGGCACTTGCTACAGGCATAGCGAAAGACGTCCTCAAAGGTAAATACTTTGACGTAGAGCAGGATCTTGAAGATGTACTCTCGCAGGGGGAACTGTTGAAGTCAGATCCGCTGCTGCACTCGTTGCACGTTCGGATGCTTGGAGAGCTGGAGCGGGAGGAGGGTGCAGTAGATAGAGAACCCGAGGAGCCGTTCACGTTTCCCGGCTTCTAGTTACTACTTTGATCGAAATTGATGGGTACTATGCCACTTTCTAAGCTTCTACGATGAATGAAATAGTGGATGCCCCCTCTCGCTAGCCCTGTCTGAAGTCCTGAAATGAAACTGAGACGTGCCACAAACGAAGAGTCGACGAAAAGAATTGTGATGCAATGGTTTCAGCTATTAATATTATTTGACTGCTAAGAATTTGTTTTGCTATTGCCCAGCCCATCTTTCTTTCCCTCGATATGTATCGCCGGGTCACCTTATCACTTCAAGTGGCCTTTTCAGGTAAGCCAAGCGAAATACGCGGACCATGCTGACCAGTCAAGAGTTAATATCAATATTGAGCTGAATACACGTTAAAAAATGCGTCGGTATCGGAGCTGGTATGCAAAATTTAATCACGGTTTGCTCATCTTTATCCTATGGAACCGCTAATGCTAGCTAGTGTTCATGAGATGTACTCCAAGTGACTCCCCATAAGACCTTGTGCCTAGTCATTTTGGCCGTTAAATCTAAAGCATCCCTCGTCATGTCTGCAACACGCTGACGGCGACTAGAACTTTGCCGCTTTCACGAGGTCCTGCGTCTGATACGAGCCTTGTACTGGGGCTTGACAAACCACCAGCATTCGTTGTCCCACGGCTTGTCTCTTGGCTCAAGCTCAATATCGAAATGTTGGACTATTTGGGGTATCGCTTTGGACATTTCCAAGATGCTGATGTTCTTGCCTATGCAGGATCGTGGGCCCGCTCCGAACTACAAGAGAAGAGTGGAGGATGTCAGCCAACATCTGTGCACCACACCGCAAGTCGTGAAGTGTCAAACAACAAGTGCCGGATGTACATACCGCAAATGACCCTGCAATCCTGATGCCTTCGCTCTCAGACTCCAGCCAACGCTCGGGTTGAAACGAGCTTGCGTTCTTGCCAAAAACATCCTGGTTGTGGTACAGAGCGTACGCGTTGACGCCCACCTCAACCTGCTTGGGTTAGTGAAACTGTCGCACTCATCAGTGGGTTGTGAGCTTGAACCTACTCCTTCAGGGAAGTACTGGCCTTCAATGACCACACCACCTTTTGGCACGATACGTGTTAACTGCGTGCCCACTCCCGGATGAAGTCGGAGCGCTTCCTTGATAACGGCTTGCAAGTATGGTAGTTCCTGGGCTTCTTGGAACTTAATGGGGTCTGACAACCTTCCCTCCCTGGTAGCCCTCTCGAGCTCCTCGCGGAGATGGCGTAACGTACGCGGGTTAGTATATACGTAGTAGATGATAGAGCTGAGGCTAATGGCTGTCGTATCGGAGCCCGCACCAATATTCATGGATAGGCAGAGCCGAGTCTCGGCCTCGGTGGCCTTGCCTTGTCTTTCTAGCTTAAGCATGGCGCTAAGAAAGGTAGTGTCCTCGTTTGTGTTGGCATCTGGCGATCCTTGCTTTTCCTTATATTGACGTATCTGCGCATCCACAAACGAGTCCAGGCCGTCCGATACCCCCCGCAAGCGAAGAAAGCTGGAAATTCGTACGACCCAAGGATGCAGACTGGGCAAAAGTCCCACAACCGCTGCATACCGCCAAATGGCATCAAGGTCTCGGCAGGCACCGTGCATATCTGTATTGGATTCCATCATGCCCATTGACTCGCCGACCTAACAGACCGGTTTCAGCGTAAGGACACAAGCTTATAGACATGAGTTCCTCAAGTGAAAGGATGGCTTACCGTAATAACTCCAATAACGTCAAATGCATAGAATTGGAGGAACTGGGGCACGTCAATGACCTCCCCTTGATCGCAAAATTTGAGAAGCTTCTCTCTGAGGATAAGTGTCTGGCCATCCACGGCACTTTCATATGACATCAGAGTCGACATAGTATAGAGCGATGCGAGCTGTCTCCGCATGGCCGCATGGCGGCTGTTATCTAATTCGTTGAGTAGGTTTTTAAATTGCGGCGATCCAAAAGGGTCGTAAAAGTGTGACTTGTGAAAAGCGTTGCCTATGCGATAGATGATCTTAACGGCTTCCGGGGTATTAAAGTCGTATCGATTAGGCGCTATCCGCACAATCGGGCCTAGTCAAAAAATGGATTCAGTACCGGTTTCAACTGTGGTCCAGGGCCCAAACTCATTGTTGACGGGGAAGGCTTACCATGTGTTTCATGTAGATCAATCATGATGTCGTGGATGTCCCCGGTGGTAACCTTGCGGACTTCCCAAAGCCTTGTTAGCCTCGCGAGAAAGGGCCCGGGGAGCTTTCGTAGGCTGGATAGGAAGAATGCATGGAACAGCCAGACGATGGTGTAGCAGATCTGCCCAAGAAGCAGAAGGTTGTTAAGGTCGGATAAGCTGCGGCTGCTATACAGCTCCCACATCTTGAGTCGAATAGCATCGATCAACATGTTGCAAGTGAAGGAGAATAAGAACTAATGGGTGCGGAGAATGGAATATTTGCACTGGCAACATCAGCCACGAGCCCTTCTTATGCCACCGGGAACCCGCATATGAACCACGAACTGTCTTATATAATGCCGCTCTGACAGGCTGGATAAAGACTACGTTGTATCCAATATGAAAATGACGTTTACTGTAACATCCTTATTCGCAACTCATCCACCCCACGACGATCTTGTCGGGAGGGGGAGCTACCAAGGTCTCTCCCGACGGGGCCACAACGGGGCTCGCAGTGGATCCTCGGAAATGGATGAGTCCACCGGCATTATTCATTACGACGAGTTGCATGCTCGCTCCTCGGGCAATGGCAATGTCCGTTACGGACAATTCAAATCATGACCCCATCTCGCTTCAACACCAGCTGAACTTCTCCAGGCAAAACAACAAGAACACATCATCACTTCACTTCGGTTCAGAACAAAATGGCGAGACAAATCAAGAACGTGGCTCTTGCGGGCGTAAGTTTGAAACGGTCACTCGGCTTTGCGCCACACCACCGCTAACCAGCCACTTGCAATACTAACTAGCCCAATGGAAACGTCGGATCAAACATCCTGAAAGCCCTCATCGAGGCGAACGTCTTCAACATCACCGTTCTTCTCCGTGAGCAAGCGTCGGCATTTCCCGACGGAATTACGGCCAAGGTGGTCGACTTCACGTCTGTCGACTCCCTAGCCGAGGCGGTCAAGGGCCAGGATGCAGTTATTGATGCAACCGTCGGCCCAAACCCCCGGGTCAGCCTTAACCTCATCGAAGCATCGCTAGCCAGTCAGATCTACCATTTCGTGCCGTCCGAGTTCACATCAGACCCCAATGACGTCAAAACCCGGGCTCTGCCGCTATTTCAGGGCAAACGGACGGTGCACGAATACATACAAAAGCTGGGCCGCGAGGAGAAGATTACTTTTACAATCCTTTCTACGGGAGCCTTCCTTGACTGGAACCTCAACAACGGCTTCATGTTTATTGACCTTGCCAACAAGGAGATCAACCTCATGAACGACGGTGAAATTGTGATTCCGTGGACTCTTCTGCCTGTAGCTGGGAAGGCCACTGTCAATGCACTTCTTCGTACGGACGAGACGGTGAACAAGACATGCTATGTCTATAACATCCAGAAGAGTCAAAAGGAGCTTGCAGAGCTCGCCAAGGAGGCCCTGGGTGACGATGGTTGGCAGACATAGAGGGTTAACATGGAAAAGGTGCTGGAGGAGGCGTTGCAGCAGTGGAGCAATGGCGACCGGAGTATGAAGGTCATCGGAGACTTCATCCGCTACTCGAACTCGACACCTGGCTTCTCGGGACGGTTTGAAAAGTGTGATAATGATGTCCTTGGCGTTAAGACCATGGGCGACGAGCAAGTAAAAGATCTAATTAAGGAGATTGCCCAGCGACTCAAGGGGTAAGAGTAGGCCTGGATTATCATAGGCGAGCTTGTTAGAATAGTTGTGTCTCTTAAAAGATAAGGCCACCTAGCTAAACCTATAGTTACCTTGCTATGTCATATCAATTGAGCAACCTGACCCGGAAGTGACCACTGATCTGGCTAATAAGTAAATGGCCAGATGCTGTACTTGGCTGTCTCCTCGGGCAGAGGCTGTGCCGGAGTATCAAGGAACTCTAGCTTCAGATAAGGAGCCAAGTCGCCGCCGTGTCGCTGGGCATAGGTCCAGCCATTTCCAAGCCACTTCAACTGGCTGACAGGCTTTCCGGACTCATCCTTCATATATTCGTACTCATAATCCTCCCAGCGAGGCGATCGAAACGTCTCAATGGCATGAAGAGCGCTGCCCGGCCACAAACCCGTTATCCGACCTCCCCTACCATTTTCGTTGCGGTACCAGCTACTACAGTCGTCAAGGTAGACCGTCTGAGGGAAATATTTGTCAATGTAGTCCGAGAACTCTTTGACCCGCTCTCGCTTGGCTTCCATTGCCTGGATATTATCCCTTTGCAGTTTGCGGATGCATCGAATGGTGTAATCCAGCTCAGCTTCAAGGATCATGGTCTGGCTCCCAGTGCCAACAAGTGAATTCGGACCCAGTATCATAAAGAAGTTTGGATACCCATCCATTGCAACGCTGAGATAGGTCTCGGGGTATGGCTCGAACCGCATCCCCATATCTACCGAACCGCGGCCAAGGATGGGGAACGGTGGTGCCTTGGCCGTCTTGAAGCCTGTAGCGCAGATCAAGACATCCAGATCCACATGTGTTTGATCCACAAGCTGGAGCCCTGTCGGCGTGACCCGTTCAATCCTTGTGCTGATGACCTGAACGTTGGGCTCCTGCAGAGCTTCTAGATAGCCGACCCCTGGGGTAAGCCTTCGGCACCCGACCGCAAAACTGGGCAGGATCAAATCTGCGAGCTCTGGGGCCTTGCCTAGCCTCTGACGCATATCGGCTTCGACGAGCTTCCTAGTTTCGTGCTGCATCTTAGAGTCGCGGAGAGTCAGGAAATGAACCGCATTGGCATCGCGTTCAACCTGTTTGCGGAATTCGTGGTAGTATTCATCGTCATTGAGAAGTCGCTCTCTCTGTTCTTTCGAGACTACAAAGAAAATATATCAGCCAAACAGCTTTTTTCATGATACACTTTAGCTAATAAGGCAGCAAGGACTAAGAACAGGTAGTGGGCAACATACACTTCGTACTCTCCATACCTAACTTCTCCATCGACTCGATCCCAAATGGGCGGCTGATCCACGTCTTGCTTCTGATAAACGTCTTCACTTGGGCCTGTGGCGCCTTCTGCAAGTGTGGGAGGATCTGAATAGCGCTGCTTCCGGCGCCAATCAAGCCAATCGTCTTGCCAGTCAAATCAACACTACATTATTAGAACAACCATGATGAGCAGAAGCTGGTGATTTACTGACTCTTTGTCCCATGTTGCGGAATGCATCAGCTTTCCTTGAAAGGTTTGCAGCCCCTCGATGTCTGGCCATTGAATGTCGTTCAAGTTGCCTCTAGCACTGATGACGACGTCGGCCTTGTCAACGAAGGTTCGCTGACTAATTGTTTCGCATACTGTGATATGCCTGTGCGAGCTTCTGTCAGTCAAGCTTCTCGGCGATCTCACTACTGGTGGAGGCGTCAATGCCTGGTTGAAGGAAGGTGTCTCACCATTTTCCTTCATCAGCCAGCCACTTGCATCCCAGAACCCGATGATTGCATTTGATGAATCGTTCTGCAGAGTAAGTCTTTGCAATTGACTTGAGATATCCGTGGATCTCTTCTGCGGAAGCGTAAAAGCCGCTCCAATCTCGGTTGGGGTTGTAGGAGTATTGGTACGAGTGTGCTGGGCCTGATCAGCATGGTTGTCCGTGTTGCAAATAGACTAATGAATGTTGTCCACCAGCTACAAGTACTCACCTGGAACATCACAAGCACAACCAGGATACCGATTCTCGTACCAAGTTCCTCCAATATCGGGGTTCTTCTCGTAGATGCTGAGGTCAACATTCTTCAGTCGCTGCGGGATTCTGATAGCAGCATTTATACCCGAAAAACCAGCCCCAATCACGACGACGCGAAGAGGGCGGAAGTTCTCGATCGGCACATCGTCAAGGTCATTGCTGATATGGACATGGCCTCCATTCAGCGAGTCCGTCCGGTGTATCTCAGCTGGGAGCGACGGGATAACAGTCATCGTGAGCAAATAGTCAGCGGAAATCGATAGACGTGAGAAAGTCAAACGGGCGGGTATGGTGAAGATGTACTACATAGTAAAGCAGTCCCAGTGTCTTGCTAAATAGAGTCACCGGAAATCTTTATAGAAGCAACACCACCCTGACTAGCTTGATGTGGTCGTGCATTGCACCTGGCACTCTTCTCGTGTGGTGCCATGGTTGCCCCGACCTGTCAACAACATAGAGCTGAGCAGTGTGGCTGACTCCTGGCCCCGAACGGCTTCCCGACGGGGGGTACCGAGCGCGGGGTGGGCCCGCGGCACGGGTGCAAATACTGGGGGGAATTCACAGTTCCGATTGGCCCTTCGGCATCAAGTGAATCATATCACATCAAATGTCTCCATTTACGGGCTCTTCGAGATCCGGATACTTGATCTGAGAAGCCGTGAGGCCTCTCTCACTGGAGAAAGCCGAGGCTAGATAACGAAAACAAACGCTGTACGCCCAATTTGTGGCCTCTATTATTGAGCGATATCTGCAGCTTTATCTTACTAGCTACCGTTGTGTGAAAGGTCAAAGCCGGCAGTTCTCAGAATTCCTTGAGACTTACAAGTAATAGCTTTCATTTTATTCACAAAATTCTCTTCCTCTATTAAACTCGTAGATCTTTGTCATATTATAGTTCATGGTGTTGGGAGGATGGAGATGATGGAGTAGGGGGAGCTTAACTGCTAAGAAGGAATCGTGTCATGAAGCCAGGAGGGGGGGGGCATAGAATTAGTTAAGGATAAAAGATGTTGCATTGAACTCTATATACACTATCATGTTCTTGTTTGTAGTTGAAGCCCGGCTCTCAATGAAATGACTGAGCCAGAAGACCTGAACTCTATGCACGATGCGGTACTCAACCTTGTTAATGAAAGTCACAGAACCGTAGCGCTCGGGTATTGTGTCTCTACTATGCATCTATCGATACCTCTACCAGGCTGACTTCATCCCCTAACGGCTATTCTAAGGTCTCATAGTTCTCCACCAACAGTTCTTTCCAAGGAGTTGAGACACAACTAATAAGATCCAATGGCTGTGCTGCACTACTACATCTCTTAACTCTGCTTACCGTGGTGTTGGACCTTATCCAGGATCTTCTGCACTCCTTCCGTCCACCTACTTCCACCTGCTACTGGCTCTGATCCTTTCTCTTTGCTGTCAACGCAGGTCCAGCTTTCGGGTTTCGCAGGGTCACCACTGGTATAGTGTATCTTGCGTGGGTAGAGACAGAGTTCCCTCTTGATGAGCGACCCGTCCGATGTTATTTCCGCAGGGAGGGTCTTGGGCGGAATGCCTTCTTCAACCCAAGCAACTAGGGCATTGATCGGGTCGACCGGCACGGGTCCGTTTCCAAAAGCGCAATGCTTCACACCGGGAGCCAAAAAGAGACGGAAGAACTCATCGGCGGCATCAGCGCCCCCAGCCATCTCCTCGACGCGCTCCCGGTACTGCACGATGCTCTTATAAGGAATCAGCTCGTCTAACATGCCGTGCCAAGATAGCAGCTTGTTACCAGCGTCCCGAAGACCAGACAAGTCTGGGTTGTTGGAGCCGAGAAGCCATCCGAATTGCAGTAGAGTTTGCGTGAAAAGCCAGGCGTACTCTCTTTGCCCAACTTGGGTGACATCATAGGCGAGGTCTCGTTGCAGGAATGCCTTGACCCAGCCAGTGGTGACGAAGAAGGGAGCCCCCACGCGCTGGCCAGTAGTAGGCGAAACCTTGGTGGCAGCAAGACCTGAAATCTGGCAGCTGGGTGGGATCCCAAACCACAGATTCTCACCATCTGGTGATGTGGGACCGGCAGTTATCTTAGCCACGATCGCTGCCGTTGCATTGTTGATGATGACCGACGAGTCATCGCATTGGATCGTTCGGCCGACGGCCTGGAACGGGTCAAACTTGCAGTCATCAATGCTCTGTATGATGCCGTCGGCCAGGCCGTCCAGTGCGTCACACTGCTCCAGAGCCAGGTCCATGAAGTAGTCAAGCTCGCAAGCCGAAGGATAGACACCTGCTTCCTTCATGACCACCTGCGGCCACAGGCTGGCCATCTGTAGCTCAGGAAAGTTCAGACCAGGTGCAGCAGCAAGGATGCCGTCGAAATCCTTCGGATATTGCTGGGCCACAGCCATCCCCTGCCTGCCACCGTTGGAACATCCGAGCCAGTAAGAGTGGTGAGGCTTGACTCCGTAGTATGCTTCGGTCACTGCCTTTCCCACGACTCCCATATCGTGGGCCGATCGGCCGGCAAAGTTGTGCAGCAGACCCCAGTTGATCGAGCCGTCCTCCTTGAGTGCCCAGGGCGTGGGATCGACGTCTGAATTAGGTCTTGCCCAGGCGTGACCGCCATCGGTTGAGGCGGCGGCAAACCCTTGCTCGATTGCTTGGCCCAGGCTTGGATTGAAGTTGCCAGATGCCCATCCGCCACCGCCTGTGGCCATGAAGCGTCCATTCCAGCTCGGCTGGGGAGGTAGCCAGACTGAAATGGTGGTAAGGTCCCCCAGGTCTGGGCGAGTGATCTTGACTGTGACGTTGCAAAAGTTCAGTCCTGGGATGTCGTGGTCCAGCACGTAAGGCATCTTAAACTTGGGTACTGTATGGTCTTTTCGCTCGGTTGCTGTGACAGAGAGAACCTTGAGGCCATCGAGCTCTGGCAGTTTGACTGGCGCACATGTGACTGCTTTTGCCTCGCCTGCAGACCCGGTGACGGCCTGCCATAATAGGAACGACGCCAGAATCGGCAACATGACTGTGGCTAGGAAGTCGTTCTGATAGAGAGAGAAGAAGACAGGGTGTAAGTGACCAAACAACGAGGGAAATAACCTTGAGCCGTTAAAGCGAGTATTCCAAAGGGATCTAGACAGCGACGTTCGTACAGCTGATATAGTAGATGAGTGAAGCTGTAGAATTACATTGTTGTCAAGGTTATTCGGCCAACCTGACGCATGGCCAATCATCGCCGCAACTCGAGATCCCCGGTTCCCCCACATCGGATTTGTCTTTCGGTCCCCGCTTCTCCGCTTCCCCGCTTCTTCCTTCGGCTGTCCGCCGGCAGCTAAACCGGACACGCGGCCCATCGTGCTTCAGGCTTCGCAGGGGAGGATACTTCTGCGACTTGAGAGATATTGAGATACTGTATTCTTCGGTCAAGCAATTTCACTTTGAGACCAGGTTTCGATCAAATAATATCACGTCTCAAAAGGTTACAAGCTTGTCTCTCTAGGGCGCGATGGCAAGTTATGAGGGGGCAGGTTTAAAGCGCCAAGGCTTAATGATTCGTTTACCATTACCTCTCTCGTAACATCGTTCTAAGGGATGCGCAATTCCAAAAGTCAGCCGCATGGCGAATTCGAGCACACCCATCATGTTCCTCCAACCGAGATGGTGGTTTATCCCACCTAAGCTTAGTGTCTCATCCTTTATACTGTCTCTTGGACATCTAGTTTGCGCCTATAAAGTATGATTAATATCCCCTCAAGCTGGTCCCACGGGCTCCGCAGTTCAAAAAGACTGAGAATTCTCAGCCGGGAGCCAGATATCTTTCCATCTTGAAGTCCCTTACCTTTGTAACAGCATACATCTATGAAAATGCCGACCAAGGAGATGCTCCAAGGTCTGAGCACCAGTGAGGGTGACGCAACCCACATGGAGCAAACTGTCGAGGATGAAAACATCGCTGTCAGTGCTCCAAAGCAACACATCCGTTCCGACATAGGGGCTTTACTTGTCTTTTCTGTAAGCCCTCAACCCCCTCAAGTTTCTCTCCCAAGACAAGCCTTGACACTTTTCTCAACAGTCGCTTTATTGCATCAATTTCTCTCAGCTGGCCATGATCGTCGGAGCAGGTGCAGTATGTACATGACACTCCTCCCCCTTCTTGTACGGGATCCGGCATACTCACAACATGTCAAGTATGCCCGCGACTTAGCTGCTGTAGTCGGTGGCAGCTCCAACATCACCTGGATGGTCCAGTCAATCACCATCGTCACCAGCGCACTGGGGCCTCCATTTTCTCAGGCGGCAGATTACTGGGGTAGAAAGTGGTTTCTTGTCTTGTCTACTGTCTGCGGGATGATTGGCTGCATCATCATCTCCCGCGCCGCATCCATGGGCATGGCGATTGGAGGAAGTGTCATCTGCGGATTGTCTTACGGCTCTCAGCCTCTCCTGGTTGCCGTGGCGTCTGAGATCGTGCCCCGTCGATACCGTGCCGTTGTGCAATCTGGCCTCGGCATTGCTACTGCAACAGGTGCTATATTTGGCCTCTTGGTTGGATCACGCCTTGTTGTGGAGTACCATGAAGGATTTCGAATCTTCTACTACATCACTGCCGGGATTCTCGCTTTTTCAGCACTCATGTGCGCTCTGCTTTACAACCCCCCTCCCAGACCACTGCAGACACTACCTCAGCGAGAGAAGCTACTCAGGGTATTTCTTCCTTCATATCTCCTTCAACTGTGCGGGCAAGACTAATTTCATGTACACTTAGCTTGATTGGGTTGCTTATGCATTCCTTGCGTCAGGCATTGTTCTCTTTTCCATGGCGCTCACTTGGGCGGACAACCCATGTCTGTCATTCACCAATGTCTTCCAGCTTAAACCCTATTCTAACTCCCATATCGCTGACAGATTCCTGGAGAGATGCTCGTGTCTCTGCCACGTTCGCGATATCATGCGTCTTGCTGCTAAGCCTCGGATTCCACCAGATAAAACTCAAAAAGGACGGTATGATACATCATCGTCTGTTCTCGTCAGTCCACTCAAATATGTCACGATCAGTTGGAGCTTGCCCTTACATTCCAATGCAGCAAGGATCGTAACTTCGCCATTGCCATATGGTGCATGTTTGTTGAAGGGATGGGTAAGTTGGCCAATCCTTGTCTCTCGTCCAAGTTTGCTGACGGCATTTCGCATTAGTCTTTTTGGTAAGCCATGAGGACGCGATTCACCTTGCATTCCACATCATCTCATTTCTTTTGTTAGGTCGTAAACAGTGCTTTTTCTTATCAGGTGTCTGCCTTGTACGAGACGGACCAATTCAAAATCGGACTGAGGTAAACCCCCATAGTAGCAAGCTCTGATACTGGGCGGCTTACATGCGTGCCTCTGCTCCAGTTTCTCCGTCACGTTCTTCGCGGCCATTGTGTCTTCCTTCGGCGTCGCTATCTACTCGTCTTTGATGAAAAGTATCCGAGCTCCATTAGCACTCTCGTTTGTGCTCTACATCCTCTTCGGTGGTAAGCCAGCATTCCAGCTTGTTTTTTTTTGTTGTTTTTTTTTGCTCAGGCATTATTTAACTACATCGCAGTCTTGATGGCAACAGCGAAGCTGTCCAGCAATATTGCTGTTACTTGGTGCTACCCGGTTATATTGGGTATCGGCTTTGCGTTGACCTTGACTACCGTAGTCACGGCAGCTCAGATGAGCGCCCCTCCTGAACTCATGTGAGTCGACCAGATATCGAGATTAGCACCATGCTATTCTAACACGCGTTCATTGGTGCCATTGCCAGCGGCTTGACCTTGTCTTTGCGGTCTCTTGGGGGCTCTGTAGCTCTTGCAATCTGTGAGTCGGCTGCACTTCTCAGGCCTCAGGTCGAGCGGATTTCTAACTCAATATTTCCAATTCTTCCTGGGCAGACAACGCAATCTTCAATTCAGCAATGAAGAAATACCTTGCTCCGTCTATTGCAGGAGCTGTGGTGCCGCTGGGTGTTGATCCAGACGACCTACCTCAACTGATACAGGGTCTCACTACCCAGGACCAGAAGCTTCTAGCGAGTATCCCCGGCATGACTCCACGAATTATGCAAGCGGCTGTTCATGCCCTAAAAGAGGCCTATCTCTCGTCTTTTCGTCGTGTCTGGATTGCACTCGCAGCCATGGCGTTTTGTGCTTTCATCCGTAAGTTGACTCAGAACGTGTGGCCATTTACTGTCAAGTCACTCGCTAATGAACCCTACCTCTCTAGCTGCATGTTTCGCGATCAACCCGAAGAAGGATTTCAGTAAAGACATTGATGCCCCTCTGGACGAGAAAATGGCAGAGGCGACAGTGGCTCAGGTTGAGTGATGCACGAGCTGGAAATCGTCATGGTGGATTATTGTCAGGCCCGAGACTCCATTTCTCCCAGTGATCAATGGGCCAATTTTTTTCCCACCCATAATTTTATAACTTTCACTCTTGATGCCCCTGACCTGCTTGGTAGCGTAAACAGACTTGGCCCCAGGGGTTAGCTGATGAATAGTAGATGAGGGATATGCTTTTTGTAATCGTAGCCAGTTTCCCTCTCAGACAAGGTCAATAGTTTAAGCACAATCAACGATGAACGCCATATGAAGAAAGTTAACCCACTAAGGTAATCTATCTACACCCTCTCGAGGCCTACAATGTGTGACGAGACGTAGAGACGTTTACTGAAACACGAAGAGTATTCTTAGAGCCTGGATTGCCCATTGGCAGTGATCAATTCCCTCCGGAAACCCTTTCAAGCACCTCTTTCCAATTACCACATTCCACGAATAGAGCCATCAGCGACCCGATGGGGGACGCAGGCTGACGCGTCAAAGCTTGTTTGCATGCCCTTCATCCAGGGTAGCGGACAACGGCTCCCTTGCTCACCTCTCACCCTCTTTCGCTCGTTTCCATGGGCCGGAACCGATTTCTTGGAGTACAAAGAGGCTTATGGGGAGCTTCGCAAGAGCGAGTAGGAATACCGCCAAAATGAAGCTAGTCAGAAGTACTTCTCTGCAGTGGTGCCAGGCCCTAGATTCATATCCTTGTTGACTGCCATGCGCAGGGATCTCGTTCCACATTTAACAGAGACTTCTCTTCTCACAAGAACGGGTAGGATAGCTCCCCGAGCTGGTCCAGTCCCCAGCGTGCCGTATACGTTTGAACCGGCGCCCCCACTTCGGCAACACAGGGGCCCATACAGCGAGCCCTCGTCGGCCTCGGAAGTCTGACAATTGTTCCTGCTTTGAGTGGCCAGGGGCGAATTGGGGTCATTGAATTTTAATATTGCCAAAACAGCCAATGTCTAATACTATTTTGCAAGCTGAAATACATATATCACCATCCCTTGAAGTGACACCTCAACCCCAGTTATCTCCCCGCGACACCACATTCTATTCCACCCACTATTGATAGAAGCTCTGACCATGTCATACTCCTACACGGCAGATTTATTGCCGTTTCTGTCCAAGCACTTACCAGCCCAAGTGAAACTAGGGCCTCTGTTTATCCTTCTCATAATCTTGACCTTTGTAACCAAGCAGCTCTTTGCTTCGTGGCAATGGCACAGAAAGTACAAACTACCGAGTAGAGTCCCCGGTCTGCCACTCCTAGGAAATACACTACAAGTCCAGTATCCGGCAGGCATGTGGTTCAAAGGGCTGGCGGAGAAGCATGGTGAAATGTGGGTGCTCACGTCGGGATATTTCAGGCTAGAAGAGAGCTGACTTATCGAGCAGGTTTACTATGCAGCTCGGCAGCAAGACATGGGTCTTTCTGAATTCATCCAGAGTGGTCGAAGACCTGCTGGAAAAGCGCTCTGCCATCTACTCATCACGCCCGCGATTCCCCATGGCACAGGAGCTCATGTCCGGTAACAATCGGTTCCTGCTTATGCCTTACGGCGAACGATGGAGGAAGATCCGAAAGATTATGCATCAGATCCTGAGCACCCGTCAGGCCAACAAGTTTCAGCCCTATCAAGACATCGAGTCACGCAAGTTGCTGCATAACTATCTCCGCAAACCCTAACTGTGGTTCCGTGCCAATCAGCTCTTCGCCAACTCGGTTATTCTCTCTGTCGTCCTAGGGAGGTCTTCTAATCTTGATGATCCTACACTTGTCGAGTTATTCGACTCAGCCCAGACCTTTTTGTGCAACATCGAGCCTGGAACGAACCCAGTTGATCTGTTCCACTGGCTGGCTAGTCTCCCATCGTGGATGCAATGGTGGCGCTCTTATGGCATGTCTGGGTTTGAGAACACAAGAAGGTAGTAGCTCGTCGACTTGTGCCGGCACTGGTACTAACTTGAGGAACCTAGGATTTATCTCCGAGAAGTCAACCTGATCAAGCAAAAGATCGCCGACGGGACAGCGAAACCATGCTTTGCTGTTGACTATTTGCAGGCCAAGGGGGACATCAACACCGACGATGACGAGCAGCTGTTTATTTTCGGCACGCTTATGGAGGCGGGAAGTGACACATCACGTATCGCCATCGGCCAATGCATTGCTTGTGCAGCGATCTATCCCGAGTGGGTTAAAAAAGCCAGGGCAGAGATGGATGCCGTGTGTGGAAACGCCGAGCGACTCACCAGCTTCGAGGATCGTGACAAGATGCCTTACATGACGGCAGCAGCCAAAGAAATTCTCCGCTGGCGACCCTTCATCCAAGGTGGCACACCTCGAGAGCTGATCCAAGACGATGAATATGAGGACTACAAGTTTCCAGCTGGCACTGTCTTCACATGGAACCCGTGGGCGATTGCTCTGAACCCGAAGGAATATGACGATCCTTTAACTTTCAAGCCAGAGCGGTTCCTTAACGATGATCTCAAGAACCCACTCAAGGGTCATTGGTCTTTTGGGGCCGGTGCATAACCTCCAATATCTGCTTCTATGTTCATTGGTTTGACTAACTATTCTTCAGGCCGCCGAGTATGCGCTGGATGGAATGTCGGTGACACAAACGTGTGGATAGCCAGTGCACGCTTGACATACTGCTTCGACTTTGAGCAGGTTCAGGTAAGTTCACATTGACTTCCTCTCCATGATCTTGAAGCACGACCGCCTAACGATAGACCAGGGCCAACCGATTGACACCTTCAACACCACCTGGGAGGTCCACAACCATCCGGCATTCCCCATTGAGATCAAGCCCCGCAGCCCAGAGCATGCTGCCCTCATCGAACGTGCATTCGCGGAGATTGTTGAGGACTGAGTGGCTAGCCAGTGATCCTTGCTCATGCTTGTGTTGGGTAGCGCGCGAAAGGAAAGACTGCTTAGCGTAGACGTACTACCCTCCAGCTTCTAAACAGGGTAGAGTATGACTTATTTACGTTGGCCGCAATGAGCTGAAACACAAACTCCGTACTGTCTGTAACGTGCTCGCCAGAGTAAAGATGTACATGAAAGAGATAACCATGACAAGCCCATCATCTCCTTTAAGCTGACACTTTGAGGAAGAACGAGAAGACTTAATGATGTTATCATGTCAGCTATTCATATATTCTCGCGTATACAAAATCTTCCAAGCTCAACAATATCGAGGCAAGGTTGAATCACAATGTTAGCAGCAGTCCACTCATGATTGAGACATAACATGTTTATTTGAGCCATCACGATCGCAAACACGCCAACTATTCACCTCTTGCATACCTCACGTTCCTGTCTCTGAATACTTCAACAAACTTCTTCTGCGCCAAGTCATCCAACTCTGACAAATCACCCAACGGCTTGATGGGATCCCTGTACACCACGCCCTTTGGCGTTGTTTCGCATACTTGTCCATTAAACCCCCTGTTGGAATCCATGTACTCGTCAAAGGCCTGAATTACAATCTCCATCGGTGTTATATGCTCCTTAGGAAAAGCTTCCAGAAAGGCTCTCGGGGGAAGTGGGGTGTTGACCATCATCGGGCAGATTGCATTGATGGTGATGTTGTGCTGTGCAGCCGGTCTCGCCAGTGACCGTGCCAGGGAGATAACGCCGGCCTTGGCAGCCGCATATTGCGGCATGCCAGCAGAGCCGTAGAGGCCCGCGGCACTGGACGTCATGATGATCTTGCCTCCTGGGTTTGGGTTACGGGATGCATAGTGGGCAAAGAGTTTGATGCCGTAGTAAACGCCAAGAAGGTCGATGTCAAAAGGAGACATGTTGGGCTTTCTCGGCAGAGTGGCTGGGTCGACCGAGTTGAAGATGTCGTCGCGGTCATCGATCCCAGCATTCAGGGCAGCCATATCCAACCTTCCCTTCCACTCAAAGGCTTGGGCAAAGGCGTCTACCTGCTGCTCCCAGGACGACACGTCTGCTTTGAGAAACAATGTTGAGTCGCCATGCTGATGGAATTGGCCAGGCGGCGGTTGAAGATCTATCATGGCAACATGCCATCCTTTGCCTAGGAGATGACGGGATAGTGCCAGTCCGATTCCAGAGCATCCACCAGTGATAAAGGCGACAGGGTTAGACATTTCATGAACAGTGTGGAGGCTTTGATGAAGAAATTGCGGAGGTACGGCGAGTTGCTACAGACAAACCTGTGGTTATTTATGCATTTAATACGCACACAGTGTGGCACTACCCAACCGGAGTGTTGGTTACAAAGAATGCATCCTCGGGCAGAGTGACTTCGGATAAAAGTCCACTTTGTCCCGCGAGACTTTGGCATCCATACAATCAGCCCCGATCTCCCGAACGGTCCCAGCGCTTTCCCGGTTCCACAAGCACATTTTGGACGAGCTTGCTATTCTATTTGGAATGAAAGATGTTGCATACCAGTGTTAAGATCTCTGAGATATTCTAGTTAGTACTGGCCGAATAACCTATTCAATCCTTCATCTTTGCTGTTCTCTAAACACTATCTACCCGGTACAAGATTACAGGTCCATAATTATGCATCCTTGGAGAGAGTGACGTAGGCTAGACCTAGCCGAAGTGGACCACCTCGGCTTGATAGTACCCTGGCCTGCGGGGAATAAAAACACTGAGCTGACGATACAAGGTAGTCTAGGTTTTTTTCTCTAGCCTCGTCAACGTTTGCACGAGCCCTGATGTCGCCAACCTCTAGAGAAGGAGCAAAGGCAGCTGCGGTAGGCCTTTCATTTATGCACAAGGTCCTACAATATAGTGAAAACAGAATGCTCCAAAAAAGCCATTGTGACCAAGGGAGTAAGAGTAGACATGCAAATAATTTGTATTTGTAAGACTACCTTGGTCATGTCTTGCTCAATATCCTTGTCAAGCACCTTCCAGAAGCCACTTTGCGTCGTCAACCATTTGTTGGCGAAACAGGACGGAAGACTTGATCTGCGGCAGATTCCAGAACGCATGTGGCCACCCTGAAAAGACTGTAATTTTCGTTTCCACCCCGAGTCGCTTCAGTTTCTCCTCAAACAGTAGCTCGCCGTCTCTCAATGGGTCGGCACCGCACACGTGGAATGCCATGCGAGGGAGTTGCTGCAGTACCGTATCAGGTAGTAGAAACGGTGACACATAGGGCGAGTCCGGATCTGCCTCCAAGAGTGAATGTAGGTATTCAAGTCGCGCCATTGGCAGCAGAGGCGCGTTGGCGTTCTGCTCAAATGAGGAGAAGGCGTCCTTGACCAAATGGCGCGGGAAACGCGTCCAGTGTATAGGGCTCGGTAAGGAAGCGTTGATGCCTTTGATACGATGCGTAGCCTAGGTGAAGCAAGAAGGTATTAGTCGCGTCACAACACCTTCAATGAGGATAAGGGGGCTTAATGTCATGCAGGAATAATTGATGTCACAGCCTTTTTTTTTTTTTTTTTTTGTTACACTCACCTGCTCTATTTCTCGTACTGCGCTCGCAACGGATAGTGTTCCCCCAGCACTAACACCACCGACAACAACTTTATCTGGGCTGATCCCATACTCCTCCAGTCGATCGAGATTGAGGATCCAGTCGATAGCATCAAAGACGTCGTAGTATTGCGTTGGAAATGTCCATTCAGGTGTATGGCGATAGTCCACGCTTAATACAACACAGTCTAGACTGATAGCGAGCAGACGACAGTGTACATCTTCAGTGTCAAGGCTACCAAAAAGCCATCCGCCTCCGTGAAGGTATATATAAAGGCCTCTGTCGCTGGGCACTGCAGTGGCAGACTTGGGGTCGGGAAAGTAGAGACGGACTGCAATGCTATTGCCGTCCCTGGTAAAGATAGAGAGATCACAAGTTGAAACCCCTTCTGTGAAATTCCGCAATCATAACGAGTTAACAAAAATTCATAGAATGGCAAGACCACAAAAGCACATTGCTCGAAAGAAGCAAAAGTTGGGTTACGGTTCATCTTTTGACCGAGACACGTAGAAACCTCACCAAACATCGGGCTGGGAGCTTACCAATAGGTCCGAGCACTCTATTGAAGAGCTCAGTGCGGGAACGGTTGGCAAACTCTTTGGCAAGCGCCAAATCCTTGGGGACAGTGGGAGATGTAAAGGTTCTAGAGAATTCAACCCATTCAGGATCAAGTTCAGCATGATGCATATAGTCGGCCATACCAGCTTGTAGGTTTGGCCTCGGCAATGTAAAATGAAGAACAAATAGCCGACAAACAGTAGAACGGATTAGAGACAAGGTTACAAAATGCAGAAGACGAAGTCGATAGCCTAGTCAAGTGTCAGGTCTTGGAGGCTTGTCGGGAGCCCTGTCAAGTTGTCACGCCATGAGTCACGGCATTCCGAGGAGCGAGCTCCCCCACCGGGTCGCAGACTCCAACTTCCGGGCTTCGGGGCCGCACATAGCATCGACCTGGCACATACTCGTATTAGATCGCAACCACGTATAACTAAGGTGGTTGGATGAACTAGGTAAATGGTGTGGTCTTCCAAGAGAATAAGCAATTTCTACAAACGAAAGGACATTTGATATCAAACCGTCAAGATGCCGACAACCAACTTCAAGCGCCCTGATACATATGAGTACAAGAACGGACTCCAGTCGTACCATGAGTGAGACTGCAACTGGTTGTCCAAGATCTCCGGCTGACGCAAAATTCAGGACCGAAGCCATCGCAGGTGCACTCCCAATAAGCCAGAATTCTCCCCAAAAGCCTGCCTACGGCCTCTACGCCGAGAAGATCTCCGGCACTGCGTTCACAGTGCCCAGAGTCGACAACCAGCAGACATGGGTCTATCGAATTCTTCCCTCAGCCTCTCACGAGGATTACGAAGACTTTGTTGTTGCCGACAGTTCAGGCCCGGTAACAGCTCATAACTCAGAACTTCACTATTTGCCAAATCAATTCCGCTTCGACCCATTCGACATTGAGGATACAGACTGGATTGGTGGTACGCGACGCGTTGCCGGCTGTGGCGAGCCTCGAACTAAGACTGGCTTCAGCATCAACGCGTTCAGCGCTACAAGAGACATGCCCCCGAAGCAGGCTTATCACTCGGCTGATGGGGACATGCTAGTTGTCCTTCAGAGTGGCGTGCTAGATGTTCAGACTGAGCTGGGCAAGCTACTCGTTCGGCCTAATGAAATCCTCGTCATCCCACGAGGTATTCGGCACCGGGTCACATTGCCAGACGGTCCCGTTCGGGGTTACACGCTTGAATTATATCAGGGGCACTTTAAGCTTCCCGAACTTGGTTTCATGGGCTCCAACGCTCTGGCCAATGCCCGCGACTTCCAGGTTCCCTTGGCCTTTTACGAGGAAGATACCACCTCTGAATGGACCATCGTCTCCAAGTTCAACGAGAAGCTTTACCAACTTCGTCAAGACCACAGCGCGTTTGACATAGTGGCATGGCATGGGTTGTACTATCCCTACAAGTACGATCTTGGGCGCTTTAATGTCATGGGGAGCATCAGTTACGACCACCCGGACCCTAGCATCTATACCGTCTTGACAGCCCCCTCTGACTCTCCCGGGACGTCTGTCTGTGACCTGGCCATCTTTGCGCCCCGTTGGCTTGTGCAAGAGGATACGTTCCGACCGCCGTTCTACCACCGCAACACAATGGCCGAATTTGCGAGTCTTATTCAGGGAGAATATGACGCATCGAAAGACGGCCGAGTCAAACCGGGTTCCGCTACGATCCACAACGTCATGTCTGGACACGGACCCGACAGCGAGACCTTTGAACAGGCCTTTAATGCCGAGCTGAAGCCCGTCAAGGTGGGCACGTCAAGCATGGCGTTCATGTTCGAGACGTCCATGATGATGGGTGTGACTGAGTGGGCCTTGAAGCACAGCAAAAAGCGACAGATGGATTACCAAAAGACCAAGTGGCAGCCGCTAAAGGTGCGGTTCAAGGCGCCTGCTTCGACGTAGGACGCTTGCGTTCAAGTTAAGCAGGTGTGGAAAACATTGAGTCAAGTCTCCAGCTCACGACTCCTTTAATCATGTTCTCCTTCCTATCGTGCCATTCTCTTGTTATAAAGTCTCCTAGCAAGATCTTTAGGCGAGCGTGGGACTATCGTGTAGTTAAATACATTTGTGATACACAATCAATCGGATAGCACATCGAGATAACTTTCGGCACCTTGTAGCAGGGTTAATCATATTTGGTCATCGGCAATATCAAATCCTCCCTACTCTGGTATGCTCTCAGTGCCACTCAACCTGCCTAGGGTCAAGGCAGTCAACATTAAAGCTACCGTAAATATGCTAACACAAGCTACATCAGAAGGTTGCATAAATCAGCAGCGTAATGAATGCTTTCAGCGGCTCGCCCTAGCCGATCCATCAAACGAGTTAGATTGTCCACGAGGCTAGGACACTCCCGCTGGCACGTGGTTCTGTAGGTCTCCCAAAGCAAGCTCGCAATAGTTGCCATGATGGTTGGAGTCTGCGAGATGTGGATCCGTATGGGCTGCATGTCCCCAGTATGACAAGTAATGGCCGCCTTAGCTCCAGACATCAGGAGAAATCGCTGGACTGCGGGGGTATCACCACCATCCATCAATGCTAGGGGCTCGCCTCCCACATGAAGACCCTGCAGCTGCTGTTGACTGGTGGATAGAATCGAGTACACCCATAGAGTCAGGCTTGCATGGTAGACTGCAATGACCGTGGACGCTCGCAGTGTTGGGTTGAGCTCCTGCCGGCCGGCTCTGATGATCTGGCCAGCATGCCAGATTGCTTGGCGAGAGGCACGGGCACTCACCCAGACGTTAAGCAACTGCAGAACGCGACGAGCTTCGGTCTCTCCAGCCTTTCCGGCGAGATATTGCACGTCCTCCAAGGATATGCAAAGGTGCATGAGTTGTTGCTCGTGCAGGATCTGCAAAGATGGTTCCATAGACCCGTTCAATTGTATGTGGATGCTCTTGAAGGCCTCAAGCGCCTCCCGCGTCTCTTGCTGCAGTGATTGTATGATTAGTGCGTTGTTTGCATGCATGGAATCGGGAGCAATGTTGCGAGCATTGACTCGGTCCTTGTATTGCCACACGTGGAGCCATAAGCCTGAGAGAATGGCGAGAGCCGTGCATCTGGCGTCATGGACATCGCCCAGTTGCAAAAGTGGGCTAAAGTTTGCGCAGCAGGACCGCAGTAAGGGCAAAGATGAAAGGTTCTGGTTCTCAAGGGCAAAGTAGGCCGACCGCCAGTCTTCGGCCGAGGAGGCGTCCCATAACGATCTCGCTGCTGGCAGCGGAATTGACATTTCGATGAAGGTGACGAGAGGTGGCGTTAAAAGGGCCAGAGAGAATTGCGTGAAAAGATGCAGCAGATGGATTGCAAGCCTATAAAGAGCCCGAGTAAGTATAGGTGTCTATAAGATGGACGGTTCAATGGAATTAGGCTCACCTTTTCCTGGATTCGTGGTCTACCCACATTCGCCACTTCAAATCGAGCACATCGGAGCTATCATCGGCATGTGGCAAAGGGCCCTTGAAAGAATCTAGTTGAAGGTATCCTGCTCTCCGTGCCATCTAGGCGACTGTTAATCTTTGGCTGATGGTATATCGTGTTGCAGATGTACCAACCGTCATCAAGGAGCTGGAAAAGGCTTCACACATTTCCAACCTCCTGCTATCGCCGCTCCACAAGCCGGCTTCGATAGTGAGGACATAGGACTGTATGGGGGCGATCAAGCGCGTATTCCGGCCGTTACTTGAGAACTTGGCGCCAGTGGTTAGCGTAGCACTTTGATTAGCACAATGAGAACCCAGTTTTTACCATTCGAAGGTTCAGCTCCAGGTGGAGCTCAAGCAAGGCAAGGCCAAGCTTCCAGAACAATGCATGGCCGCAGCGGAATGCCCCCGAGATGACAAGGCCAATCACGAGTTGTGGACAGGCAAGGTTGGGATCAAATGTAGCCTGATGTATCCAGGAGTCTGGCTCTTCGCCGCGCCGCTGGAGATCCCTTGACAGTAAGTAGTCCAGAGTAGCCGCGGACGGGAAAGTTGAGAGGACGCGCTCATAATTAGCTTCGCCGGCAACAGACAACAACGCACTAAGAAGTCGATGCCTGGTGGATGAAAGGATTCGGGGGCACACGTAGGTCTGAGGGTTCTGTGCGGTAGTTTCAGAAACCAGATCGTCGAGGCATGGTATGAGTTCTGTTGTCTGGCTTCGCCAATGCTCCCCCTCTCTTGGTGTCCAGGACCATAGAGATTGCTTGAAGTCGATCTCGGCGCCGGATAAGGTACCATATCCTCGCAGGCTGGCAGGCCTCGGGCTATGTAGGGCCTCTTGCCTGAATGGCGCAGGTAGCTGCCACGGATTCTCACTAGGAAAATCATGGTCCATGGAGGAGAGTGTATCCCATCCACTGAAGTTGAGGATATCCTTGAGCGCCGGGTCCATGGAACCTGCGGAATCTGACTCCATGTCGTTGTTGGCCCCGCCAGGCTGTATTATCTCCTTGAGAAAATCCGCAAAAATATCAGCATCATCCGTGAGAAGTTCTTTATAATCGTTTCATGTTAGCGTATAGTAAGCACACGGAGTATCAGGCTCTGAATGCGTACCTGTGTCGAAGGACGTCGGACTGAAAATTTGCCTGGTCGTATCTGAGTGGGAAACCGAGTGTGCTTGTGAAGCTGGGAGGTCAACTTGATTTGCGCAAGAGGTATCAGACGCATCCACAAAGGCTTCCTCCGAAGGCATTCCTATGGATTCTTCTCTTTCAGCCGAGGGACATGCAGGTTCCTCTTGTTCTGACGGATCTGGGCTCGCCTCCATGCGCGGGGCAGTCGTTTTTGATGTGGAACCACTAGAAACCGTTGAGGGCCGTGGTCGTTTTGCATATATGCACTTGAGACCCTTATCACGACAGCGCTGGCAAGGGTCAGTACCCTGGCAGCGAAGCTTTGAGTCTGCGCAGGAAGTGCAGGCTCTCACCACGCGGGTCCGCTTCTTGGTTGGTCCCGCGCGGTGGCCCGGATTAGGTTCGGTGTGGATGACGACGTGTCGTTTGAGGATATCTCTGAATCCATTGTCAATGGCTGTGCGGAACGCAGCTGATAATGGTAGTAGGAAGCAGGCGAAAGCGCAGGGCGGGATGAGACAATCCAGTAATTCATCTAAATTGGGGAGGAGACTTACGGCCTTGCGAATCTTTTGTTACAATTGGGGCACACATAAGGTTTCTGTTGCCCGTCTATGGGGCTGGTGTCAGCTGCCTCTGTAATGAATGCTAAACAGCGGGCGGTATGCGACAAAGCGCACGAGACAAGCGATAAGGGGGGTTCTCACGGGAACGAAAGTGGCGCGCAAGATGGTCGACTCGAGAATAGCTGCTCTTGCAGATGTCGCATACAAAGGGTTTGGGGAAGCGAGAATTGATGTCCTGGAGCTGTCGGCCCGGCTGGTCTGGTTCTGCCACATCTTTAGCGACCATGACATTGTTGTCGTCCGAAATTGGAAGCGGGGGCGAGTGTGACATGATGCCGCGGCGAGAGGCGAACAATGAGAGCCTGCTGTCGACTTGGGTTACCGTGACTGCTGATTCAAGGAGTGGGAAGAGATGCAAACAGATTATGTAGAGTGGAAGAAGGTTTATGGATCAATCGGTCGAAAGACAAGGAGATGGGGCAGTAGACGGACGGCGAGAGGCCGACCCGAGAAAAACAAGAGCCGAAGAGCGACCCGGACCGCTAAGGAGTGCGGGGTACAGTAGCGTCGAGGGGAGCTCGGAGCTAAACACCAATGTTATAGAATCACGTCTTGTGTATATTAGATATACTAACTCCCTAGATCAAGTCGTGAATATTGCCCATAGCAACTTGAGCTCAGTCACCAAAAAAAAAAGAAGAAAAAAAAAAAACGGTCGGTAGAGGCAAGCCTCCAACATATGGCCACCACCCCAAGAGAACAGCCGAGTGGTCCATGGCAGCCCTGGTTGCGGTAAATCTCCACTTTCCGGCTGTTTGGTCGAAAGAATGAGTGGTGATATCTCAAAGTTGCCGTCCGCAACTCAGAGTAGTTCTAACACGCCGTCCTTGCCCTCCCGGAACTGTACTGAGAAGTACTCAGGGTCATAAAACATGACTCTCGCCCTGCGGGTCGTCTTGTCATAGCTCATGAGCCAAGAGAATGTGTCGTGGTGGTAATGCTCCAATTTATACGACTGTTCGGGTATCCCGTTCACAGTCATAAAAGGTCCTTTCGGGGCCAGCCTCTCCTTGACGATTGGTAATTTCGATGAAAAAGTTCTCCAACCTGTGCCAATACCATCCCTTATACCATGACAGTGGGCGTGGGCGAGTCCCTGGGATCCTATCATCATCCACTTGCTCTCCAGTCTAGTCGAATTTGTTGAGAGCCTTCTCGTGGAACTCCTTGGTGAGCTGGACATGATCATTTGGGTTTGGGACTTCTGGGAGTGCCTCAAGCAGCATTTGACCAATGAAATCAGCTGTGTCGGTTGGGGGCATAGAGCTCTGCAAGGCCACAACTAAGGATTAGAGCTCTGGGGCAAGGAGAACCACAGAAGTAGACCCAGGCATGAGCCCGTGATGGCACAAGACAAGTTTTGATGGGCCACCCTTTCTCGATACAGGCCCATCCCCAATAACCGGGTTGGCTGAGATACAACCCAGTTGGCCAGGCAGCTGGGCGCGAGCCCAGCCAAGCGCATAGCCCTTCTCACGCAGAAACGAAGCAAGAAGAGTCGAGTGGTGAGAAGATATCATCCGACAGTTTTCCAGCGGTACTCCTGCTAAGGAATCTGTACTGTCATCGAACTGGTTCATGACCGCCTTCATGAAAACTTTGTAGAAGACCAACAAGTCCTCGATAGATGACTTGATACCACCTGCCGCCTTCATCATAGAAGAAGCCCTGTGAGATGGAACAACTGATCACAGCCAAAATAGAGGAAGCTGACGAGGTACAAATCTTTAATTGGCGAGTGAGTGTTTTCGTCCCAGACAGTCTTTCATAGACCCCCTGAAATGACCAAATGCCTTTTCGCTGAGTAGAGTTCGGGAAGATTGCCACACTCGAAATCCCATCATTGACACGAATGATCCCACAGACCCATTGTCTCCGGCTTTGTTCGTGCATCTAGGTCAGTAGGCCTTATTCGCGCTGATGTAACGCGTGGCTCACGTGGTACATCTTTAGATCAATCTCCAAGTGGTGTCCTCCAACGTGTTTGCCTTGCAAACGGCGACAAGGCGCAGAACATCTTACAAGGTTGAGTTCGAGTTATCAAGTATGCTGACTTTCTTTCTTCAAGATATCCCACTGACATCTTTGCTAGCGCATTTGCTAGCGCATGGCTGCAATTCTCCTCCGTCGAGGACTAGCCTCTTGCTTTATGTGGTGGCTCGAACATGACATACGATGACCCCTTGGTGTCGACCTGATACGCAAAGATTACATTGGCAGCCCTGGTAGAGCTTGAAACCGACGCACGCACAATAAAGAATGCCGTGCATGTTCTCAAGCTCTATATTGGTGACAAGATGGAAGCCCTGATTTTGTTGTCGGGTTTAAAGCAGGTCTTGGAACTGGCTACTGGGAGTATGGGGGGACAAAGCTGAGGAGGAGGTACATGGGTTGTGTCGGAAGGGTGAGGAGTTTTGAGAAAATAGCTGAAGGCGACCAGGAGTTATCAGGATGTCATCTCTGAACGGCATTTCTTTGTCTTGGATAGGCCCGGGCGACATTCAACTGGTTTTCCTGTCTATCGCTGGCTTGTTGATCTGATTGATCTATCATCGCGCCCGAAGAATCTCCAAGATGAAAGCCGGCTATGAAGCTGCGGAATTGAAGAAGGACAAGTCGCTGCTGTACCAAGCCTCTATAACTCCCAACCCCTGCACCCTCGCGCAAAGGAATAATTGCAAGATAGTGATATCCCTGCTGACAATACATTCCAGCTTCCCTCTCATTCGCCGAGTCATGTGTGACGGCTGACCCGCATGGTGCTCAGAGTCATGACATCAACGACTCTAGAATCGACCTAAACAACGCCCTAACTGATTCAAACTACTGTACTTCGTGTTCAGATTGTATCAACTGACTATCTGAATCTTTTTCATCGTCTGACCGTTTATATCTTGCCTCCTTTGCCGCGTTGAAGCGTAAATCATCGAGCGTCATTCCAGAGACCCCTCATCGCACAGACGCAAGACACAACGAGAATGCCCACCACTCAAGCGATGAAATCGCTCAATACTGGACCAGCTCCCGAGCCAGAAGCAGCGAGAAATGCCTCAAACTATCCCTTCCTTCATGGCCTTGATGGCCTGACACTTTACGAAAAGAAATGCGTTCTGGTCAACCGCGAGATTGATGCCCAGGGCATGGGACGATACCAGTGGTACATATGGGGTCTCTGTGGCTTTGGGTACATGCTTGACTTGCTCTGGGCTCAAGCCTTTGGCCTAGTGCTCAGCCCTTTGCAGCAAGAGCTGGGATTTGGTAACGATGAGTCGGGCAACATTTCAACCAGCTTCAACGCTGGACTGACCGCCGGGGCCTTTGTCTGGGGCCTTTTAGCAGACATTATTGGTACGCCTCCCGGTCTGCAAAAGGACTCAGACTGACTGTTCCACCAACCGAGTAGGCCGCCGTTGGGCTTTCAACCTAACCTGCCTCATCTCATCAGTTTTCGGGCTATGTTTGGGTGCATCCAACAGCTACAACACCTTTCTCGTCTTGACCGCATTTGTTGGCGTCGGTGTCGGCGGCAATATTCCTATTGACACTACAATCACGCTCGAATTCATCCCTCAGGTTGGTAGCCAGGCTCAGTGCGTCGAAAGTATTAACGTTTCTAGAATAAACGATTCCTGCTGGCGTGCCTATCCATCTTTCAACCTATTGGCGTCGTGATCTGCAGCGCCATAGCGTTTGGTTTCATTCCAGTTTACTCATGCTCTCCCAACTTTTCAGAGGCTGAGCCACTCCCCTCATGCAATGACAACGTAACGCAGACACCATGCTGTTCACGTGCTGATAATATGGGATGGCGATATCTCCTATTCACCCTCGGAGCAATCACGCTGTCTATCTTCATTTTGCGGTTCTTTATCTTCAAGTTCCGAGAGACACCAAAGTATCTCATTTACCGAGGACGCGATGACGAAGCGCTGCAGACACTTCAACACATGGCCAAGACAAACGGGAAACAGTGCAGCCTTACGGTCGAGATGTTTGAGTCTCTAGAATCCGAGCAGAGTTCCCTTGACAGCAGCTCTAGTGCGAGCCCTGCTCTAGGTGGAACAAGTCGGCACATCGAGTGGAGAGAGAAGACCAAGTCTGAGCTGTCCCGATACAAGATGTTATTTGACGGCTTCCAAATGACTCGCCTCACGATCTTGACTTGGTTGACATACATAATGGATTTCTGGGGCTTCACAGTGGCTGGTAAGTTGCCATGTCCCATTTCGAACACCACTAACCCAGACAGGTTTTTACCTGCCACGCATCTTGGCTCTCAAGAATGGCTCCGAGTCTGTCAGTCTATCTTCAACCTATGCGGCGTACATATACACATATGCTCCAGGAATCGTCGGTGTACTTTTAGGTGCCATGATGTATCGTATTCCTGCCTTTGGGCGAAAATGGACCATGGTATTGTCTGCCGCCTTGATGGGCACATCGATCCTCCTCTTCTCTACTGTGGACACGAGGGCTAAAAACGAAGGACTTTTTGCCATGGAATATTTCTTCCAGTCCATGTTTAATGCTGTTTTGTACGGTTGGACCCCTGAGGCATTTCCAGCACCTGTTCGCGGTACAGCCTGTGGCCTTGCGGGGTTCTGGGGCCGACTGTTTGGTATCGTCAGTCCCCTCATTGCTCAGCATCTTTACGGTCAATCAACTGGATCAGGAGGCGAAGGAGACATCAACAGTGTCTTGTACCTGGCTGGAGGTGTCATGCTGGGTTGTGTTATTAGCACGGCACTGTTGCCAACAGAGCTGATGGAAACAAAGGATGAGCGTTCTTAGATCGTTGGAGCATTTTGACTTTATGAAGCATATGCTGCGGTTCGCGCCGTTATATACGAATGGCTAGTATAGTGGGGGATAGTCTTTCATCTTTTTCTGTAATCTTTCTACAGTGTCATTTCTACTAGGATGCTTATTTCTCTTTCAATCTTCATGACGCTGACTTGATTATTATGTCCTCTATTATCGCTACTTACGTTTCCGGCTTAGCATCCTTACCCCTGAATGCGCCCTGGCGCATGGTTTCAGCATCACGGACCTTAAGCTCCTGGAATATGCCGGGGCTAGTTCATTCCGGAACGTAATGACTCAAATACAGGCCGGTACCTAGTGTTCTAAGGAATGGTGGCGCCTCTGGCCTGCCTCTCTGTTTTATCGTTGGTCTTTCTTCATGAGCTACTCTGCACCCGGACAAACCTTCTTTACGGTCTAGCTGAGGAGTAAAATAATAGTAGCCCTAATTACAGACACATCTCCCCTCGAGCACGCTGCCCTGAGCAACCTCCACTGTTTCCCCACTTCAATGTCATCGCCCACTCATCCATCACCTCTTAGCAGAATATTTACAACACGAAACATCTTTTCCAGCAAAAGCGCTATAATTGACGGCTAGAAGTGCCATCTTCCGGTCAGGATGGGCGATGAACCTCCAGTTCCAACTCCGGTTGGACTCATGTCTCATACGCAGGGAGGCAGCACGAGTCTATTCTATACTGGCATTTTCATGCCAGTCTTTTCGATACCTATAGTATTGCTACGCCTATGGACTTCTCAGCATGTTGTAAACAAATGGCATAAAGACGATAGTAAGCCTTTGGTCATGTTGTGGCAGGAAACCGATTGACAGCTGATTTCTAGCCTTGGTCGTTATCGCTACAGTATGTTGACCCCGACTGTCGGATACGTCTCTAATCATGATACAGATCTTTAACCTATGTCAATCAGTTCTAGTTTGCATCTGTATGCCTCAAGGTCCAAGCCCAGAGACGCAAGCTGACATCATATATAGCAGCTCGGCTCGGAAGTGGAGATCATATCTTCAACGTTTCACCAAAAGAATTCAGCCTGTTGCTCGATGTACGTCTTGCAGAGTCCTATTGGAGCCCCGACTAACATATTTATCTATAGTTAAGCAAGTGGGCAGGTGTTCCCCTCTATGCTCTGAGCACACTCGTCATCAAGGCCGCAATCCTGCTCTTCTATTTACGGTTCTCCGTAGATAGATCCTTTGAGTTCTGCACGTGTGCAGTGCTGTTCGTCGTTGTCGTGTACTGCTTGGCTCTGTGTATCGGACAAATGGTCATCCCTTGTTACAAACCCACTGATGCAGGCTGTCAACCTATCTCTGTTCTCTTTATTGCTTGCGCTGCGTGTAATGTAGCAACAGATCTCGCCATTCTGTTTCTTCCGACTTGGATACTGCGTCCTATGAAGGTCCCTATGGGGCGGAAGGTTGGGGTTGCCATGATCTTAATGGCGGGGGGCTTGTCTGTCTTCCTCTTCCTCGGCATTTCGCGATCCGCACACTTACGTCTTACCAGTGTCTCTGCCATCAGCATTGTCCGCTTGATATCAACTATCTTTGTCAACACTGTGGATATTACCTACGAATGGGGAAATAGCATTAAATGGAGGTAAGATGCCCGGTTTAATAATGACCAACAGGTGCTAACCTGTGCAGTCTGATTGAGTGTTGGTCGGGACTTATATGTGCTTGTTTGCCTTGCATCAAGCCTTTCTTTACAAGATACTTTCCTTCCTTTCCGCTATGGAGTTTACTAGAAGACAGTAGTGGGTCGATGCGGCAACTGAGAACGATAGATTAGTTGCTCGGCCACGGAAACAGTTGTGCCAGAGTGACTATTGGAGGAGTGATGGGCAATTAAGCTTACATGCTTGTTTGGACTAGGTCAGAGTCATCTGTTGAAGCAATGGTGCTTTGGAAGGAGGCTCACTCTCTTGTACAAAAGCCGGTAGTTAATGGTGACTCCTTGAGTAACTTTGTCATTAGACAGGCCAGTGTCGTGACCGTGAATATAACTGACAAGCTTACTCATTTATTACACTTAGGACTTGTATGTATGGCAGGCTGTTGCTGTCAAGGGCACATTGAAGGTCAAATCTCACCACTATACACCACGACCAAATGATGTCTCAATAGTTCACGTTTTATTTGATTCTATCCTTAACTAATCAGAATTCCAACTTATTCCTCGCTTTGGTAAAATTTAGGCAGCTTGAAAAGCTTCTTGGCATTGTCCTTTGCAATCTTTCTCTTATCCACATCGTTGATAGCGAGTGCATCATACCAGGTGCAGGCATCCGAGAATGACTCGAATGGGTAGTCGATCGAGAAGAGAATCCTATCAGCTCCAACCTCTCCAAGACAGAACTGAAGAGTAGATGTCGAAAAGTGGCCGCTGGTCGTGATCCAAAGGTTGCGAGCGAAGTATTCTCGGATTGTCAACTTGCAGTCAAGTCCAAGCGGCTTCTTGACGTCTTCGAACCAATGGTTGATACGCCACATGTCGAAGGGAATATGCTCTCCCAGATGGCCGAGGACAATCTGAAGCTTGGGGTGTCGATCAAAAACACCATTGGTAACCATGCCGAGAGCGTGAAGACTAACTCCTTGGGCAAAGCTCAGGGGAGGGCCAATCAACCACTTGCGCTTCGCCCAGAGCTTTTCATGAATGCTTCCGGTGGGATTTCGGGGGTGCAGGTAGAATGGAACGTCCAGTTCGGTCACCGTAGACCAGAAAACATCCCATTCCGGTCCATCATAGAAGACCATATCATCACCATCAGAGCCAGCTCGTTGGGTATCGTTGACCAAGGCGCCCTTGAACCCGTACTTGGTCACGCATCGCCTCAATTCCTCTGCCGCTTCCTTAGGATCATGCATTGATAGAGTGCTACGATTATTAGCGGATGCTTCCAAAGGGATATAATAAACTCACGCAAAAGCACCGAGCCGATCAGGATGTTCCTTAATGGCACCAGCGATGTAGTCGTTGACTTCGACTGCCAGTGATTGGGCCTCTTTCGGATCATACACATCCTGCACACCAGGTGCTGTATAAGAGAGAATGGTGTATCCAACGCCATGCTCGTTCATGTACTTGATGCGTTGCTCAGTAATATCGTTGATCTCGGCAGCGTGCTTATCGGGGTCGACTGCAAAGAGACCTGCCCACCATCTTGTGCGCTCCTTGAATCGGGGGAGAGCAAAAGCTTCTTCCAAGGCAACTTTTCCGAGCATTGTGATGATATGTGATAGATGTGTGGGATATCAGTGGTTACTATGATGAAACAAAGTCGACACTTCAATCAAGCCTCTTTATAATACTACTTGTCAACGTTAATGACTTCTCCTCACCTACATCGCCGCGTAGTCCAACCGGACAATGCACCATATGGCGGCACGGATGAAGCAAGGATCGGAGCGGATAATGCACCGGGACGTACGGGACTCACCCGCGACCCGATTAACTCCCCAGACTTTGCGGAAGCGGGGTAGATCGACGCTACTGCTGCCGAAACGCCACTTGACACAGAGTTCCGATGATGTCTCGGGAGTCGGCAACCGGGATACCTAATGCTGGGTGTCGCAGTACGACCGTCTTTGCAGACGGCCACAACTTTTATCCTTCAAACCAGACGTACAGTACTTTGACAGTCGAGATGGATGGTTCCTACAGCGTGCAGTGTCCTCAGGACCAGTCGGTTCATCCCGACATTGTCTCGTTCCTTCAGTCTTTTTACAGCGTCTCAGATACACCAGGAGAAACCGAAAAGTATGTCGACATGTTTACAGAGGATGCAACATTTGTACTCGCGTCCAAAAAGGCGGCCGGTCATTCAGGTTAGACACTCTCTTGTAGTATTGAGGTGATATTGACTTTGCAGAAATTACAACCTTGAGACAAGGGATGTGGGAAGCAGTGGCTTCACGCAAACATCAGCTCTTCCAAATCTTTCCTTTTGGTAAAGGTTCCGACGAAGTAATGCTCTACGGCACGGTCGCCCTCCAACTCAAGAATGGTGGCTCGGCCGAGATTGACTGGGCAGCGAGGGCCGAGCTTGTAAGATCGGCCGCCGGCGGAAACTATCGGTTTAAATACTACCAGGTTTATCTCGTGAGTTTTCTGCTACCACATGACGTCACTGTACTAAATTATGCATAGGACACGGGCGCAGCAGCAGCGTACAAGAAGTAGACAGGATAGCGGTGGTCTTGTTTTCTGTAGAATGTCTGTGTGATCCTCTGTCAGAGTGCACAACGTTAGGGTCATGCTGGAATACTTCTCGTCAATGAGCGACATGCTGCAGGCCTGGTTCGCACGTGGTGACAAGACCTCTTCGGAGAAGTTGGACAAGTAGAATACACAATGCATTGCATAAGTCAGTCACGTGGCTCTTTGTATTCCCACTCACTGTTGCTTTTTCTGTGACAAGGTTGTCGTTACGTTTCAAACGGAGCCGAACCTACCCTAAATCTGAGACAGGAGTGAATTACTCGACGTGAGAAAGGAGGCATTAAAGAATACGATACTCCTCCCCCGCTGCGATAGATTTAAGAGAGTTTTTTGACTTCATTCAATGTACACAGAAACATATTCACCTCGAAAAAGCGTCATGGATATGGTAGAAGTATTCTTGACCATGTATTCGGCGATGTTGAGGGACGGATCTGGCATCGCCATGTGTGCTCCACATGCTCAAAGTCTAGCTAGACACTAATTACTTACCGAATAAATGCCTTCTAATTCGAGATTCTCATGCTTCTTCAGACAGGTATCCAGCGTGCTCCTTTGCGAAGAGAAGCCTTCCCATCACCCAAATCGGACAATTACTCGATTGGGACAGACCCATATTTACCCCGGATCCTTGGTGGGGTTGGGTCGGCAACGGGTATTACCGATCAAAGCTGTACAAGACTCAGGATGTCAAAACCGACTGTACGTCGTAGATAATACATAGGCAGTAAGGGGCTAGAAATGGGAGTTTTTAATATTAGAACTGTCTATTTAATGCTCGGAAAGTTGGCAATATTTACAAGTATGATCGCTCGAGCCTTTAGGCAAGCCGTGGCGTCTTAGCAAACAAGACATGGACAAAGGTTGACTGGATGGAACAAGTGAAGTATGCCGCTTTTATTAAATAATACACTATATGACCTAAGAACCAATAATGACACCATTGGGAAGCTCCATTCCAAGAGGGAGACCACATAGGAACTTGCCCAGGTATTTTTCGCCTCGCTTCTTCGCCAGCTTCTCCTCAACATCCTTGTACATGTCATACCTTGGAGAGGTTAGTCGATCCCTGGAATGATAATGATAGATTTAACTTACGCATTCATCTCCTCAATAGTCAACACCTCCTTCTGGTTCTCCACCTTGTAAGTAGGGCAGTCCTTGTTTACAGAGAAGCCTGGACGAGGATTAGCTTGTGAATATAGCGATCGTTAGGAAACTCACCAATTCGCTCGTTGATGTTGTAGGCGGCCTTCGCAGCAGCTGCCTGCACTCGAGTAGCTCGAGGGAGACGAACCTCCTCATAGACAGCAAGAGCCTGAGAAACGTCGCCATTAAAGTAGCGCTTGTTGAACAGGATACCCAGGGCAGCAGCATCCTCAATAGCCATACAGGCGCCTTGGCTTTGATGAGGCATCATGGGATGTCCGGCATCACCGAGAAGACAGACATTGCCCTTGTGGATGTAAGGATAGGGCTTGTGGACCCAGAGTCTCCATGGCTGAATTTCCTTGCCGATGGCAAGATGCTTGACAACCTGAGGGTCGAGGTTGGGGTATGGCTTCAGGAGCTCTTCAACTGGTCGATCCTCTGCTCCCCAGGCCTGGGTAGTATAGTCGCCTTGTTCCCTGGGGAAGAAGCAGTAGTAGGACAGTAGCTTGCCACCGTTGCAGGGAGACAGCACGATCTTGTCCCACTTGCCTTCTTGACCACCCCAGTACTCGAGAGCGCTGTCCTGAGAATAGTCGACAAGACCAGCCTTGACAGCATCCTCAGTCATGACGTTGCAGTGAAGGCAGCTTGAATCGGCGGGCCTCTTCTCAGGGTGAATACCCAAGATGCCTCGGACTGCCGAGCCGATACCATCAGCGCCAATGATCAGGTCGTGCTTGGCAGTAACTCCATTCTCAAAGGTGATTGTGCCAGAGGGAATATCGATTGAAGAGCACTGAAATCATTAGTGGAGGTAGACACCAAAGGATTCCATCACTTACACGATACTTGACCTTGAGCGTCGCAGGTTGGCCTTGTCCTTCTCCCATAGCAGTATCCTTGAGCATGGCGTGCATGTACTGTCGGTGAAACATATTGTACACATAGCCCCATCGCTGTTCGTAGTCATCCAGGTCGTAGACGCTGACAGGCTCACCGGTCTTCCAGTCACGGTTGATGAGCTTCTTCAGGACGACAGGGTCACCCTTGGAAACATCAACATCCCACTCGTGAAGCCATCGAGTTCCGTTGGCTGCACAAGAGACTGAAGCGCCGACTTCTCCTGCAAAGTCTGACCTCTCGTAGATGGTTACATCATGGCCGGCGCGTCGAAGAGCAATTGCTGTTGACATGCCACCGATGCCACCGCCGATAACACCGACGCTGAGACGCTTCCAGCCAGGCATGGTTTCCGTATTTGTGTCCTTAATCATGGTGATTGATGTGTGTCTTGATGAGGCTGACTTGGAGGTAGAATGTTGAGTTGTGTAATTGTTCTGAGAAGCATGTGCTCTTGTGTCTTATTTAGCTTTGGCTCGAGCCATATCGCAAGCAGGAAGAGGCGGGAGAAGTTGACATCAATCCGGACAAGTCCACGCGCCGCCCGACCAACTGGAGCGGATCTGACATCGATGCCCATCATGTGCCAAATTCATCCACACCACTTGGTACAGTATCGCCAGTCGTGATCGGTTGCTGACCAGAGCCGCTATCATCGGGTACTGCACTGTATGGGTTTTTATCCGCTAGTGTCGGGTAATGCACCAGCAATTGGCAGGTCCTTTGCCGCCATATCTTTGGTGGAATGGCTGTGCCCAATAGCGCGGATTGAACTTATCAGTTAGCTATCATTCACAACGGGCTGTTGATCTCAGCGGAACGGGTAGAATCTTGAACGGAACATGGTTATAGTGGTTTATTACAGGTCGGCAAGGGTATCTAGGTTACGATAGGAATGGAAAATTATCCCACTGCGAAATGTTCAAACTCTCCCAATCCAAGCAGAGATCAGCTCCCTCGAGTTGTGGAAATGACCAGTCTTGTGTTGCCTCATCATCTAGCCGTAGGAAAAACTGGCCATCATTAGGGGTAATCAGTGGCCAGCTTGACTCTTGTGTACTGGATTCGCCTTGATCCGATGATGAATCAAGGCTAAAGATCTTGGACACATATCGACTTCTGCCTGATGAGGTCTCTTTCGAGCGGCGCTTTGTAATGGCACTAGAGAGTGTCGTCAAAATCTCCAAGTAATGTGCTGCTTGTGGGCTTTGCTTGGATAGATGTGTGAGAACGTCTTTTGCCCCTTGGAAGGCATTCTCGATATCGGAGTCGACAGGGTATTTGGCAAAGATCTCAAACCCCAGAACCAGGCCTGCCGCGAAAATGAGAGCCCTGAAATGTCAGAATAGTGTATATCGCGTGAACGGATCACTTACTTCATGATGCACATGTTTCCCTGCAAGAGGCCAGCATTCAGGGCCTCGACGCATGTCTGAGAGAGGTACATGGCAGCGTCAAGACAAGCAGCGGCTAGTTGAGACGGTAAAGCTCCCCTTGGTGGTCGAGAAGTGAGTGCAGAGATGAGAAAAGGCCTTGATACAAGCATCACGGCAAGGTAGTAAAAGCAAGAGACATGTACTCTGGCGACTGCTCCATGTTGAGGAGGCAAAGACCCTGGGCTGGCCTGTTCTGTGCACACCGTGTTTCGAATAGAATCAGGTAGATGTCGTTTCCAGCTCTCAATATCCTGCATCAGCTGTTCGACAATTGGTGTTGTGATCTTCTTTTGGTCATACAATGTGTCTGTGATGTCGTTGATGATTGTAACAATCTTGTTTGACGCAACAAGACAGTCCGTGATGTGATCTCCTGGTTGAGCAACGTCATCGAGGTTATTCCTGGCTGAACGGATTCCAGCGGTGGCGGATGGTCGACCTAAGATTGAGTTGACAAGTTTATCGACGATGCAGATGCTCATCCATATCCGCAGCCTACTAGATGTCAGCACATGTCTCGTTATGATCCTCCGAACTTACCTGAGCTGGTCAGCAGGTCCAGGCTTCTTCGCATACGAATCCCGACTGTGCAGACCCAAAGCAAGAGCAGCCTTGGCGGCGATGCCCAGATACATGAAAGCAGCGTTCCTCCGACACTCTCCAAGCATATAGAATGCCATAAGAAGAAATGTGCGGACCATATCTATATCAGGATCTTCAAGGAACCCCATAAAGGCTTGGCGACGGGCTCTACGAAGGCAGGCCTGTCCGATGCTCTTTGCGCTTGCAAGAGAGTCACACTGAGCGCCTATCGCTATAACAAGATCAATCGATGCTTGTTTGAGCGATGGTAGACTACCGATGCCGTCGGGGGTCATGCTTTGGTCCAGAGACATGAGCAAAGCCTCAAGCTCAGACGGGTCAAAGACGTGGATCAAAGCTTCGGTCTAGAATGGTTAGCAAGATCTGCAGTGCTCAGGGATGTAAATGCACTTACGACAGCGTAGTAGGACCTTAAATACCTGAGCTTTTGCTCCCCGTCTAAATCCATGGCATTGACCTCTGGCTCTGGCGCGTTTGCTTGAGGTGTTTCAACCTCGAGCATTCTGTCACTCTTTTCGTTGTGTGAAAAGGCTGAAGGACCGATCTGCTGCGATACCAAGTCCCGTACAATCTGAAGGAATGATATTGACGCAGCGCCGCCAATGTAGACTGTTTATCTTAGCAAAAATGCGAACAATGACTGCATTCGGCCGTACCTCGCTCCCCGCGTGAATTGAGCAGCATACGTGGGGGATTGGTCGAAGAAGCATCAGTCTGTTCGCTCTGACTGCCCTCACCATCTTCCTGCCGAGAATCTGAAGGTGACAGCGGTTGAAACACTTCGACTGTGTCGGCATCACTTTGTTGAACCGCGTGATTGCTGGCGCGTCGCCTCGGACTTGTAGGCTCGTCTCTGGTCCATGAATTTGTATCGCTTGCTCGGATTGATGCCTCTGCTCTGGCCCTTGCCCTGGAGCCTCGGGGTGCATAGGTTATGAAGCACTGATGCTCTAAACCCCGGCGGAGACACTGAGTGCAAGGAGCCGAACCACTGCACCTCTTCTTTGCCTCACGACAGAGATTACATGCCTCCACAGCCCTCTGACGCTGATGTGCGGGAACTTTGGGACGGGGCATGTTGACGGCTGGGTCTTACTGGGGCATGTTGCGATGGTTCTCGGGAAATGCGATGGCAACTTGGGGGATCTCGGTTCCAAATCAGTTCCCGGCCGACCCTTCAGCCGCTGCAGATAACGAGCGACGCCAATTGATAAGCAGTGCCACTGAAGCACCATTTTGCGGGGTAGACGTGACCATCCCTACATCCAAGGGATCATTCCAAGTAAGCCATTCCTTCTTGAGACCAAGCCATGAAGCTAATGTCTTGATTGATGATTGATTGGCTCAGGGTGCGATTCTGTGCCGACTGAACCCACTTTCCGAGTTCCGAACTTCCGTCAATGGATCTGCTACTTCCAGCTGTGGCCTGGGACAGATATGATGCCGAAGCCCTCGACTGATACATAGATAAAGATTTGATCTCAAGATTACAACCATTTTTGTAGGCTGTATATACTCAAGCCTACCGCACCGTCTCATCTATGAAACCATTGTAGATCCGACATTTGAGCGTGGGTATTTTTAATGATCGGTGTCCCTTTCATATACTGTGAGTATAGGTACGGCGTCGTTGAACAAGAGGCAGTTGTATCTCGGGTGATTTATATGTCCCGGCTGCTCGAATATAAATTCCTACCACACTCCGTAGAGGAGTTATCACTGTCGGGTACGGGGTCCTGCCAGCCGGATGTAACAGCGATGAAGCCAAGCGTAGACTTTTGACTTGCCGAAGTTTCCCCTATCAAGCTTATCCGGATGGATCCCCTCCGGAGAATGCTCGCATGTCCACTCTCGAGATGATGCACTAGCTTCACAATCATTTAATAATGTACGCAGACATCATGAAACCTCCTGCCCTGCTGCCAACACCATAGCTGAAGGATATTCGGCCTGGAGTTTTATTGCTGCCTCCTCTCTCACGCCGTGGTCATGGTCCTGGGCTAATTCTTCTGACCCACTCCTCGGCAGATCCTTTGAGAATTGACCAGGGTGTCCCGTCAGAGCTCATGAAATGGGCGGAAAAGGGTTAATATACAGTTGTTAAGCTTAACCCGAATGCATTTGAGGGCGCTGAAAGCCTAGAACTGATCAATGAGGTCATTGGAGCTTTGAACCAATATGAAAAATGCGACAAGGGGAAAATTGGCTTAGTTTGTATGCCAAACACTGCTCCCTGTTGCTGGTCTAACCTCTTGAAGCATATGCTCCTGACCTTTGAAATAAAGTGGCGTCTAGCTTGTCTGAGGTTCCAGGCATTGTTTCTGCCATTTGGTACGGACTAGAGTCTTTGTCTCACACAAGAAATATTCAGTTTCTCAAACCCGAACAGAAGGAACGTACTTGATCTTGAGGCAATTTGGGAGGAACACACATACTGCGAGTTCGCTGACCGGTCTGTTGAGCATATTATGAGTACAATGGTTGGCACTAATCGTATAATAGATGAGGTTATCTTTGAGTTTCCTCCCAGAGTATCTCTCTTTCTATATGCACTTCCTGATTGTCGAACTGCGAGCGACGGTTTCGAATACCGCGTCCAAGTGGGAGGATCAGAGACAGCAGACAAGATGAGGGATCGAAACAGGGTGTCTTCCAATGAGATGTTCAAGTTTGAGATTCGAGAGACGAAACAGTCGATGAAGGAGTGAGACGGATACAGGGTTGTTTGACGCGATCCTTCTGTAACCGAAAAGTTCTCCCATAGCATTCTGCAGTTTAATTTGCAGCTGTATGGTTAATGTAGCCGCTTGGTAGGAATCACTGTCCTGCGAGCGTGTTTCAGAACGGTCCAATCTGTGAATTAGGATTATAGAGGGTGTCCATGTGGCATGAACTGCAACACTTTCTCGTGCAAGGTGTTCCTTAACAGCTGAGAATTCCAGTGCTCCAATCAATACATCAATCGCATCCGAGGCATTTCTCTTTATGAGCATGTTCTTAATTATTAACAAACGAATTGAGCTAGTTTCTCTGCCCAATCTACTCTCGCTTCTTCAAGTAACACTTGAGACCCTTCTGTCGAGGGAACCAGCTGCCAGTGACAACCCAAGGCTGGTCAGGATCCACCAGTGAGATCTCATACTTTTTAATCAGAGTGGCCACAATCTTGTAAAGCTCAAGCTGGGCAAGATTGCGTCCAATGCACACTCGAGAACCACCTCCAAAGGTAAGGTCTGCAGCATTGTAAAGGCGAAGTCGCTCCTTGTAAGCAGCGTCGGTCTCGCCTTCGCCCTGGAGCCATCGTTCGGGGCGATAAGTGTCAGCATCCTCTCCCCAGATGGTCTTGTTTCGGCCAGCGACGTATGGGTTAATGCCCACAGCGGTACCAGGAGGGACAAAGCTACCATCGGGCAGCTTTAGACCAGTCTCGGGCACATAACGCTCAAGGAGCATGCAGACACCAGGGTGCATACGCATAGCCTCGCGGGCACAGGCCTCCAAGTCTGCAATTGTGTTAGTGCATCACTGCAAAGGGGAGAAAAGGGCGACTCACATGGCAGAGCACGGGCAGAGCTGAAAGAAGCAACATCGGCCAAATCCGCAGCAACAATTTCCTCTTCAAGCTTCTTGTACGCCCTAGGGTTATGAAGAGCGTACCAAAAGATGGCACGAATGGTGATGGCAGTAGTATCAGCTCCGGCAAGAAGGTTAACTAGCAGGTAACCCATGATGATGCCATCATTGACAAGGTCAGGATGAGTCTCCTTGGACTCGATAAAGTGCTGCAAGAAGTCGGGGACCTTGGGGTTGTAGTTGGTATCCTTGCCCTGAAGTCGAGAGATCAAGTGTTCAAGAGAAATGCGAGTAATGTTACCCAAGTTGGGAGGACCAATTCGCATGACGGGGTTCTTGTCAAGGAGGAAATCCAAGAAGGGCATCTGGCCGACAGCGGCGAAGCTGGAAGTGTTAGAGAGAAGACATTGAATAAAGGAAGAGACATACTAGTCAAGAGCCTTGTCGGCAATGGAAATGGTGCCGTCGTAGTCATAGCCCTTGTCCATGTATCCAAAGCGTTGGCTGAAGGAGGCAGCGCCGTTGGCATCCCAGGAATCTTGATGTGTTAGTCATGGCCAAGCCAAGAAATGTGGTAGCTTACAGAAACCAATCCACTCTCCCAGATCGCATTCTGTAGGCTCGGTACCATTCATGAATCTTTTCTCAAGGTGACCGCAAAAGTCGCCGATGAGCGAGTCAAAGAGTGACTCGAGCCCAATGACGCTGCTCTGGGAGTAGTATTTAACGACGGGACGCTTCATACGAGCATGTTCGGCCTGATCAGTGGTACTGAAGAGATGGTAGGTGATCTTGCCATTGACGACGGCGCTGTTGTTGTGATAGAACTCGGTCTAAAGACGTCAGCACTTGAATATGACCCGAGGGACAAGACTAACCTTCTTCCACTTGCCATCAGTGCCATAAAGAGTCTTGATCAACTCGGGAAAGTCAAAGTCAAGAGTGTTGGGTCCGATTCGAACAACAGGGCCATATTTGTTGTGAAGCTCCTTGATCTTGACGTGATAGCTTCCTTTTCTGACCACGGAGAGACGCCAAAGGTTGGTCCAGCCTTGACCATGTTAGTCGGCACTAGTCAATAGATTCCATGGACTTACCAGCCAGAGTCGGCCCAGGAAACTTTCGGAGGGGAGAAGTGAAATATGACACAATCCACCAAGCAGTGATGCTAAGAATAGGCACCACGACAATGGCAGTGGCAAGGCTCTTCCAGTCCAAGCCCTGCACGAGGGCCTCAATGTAAGAGGTATCAATGGAACTCATCTTGGAAATGGGTCCTACTGAAGATCCAAGTCCCAAACTCCTGTGTCATCACCACATGTCAGGCAGAGGCAGAGGACATGCGCATCATTTAAACCCCTCGGAGTGAACTACCCGTGTCAGGTTGGCCAGGGATCAACATTGCGAGTTCGTCAACGTGGTATTAGAACCAACAGAAACGGATGATTCATGCTGTGCCTGTCACGCCCCTTACCTTTTCCATCTATGGTGTGAGAATGAAGACCCAAACCAGGAGGACTTCGCAAGCCAACACCCAACGCCGACTTTACAGACTGAGACTCTTCTTCAAGGAACCCTGCTTCCACTTGCCCGCGATGTTGCTCTGGGGTGGATTCTGGTGGATCTCTGTAACCGTTGTTGGTTTATCGGGTTAGACAGTGGGCTCGGTCTTCTCGTGTAGTCTCGACAGCCGTATCACAGAGGCCGTTTTGTCATCCATGCTAGGGCAGCAGGGTTTTGATCCACAGGCAACGGCTCCTAGTAGATGCTATTGCAAGCCATCGACCCAGGCTAGATTTAACCCGGCTTCCGATTGGTGACGACGCGGTACGGACCGGTGCCGCCGCGAAGCCCACTGGGACTAGGCCACAAGCGAAACAAGCGATGAAACCCGGCACTGCCCATGACAGGTTTACGTAGTATCTTGAGGTTGGCTAGTTTCCAGCCCTGACGGTGATTTCCCGGGGCATAACTTGCATTAAAGCAGTAGCTGTCAGCCTTGAAGCGTGAGGAGGATTTATGAGGGCGTCTACTCTGCGTCTTCTCAGAGGATATCAGAGGATTGTGCAGAATGCACGGCCAATATTGCATTAATATCAGCCACGCCCACGCTTTGGAATCTGATCCACTCACGCATATCAGGGCGGGCGATGCCCGAGGCGAAAGTGAGCGAGGCGCAGCCCTGGTCAAGTCGAGAACCATGGCCATGGCATAGATCTTGCTTGCTTCTTCCATTAATGATCTGGCATAGATCTGCGGTGGTACCAGGTATTGGGTTATGATAATCGAAGCGGAACGGTGCCACGAGTGATTAAATGCAAGATAAAGGGGGTGATCCATCAACATGGATATGGTCCTTTTGGAATTTGACGAATTATCTCGCCGCTACCTAAAACTGCAGAGCCTGAGTTTTCTCATCACCTCGGTTATACTGACCCTGTTGAAGAAAGACGAGGATAAGTTGAGGCCGGGCTACCCATGAGACGGCAGGTCGCCGAGCATCGTATGACTCGTAAGACGCAAGGATTCAGACAAAAGCCCCTTTCTTTTTTAAATCCCCGCACATTTGAGCGCCAATCTACTCGGCAGTTGATTCCAGATTTTCCTCATGAGCCCGAATCTTGAGCATGGTTCAACCTTGCTCCGAGCAGGAAGCCAACGTGCCGTGCCCAAGGACATTGATTTTCAGTAAAAATTTCTTCGGTTATGGCCATACGACCAGACAAGTTGTTGCCGAAGCCCATAATATTAGGGTTCTGACACACCGTAGACGGGAATAACCGAATCATCCACTGATGAGCACACGAACGGCTACCCCGGCACGTTGATGTCTCTTTTCTCGGTCATGATATCGACAGGGTTCCCAGGTATTACTAGCTTCTTTGATCAATGCCGACGCCGATCATCTGCTCGGGTAGCGGGTCCAATGGGCCTCCCGGTACTCTCCCGGTAACGTCGCAACACGCGACAGTGTAATAATTCGTCAATCCTTTGTCAGGATCCGTTCTCAGTGTCACTTTGAAACAATCCTCCAAAACGGTACAGGCTTGTGCAGGTTAACAGGGCTTCGCAACACCAGCCTAACCGAGATGGAGCGGTTGGTTGTCTCCTGTGGCAAACACTTCAAGACCATCAGCCCAGCATCTGAGTGAGCGGGTTACAGAAACGACGATCTTGTTACCCTACCTGCCTCTGGAAATCACCGTACCTGCGCCGGTGGAGTTAGGGGTTTGGTTTTCAGCCTCCAGCATCGGCCACCTGTTCCACTACTGGATGGTTCGTCTGAACCGTAAGACGTAAGACAGGCTGAATCCACTTGTCAAAGGTTGCAACAGTTCCATTCAAATCGACCATGCGTTGATAGAAAAGCACATCTATGCCCGCCAAAACCGACACAACGGCTCCGCCGGTCAGCTGACAAACGCATCCGCCTGATCGGTAACTTGACCCACGAACTCTGCAGAACAAGTTGATCCCAATTGCAGTGAACCGCAGCCATGGCTATGGGAGGGGATGGGCCGTGGGCCATTTCTGTCATGTGGTCATTGACTGCAGTGACACTGATTTTTGTTATCCTGCGAGTGTATACTCGAATCGTTGTTGTCAAGTCTTATGGAATCGACGACCATGTCTACAATCTTGCATTTGTGAGTTTTTTCCTTGAGTTGATGACGCATTCTGACCTTGTAGGGCTTTCTCTTCTTCTACACCCTATTCACGACAATTTCGGCGAAATATGGCTTTGGCCAGAATATGAGCGAGATTGAAGACCTCGACGACACGGCGCATGCGATCCTATTCGAGGCCATTGGCCAAACATTTGCTGTTGTGGGCATGGCCGTTGCTAAGTGGTCTCTTGGACTGTTTCTGCTTCGACTTGTCAAGGCTCAATGGCACAAGATTGTTATTTGGATATCCATGGGAGTCTTGATGGCTGCGTCTGTATCTGTCTGCTTTGTCTTTTGGTTACAGTGCTCGCCACCCAAGTATTTATGGGACCGTCGCATTCCGGGCCGCTGTCATATTGATTCAACACCAGTCTCGATGCTTCTATGCAGTAAGTGATGGTGCATAGTGACGATGACATTGGCTGACTGTCTAGTCTTGTGTGTTATTATCGACTTTTTCTATGCGTTGTTTCCCTGGTTGTTCATCTGGGGTCTACAAATGAACACGAGGGAAAAGATTGTCATTCTGGCCAGTCTTAGTCTTGGCGTCATGTAAGATATGCCATGTTTATTGTCGATGCTTGCTGACGCATTCTAGTGCTGGAGCATGTGGTATTAAGCGCACCATTGAAGTTCCAGAACTTTCAAGCCCAAACTACCTGAGTATGTCTCACCGACCATTGATTTAACTCCACTAACACCGTTTAGAGGATACAGTCGGTCTCATCGTTTGGTCCGCTGCCGAAATCTCCGTCACCATGATCTGCATTGGCATCCCCGTTTGTCGACCTCTTTACAAGAAGTACTTGGAAAAGTTGACCTCTCGCGACGGCAGCAAGTACCGAAATTACCAAGATCGAAGCGAAGGAGGATCATACCCGTTGAAAACGTTTGGCGGCAGTACAATGAGGCCTGGCCCGGATACCAAGGATGGAGATACCTCTGATGGTGAGGATTCCATCACAAAGGCAGAGCGAAAGCTAGGAATCGGTGGTCCTTTTACAAAGTCATACGTCATGGGTGGAGAGCGTGTGCGTGGTGACAACCAGAGCGACGAACAGATTTTGGGGCCTGATTTCCGCCGAAGTCAGCGTGACGATATTGAATCACAAGACAAGGGGATCAGGGTCACGTATGAGGTGACTACTTCAAGGTTGGATATCTGATGTAACACGTTGCCTCTATGATCGTGGTCTTAGGATAGCTGGCATCATGGACAATGTAATTGGGTGCCATGCGATGGGTTTCAGCGTGTCTTGGGTTATTTCATTTGCCAACTGCTGTTGGTCTTTGAGTATTGCGACGCGTCTCAACGGCAAAGACACGTACAGAGGGCGTTGAACCCAATGCTGCAAGCGCCGTAACCTAAATTTCATTGACCTCTCGTGGCTTGGCCTGTATGTCACGAGTCTCACGACATGGTTGTCGCCCTTGGCACATCTGCTGACTTCCCCGCCTCGGACAAGTTCCCCTCAACAAAGCTATTCGGCAATCTCTTGGTCCTTTTCATTCACAATGCCTTAATAAATTTGACTTTTAAAACCCTCAAGCATCTGAGCGCATGATCCATGTGTCTTTTCCGCCTGTGCTTTTCCGCATGGTAAAATGTCATCTAAATTTCCCACCAGCAACGTCGCGTTGTTTTGTGGGTCAAATCAAGCTTATTGTAACTCCACTTCCCCGGACTTCCTTTTGGAGGTTTTCGATGTCGATCCCTTGTAAATGAAGAGTCTGTCGTCGTTATCAAAGGTGATCCGTCCTCTTGATCTCTTGCTAGCATTCGGAAAAGCGTCTTAACGGGCTCTCGGTATATCTTCACGCCGGAGAAGTATGGATACATCATTGCCGAACTGTCGTGTATTTAACCACGCATGTTTGCATGTAAGAGTAGTTGCAGCAAACAATCTCGGCGACATCCATAATGAAGGGATCCTTCTTTGTACTCCAATTCATTGCCAGTGCGGCACTGGCTGCTGTTCAACTTCCCCGTGGGTGGTTCACCATACAACCTACCGAAAAGATCAAGGCTAGCAAGTTTCAAGGCAAGCCAAGATATCTAACATGGATGGCTGACTCCCAAATTCAACACGGCGTTGAGCCCACGCTCGCTTATACGGTATCTGCCTTTTACTCTGGAGTACTTTTGGCCTATGAACGAACTGGCGATAAAAAGTACTTTGACTATGTCAAACATGGAGCAGACATTCTTCTCTATCCAGAGCACGACGGAACAGTGCTGTTTTACAACAACAGTAACTCAATCGATGACATCCGGATTGGTCATACATTTCTCGACATGTTCAATGCCACTGGAGATGATATCTACAAGAAGGCTGCAACCCACATGAGGAACCAAATCGATCGGACCGGCCGTACTCCTGAGGGGGGCTTCTATCATCGATATCCAGGATACATCGACCAGATGTGGTTGGATGGAATCTACATGCTGGATGTTTTTTATGCTCGCTGGACATATGAGTTTGAGCCAGACAACACCACCGCTTGGGATGATATTGCCCTCCAATTCGATATTATCAACAAAGTCACCACTTCAAGCAACCACACCAACGGATTGCCAGTTCATGGATTTGATGCTGGCAAGACACAGGTGTGGGCTGATCCCGTTACAGGAGCTGCTCCTCATGTCTGGGGTAGAGCTGTTGGATGGTACATCATGGCTCTGGTAGACACTCTGGATTACTTCCCTGAGAGTCACAATGGACGAAAGCGTCTAATCTCATATCTCAATTCTTTGATCGATGCAATTGTCGCAGCTCAAGACCCGAAAACCAAGGGATGGTGGCTCATCATGGACCCTGAGCTTGCTGGTGTACATGGCAACTACATTGAAAGCTCAGGATCAGCCATGTGTGTCAATGGTTTGCTCAAAGCTCTTCGAATGGGCTACATAAGTGGTACAAAGTATACCAAGGCTGCCTTGGACGGATACGAGTTGATGACAACCTCGTTTGCACAACCCAGAGGTCACGGGGCTTTGGCCTGGGAATGGACTGTGCAGACAGGAAGTTTGAGTTCCAACGGTACATTTGAGGTGAGCTTACCACGTATTGAGGGGGAAATTTGTGATAAAAACTTCTAACAATGTCATAGTACTACGCCAGTATGCCACTGTTCCAAAACGATCTCAAAGGAGTTGCTCCGTTCCTCTTTGCCAGCTACGAGTACGAGTTGTTTTCTAGCAGGTCCTAAGCACATAAGGCGTGTTCATGGCAAGGGGCAATAAAAGTCTATCAACATGGTTATGCCGAAAAGCATATTATGTCTAGATTGCACTCTATGTCAAGAGTCATGCCGAAAGCCTGATTTCCAAGTTTAGGCTGATATGCTGGAGGCCTAGTACAGAAATATTAATTTTGTTGAAGATTGCACAGCCTTCCCCTCAACATGAATAGTATTTTTCGTGCTGTTTACATTGAAATTTACTGAAAAAGTCTGTTTTGAAGATCCATATAATGCCAGTCCCCTCCTACCAAAGCCTGGCTTCAATCTTTCCATCAACATCAATTGTTTTCTCAACTCATCAATAACAATTGCTACCTCTCGTCCACTTTCAGTCTCTTTGCTAGCTTAGCAACGCCAATTTATTCTCTTGCTGTCTTCTATCACCAACATCAGTTGCTTCTCATCAACAATCACCATCTCCCATCTACCAGCATCAGTTGGTTCTGTTGCTGCCTCTGGTCACCAACGTCGACTGCCTCTACATTACCAACCATCATCAGTATCTCTCGTCCGCAGCCAGTTCCGCTAGCTCGCTCCACCAACAGTCATCACTTCTCATCACCTCATTTCTATCTCTCGTCCACCGACATCTCTAGTCCATTGAGACTAAAGAACACATATCAGAATGAGTCACTTCACAGAGCAGACAGGGTCTCGATCCCTTGGTCTTAAGAAGTTTTCTCCAGTGCGACGACTGTTGACACATCTCAGCTCTGCGAGACACCAGACCCATTACTCGAATGATACTCCTTTCATTCACCAGCATTATGAATCTTCTCATTCAACAATGTCTGAAGAATTCACGAAGATCTCTCTTGAAGAAGTTGCCAACGAGAAGATTGAACTCATCGATGAACGCTGGCAATTTCAGCCAGCGACCCTGACCCCCACTCACTGGACTCCCCTTACCCTCCAAGGACTCCCTAGGGGAGTGTTGATCAAGATTGCGACATACTTGAACATCACCAACAAAGCCTGTCTTGCTTTTACCTGCCGTCATACTCATCAGGCTTTGGGCAGAGCTTTGAGACTCAATCCAGGCCATGAGCGATACATGTTTCTTCGCCGACTGGAACGAGATGGTATGTGGCCATCAGAAATTCTATGCGAAACCTGCTCAAAATTTCATCTCCCAAGGAGAGACAGGACATGGAATAAGTACGAAGGTCCCAGGAGATGTATCCAGTATGGCAATGGGCGGGCCCTCGAGTATCTGGAGTCCCCCTATCTCCCAAGGCAGGTCCACTTTGACATTGTGGCCGCCATTACCCGGTCCTATCGATTTGACTCGGGGCTATACGACACCAATTCCTTCTTTTCTACCGAAAAATACACTGCTGGAAGGGCCAAGATAACCAGCAATGTTTCCGCAAGACTTTACAAGGGAAGCATTGTTCTCAAGGCCGAGTTGGTGCTCTCTGCGGGTAAAGTGGCTTTCGCGTCGGAGAATGTGGATAAACTAGAGAAGATGCTTCAAAAGAGCACTAAGCTCGAAAATGTTTGCCAGCATGTGAAGTGGGCTGAAGTTTTGCCGTTTATCTTTCGGCCTCAACTTCCTACTGTTCAAAAGAGTGGCCAGTCATGCTTGGGAAAGCATTCTAGCCAGAAATGCAAGATTTCCCGCCAAGACCTACACACATGCCTTTGGACTCATAGTCAAAAATGTTGGTCTCGTTGCGATGCATATTCAAGACTCGGGTCTGACCTTCAAAGGTTATGGTCTTGCAATTTGTGCTCTACAGACTACAAGATCAGCCTTTCGCGTAAGCAAGGCAAGAGTTCAGAAACAAACTCTTTGGTCTTTACTTCATGGAAGAACTTGGGTCGATGCACCAGTGTCTATAATGAAGACTGGGCAGGTCATATGAATCCTGGTCTGTCTGATTATCAAAAACGGGGAACCGACCTTTACGATGTGGCAAGGTCATTTGAAAACCCTGCGAAGGGTCTTTTCGATTTTGAGTACTACCCTTCTGTGTAAGCTGGAAGAATCATTACTTCCAAAGATTGGGGTGAGAGGATGGGCTTACATTAGATGCAGACTTTCCGTCTAGACTTAGATGCAAGAGTTTAGGTGGGGAGTAGCTGGAGGATTGTTTCTAGTATTATTAATAGACATGAACCATTCGGCATGCAAAAATAATTATGACACAGCCAGTGATTATTCCCCGTTGATAGGATTATTTCTTATCTCCCTTTTCCTTACGAATTGAAAATAACATCTAATCCTAAGCTATTGGCGGCACATCTTCCAACTATTGCGGTAGACAATTTTGTGATATGCTTGGGAACCCGTCCCCTGAGATCAACCCCGACTTAGGGACAGAGTTCATAACACGATAGTGCTTTTTATTTTCCATGCCGGATTAATTTACAAACCACTGGTGAGCGCAGATACTCCCTTGGCATGCCAGTGGTTTTCTCAGATGTGGTCAGGTCTCAGCATCAAGATAAACATGACCTCACTTGCCTTGACCTTTCTCCGCGACAGTAATTCACGGATCAATGAACAATGGCATTTCATACGTAGAAATAAGGTTTTGGTCGACTTTCTACATTGGGAAATTTCTCGCAACGTCAGGTTAAGCTTATTGCAACTCCTTTCCTTAGGGCTAAGGGTTAGGGCAGCGGCCAACCCTAGTCAGCCCTGTATATTCTAATTATACTCACGATGCGAGTGATCTTCTTTGGGCATTCTAAAATATGTCCTAGACTACTGATTTGGCTGGATGTGTTGGTTCTGAGGCGGGATGCTTATTGCTCTTTTATTCACCATGATTACGTGCGTACGGATCTCATTCTCGCCGATAAAGTCCTGATCTAGCGATACCTAAGTCTAATACTATAAAGCACCATATGGTTTGTGTTGTCAGAAGTGGAACAATGATAGAGCAAGGACCATGGCTTTCAAGATGAACTAATGACACCCGAGGCGGTAATGTGTTGATGGCTGTGTGTTAATGCTTAAGGGGACTATCATGATCAGAGACCATGATACTCTGGATTCGCCGCGGACGTAATCAGTGACCGTGAATTCTCAAGCTAGAGTTGCTTTCCATTTCAGAATCCTACAACCAGCTTACAATCATATCTACAATAACCCCATTCTAAGGAGTCGAGTTCCAAACTCAATCAAATAGTAGTCAGCATACACCAACCCGTGATCCCTCATTTGTATTCTCCCAGCCGGGTTATTTGAGACTGTGGCATTCCGAAGAATTGACTCGAATGTCCTGCCAGCAACTGAATCGACGCCAATCAGTTCCTCACCGTGGGTTCTAAGTTCCGCCTTTTCCTGCGCAAGAGAATATACCAGAGTGTCCTCGACAATTGTGATAGCGGCCTCAAGATACCTTGAGCTCAAAGACCTGTTCCCCATTGCCAGTGCCTGTGACAGAACAAGCAAACCATTCGCCGCGCATACCCCAGCCGATGTGTCTCTTAACGGTGGAGAGAACTCTTCTGATGGTGCTGAAAAGTCCCACATCGGCACATATCGCCCGGCCTTTTTCAGACTCCCGTTTGGCCCCTGGATGTCAATCTCAACACAGTCTGGGGCTGTCTCCATTTTGAGCAGAAAGAACTCAGCCAATCCGCAAGCCACTTGAAGAAATTCACTCTTCCTGGTCCACATGTAAGTCTGAGCGTAACCAAGGATAGCCCAGGCCTGGCCGCGAGACCACGTAGAGGTTGGGCTGTGACCTTGTGCTGTGAGTCTCTCCAGGACTTCGCCAGTTGACCAAGAAAAGTTGGCGACATGACCGCTGCTGTAAAGCATCCCGCCATAGCCGTTGCGTGCCGAGTTGGGCTCAGGCCGAATGTGAGACTTGAGCAGGGTCCGAGCATGGGTCTCTGCAATTTGTGCCAAATAGATGTCCCCCGTTTGGGCGGCTGCGTAGAAAAGAAGATCAAGGTTGCACATAGAGTCAATGATTACAATGTAATCACCCAGTTTGCCTTTACCTGAGGTCACCAGCAACCAAATATCTTCATCCCAAGAACGAATGGCCCCCACTGCAGGGCTGAATCGAGTAGCCAAATTTTTGGCTGATGTGATGATGCTTTCAAGGGCTTTTTCATCATGGAAAAGTTCCCATCTCGGTCGCATATGGGGCAACATGATGAATCCCATGTCGTGTGTGTTGGTGAGACGGGATTCTCCGTGGATCGGGTCCGACCAGGTACGGCCTAGAGCTTCAAGCCGACGTCGCACAGCGAAGAGATCCTTGCCATTGCTAGTGCTTGAACTCATACTCTCGGGATACTTGATGGATCGCTCCAAAAGGGAATAAATGCAGCCAGGGAAAAAGCCGCAGGTCCAAAAGTCGATGTCTCGCAATTGGTAGTGACCATAGTTGGAACCATCCTGGGGTACGACCTCGGGGTATTTTGTAGGAGGGTTCTAGGCTTGTAAGCTATGGTCACATGCTTGAATTAAGAACTCACGTTTCCTTCAAGATGCTTGACTGCACTTCTCAATATTTTGGCAGTAATGTTTTCGTCAAATAACTCTGGGAGACGCTTTCGTATTCCTTGGAGATTGAGATTGCCATTGAGACCAAGCAGGTCAGTCGGAATTGGATCAATGCTGCCCATTGCGCCTGTTGGAGTGGATTAGAGGAACAGATGTACCGGTACTGTTGAGAAAGTCGCGTATGAATCCTTCATGTTAACGGTTCGGAAGCCAACCCCGATAACTCTTCCGAACCCCGAGATCGTCGCTCCGTTCTTGGTTAATCGGTCAACCACGGCCGATAGCTCTCCGGAAACCGATGAATTTGACAACTTCATCTTGTCACCATTTTATCAGATCCCATTATTGATACGCACAGTCCCAAAAGTACCAGTTGAAATGCCTCCTCTTTCAGGTTTTAGCGACAATCCGTTCGAGACCCGAGATGATGTCATTCGGGCGGCGGAAGCCCTCATTCGACCACTTATGCAGTACATGTCACCTGGCAAAGGTCGAGTCCGAATCCCCCATTCGACAGGCACTCACTTTGATGAGACTGCTGCGCAACTTGAAGGTTTTGCACGGCCGTTCTGGGCCATTGGTGCTCTCCTTATGGGGAGGGCCGGTGACATGGATCTCATTCAGCCTTGGCTAGATGGTTTCGAAGCTGGAACTGATCCCGAAAGCCCAGATTACTGGGGACCCATCAAGTCTTTCGATCAGCGCATGGTTGAAGCTGAGATGATTTCTTTTGCGCTCTTGGCTTCGCCACGGGAGTTACTTTGGGAGCGACTTAGCCAAAAAGCACAACAGAATCTGATCACCTGGCTTTCTGGCCTCCATGGCAAAGACATGCCTCAAGCCAATTGGTTGTGGTTTCGCGTGTTTGCCAATCTCGCGTTGCTCAAAGTTTGCCAAGTTGATACACCTGCCCTGCGACAACATCTCAAGGAGGACTTGGAACGCCTTGACGAATTTTACATTACTGACGGATGGTCTGGTGACGGTCTCTGGCGATCTGCAGAGCTTGATCTCCAAGAATACGAGACATATAAAGAGACAGGAAAGGCAAACACGGTCCGAAGTAGTAGGAATGCTTGTTACTACTCGGGTAGCTTTGCAATCCAGTTCAGCCAGCTTCTATACACAAGATTTGCTGGAGACATGGATCCTGAGCGTACTGAACGATACCGGCAGCAAGCAAGAGACTTTGGGCGTGGGTTCTGCCGATTCTTTGACAAAGCCGGTAGGTGTCTTTCAGATTCAATGACCAAGTACTGACTCTTAAGGTGCCGCTATTCCCTTTGGCCGTTCATTGACATATCGATTCGCTTGTGGTGGTTTCTTTGCAGCACTTGCTGTTGCCGACGTCCCAGATATGCCCAATCCCTTGGGTGGCCCTGGCGTAGTCAAAGGCTTTCTGCTACGACACCTGCGGTGGTGGGCTAGACACTCGAGTGACATTTTCTACCCTGACGGCGTCTTGAATTTTGGGTGGATATACCCGTGAGTCGCCGTCTCTACTCATTTCGCAACTGCTAACAGCCCAGACAAATGTATCTCACAGAGGACTACAACTCTCCTCAATCTGTTTACTGGGCTCTCAAATCCTTGATAGTTGTTGGCTTGTCCGAAGACAGCGCCTTCTGGAAAGAGCCCGAGGCTCCGTACCCCGAAGTCTTTCGAGAAGAGGCTCTGCGTGTCCTTCTAGCACCTCGTCAGATACTCTGCAATCACCCAGGCGGAAACCACCATTTCATGCTATCCTTTGCGCAATTTTTGGCGATTCCATTTAAGGGTATCATGGCAAAGTACAGCAAGTTTGCCTATTCCTCAACCTTTGGCTTTTCCGTCCCATCAGGGGGCTACGGACTAGCCCAATTGGCACCCGACAACACCCTTGCCTTTAGTCGAGACGGTATGGAAACTTGGGCTGTGAAATACAAGTGCGCTGAGCCCGAGTTCAAGACAGCAACAGTTCATGCCGCTGCACTCCAACAGGTCCCGGCAGCAACAGTCCAATGGTTCCCGTGGACAGACCGCTGTGTGTCTGTCAGTACTACCATTGTTCCTCCAACAACGCGATGGCCAGACTGGCACATAAGAATTCACCGTGTCAGTGGAAATTTGAAGTCAGGCAAGGTGTTTACAGCAGAGGGCGGTTTCGCCATTCACGGTCGTCACCAAAAAGACACACTTGAGTTGAGACAGCTTAATTCAGCCGATCTTCTCACAGCATGCAACTTGGGAGAGTTGGAAGGGGTTTTGCGGGACGAAAGATCAGTCCTAATTCTCAGTGAGCAAGGGGCTTCTGGTATCATAACAAACGTCTTGGCTGGGACAACTGTCAGCCCCTCGAAGCCTGAGCCAAACACCAACTTGATGAGACAGCGTACTCTCATTCCTACGGTTGAGCATATCATTTCTGGGGGCGAAATCGTGGAGGTTATTCTGGTCACAAAGGTATTTGCTATTTCTCGGGAGGCCAACGGAGGTTGGAACAATCAGGGCGCAAGCTTGAGAGAGCGATGGCTAGATGAGCCAGTGATCAACGTAGGAGACACCAAGCCGGGTGGTGATTTCATTAGTGTATCATACTGAGTCCGTATCCATCCCCGGCGTCTAACTCATAGCACTGTGTGCTGCAAATCTCCCGCAGCCATCATGTCCTCAAAGCTGATAATTCTGTCCATCTCCAAAAAGTCGTTGTCCATCAGGATCTGCGATATTGCAGACAATTCATCTGCTCTGGCGCTGGACGGAGATATAGAGTCAGCAGCTCTCCACTGATTGCCTTGCCCGACAGAGACAGACGGTACTAGGGCTGAGAACTGCGATGCCACATTTGCTTGAGGGCACGGCTGGTAAGAATTTGTAGGGTTAGGGATCCGAGGACCCAGGGCCACGTCTATTGACTGTCTCGGGCGGCCAGTGGAGTCTGGTGTGGCTTCTTCGGCCCCTTGGTACTCATAGTAGAGATTGCTTAGTCGCTCAGATAGCTGAGAAAAGAAGCATGACTGTTGATCTTGCATTCTGTGGCCATGCCATCTTCGGGACATTTCTTTCAAATTATCCACCAGTACGATGTACTCTTCAGCCAGAGCCGTCTTATAGTAACGCCAGTGAACTGCCATCATTAGTTCTGCTTGAACGACAAGGGGCCACTTACCTAGAAGAACTCGTCCGCTAACAAAAGCGCAGATTCCCAGTTGCGGTGATACGGGCAGTCTAGGTGATGAGCCCTCTAGATATTTGGTCGTCATATTTGCCGTCTCCATCGCAGCATTGTAGCAAGTATCAGCACTGCAAAGACTTGGCAGTCGAATTCCATTCAGTTCAGCATCTGGGTAAGCGATTCGTTGGTGTAGAAGAATCAGGGATATATTGTGGGTTGCATTGGCCACAGTCATGTTTGGATCCATGACTCCAGGCATTGTTTCTCGGGAAATGCCTGAGTCTTTCCATTGCTGGGGGAGATACATCTTCCAGCTACTTGTGTTAGATAATTGTCAAGATTGTCTTCGGCGGGATACTTACTGTACCAAGCGGAGATCCAGCTCTTTAAACCTCGTTAGCCAACTTGAAACCTCTTGGCGGTTGTTAAAGTCAATCTTTGTCTGCAAAAAGTAGGTTGTTATCTGGCTCAGTGACTCTATAGACTCGACGTAGTAAGCAAACGCGCCAACCATGGACATGTCCACAGTAGCTGAGCTCTTCTGGGCATGTGACGAAGGCTCGGCATCATTAGCTTCTGCGCCTGTCGAGTGAGAAGGGCTTGGGTAGTGTCCTGGCAGAAAGGTGATGGAGTTGCCAATCTTGGCTCTTGACCGATCCCAAATACCAAAATACGGCGTGACTGCGGGCTCATCTTCAAACCATTTACCACCACAGATGGGTAGTCTACGACAGACATCCGCAGCGGTCAGACTCGTGTTCCATCTACATGTGTCAGTAGAGTTAAACAATTGGACGTGCTGTCTACCCTTTGACGACAGATGAGAATCTGGAAATGTTAGTTGCGTTCTCATCAAGGGGGGATTCTTACCTATCAAGAATAAAGATGTTCCAGAAAACCCTCCTTCGCTCTTCTTCCTCAACCCATTTGAGAGGCGGAGGTAGACAAGTTGCAGATGGTAATACGGCTGGTCGCTGATGACGGTCTTCAGCCTCAACTGATAGTTCCATATACTCAACAGTCCTCGTAAGTGAACCGATTATAGGCCAGGCCTTGTCCAAGTTGCCATCCCCAATCTTTCATGTGAGCAAAGAACAAACACATCATTTGTTGATGACTTACATCGGTAAATGCAATAATGATAAGGGCTTGTAAGTTCTCCACAGTGAGGCCATCCAAGGCGTCCAATAGAACTGTTCGTCTGAGGCTGCAAGTCTCATTCTTCACAAACTCTGGTGAAAGGGGTTCTCCACCAGGTTCAAGATATCGAAGCGTGGCTACAGCCATGGCTTGGAGGATAACCTTGACCTGGTCCTTGTTGCTTTGAGCCCGTGTCCTAAAGTCTCTCATGTTGATCATGGGAATCCACGGTTGTACATGAGAAAAGTATACATCTATCAACTCGTCAAGGGCCTCGTCAATCACGTCATAACCTCGCCGGGGTTCTTCGTTCTCTGGTTCCTCGTATCTTCTTCGCTTCCTAGTGGATGTCTCTTGTGTTTGTTCCCTGTTTGGTGTCATATTCTGGTTGAGTTTCTGTAACTCTCCAGCCAAGGTTGAAAGCACAGCTTCAAGAGGAGATGGTACGTTTGCCCTGTGAACAGGTTCAATGTCTGGATAAGCAGATTCCCCTCCATCTTCGGTATGTGCTTGTCCAAACAAGGCTCTCTCTACTTTTTCTGTTCCTTCGTAAGTCAAGGGCAACAGTAGCGTAACATGAAGCCATACCTAGCCGCTGATTGAGACCCTCCACGGCACCACTCTTCAACCCCGGCTTGGCCCGCCGTGCTTCATAGACGCATGTCGTTTCTAAACCAATTAGTCACGCCACAATCGCTCCGCCTACACTTACGTAGCCGCTCGCAATTGGAACAAGCCGGTTTCTGTCTCGAACACTTGAGCTTTCGCTTCCTGCACCCGCCACAAGATGGGAGCTCGGCCTCGGAGGAAGGATCGTACGCGGAGTCCATGATGCCGACTTGTCAAGCATGAGGTATTTCCACATCAATGGACGCCGATGTTTTGCGGTTCATGGCGCGATTCATTCTTGACTCTGGATCCCCACAAACCGAATCAGTCAGTCACTCCACTTGACTCTGATTGGGTGCCTCTCTCATGGGTCGATGATCACGAGGTGAGTGTGGGGAAATGATGGTGTCGGAGTTCGGATAGTGGCCGTCCGAGATTTGGGCCGAGGTCCGACCTGGATCAGAGTCAGGGGTCATCCAAGGCTGGACGAAAAGCGATGCAGTTTTACGGTCGGTTGGTATCTTTATGAATTATTGCAGAAGCCTTTCAAAAACGTGTCTTGTAGAAAATATCATGTCCTTCCTTACCTTGGGTGATATAGATGCTTAATGCCGTGTTGAAAACGAGACATCCGGTCAGAAATGCCTGCTTTGAGCAAGTAACACAGCCGCTGAATGTTGATTCTACGATGAACTATCCCACAAGTCAACATAGCCATGTACCAGCATCACACGACGGCCAGGTCTCCGAGGAAAGGTCCGTATTATTCTCCACTGAAATCACACTCCACCCAACCAACACAAGTACAAATGGGCTTTTATATCAAACACCGCTCAAGAAAGTGCAAGTGACCGACCAGCTTCTGTCATTCCATTCTTTGTCAATCTCTCAAAATGCTCAAACCTCAAGCAAATGCCTACCGGGAGCTTGTCTCGCTGGATGGAATCTGGAACTTTGCCCTTGCTCAATCCGTCGAGCTAGAGACGGAACAAGTCTGGAAACAGGCGATCCCACCAACACTCCAAATACCGGTTCCAGCCAGCTACAACGACATATTCGTGGGCCGAAAAATTAAGGACCATGTTGGATGGGTTTACTATCAGAGAAATGTAACCATTCCCCGAAGCTGGTCTGGACAACGATATGTTTTGCGATTCGACGCGGCAACTCACAAAGGTCGAGTCTACATTGATGACCAGTTCCTTGTTGAGCATATTGGAGGGTACACACCCTTTGAGGCTGACGTCACGAACCTCGTCACCCCTGGACAACAATTCCGTCTCACCGTGGCTGTCAACAATGAACTCGACTGGCACACCATTCCTCCTGGACGTGTTGAGACACTTGAGAACGGAAAGCGGAAACAACACTATCAGCATGACTTTTTCAACTATGCAGGACTAGCACGATCTGTATGGCTGTATAGCGTGCCTGAAATATCTGTCAACGACATTACCGTGGTGACCGATGTTCAGGGGAGCACAGGCATCGTCAAATTTGATGTGGCGACCAACGTCCCACTTGGTCAACACACCTGCAAGATCACGCTGCTTGATGAGGAGGGCAATGCTGTTGGCCAATCATCAGACCTCAAGGGCTCCATTACTGTTGACTCGGTCCATCTGTGGCAGCCTGGTGCGGCCTATCTCTATCAGCTTCGCGCTGAAATCATCTCCCAGAACGAGACAGTGGATGCGTATAACCTTGCTGTTGGAGTCCGATCCGTCAAAGTTTTTGGCAATCAATTCCTCATCAACGACAAGCCATTTTACTTTACAGGGTTTGGCAAGCACGAGGACACCCCAATCCGTGGCAAAGGACATGACCCTGCGTACATGGTTCATGATTTTCAGTTGATGAACTGGACAGGGGCCAATTCCTTCCGAACCTCCCACTATCCCTACGCGGAAGAGGTTCTGGAGTATGCCGACAGGCATGGAATTGTGGTGATTGATGAGACAGCAGCAGTTGGCCTCAATCTCACCATTGTCGCTGGAATCTTTGGGTTGAAGCCCATTCCAACCTTTTCGCCAGACACGATGAATGACAAGACGCAAGCTGCTCATGCACAAGGCATTCGAGAGCTTGTGGCTAGAGACAAGAATCACCCTTCTGTGGTTCTATGGACCATTGCCAATGAGCCGGCGGCTAGTGAGCCAGGGGTTCGCGAGTACATGGAGCCACTCGTGGCCTTGACGCGCGAGCTGGATCCAACCCGACCGGTCTGCTTTGCAAACGAAAAGCAGGCCAGTATCCACAAGGACCTTATCGCCGATCTATTCGATGTCATCTGTCTAAACCGTTACTACGGCTGGTACCTAAATACTGGAGATCTAGAGGCAGCTGAAGAGGGCCTAGAACAAGAATTACGGGAGTGGGAGGGAAAATACGGCAAGCCCATCATCATGACGGAGTATGGGGCCGACACCCTTGCAGGTTTACACACGGTCGGGGACGTTCCTTGGAGCGAGGAATACCAAAGCAGGGTTCTCGAGATGTCCCACCGCGTGTTTGATCGAGTGGAGAGTGTGGTTGGTGAGCAAGTGTGGAATTTTGCCGACTTTCAGACGCCTTCAACGTTCATCTTTCGAGTTGATGGTAACAAGAAGGGTGTGTTCACTCGAGATCGTAGACCTAAGAGTGCAGTCCAGGTTCTCAGAAAGAGATGGACCAGCATGGCTCAGAATCGAGCTTCAAAGTGATAGATAGCAATAAACAGGCCTCGTTTCACAGATCCTTCCGTAACCGTGATAGCACTCATGCCTTTGTCATTTGATCACCACGCTGTTGCCGACGCTGTTGCCGATACTGCTGCCGCTCTAGAAGTTCGTCCAGACTTGTCCTCAACATTGCGTGATCCTTGTCGAATACCCACCGATCCTCTTGAATTCATCACCTTCATCCCGCGTGACCTCTTAAGGCCACAAACCTATCCGGAGTTTGTCCGACCCTTGAGTCTAGAGCACGAGTCGTGAAGAAACCTCGAGTTTAGCTCAAACTAAACCGTGAAGGGTTGGTCGTCCCACACCGGCTATGGAGCAATGGCCGGCCGACCACTACTCCGAATTCCACACCTACCAACGGATCCGTGAAATCCCTGTTCCCCCAATAAGCTACATGCTCAAAGCGACGTTAACCAGGGCTGACGGCTAGTCCGGGGCTATTGACACATTCCCCACGTTGTTGAATGGGGAGAGAACCCGCCAGGCTCTCCGCAATCAGCTCGTGGCGACATGTGGAGATCCGGGGCAAGTGACTCTTTTGACGACCTTGAACCGTACATCGGACAAGGTCTGTTCGGTCTGCTCTCCGAGTTTTATGAGCTGTTGAAGCATATAAACAGCCCTCACCTCTCTTGAATCACACTATCTACCTTTGAGTCTTCATCCAGCACCAGTATCAACATGAACAAGGAACAAGCAGACGTTGTCCAGGAGGAGCACGGTGAGAAGGGAGCCCATGAGGCCACCGCTGTCACTTCAGCCTTTGCTGGTCTGACCCGTGCTCAATGCGTCAAGAAGTTTTGGAGACTCTACATCACTGGCCTAGGAGTTTCCTTGGCGGGAATGTAAGTTGATCACTACAAGTTTGGATCATGCTGACCTGATAGGTACGCTGGCTATGCCAATTCGGTAATTGGCAGCATCATTGCCAATGAGGGCTTCATTCAGTACTTTGCAACCGTAGAGGACCCAGACACTGGAAAGCCTGCTCTCAACGCTCAACACATCTCCCTCTGGTCTGCCTGTTACTTTAAAATACTTCGAACACCCGTTAAGTTGCCAAGGCAAGGGGCTTAACGGCTGAATATTCAGCCCGAAGGGTAAATACCGTCTACCTGCTATTAAACTCTTCTGGGAGGCCCCCTTTCGACTGTGGCGATAACCAGCTATCAGAACCACTTCAAACCTATAGTAAGGGAGTTAACTGATAGACATAGGGGTCCCTCTACCACTTCCTTCCAGGCCCAATCAACTATATACCGTATATCGAGTTCCCCCTTCCCTGTAGCTTATAGGAAAACGTCATTTAGTCAATGTACCGTGGTGGATATGGCGGATCGATCAGCTACTGAGCCTAACGGCGTTATTGGTCAGCAAGGCGCATCTTCATCCCTACGTTGTAGTAAGCCATAATCGCAGTACATAGGAAACGCAGGCGTATAAACCTTCCGTGGGCGTATGGTTATAGAGGTTCTAACGGTCGAATGGCGCCTCGAGGAGTAGGCCTTGCAACGAGGTAACTCGTAACACTACAACATAACTAATACCGGCCTAGAAGTCGCGTATAGCGAGGTCAATAACTATCTGATCCTTCGTTAGGCTCTGGCATTTATAAACAGTGATGGCAAATGCCACGATCAGGGGAAACTAGGTGCGAGAGCAGGTCTCGTTGCCTACTAGGAAATCACGCGTGACGGGAAGGATGGGTATGATTTTCTTGCCCTCGTCAGTTGTCAGATACGGCGGTCCGTCGTAGTTATCGAAGTCCACTATGATAACGTCCGGGGGATCTTGCCACGGGTTAGCGCCTTCATTCCAAGCGACATCATATATCATACCCTGGGCGCCATTAACTAGGCCAGCTGGTTGCCACAAATTAGTTGTGAGCATTACCCTAGCGCCTCTAGCAATAGCAAACTTATTGGATAGATTGCCAGCGTTATCGCTTACCGCCTGCCCCGCGCCTTTGCCCTGGTTCTTTGCCTCTACCTATATTACCGGGGCGTTAAGGTATACTATATGCTCGTAATTGTATTCGTTAACGCGGGCCTTTATAGAATATACCCGCATAGCGGCCTTGAATCTATTAACCTCGCTCTGTATTAGCTTAGCCTGCACCTGACTACTAAGGAGGTCCCAGGAGGGTATAGATAACTTGACTTCACGCAGTTCTTGCAAGGCCTGACGGAACCGGGCCTAGTTATCACTAGCCTGGCGCTGTACCGTGGTTAGGAAGACAGTGCGGTTAAACAGCCGGTAGGCTACCTATCCTCTCCTTTCTAACGAAGACAGGCTAGTACTAGCGGTTAAATATAGCGGCTTTTATCGGATAGGTGGTAGCTAGAAGAAATCGCCCATAAGCAAGACGCTCACACCACCAAAGAACTCGAGGCTACGCTATGGAAAGGCCTATCGCAGGCGAGAATCAATTCGCCCGAGCTACTTAAGTCCTAGTATGCTCTTTTTATTAATAACGAGGTACCTAACGTGCCATAGGCGGGACTAAAGGGCAGTAGCGTTAGCTAGGCGAAGGTCAGTAAAGGCACCGCCTACTAGGAGACGGAGTAGCGAATGTATGGTGCTGCCCTATATCTGGTTACTCGCAACGCCTATTGGCGCTACGCGGCAAATAAGGCTAGGATTGGGCAGGGCAGCCGCCTGAAGGTAGGAGGAAAGCACCTTAATAAGGAAGGACTTGCCCGTGCCACCGCCGCCGTCAATGTGGAGAAGGATTTAAGTAGGATTTTGCGCCTGGAAGTGACCTATGAAGGTATCATATACTAACCGCTATTGCGGGTTGAGCTGGTTACGCTAGTTAGGGCCAAGGACCTCCATATCGTTGGCTATAGGGTTACTAGCGATAAGGTCTTTCTAGTAGCTATCTTAAAACTCTGGATAAGTGCCTATATGCCGTATCTAGTCGTAATTAATATCGATATCGCGGCGGCTAAGTAGGTTAAGACCTTCCTAGGTAAGGGGGTTATTAGGTAAAAGGGCGGCGAGACAGATCTAGTCTTCGTTATTAAATTCCTCCTCCACTAGCAGAGCCTCGTACTAATCCTCTTAAGGTTATAATTAAACCTCTTTTAGCCGGCCATAATAGTTATTACTATGACTATGGTGCTGCTAATAATAGGAGAAGGCCTAAGCGTGAGAATTAAAATAATAGCCATCAAACATAAGGAGCTTATTATGCCGACGATATGGGTAGTTTAATATTAGCTTTACGCGGCAGTAATCTAGCCACTATTAGCCTTCTGGATTAGCCTAATAGCGAGGAAAGTAAACTAATATACGCGGCCTACCGTTAACATTGCCTGGCTGCTATTGCTTCCACTTGGAAGGGTCCCTAGAGTGGAAATTCTAGTATTTGAGAAAGGAAACATAGGTTAGGTCCTCTAGGGATTCGGGGCGTTAATAGTACTTTTCGTAGACGTTCGGCGCCTCGTTAACCTCATCGGCGTTAATCCATAAAGAGCGGGAATATATATTAGGATTACGGCAATCAATATGTAAGCAGGTTCGTGAGCCCTCTTATAACGGCAGACCGAGGAGTAAGTAGCTAACCTCCTGCTTCGAGTAGTCTCGCTTAGCAACTAGCTAATTTAAGAGCTTTAACGTAAAGGAAATCAGCGGGTTATAGTCCTTAACCCGGGGCATCAGGGCCTTCCTAATCTAGGCAAAAGACTCACTTTTCTTCTCTGACTTAGAGCAGTATTTAGCTATATAATCGATTACCTGCTGCAGGCTCGTGCAGGGTAAGACATCTATATTAGCTAGCCACGCAACGGCAAGTAAGCGGTTATAGTAGTTCATCTGGTTATTATTCCGCTCGCCCTTAAAGCTCTAGTGCTTAGAATAAAAAACCTTTTCAAGGGAGGCTAGCAAGCGCTGCGCGTAAGGAAATCCAAAGTAGCACTCTACCTGCTTAGTATACTTACTAAGCTGCATATAGTAGTTATTATAGCGATGGCGCTGCACGCGGTTTACTACTATCGATAGGAACTAGACGATAAGGGGATATTCTAATAAATTACTAATTAAGGGATTCCCTTCCCTAGGTGCCTATACCCTCTAAGGCTCTGGGTTAATAGCGGATATATAATATCCCTAGATTCGGGTAAATCGCTCCCGGGACTAGCTATCATCGGGATCTAAGTCCGGGTGGCCACTTAGCTAATATAGGCCGTGGTGGTAACTAGAACCCCTGCCCTACTACTCATAGCGACCCTAAAAGTCCATTAGGTTGAACTTCTGCCTCAGGATAATAGTCCTAAAGAGCATATATCGCTTATAGAAGTAATAAGCGGCAATATGGGCATTATCTCGCAGTAGTTGCCGGGATAGAGCCATTCGCGCCGCCTTAGGAGCTACTTTCTACTCTTAGAATCGAGGCATATAATAATATAGGGACTCCTAGTGGTAATTAGCCGCACTTGCTATAACGAAAAGGCTAGGCCTACCTAGATTATAGGCACATGCCTCTAATTCCTTCCTTTGCTTATACTAATATAGACAGGTGCCCCTGATTATAGCGGCTTAGCGCGTGATCGACTAGATCAGGGCCTGAGCCTCTGGCTCGTCAGGCTTAGCTATCGCTTCCTCTATATCAGCGCGCATAAGGGGTTAATAGCGGCCTTTGTATTGCTTGACTGAGTAGTTACTTCGCTTTCTGACCTGCGCACGTAATAGCGTATTGAGGGCGACGAAAGGCCATGTCTTATAGCGGGTAAAACGTCTGTCTTGCCATCTCATCGCATAGGCAAGGTAGTCCTAGTATGTGACGCTCTATAGGCGAGGCTCCACGAAGTCGGCCTTGCCGTCGGGGTAGAGGGTAGGGAACGCGAGCATCAATAGCGGCTAGGAACGGTTAAATTCGTTGATAGGAGTCCGGCGAATAGAAGGTAGTAGCATCTAGTATTAAGCCTACGCGTTAGGCGGTATATACTCAAGATCGGCCATACGCTTAGGGTCAGGGGTACTATGAAGCAATCGGGACTACAGGGCGTTTAATTCGGTGTCTATAACCTATAAATCGGGGATCGCCGATATATCTATATCTGCTGGGTCCTCTTCTATATCCTCCTCAACGAGACCTTAGGGGGCCTCGCCGTTAAGTATATTAGCCACTTAGTTAGCAACGGAAGTAACTATGCTACCGTCAAGAGGAAGCCGTTATAAGCGATCCTACCTCATAACGATATCGCGATAGCCCGGGTAGTAGCGCTATAGGTAATGCAGCCAGGTCAATAGGCATAAGCGGCGTACCCGGAAATCGCGAGCAAACTACTACTAGAAGTAAGGGTCGCCCTCCATATTAGGAGGCCGCAGGAGCATAATATCTAGCTCTTTAGGTAAGACCGGGAGCTCTTTAAATAGCCTACCAATATTACGAAGGAAGTAGATAACATAACCGCGGTATTTATACTAAGAGCCACGTACCTATAGGACCTTCACGTATACGTGAACCCTAGCAATCAGTATCTCCTCAACCATCGTTAGGCTAGGTAGATTACCGGGGACTTCCCCGAAGTTAAGGTTATTCGCAGCGCTAAAGAAGTAGGGCTCGTTAGCGATTCTCTCCTTATCTCGACTAATGCAGCGGCTATAGACTCCTAAGCTGTTTTTCTTTATATCGAACCAATGCTCCCGGCAGCGAATGTAACTATGTATCTTATCGTCATTCAGGGCAGTATAGAACTCCCGCATAAGCGCCCGATCCTCCTCACTAAGGGCAGGCAAATCAAGGTCCCCTATAAAAGGTAGATCAACTATCTGATTAAACTATCGTTCTTGAAGCTGTGGCCGTGGCCGTCGGTTCACGATGCCTTGACGTGTATAGCGGCCGCGGCGATGACCCTGTGGCAGTAATAAAGCAGTGGTAGGGAATGATTCCTGTGGCATAGGCGTGCCTAGCATAATAGGAGCCGTTGTGGCCGTGTCACTAGGAATCGGCGTGCCCAGAACTACTCTTGGCGGGCTTAAGGTGGGAGGGATAGGGAGGGCTCTTTCCGCTGCGCTTAGGGTAGATGGGCCCAGCAGAGGTCTAGGCAGTCCCTAGAGGACGGGCGCTAGACCACGGAATACAGTAGGCGTTGCAGGGGGTTGTGAGTTATTGATAGACACGAGCGCTTGCATGTTTCGCCGTGGAGGCGTTAATTGAGCCTGAGAATCGGTCCTCTTCGTCGTTCTACGCGGCGATAGCCTCGAGGCGATATTCCGCATGGCGGCAACGGCGGCTCGGGATTCGGCCACTCGCTCCTTTTGGCGTGCCCTATAGCTACTATATTGTCTCGTAAGCCTCGCAGGGTCCTTAACGCTTCGAAACTCGACCTCGGGTAGGTCTTGCTTGTAAGTATAGTAGTTCCGAACTGCCTGGGGTATATTATTCTCCATCCGGCTATATATATTGTTATTCGCCTCTTACCTATGCAGACGACCGGGTAGGTATCGCTTGGGCAGCGAGGGTTTGCTTAGATGTACCGTAGCGTGATAGATCTCGATATGGGAGGTTGTCTGTAGGGTGTTTTGATTAGGTTCGAACGATCAGGGAAGGAGGGGATACTTTACTGCTCGACCGGAGGTAGGTGATATGTGAGCCGAGACGTCGTTAGTAACCTCGTAAGGTTTGGTGGATAATAGTTTTGACGGGAAAGGGAAAGCAGATGCTATGTCGGTGCTTCGGCTAGAATCGCGCTTGGAGGCCGGAGTTGATTGAAGGATAACCTTAAAGCTCCTGGAGAGCTTGCCAAAAGCGTTACCTAGTTAACGATCACGGGCTTTCCTATGTAGTGGCGTCGTTAGCGTTGATAACTGACTAATTTAAGCACGAGTTGAGCATAGACTATGCCAATTAGCTAATTAGAAAAGGTTTTATGCTCTTTTTTTCTGACTGAGTAAAATGCCCTTTGGGCTGAATCATATTAATTCTGATTCAGACTATCGCCCCTGTCACTGCTGATAAGTTTGGACGCAAGTTTAACATGTGGGGAGTCACCTTTTTTCTCACCACAGTAGGTTTCCAACCAGATCTTTTGGCCAGCGCTGATTTGTTAGTCTGTCGTTATTCAAGTTGTTGCTCCCAACTGGTGGGTTCTTCTGATTGCCCGACTTGTAGCCGGCTGCGCAGGAGGCATGTTGTCTACAAGTTGCATGGTTTACATGTCAGAAGTTGCCATGCCCCAGTTTCGCGGTGCTTTACTGGGCAGCTTCTCTCTTTCATTTGCACTTGGTCAGGTCTTTTTGGCTGTGGCTCTCAAGGTTCTTGAGGAGACTGATCACCTGGCTTTCCGTCACATCTTTTACTCCGAGTTTGTCTTTACCGGGCTATGGCTATTCCCTATGCTCTACCTTCCCGAGTCTCCTGGTAAGTGCCTCGATGATGTATCGATCTTTGCTAACATAAGTAGCGTGGTATGCTTCTAAGGGTAGGGATGAGGAGGGCAAGAAGGCCCTTCGAAAGCTTATAGGAAACGTCGAAGGGTACGACTTTGATCACGAATACTCTGTCTTTAGATATGAGTTTGTGGAGTCGTTATCCATGGCAAAGCACGGCGATGAGAACTCTGACTGGAAAGCTCTCTTTACCAGCAAGACTAACTTGAAGCGTGCCGTCATCTCTACACTTCCTTTCACCTTTCAGAACATTGTTGGTGTCCCCCTCATGTTTGGATATACCACCTACTTCTTCCAGCTGGCTGGTGTTGACGATCCCTTCCTTGGAAACATTGTTAAGCAAATGGTTCTTGTTGTGGGTATCTTGATCTCTTTCTATACCGTCGACAAGGTCGGAAGAAGGACTTTGGTCATTTCAGGCGGCGCTGCTATGGCAGCCATCTGCTTTGTCGTTGGCGGACTGGGCTTCATGAAGCAGACCAGTGCATCTGGTATGGCTCTCGTTGCTCTCTGTTCTCTTTGGGCGTTTGTGTATGCAAACTCGCTCGCTCCAATCGGTAGGTTGACAGGTTTTTCTTTGACTTTTACTAATTTCGCAAAGGCTGGATCAGTCTAGTTGAGATTTCCAGTCCCAGTCTGCGAGCCAAGACGACCTCCATTGCCGTTACTATTCAGTACATGACAGGCATTCTCTTTGTAAGTACTTTCCAACGTATAACGGCGGCGTCTAACTTCTGTAGAACTATACTGTTCCCCTGATGCTGTCAAACCAAGGAGCTGGTTGGGGTCAGAAGATCGGTTTGTTCTTTGGTGGCATCACCCTGGTCTACCTCATTCCATGTGTTTTGATGTTCCCCGAAACCAAGGGACGAACTTATCACGAGTTGGATGAGCTCTTTGAGCAACGTGTCCCGGCTTGGAGGTTTGCTTCCACCAAAACCTCGCACCAATTGGAGCTTGAGGCCAAGGCGACAGAGACTGAGAAGTCTTGAACAAGGCAATGCACTCCAGCTACTAGATGGGTTTATGGAAGCAGTAGCTTCTAGAAGGCGGATGGAGAGTTACGACAACTGAAGGGAGAGAGGCCATCTGAGGCAGGTATCGCAGATACTCGACTACAAGAGGCTTTTGAATAGAAGATGCGATGCGACACGCTTGTTGAATGAATATTGAGTGATTTGAGAAAGGAGTTGCGTGTTGGCATGACTATTCCTATGAAACCAGCCCAATAGTGCGTCCGATGCCTTCTTTTAAGTGATTGATAACGCCAGCCTATTCAGTCGCTGGCTTCCATATCCTTGATGTACGATCTTCGGGCTCAGTTAACCCATCAAGGGCCGGGCTGCAACTATAATAAAGAAGAGATCTCAAACACAATATAACATCATAACCCGATGTTAACACAGTGGCCTAGTTAAACTTCTGCAGCAGCAGAAGAGTCATACCTAGCCACATCGTCATGAAAGGTCTAGCCTCTCATGGGTATCCTTGATGTACAACTTTACACCCTCATAGCAGCCGAGATACAATCCACTTCCAATTGTAGCCGCCACGCATGTAAGAGTAAATCCTCGAAACAAACCGGGCATACCCTCTGTATGTAGGGTCTCTTTTGCGATGTTGAGGAAACTGACAGAGGGCCGTCTAGATCTTTCAAGCGTCTCAATGCCATGACCTCCGGCAGTAAGTCTCATCCTTGTCTTGATGACATCAATAGGGACTAGGAAACACGAAGTAAAGCCACCAGCCAGTCCTGCGCTGAGTGTGCTCACTTGAACCTGCATGGACGTGCTGGCTGCCAATTGAGGGTCTGTTTCGCTCATTTTATCCAGTATCTGTGCTTTGATGTGCTCGTAAATGCCAAAGGTCAAGCAAGTTCCTGGAAGATGACTAGCCAGTAACGCAGAGTATCCTGTCCACAATCTTGCAGGGTGAGCTGAGAATTGCCGGAAGGCCTGAATCGTGTACCAGCCCCATGGTTTCCTTGGTCCTCCTAGTTGGATCTGAGCGTTCTGCTTCAGTACTTCCGCAGGATTTGAGATTGCACAGTTTACAAGCTCAGCCACACCACTGCTGGCCACATGAGCTGCCCAAGGGGGAACATGAAGGTATTTTGACTCTTGAAAGGCACTTTTCATGCCTTCGTATATGATGAAGAAAGCGGCAGACGAGGGTATGCCAGTGAGTAGAGTGGGCCCAAAGCCTTGATAAAGGCCTCTAAATAAATTCTGTTTGATTCGGCCATTGGACTTGTATCGGATGGCGTATAGTGGGGATTGAACGCGCGTAATGATTGTTTCCATGGGGTGGACAAACAAGTCCGCGCTCAATCCGGCGACGACGGCAGCCTGAAGTCATGAGCGTGGTACATTATCAAGAGGGGTTTCTTACCGACCAAACCTCTGCACCAGTTCCAATTGACATGATAGTCTGGCGCTTGAGGACATTGCAGTGATGGTCGATGATCTTGAGAAAACCTGTTGAACAAGGACACGGATGGTGATCGGAAGCCGCGGACTCCAATTCTATTCTTAGAAGCTGGAGTAGTCTAACCGAGAACGGTATTTTTCAGACGCATTTTACGAGCTACCCGGGACCTTGACATTTGGTATGTTGAAAGGGTTGATCCTAACCAGAAAGCCAGAAAGTCATGAGCAACTGTTATTTTGAATGTGAGGTTAATACTGGCTTTTATTGATCGTCCAATTAAGTCTGCGCGAGAAATTGTTGTCTTGAGTACTGAAAGAAAGGTGTACTCCAACGGGGTGGAACGCAATGGTTACCCCTGATCAGTTCAAACTTTTACCTCGGTGTCAATTACTAGCCAACTAACTCGTGATCAATGAACATGCTACAGCTAATCACTTTCGGTACTTTTTGATCGCATCTCCGATGCCTTCTCCTCGCTGCAATGCCTCTAGGGTGTGAGCATCCATCTCGGCACGCTCCTTGCACAGCTCAATGACTTGATCCATCAATGATGTAGGCACCACGACCACTCCATCAGCATCTCCGACAAGCACATCCCCGGGATTAATCCATAGATCGTCCTTGAACTGGAGTGGAACGTTGATTTCGGACGCCCGAGTAAAGGTATTGGACCCTAACGTCGAGGTATCCCGTGCAAAAACCTGAAATAAGCTTAGAACTTGTGAGCGACGGGAGACTTACTGGAAATCCCAGCTCGCGATGCTCATTAATATCGCGAATGCGTCCATCTATGACTGCTCCGCCAGCCCGCAAGGCGCTTGCTCGGGTCGACATCAGACCACCCCAACAGGCAGAGTAAAGCCCCTTGGGTTGCTGGATATACATAATCTTTCCAGGTTCATTGCAGTCGGCAAAATGCCTCTCAGGCTTTGGAGCATCGGTATCGCTCATAGTCACCATCTTGACCGTGATGGTTTGCCCGATGGTCCTGTGTGGCCCAGAGCGGTGTGCGGGGGACCACATGTGGATGCCATCGAGGAATCCTCCGTAGGGATACTTGAGTTTTACCAAGGCATCTCCGATCTAGAAATGTTAATTGCGTCCTGTATAAAAACTTGAACATACATCGCAAGACGTAAAGACGCTCAGCCGCTTAATCGATGCTTTGAGGCTCATTGTGATGTTGGTGATTGAGCCAAGTTTGTGCGCGGATTTAGCGATCGGCTTATTCCGAACTACGTCACCGTGAATCGCTTTTGATGCGGAGCTTCGGACTTATCCGATCAGCACCTTCACTTCGTCTCTCCTGACAATGTTGAACCCTCGCGCGACAGGTCTCACGAGAATGTCTTTCGAGAATGACGTAGTCCTCCCTCCGATAATTGAGTCGGCTCCAGCCGGTTTTGAAGTTGCCGACTCGCCGTCTCCTCGTCGCGGACTCAAGAGAATCTCTGCTGCTTGTCAGAGATGTCGCCGAAGAAAGCAAAAGGTATGAACCTCGTCCATTGATGTGCCACTGCTTACCATCAAGTGTGACGGAAAACTTCCGATCTGCGGGTCATGCGCCGCAGCGGCAGTCCCATGCGTCCCTTCAGACCGCCTGGTGATCAAAGTGGATAGAGAGTGCGAGTGCGATCACCTCAGGAGCCAGGTAGAGAGCCTGAAAGGTCGCGTGAGGGAGCTGCAATCCCAACTGGCCTTGCACAGGGATAGGGCTGGTTCTCATGATTTCCGACAGCCAATTGGCGAATCTGCCGATGGAGCAGGCAGCTTGGAAAAGTTCTACCGAGGTCGCATGCTTCTCCCGACGTTTCGAGGATCAAACGCTCATAGTCCAGAGGTTGGCTTTATGAGCAGTCCCTGGCAACTATGGAATGGATTATCAGCGAGCGATTCCCCGACTACCAATCTGGCTTCGTTTTCTCTTCAAGATGATGGCCCAAGCCTGGTTGATGTGTTTTTCGATCGGAGATGGCCTCAATTTCCTGTTCTCCACCGGCCAACCTTTATGGAACAGCATTACCTGCCATATGCTAGCGGCCATCCAAGGAGCAAGCTTTCTGCCTTTCAAGTCAACATTGTTCTTGCAATTGGGGCTTCAGAAAAGGCCAGGACAGGCTGTAACCCATCCGTATCTTTTCAAGGATTCTTTAAGGATGCAGTGCGCGAGCTGGACAATGTCCTAGCAGCTGACGACATTGACTGTATTCAGTGCCTCTTGTTACTCTGCATTTTTGGTAGCAATGAGCCTCAGTCTGTCAACTTGTGGCAAGCTGTTGGTTTAGCTCTGCGGCTTGCAGTCGGCATTGATCTACATCGACGAGAGGCCCTGGCTGGAAAGTCTCTTCTGGAAGCAGAAATGTGCAAGAGGCTGTTCTGGAGTCTTTACACGATAGATCGAAGCATATCCATCTCTCTGGGAAGGCCCATCGGCATTCAGGACGCCGATATCACCATATCTCTTCCCCTTTTGCTATCAGACGAGAAGCTCTCCGGACCAGCAGAGCAAGCAGTCCCAAACGTTTGTCCAGACGTTACAGATATGTCTGCTTTCCGTCACATTATCGAATTGAGAAGAATCAACGCCGACATCTACAGAGCACTTCATTCTGCAGCCGGAGTGAATATCGAGAGCTCCAACCTGGATTCTATCCGACAACAACACTATGCACTCCTCAACACGTGGCTATTATCAGCACCGCGATACCTTGCACCAGTCTCGATGTATCAGACTTCGGAATGGTTTCAAATCGTATACCATCAAGCTGTCATCAATGTGTATCGACCTTCACACGCCTCCCCTGTCAGCAGCGCTGATGCTATACGGCTCTGTGCAGACTCTTCTATCAGTCTGATCAGTTGCTACAATGCATTATATGCCAAAAACAAGATCATCTACACGTTTGTGGCACTTGATTCGTTATTCATGGCCGCTGTTACCATGCTCTACTCGATAAGAGCCAGTGCTGCAGTGCGTCACGAGCTGACAAAGGAGGTCGTTGAATCCAATATTGAGTCATGCGTTGGACTCTTGTCCAAGATCTCTCACGGTCGAATAGTTGGCGAGAGAAGTATTCAGGTCATTCGCCGACTGGGAAATGCAACTCTTGCTGTATTTGACACGACATCATCTGCTGAGAGCGATATTGATACAGAATTCATGTCCTGGTTTGGTGTCAAGTGTCAAAACCCTCCAGGACCAGAATATCCTACGCCCAGTATTGACATTGCTTGGAATGATTTGTTTGAGCACGGTTATGATCTGAATGGGTTTTATAATGGGGACTTGTTACTCTAGGAGAATGAGTTAATTGATCGGCATGTCTCACATGATGGTCGCAGGACGGCATCCTACCACTTCATTGAGAAGAATCTCAGCCGCATGTGTCACCTTATTAAGCCGGGACTTTACAGTAATCACAGAAATGGACATTAAGCATATGGCACTGATCAGGGTGGTGCTCGTCTCAGACGTCCACTGTCTCATATGATAATGTTGGAAACAGACAAACACGGGTCCAGCACAATATGACACTGTCCGGCTTGTCATAACGGAGTGATTGTTGAGTACGAGTTACATCTCCCTTACAAGCCAATCCCTTCCACCTATACCTTTCATCCACCGACCATTACCAAGATGCTCTCATCTATTACAGAATGTCGACACAGTTAAGGAGGGCGACGTTGATGAGAGCACCCTGAAAGAGTCAGAACACGATTCGGATGCTTCAGAGGAAAACTTACAACAGGGGCAGAGGTTTCACAGCAGTAGGCGCTGCCATCACAGTTCTTGCCGAGAACCTGGATAGCGCAGCTGAGGATACCGTTACAGCAGACCTGCTGGGCGTTGGCGTTGCAGGAGCCAGCAGAGCCGCCGCCTCGAGCCTCAACTTCGGTGGGAGCGGCAATGGCAGTGGCAGCCATAGCGAGGACGGAGGCGACAGTGGTGAACTTCATTTTGAAGGTTGAGTTGTTTGTTTGAAGTGGTGGAGTGGTTAAACTGAATGGAGATACTGGATTGTTGATGGCGAGTGAGTTGAATGGGAGACGAGGTCTCTTTATAGTTGAGTTGTTAATCATCTCCCGCCGCAAGCGCATCCATCTTCACCGTCTTGATAACCTTGAGTCATCCTTGAACCAGCCCGCTATCCAACATGAGAGCTCACAAAGTTCTTCCAGCCTCCTATTGGAGATGTTTTACCAGCAGACCAAGGCAGCTGCAGTCTTCAGTTGAGTCCCACAAACAATGCAGATCGCCGAGATCCGGTCGGTAGTTGATGTTGGTAATGAATGGACGCAGCAAAACCGGTCAGATGCATGCCGGATTCTTGGCATTTTGGACTGCAAATTTCAAGCAGACGAATAAACCCCTGGGCCTATCACAAAAGTATAGGATGGTCATCCCACAACCCGGAAGAGGATGTGCACCTACTCAATAGTCTGGGGGAGGCTTGACTAGCACAACGTTGATCCCCGGAGTAAACAGCCCGTCCCCTGACTCCGCAGAACCACTCCTCGTCATCGACTCAACTCTGTAGTATCCAGCGGCTAGTTGCAGAGCTCTCTGTCGAATCCATGAAATGGCAGTGGTAAGCTAAGAAACAAGGGATAGGCTCTGAATGAGTGGATTCAAGAAGTGGGCTCAAATGATGTGTAAGAAGGGTCTTGTCAGCCACGTCGTCAATGAAGACTTGGAGTCGCCTCACTTTGCCCGTGCACGATATCATAGGCCAATACTGCGTGGCCTGCAGGACATACCATGCAGAGGCTGCACATTTCATTTCACATACATACGCCCCACTTCAAGCTTGAAAACAGCCGCGCGTGCCTGGAATCTAAGTCGGCTGCCGCTGCAATGTCAATCACAGGCAGGCACTGACTCGTGATGCCGACGGTCCGGGGATGTTGCTAGTTGTGAGCGGTCTTGGTCGATTGGGTTGCATTTAAGTCTTGACGAGAAAATCATTCCTTGGTTATGCATCATTGAAACTAACATACAGCTGCAGAGCCTTGAAATGGTAAACCAAGCGATATTGTGGAGAAGAGGAAATCGTCAGCATGAAGCCCAACCATCTGATCAGATTCTCGGCTAAGGGGCAATGCTGAGGAGAAAGGCTGGTAGCCAAAAATGTGTAGAGATGCAGAAGCAAATTGGAATCACAGGGATTTTCACTTTGAGCAGGGTATTCGAGCCACTTTGACCACAGCTTGACCTATACCCTGTTTTTTAGTACAAGGTATGAGCGCCACGCCAAACTTGTAGACAAATCCCAGGCGCAGCACTTGTTGAGGCCTCATGGACTATTGTTTGCAAGCCAATAGCTCAAAACTGCAATAGTGGCAGCCATCCTCCTTGCTTGGAGATGATCCTCCGTGCAGCGTGGATCAGCCTCTGAGCTCCGTCTATTCACGGAGTACGGAGTACGGAGTACCTTTTAAGGTAATCCAGGCGGCTGGCTCGCAATCACGATGGCCTCACTTTGGTGGTCTGTTCTTGTTCTTAAGCCCACAATACTAACATCCACCTAAGTCTCATAGCTGCGAGCCAGCTGTTGCTATAGATGCGGTTCTACGGCGCATGTTGGGTCTGCCGCTGCATTTTCTATCACATCTCAGTTCGTCCAGTCTCATCTAGTCTACTCTGGTGGATCTGCTGTGCTTTCAAGTCGGCAAAGCGGTGAGGCCTCGACAGGCCGACGTGGATCGTCATAATCTACGTGTTCAGAATTATGCCGTCTATGGCATTGCGCCTAGGTCATGGAAATCCGTCAAGTCGTGACTAGGGGCTATAGTTACAAGGCGTTGACGCCAAATTTCGGGGCCGATTCCACCGGATGACTGCCTATAGTGTTGTAGCGTTACTCAAGTGAAATTGGACTTCCGTGGCTTCTCTGCTTGTAGTCGTGTGTTGTAAATGAATCATGACTATTTGAAACACATCAGCTGCTGTTTGGTGTATCCATGACTGATAAGCATGGCATGTCAATCCGATGGATGACGCGACGTTGCGGTGGCGTTCTGCAATTGTAACCCTGGGGCTCGGCTTGACTTGCTGACCGATTAAAATTCCTTTGCATTTGAGTTGAATTTGTGCTTGAAGCTTCTTTCATAAAGCCGTCACTGAGCAGGTCTCGCAACAAGTGCAGTGTTCGCTTAGATTGGAGTTCGGAGTTTCCAGTGGCACCATGATCTGAGGTAGCGGCCAGTAGTGTGCAAGATGGAAGGATTATTGACTGTGTCGTCTCGACATGTAAATATCTACACTGATAATCGAGAAATTGAAGGAACATTACTAGCAAAGCATTCTTCTTCCGCTTCTTAACTTGAGACCTCGAAGAACCGAGAACTTGAAGCTGCATGTGTCACAAAACCGTTGGGGTATCTGCCCATCCAATCAATTCGAGTCAACCAACACCAGCCACACCAAGCCCAAGAGTCCGAACAGTTCGTACAGTCAGGACTGCTCTAAGAACCATGACTTAGAATCTTCCCTATTATGTACTTCAATCACAAAGAGAATTTAAATCCAATGTGTAGGGTTACCCAATAACCATCTTGGCGGTTCTGGTTTAAGAGTATCAGGGTATCCAGAGCCAGGAAGCAAAATCCTACAAGCCGCTAAAGAGCCTCAATGCTCTCCACAGACCGTTCCCACTTAAAAGAAGAGAATTTGCCTTGTCATACCTATCTAGTCATCATGAGAAAACTTTCCATTTACGGTAATTCCTATTCAGGAATGTGGGGCCGGGACGCTTAGAGAACCAATCACTCGTGTCGCTTGCCGACCGCGGTTATCTCTATTTCGACCGCACAGCCCGCTTTAATCCGCTAATTTTACAGTGGATATAGGGAGTCTGCCCGCTAAGTTACAGTGGACTTTGCCTAGAGCCTCACTATCAAATGAACTTGTGATTAGAACGAATGCCTGATTGATCCAGCAGTCATTTCATATTGTTTGTTCAAGTTCTAGCCTTCAAGTATTCCTTTATCCAAGCCGGACATCCGTATGACAATATCCAACGACCAAATAAGTGCGTTCACCGCTCGGAGCAAACCCTCATTCTTCTCGCCATGGAAACAGAACCTATTCAATTTGTTAGGTCCATTTGCCACATCTCTCCCGTCATCTTTACACCCCATGAATCGTGGTCTTCCTTCTCAATAAGATTGAATCCTGCCTTCGAATACAATCGACGAGCGCCCTCCAGCATGCTCTGCGTCCAGAGATTAATACGTGTGTACCCAGCCTCTTTGGCAAAAGTAATACACTGCTGTATTAAGCTACTCCCCACACCCAGGCCTCTAGCCTTTTCTTCCACCAGCAAAAGTCGGAGTTTGGCAACACCTGGTTGCTTGTCGTGAACCAACATGATGCATCCAAGAAACTCGTCATCTTTTTCGGCAATCCAGCATCGTTCCAAGTTTGGTTGCAAGTTGTCGATAAAGTCTGCCGTAATTCTAGCGATCAATGCTTCGAAACGTTGATCAAATCCGTATTCTTTAGAGTAGAGGATGCCATGTTGGTAAGTTATAAGACCCATGTCTCCTGGTCGATGGGTTCGTATGATTATTTGAGATGAGGGGTGAGAAGTCATTTTGGCGGCTTGAATTGTGCCGAGTGTAATGAGTGAGGCTATGTTCTGGACACAGTGCTTTATAGTATCTGTTACTGTCAGCGACAGGGCGCAACTATCCTGGTGGGTCTCGGATGTCAACCACAGGGCGCAGGTTCAAATGCTGTATTGGTTGATGGCCTGTGGGCTGAGTGAGAATTGTTTCAGATCAGTAGTGATACTAAAGAAAAAGATCGAAAGCGGCAGAAATTAATCCATTTAAACACTGCATGACCTAAGCTTCACCAAGAGCCAGCACATCCTGCATCTTGACCACATCCACAAACTTTGGCAGAACTCTCTTCATGAGAAATTCATGAACTTCGGGTTCATCATCAATAATTCCTTCTTCCACACAAATGATGTGATAGTCGAGGTCTGCACCAGCCCTCGCGCTTCCCAAGATGCTCCCCATGGTCGTAAGTCCAACCAAGACGATATGCTTGACCCCACGAGCTCGAAGATATGCAATCAGATCAGATGAGCCGAAGCAATTGGGCTGCAGCTTTCCCAGGACAATTTCGTCCTTGCCACCCCAGCCTTCTTCAGGAACGAGGGCTTCAGGAACAGCGTAGTGTGGATGATTCGGGTCTGAAGGGGCATTGGCGAATGCACCACTGGCTTCAAGTTTCGCAACCCACTTTGCCAGTTTGTTATATGGCGATACGAACGCATTCGAGTTGATGTTGAATGGCAAAGTATGGTGAATGATCATTGGGACACCATCATAGAGGCCCGAGTTTGGTTGGGTCCTTCGAGATTTAATCTCTGATCGGAAAAAAGTGAGAATCTTTTGGACGTTCTCAAGGTAGGCGGCCTGGTCAGCTGGAGAGAAACGACCAAGAATTTGGGTCTGCACATCTGAGAGAAGAAGAGCAGTGTGATTCAACGAAACTGGGACGTAAAAGGGAGAAGCCATTTTGGTGTTGGTAAGAAGCAGTGGTGAGATGAGGAATGAGTGGGAGGGCTTGATTTATACAGAACATTCGAGATTGCAAGATCCGACACTTTTAAAGAAACCTTTTTGCAGTATTGGCTCTGCATGGCCAATACAGTGTTCGTCAGCTTTTAGTCCACGGACGAAGGCTTATTAGATGACCGCCCGCACAATCGATCTCAATTCAGCGACGGCAATTGCGGGCTTTTGCTAGCGCAGAAGCCAGAAATTTATCGACTGCGCAACCAGACAGCATTCGTTTTGGTGACATTCTATTGGCTGATTCGCCTTCTATTTCATCCGAGCATGCTTCAGGCATCTTTCATGGTGAATGATTGCTAAGCCTAGGGTCTGGCAACACAGGCCATGCTAAGCGACAGAATGCAAGCGAACAATGTAATGGTGGCTTAATGGATGCCACATCAGACCCAATCATAAGTGCTGTCTGTTAGGCTACAGAATTGAGCAATCAAACCACGCAGAGAGCAGACTAGGACAACCAAGGACCCTGAGGTTAATCGGTGAGACTTCAAAGAAGGACCTTGTCCGGATACTCCGGGCATCATTTCGGACAAGGATTCTGAATGCTTGGCATTGCCACCTCAATACGAACTCGGCAACGCTGCCATAATTATCACTTCATAATGTAAACCAATGAAATTCTGCTACCCTAACAATCTAAATGCATAAACTTTCTGAAATGCCAAATCTAAAACTGAGCGTTGCTACCACAAGAAAACACACCCCGGATCGAGCTGTCATCGGCGTTGAAAAGGTCCAAAAGCTCTGTGATAGAGGCCCACAGTCCAGCTGCGTTCATAAAGAGCGAGATAATGATGAGAAAAGCGTTGAGAAGGGTAAGACAGATCTTCTTCCAGTCGCGGAAAAGGTTGTTCCAATTCATGTGGAACCAAAACACGGCACTGAAACCGTAGGTGAACCAAGAAATAGTAGTTGCCGAAGTAATAGAAAGGATTGAGTCGAAAATTGGGATAGCGTTGGACAGGATAAAGACAATGATCCAAAAGACAACAACAGAGGTAAGCCAGACAGACCAGGACCTGACAGTATCAGACGTGACCTCGTGGACTGCGCCCATCCATCTCATGACGTTGACAAAAATGTATTTGGCACCAATGTGACCATAAGCCAGCCCAGTCGAGTAGATGGCAGGGAGAACCACACCGTAAGCGGCCTTGGCAGGGGTGCTAGATGTGGCACCAAGGATAGGAGAGGTGGTATACTCGGCACCAAGACAGTAAAAGATGATGGCAAAGGCAGAGTACAAGGTGATGCAGCTACCCTCGAGGAAGGCGAGACAGAACTTGAAGTCCTTGATGGGATCCTTCATTTCAGCCATGTAACCGACGAATGAAAGGTTTGCAGCATAAGCAAAGACAATCTTGAGACAGGCATTTAGACCATCTCGAAAGCTTGGGTGTCCGATAACCACGATATCCCTGTGCCAGTCGTCGATTGAGTCAACCTGTCGAGGGCCCTTGATACCCAGGCTGATCATGACCAGGATAGAAGCAGCCAAAACACTGACAGCATTGGGAACTCCTAGGTTCGAGACGAACTTGGTAGTGCGAGGTAGACATAAGAGAAAGCAAGCCGCACAAGCCACAAAGATAAAGACAACAGTACAGGTGGCATGGCTGCTAATGGTGTTGAGTGCGATAGAGAGCGTGACAATGGCTGAAGCAGCAACAAAGATGACCTGAATCATCATCATTACACCAGCAACTCCTTCAAGCCAGGGTCCGCCGACAAATCTCGTCATCTCAACGACATTGACCACCTGTGGGTGAAGTCGATAGTATTGTAGAAGCTCGTATGCTGTGTACCAAGATAGGACACCGATTCCGATGAGGGCAATAAGACCAGGGACGATTCCCAGTGTCATAAGGGTCGAAGGAAGTGAAAGAATACCGAGGCCGATCTGGTTGGCAAAGAGAATAAAGATGGTGTCCCATCGCTTGAGAGTGCGAAAGTTTTTGCCCCCCTGGGAGTAAATGTTGGCATTGTCATCAGACTCGGGAGAAACAGTCTTGAAGTCTTGAGAGCCTTGAGCATTCAGCTCAGTCTTGATAGCTTCACTATCAGAGCCAGAGTCAGGCTGGTTGCCCTTGATAGTGTGGATCTCCTTGGATTCCATGTTGAGTAGAGTGAGGTCGATAAGTATAAGATGATGAGGATAATGGAAGACCAACTCAAGGCGACTTGAGGCTTTATATCTAACTACGCATTGTCCAACATATCATGGTCTGACACTACAATGATTGGGGAAATGGGGTAGAGGATCCGCAATCAGCTCCACGGTTATCAAGTCAAGACTCGATAAATCGTGTCAGAGTCCATTTCTCCAATAACTTGGCGGAGCGGAGTGGAATCGCGCTCTCCGCTACCAAGACACGGCCCCATGGGGGTTGCCTTGGCGTTCCAGAAGGATACCATTCCGCATCATCATCAATCAGGAGCTTCTTGTTCGGGAGGAGTCGCCTTACTCGGGCCGTGTTGGTGAAAGGAAACCCCTGCACCGTGATGCTGGATACCGTGATGCTGAACAAAACCCACAAGTGGAAGAGATCCGGGCCAGTCGGAAGGTTACGAGAAGCGCGTGTCCTCACTCCACTTGTTCGTTTCACTCGCCCCGGCATGTCTTGGCGGCAATTTCGCGACCAACGTGAGGCGGTTAGCGGCTCTGCATTACCTGTGCCATCGGTCTCACCGATTGACGTCACAGTTCCAGTGCCGGACTGTCGGGTGTTGATCAGCCTCATCAACGCACCGATTTAGCTACATCGTCTTGAGTCTGATTGAACCGCATTCATATCTTGAGATATTAAGTCTCGTCTCTGTAACGTGCGATTATCTTTCGATACGGGGAATATCTTGGCCTACCACGTCTTTTTGATTGCCAACTTGATTGCGCGCTTTTTCAACCCATTACCTATTTATTACCCCTTCAAAACTATTTATTACCCCTACAAAACTTTTTCATTACCCCTTCAAAATTCCTCCCTCTCGCCTCTGTCCGAAATTTGTGGGGAGAAGCGGTCCGAGTATTACTATGACTAAAAACTCCCCCTTTCTTGGCTGTTGACAAGATGATCCCCATAAATACCCACAACATGAAGTCCCTGCATTTGTGCCTCAATCATCAGACACGGGGACCGGTCTCTAGGAGTGATGCCGATTTCGAACCGCGCTGAGTATAGTCAGTCCTATTAGATTAACATACCTGTTCTTGACCGGGGCCGGGGAAGTGAAGCTGAAGCTCCTTGCCGCTGGGAGGTGGCAGGACAATTTGCCTGAGACTTGGCTCTATGGTTATGGAATTCTCTTGGGCGTCCGGTCATATTTCACAACACATGGACTCTTCCCCAAGATCTGTTGACTGCGGGGAGACTTCTCGACTCGATTCATCGCGTCTGGAGAATCTCTTACGTTGAAAAACGATATATCCAGGATTCTAGATTCCAGGTGTAATGAAACTGAATTCTTTTTACTTGATACCCCAGGAATGATGCAAACTGCCGGACCAGCACGCTCCATTTAAGATACCGACGTGGTTCCCGTAGGTTACTAATGGCGTCATGCGCTATTTTCTTCTAGAAGGTGGCTTCTACGCGTGGTCAGCTGTTAATGCCCGATGTTGGTGCATGACAGCTGAGCATAAGCCAAGACGGGTGGCCCCATTTCTGCAAGCTTTTTGTGGTTTCAGCTTTGTCTAGTGGGTAGTATAGGGTAACTACGACACGTATTTGAGGTCAGCTGTGATGGCTCCAAAGGAGCGGTTCAAGACTCGATTTCAAGGTGAATAGTTGATTTCTTTGAGGTTTTAATATAAAGAGATATGTTTCCGAATTCTTTTGAAAAGACAAAGTTAAAAGGTTATTGGCTGTCATTAGGAGATGTAACACATTCTAGCGAGATCATCGCGCGAATGTTGGCCATGAAAGAGTAATCATCAACAAACAATGGACAAGACAATGAAACACCACGTCATCATCTCAACTGAAAGAAAAGTTTAAGCCAGGCTGAAGTTTGCATATCGAGCAACTTGATGCATTGTCGACTGGCTTTCAGGGGCTTGGGCATTGTGGCTCATCTCAAAAGATGCATATTTCTCTTTGATTCATACCCTTGTCTGTTGAACCAGCGAATGCCAAGACTTTGTGGCTGAAGAACGCCAGACGCGTCGCGTTTTTCTTTTTCAGCCGCGTTCTAGCCTGTGATTGGCCGCGTATCCCGTATTCCGTATCTCGTATCGTTAGAGCTAATGGGTCTTTAGTCGACATTCACATTAGAAACCCCCTTGAAATCTTCTTGAGGCTTCAAATCAAGTTCTGTGTTAAACAATTCTGATGTATATGCTGAGTGGAGTGTAGACGCGTTTAGAAACCATACCCCGAATCATTCCCATCCGTTGCCTTTCTTTGTCATGGGTCTGTTGTCGGGACCAATCCTGTGCATCCACAAAGCATGGAAGCCTCTAGGCATCTGCTTTATTCCGCTTTCACACCGTTGGCACATCTCTTTTACACCTGGCCTTGTCCATTCTTTGTTTGTCGTACTGAGCGTTTGTGGGCCTTGTAGTGAAACCACATCATTTGCTCCAAGCATCCGTTCTTCGATGAGATTTCGACTGGCAGTGGCTTTGGCGACAGCTTCTCCAGCTAAGATGGCCAATACAGGAAGGCCTCGCATGAGGGGAGGAAGGCCGCCTTGTATGTTGGATAATTTGGCGAGCTTGGCCACTTCAGTTTTGAGACATGAGCTTGAGTTTGACATTGTGATAGAATGAATGGTATGTAGAGTGCGTCTTGGTGAAGCAATGGAGGTGAAAGAATGAGGAGTGTCAGCAAGATATTAGGCCTACTCGGCCATTGCATATGCGGGGTGAGGCCAGGCGCACTGTGGTCGCAGTCATGAGCAGGGTGCCCTGGTCGGTCTAGATCTGGTGGCTTGGACATTAGTCATTGTTGGCAAGTGATTCTTGTTAATTTTGAAAGTTCCTATTCCTCCTTTGTTTTTATGCCTTCCCGTTGAAGTGTTTTGAACAAAGGCGCCTGAAATTATCTGAAAGACCAGGGTCAAAGACGCCAAGATTGAAGATCCTGTCATGCGCACGAGAAGAGGAGGGCATGCTGAGCTTGTTGCCAAACTTATTAATGCTCGTCGACTCCCGTCGCAGTCCAAGCTGACAAGATCGATAAGCAAATCAGGCAGCCAACAGCCATGCCACCGCCACGCGCCGTATCAAACACAGAGTTGGGGATTCGCCTTGAAGGTGGCCAAACCGAGTTTGTCCCTGGAGACACAATCTTTGGATACGTCTTCTGTAGGGGACCTCTCATGGCTCAGCTCTCCTCGTTATCAATTCGATTGGTCGGATGGACGGTGTCCAAAATGGAGGTCATTTCCGAAACCCGTTTATCAAGACACAAGGGTCTATTCGACTTGATACCCCGACATTACAGACAGACACTCCATCAAGGGCCACTTCATATTGCTGATGGCGATAAAAAATTCTGGCGCTTTGCTATCACGATCCCCAAGTACGTCGACCCGGCAGATTTCAAGGATAGGAACGAAAGTGAGAGTTTCCTGTCACCCAAGGCGACAAACATTCCTTTACCCTCGACTTTCACACTCTATGATGGTGGACAGACTAAAGGATTTGTCGAATACTTTGTCAGGGCCAGTCTGCGGAGCAAGGATGAAAACCGTAAGGAGGCCAAGCTCCCTATCACGATAACAAACCACAGTCCTCTCGTAGGCTCTAGACTCCTTACACGGATCTACTTCTATTCTATCGTGTCCTACGGGCTTATTCCTGGGATGGAAGAAGCCAAGCTCTCATTGCCTCAGATCATAAAGCAAGCCATGAAGACCTCTAGCGTGCCAAAGTTTGGCTTCAACTTGCGGATGGATATGCCAGAGGTAATTCAGATCAATGACCCTACCCCGATACCCATTCGACTTCAGGCTATCATGAAACGCAATTTTACGAGCGATGATATCAAGAAAATCCCTCCAAAGATCAAACTGAAGTGGATATCGATCCAGATTATTGCTACTACAGAGGTCATTTGTGAAGATGCCCACACAAGGGTGGAGGAATCTGAGGCAGATCTTGACATTATGAACCGGATTTCCATTCGAGGACAGGATGTATACATTCCATGCACGGAAGATGGCTCATTCATTGACATTGGAGACCTGATTGATTTACGGCTGGATCAGTATCATAATGTCTGTCCCCAGCATCAAGGGACTGCCCCTTTCACGCCGAGTTTTGTGACTTACAACATTCGTCGTTTCCATCGACTTAAGTGGGTGGTGGCAGTTGAATTGGGAGGTCAGGTGGTTCAAAAGACCGAGACAATAATGCTTAAAATCTTGGGACCAAGTCGGGCTGGATGAACCAATGCCAGGATCGAGAAACACGCATGAATCATGGAGTCAATCATGCGAGGCCGACGGACAAGATCCTTGGGCTCACAAGGAATATTTTGGGACCGGGGAAATGCCAAGGATCGGGTGAATATGGGATTACGATGTTGGTATGGTAGATGTGTTTAGAGGGCATCAGAGAATAGCAGAAGTTGACTGCGTATGCGAGGAGTACTATATCTCTTATTCTACTGTGTTGAGAACTTATACGGTATGCTAATGGCTGTGAACGACTCAATGATGAACCGACTTTGTGTGGTACTGGTATCAAATTAGATAGTGGATTTTATCCAAGGCTTGTATCGTCGGAGATTTTTAACCATCCCACATATGCTTGGCATGTGCCAAAGCACTTGTTGTCATGACTAGCTTCCAGGGCCCCTGATTGAGCCCCGTTGTGATCAATCACAGCAACCACATGATGGTTGGCATGATGTCAGTGACACACTATTTATTGAGAACTTGGGCTATTTTGTCGCAAAATGGCAGGTCATTGAGATAGCTTAAATACTGTAAAAGAATGCAGACTATCCCGGTCGAAGAAAACAAGATACCATGGTATCAACCTGATAGCTTACCCTCCCTTGAAGATAATACATAAAGTAGAAATAGAGAAAGAAGATATACATCTTTACCTTTTTATGGTGAATTTTAGGTGATTCTTATGCTTAAGAGGAAATAGGCAGCTAACCCCCTGATGTTCTGGTGATCCTCTAGTTCTCGACCCGCGCGGCAGTCCATTGCGAATACATCAAGTAGAGCAGGCAAACCACCTGACGTCCATTAACCCTTGAAAACTACCGCGGTTAACGTATACAACCCTGTCCATAGCAAGGTCGCCCGAAACGGCCCTCGACATTTAGATCCACCATATGCCATGCGGATCTGATGCTGAAACCCCTGATCGTTGCAATTACTACCTCACGCCTTACCCCAACATGCCAAGGACGTTGGGCTTCAATGTTATCGGAGAAAATGCCGATAGTGCATGATTAGTGATCAAAAGATGAAAGAACTTAAGAAAGAGAGCTAAAGTACGTGAGATTGTTGAAAGGAAGCGCTTGGCACTAGATTTGGCTTGGTTGAGGTTCCCTCCGGTGCACTCCGGCCTGGGCTGGTATTAACGTGCTTAAGGGAATAAAGGCTTGGGAATGTGACTCTCCGGGGAGTGTTATAACACGCTACGTATTACCTTGAGGCGAATTGAGGTTTAAATTCGTCAGGATACTGGCGTATTGTATGCGAGTGACCACAGCGTGAGAGTCAAAAAATCGTCAAGATCAACGACAAAGTAACCCCTCAATTCAGTTACCGAGCTCAAATCCAACCAACGGTATTCTCTCCGGTATGAGATAAGGACTCATGCTGTCGGGGTTAGTCCCGTCGGACAGGTAATCCCGATACTACCACTTGTCGTATGACGACGTCATCGGAAAAAGGCCCGAATCCATGCTTCAACGTGTTCACCAAACGGAAATCGTTCCCGTCTTCTCCAACTAACGTGACTAGACAAAAAAGCAGACCATTTCATGGATCTTGACTCATGCACTCCAACCATACCCCAGACCCCAGATTTCCCCGCCATGGAGACGTGGAGAAACGAGTAATCACATCGGGTCAATTGGTCGTTGTGCCGATACTATGATAAACCTTGTTGACGCCGTTATGCGGGATAAACTATAAAGACTGCTTCAGGACACATCCAAATCATTGACATTCATCTACAATTTGTTACCATGGCTAAGAAACTCGAAAAAGTTAAGGACGATCTTGACTATGGTGTCGCTACTGAGGAAAATGTTGGCTTGAGCTTGACAGTCGAGCCATATGGGCCATCAGGTATGTTTATCGATCTGTGTGCTTCAATGACTAACTTTTTAGGCTTCCATGGTCTCTTTAACTCTCAATACGTGGCCCTTTGTGCTGCCTTTTCAGCCCTTGGTGGTCTTCTCTTTGGGTATGACCAAGGTGTGATTAGCGTTACACTGGTCATGGACCACTTTCTTGATCGATTCCCAGAGGTTTCTGATGATGCACCCGGTGCTGGATTCAAGAAAGGACTCATGACTGCCATGATTACTCTTGGAGCGTTTATTGGAGCTATCAATCAAGGCTGGATTGCCGATTGGATCTCTAGGAAGCGTTCCATCATGGTTTCAGTCGTGGTGTTTACCATTGGCTCGGCTTTGCAAACCTCTGCAGTCAACTACGCCATGTTAGTGGTTGGTCGATTCATCGGTGGCATCGGCATTGGACAGTAAGTGATGTGACGGACTGTGATATGACAGACTGTGATGTACAATGGACCCGCTGACTTTGTAGGCTTTCAATGGTTGTTCCTCTGTATATCTCTGAGATTTCTCCCCCAGAGATCCGTGGTACACTGCTCGTTTTCGAAGAACTGTCAATTGTTGCCGGAATCGTTATTGCTTTTTATATCACTTATGGTACTCGATATATCTCGAGCCACTGGTCTTGGCAGCTCCCTTTCCTCCTACAGATCCTTCCTGGTCTCGTCCTTGGCTTTGGAGCAATTTTTCTCCCGTATTCACCACGATGGCTAGCTTCTAAAGATAGAGAAGACGAAGCTCTGGCCAATCTTGCCAAATTGCGAGCCCTCCCTGCGACAGATCCCCGAGTCCAACGAGAATGGATGGAAATCATTGCCGAGGCACGATTTCAGACTGGTATCCTCAAGGAACGACATCCCCAGCTCACACAACGTACCGATATTTCAGGAAGAATGCGTCTCGAGTTTGTGAGCTGGACAGATTGTCTCAAGCCAGGCTGTTGGCGCCGTACCCTTGTAGGTGCTGGGATCATGTTTTTCCAGCAATTTGTTGGAATTAACGCCCTGATCTACTACTCGCCTACGCTTTTTGGCACTATGGGTCTCGGATTTAATATGCAACTCACTATGTCGGGCGTTCTCAACGTCACGCAGTTGATCGGCGTCTTGTCGAGTCTTTGGACACTTGATCGGTTTGGCCGCAGGTCCATCTTACTCCTAGGCAGCGTCCTTATGCTTGTTGCCCATGTTATTATTGCTGCTCTTGTTGGCAAGTTCTCGGACGACTGGCCAAGTCACAAGGCAGAGGGTTGGACGAGTGTTGCTTTCTTACTCTTTTACATGTTGGCCTTTGGTGCTTCCTGGGGACCTGTCCCATGGGCAATGCCAGCAGAAGTGTTTCCATCAAGTCTTCGAGCAAAGGGTGTGGCTATTTCCACGTGTTCAAGTAAGTCACAGATGAGCCCAGATTTGAACCAGCTAACAATCTAGACTGGATCAATAATTTTATTATTGGTCTTATCACGCCTCCACTGGTTCGTGAGACAGGATTTGGTGCATATGTATTCTTTGCAGTGTTTTGTCTGCTCTCTTTCATTTGGGTTTGGTTCTCTGTCCCTGAAACCAACGGCAAGACTTTGGAAGAGATGGATCAGGTCTTTAACGACAGGAGCGGAGTTGAGGACGTTTCCAAAAAGGACCGCATTCTTCGTGAGGTGTTTGAGGAAAAGACAGTTCGCTAGTCTACTCCTGATGAAGAGTGGCACTTGGAAGTGACTTGGGCTGAGGGATAAGAAGCCAGCTGATGGTCACACCAGATAGAATGCCCACTAGGAATGGTTGGAGAACCTTGACACCAACTTGAGAGGCTACAACGCCTGTCACAATTGGGAAGAAAGCTCCTCCCATTTGTGCGAATACAAACACATAACCCAAGGCTGTTGCATGGTTCTCGTGAGGAAAGAGTTTCGTGCCGAGTGAGATGCCCTATACAGTTAGCCAAGTCTCTTATTGAACGATGCACTTACGGTTGCAAACAATGGTCCAGTGACAAATCCAAGAAAGCTAACAGCAACAGCAGCGGCGATGATATTGGGTACCCTATCCGTATTAGCAGCTTCAATTGAGCCAGTGCAGTACTTACAGCCAAAAGACGAGCTGCAAACCAATTGCAACTACACAGTAAAAAAAGACCATCCTTCGCTCTCCAAATCGATACGTTGGCTCAGCCAGGACAAGCCTCCCGATAAGACAACCACCATTGAAGGCTGCTGGAATGAATCCCATCTGTGCCAAGTTTCCATCACGAACTTGAACGAGGTACTCGACTACCCAACCGTTGATGGTGATTTGAGATCCAACGTAAAAGAAGTAAAACATGCTTAGCAACCACACGCTGCGATGACCAAGCGTTGACTTGATCAGTTGAAGAGCATCCTTATTCCTTGAAGGAGCTTCTGACTGTGTTTTCCGACTGATGACCAACGTATCACGGAATGCCCAACATACCAACAAGATATTGATCGCACTGACGCCCACTGCGAACAGGTAAAAGAAGTACCACTTGGAAGTCTGTCTTGAAGCAATCCCAGTAGCGACAAAAGGTCCAACAAGACAACCTCCCATGTATGAGGCGTGAATAATGGCTAACCAACGGTATGCTCCTTTGGTCTTGGCCACGAATGTATTGGCGTGAGTATCGTTAAAGGCTTGTCCAATGGCAGTAAACCAGAATGTGACAACCATGAGGGGAAATGGAGGCTTCCAAGTGCGGAGTACATGACCAATAAGTTGACTGACAGCTCCCAGGGCAAGCATCGATCCGAGACCGAGGAATTGACACAGGTGTGTGTTTGTGACTGCCGCAAAGACCCATCCTAGAAAGGTTGCGCCATATCTATGCTGTCAGCAGAGCTCAGAATGTATAGAAGTACTTACATGACAGATACAATGGCAGTCGTGATTTGATAGTCTCGAATCATGTACGGAATTAAAGCTCCCAAGCTGCCATCATTGATGCCGGCGACGAAGAAGGAGAAGCAAGCGGTAAAGATTCTCAGATAGGCTCCTTTGTCAAGGCGGTCGGGCTCAGGCTCAGTCTCTTGCTCTTCAGTAGTAAATTCGTACGCCTCTACAGGCTGCGTCTGAGTTGTCGACATTATGCACGATGACAAGTTGAGTGATATCGGTGTAGAACACGTGATTTGAGAGGACCAAGAATGCATGTGACATGTGGGGTGATTCTCGCCTATTAGCATTCGTTTACATAATGGGTCTTGGCTCCGAAAGGTGACTTGTCATGACCGAAACGTGGCATTCGTTTGTCGGTCTGTGGAATCACGTAACTAGATACACTCGTCCTTCGAAAGGAGCCAATTCCTGACCCCTCTTGCCTGTGTGCGTCGACATAACTGGCACTAGTGTAATATCCTTTCCTTCTGGCAATCCCAACTCGTGCTCAGGGGTTTCCCAAGGCTTCTCCTTTGTGCTAAAGTTGAGCGCAACCACCGCCTTTGAACCATCCAGAGGAGACTCTTTGATGAAAGTAAACACATCAGGGTCCTCAGGTCGAAGAACCTTGTAATCTCCATACACCAAAAGATCAGCAAATTCTTGTCTGAATCGGAGAGCCTTCTTCCAGAATGCCAACACACTGTCCGGGTCGTCCAACTGTGAGGCAACGTTGATCTCGCTTGCCAGGGGATGGGCCTTCATCCATGGTTCTTGAACAGTCTTTCCAGCTCGTTCAGCACCTTCAGAGAAGCCTCCAAACGTTCCCTTGGACCAGCACATTGGAATTCGCGCATGGTCTCTGGCAAGGTGTTGCAGGGCGTTGAATGCCTTGTCAAAGTCACCACCTCGCTCCTTGACCATATCCAGAAACAAGTAACTGTCTAGATCAAGATAGTTTTCAGCAGGGTAGCTGGCCTTTGGTGCATTGACAGCTCCAATCTCCTGTCCCTGGTAAATGTACTGTGTTCCACTCAGGCAAGCCTGCAAAACAGCAAGCAGCTTAGCCCCTGCGACTCGATACTCGGGACGATCATCTGTGAATCGGGAAACAGACCTAGCTTGGTCGTGATTCTCCATAAACACAGTTGTCCAAGCATCAGTTCCATGGATCAGACTCTGAGTTCGACCAACTGCATCCTTCAAGTCGGGAAGTGTATAATTCTTCGGAGTCGTTTCGTATTTGTGAGTCTTGCCGAAACCGACGTCGACGACATCGAACTGAAACACCATGTTGAGTTGCTTCTCATCGGCGCTGACGTATCGAAGCACGCGTTCCAGATCGGGCGTGTTTGGAAGCTCTCCGACGGTAATAGCTCCGTATCGAGTGAGAATGTCGTTCATCTCTCGGAGAAACTCGTGCATTCGTGGACCGTTGCAGTATAAAAGTCCAGCTGGCTGGTATTTGGCCTTGGGGTCGGTAATAGGAGCATCTGGAAAGTCTTGAAGCTTTGAGTACATGTTGACAGTGTCGACTCGGAATCCATCAACCCCCCTCTCGAGCCAAAACTCCATAGATGAAGCATAAATGGCTTGACGGGTAACTGGACTCTCCCAGTTGAGATCAGGCTGCTCCTTGGCAAAGAGATGAAGATAATACTCTCCAGTCAATTCATCCCATTCCCAAGCACTGCCACCTCCAAAGTTGGAGCGCCAGTTATTGGGAGGGACTCTCTGACCATTCTCATACTTGGCTGGTCTCCAGATATACCAGTCACGCTTGGGGTTGTCCTTGCTTGACCGGGACTCTTTGAACCAAGCATGCTGATCAGAAGTATGGTTAATAACCAAGTCCAGCATGATCTTCATACCTTTGGCATGAGTCTCGCGAATCAGCTGTTCCATATCCTGAAGAGTACCATAAGGTGCGTAGATATCTTCATAATTGGAAATGTCATATCCCATGTCGACTTGAGGACTATCGTACATGGGACAGATCCAGATCACATCAACTCCAAGACTGGCAATGTAGTCCAGCTTGGAGATGATGCCTTGAAGATCACCAACTCCATCGCCGTTGGAGTCGCAAAAAGAGGCAGGATAAATTTGGTAGATGGTGGCGTGCTTCCACCACTGCTTGATACGCTTGGGGACAGTCATTGTGAGTTGCTGAACCTCTGACCATGCACCCTCAGGCCCTTAAATACCAAGTGATCTGCAAGTTCGTCGGGCCGACGAGTGGGATCCAATCCTACAGTCAGCAGAAGGATTCATGGTGTATGGGAAATCAAACCGATTGGTCAATCGTCGGACCGAGTAATCCCCTCTATTGATTGGTCCTTGGTCGGTCCGAGATTCGACTCTCAAACAAGTTAGCATGAGCCAAGCGAGGAGTTGAATCGAGGTCAACACTTGACTTTTAACTAGTAATTCGGCCCGATACCTCCCCAGATCTCATGATCCCCATGGGGAAGGGGTTTAGCCTCGGCACCAGTTGAGCGGTTTTGCAGCACCCAGGGGGCAAAAAACACCGAACCTGGTTCAACCACAGGGCTCTGAATGCGAGTTTGGTGTTTTTTGTTCCCCGCTAGAACAGATTCTCGACCCGGACCGACGACTTTAACTACACACTAAACACCAAATGGTGTCTAGCTTGGAGAATCGGCCTAATTGCGGCCTCTATCCTGGACGCCACCGTTATGCCTGTGATACAGAGTAGGTAACTCGTACAACTCTTGTTTCAAGTATAAGATGCCCCTTTATCCCAAGTCAGGTCAACTCAACTCATCAACTCATCAATTCATCACAATGGCTTCCAATCTTGAAAAGCAAGGCGATATCGCACCTGCCATCGCACCCATCGCTGTCGATGTGTCTGTCGCTCATGAGGCTGCAGCTGCGGCTGAAGCTGAGCGTGGCATGGGGTTGATGGCATCCCTGAAGCTCTACAAGAAGGCATGCTTCTGGTCAATCTTTATCTCGATTTGTATTGTCATGGAGGGATTCGACAATGCCCTCCTGAACAACCTCTACGCCTATCCTCCTTTTCAGCGCAAGTTTGGAGTTCAACAGCCAGATGGCAGTTATCAGCTTACAGCTGCATGGCAATCTGGACTCTCCAATGGCACTCTCTGTGGTCAGATCCTTGGTCTTTTCGTCAATGGCATCATTGCCGATCGTTTCGGTTACCGCAAGACACTCATTGGTGCCCTCACTGGTTGCATCGCCTTCATCTTTATCATCTTTTTCTCCGAGACCCTAATTCAACTTCTCATTGGAGAGATTCTCATCGGCATTCCTTGGGGCGTGTTCCAGACCCTGACCACCACCTACGCCGCAGAGGTCTGCCCTACTCATCTCCGTGCCTACCTCACAACCTACGTCAACCTCTGCTGGGTCATGGGACAATTTATTGCCTCTGGAGTCCTCCGAGCCATGCTTTCTCGCGATGACGAGTGGGGATACAAGATTCCATTCGCTCTTCAGTGGATGTGGCCAGTTCCTCTCATCATTGGAATCTGGCTTGCTCCCGAGTCTCCCTGGTGGCTTGTCCGACGAGGTCGCGTCGAAGAGGCCAAGCATTCGCTCCAGCGTCTTACTGTCCGCAACGGAAACGCCGATTTTAAGCCCGACGAGACGATTTCCATGATGATTCACACCAACGAGATGGAAAAGGAGGCCCAGGCAGGAACCACGTACCTTGATCTCTTCAAGGGAGTGAGTCTGCGACGAACCGAGATTGTCTGTGTTACCTGGATGATTCAGACATTATGTGGTTCTACCTTTATGGGATACTCGACCTACTTTTACCAGCAGGCCGGTATGGCTATTGAAAACTCTTTCAGCATGTCTCTCGGTCAGTATGCCATTGGTGCTGTTGGAACTGCATTTTCCTGGTTCCTCATGGGATGGTTCGGTCGTCGAACTCTGTACCTCTATGGTCAATTGTTCATGTCTCTGTTCCTCTTGACCATTGGTTGTGTGGCCTTTGCTGGTCGCGACAATGTGGCTGCTCAATGGGCAATCGGATCTCTGCTTCTGGTCTATACCTTTACTTATGACTGCACTGTTGGACCAGTTTGTTACTCTCTGGTTGCAGAGTTGACATCGACTCGTCTTCGAACAAAGTCTGTGGTTCTGGCCAGAAACTTGTACAACATTTCAGGTATCGCCACCAACATCATTACTCCTCGCATGCTTAACCCATCGGCTTGGAACTGGGGCGCCAAGGCGGGCTTCTTCTGGGCTGGAACATGTCTAGTGTGTGCTGTTTGGACATATTTCCGTCTGCCTGAGCCCAAGGGACGTACATATGCAGAGCTGGACATTCTTTTCGAGCGACACATTAGCGCACGCAAGTTTAAGGAGACCACGGTTGAGCGACTGGATGCGGGATTTGAGGACAAGGCTGGAGCTGTTTATATTGAGAAGAAGGAGAGCAATTAGCTAGTATACAGTCATTACATAGGTCCAAGGAATGCATGTTGCCGTTCAAGCCTGTCCATGTTAAACCTCAGTGAAGGCCGCCAATCTCAGTTAGGAATATTTTAGTTCATATTGAGCATATCTTGAGAAATCAAGACTCGAATGATCAGATCATAATGATATATTCATGTCAATAGAATAATCACACAGCGCAGAGCGGACGTTCTGGCGATTTGGTCATGGCCAATTCCGCTTTCAGTTACAGTTACGCCAGGAAATCACGTAATTGGCGATTAAAGCCACAAATGTCACGTGTTACTCCTCATTTGATCATCGTGACACTCCACTTCTCCTCGACAACAACGCGAACGCGATCAACCAGTCATCCCGGTCCGCAATGAGTAACCGAACTACGCGAGCATGTGAGCCATGTCGTGTTCGCAAGGTAAAATGCAATGGGTCAACCCCCTGCTCTCAATGTGCCCACCTCAACCTGTCCTGCATCTACTCTACAGCCCCATCTAAGAGGAAACCTGGGGTTCGTGGACGTCTAGTTGCCCAATTACGTCAAGGCACGACTGATTCAAGATCGAGTACAACTCCTCCTCAAGTCCAAGACTCACCTTCGAGCTTAGGGACGTATACGGCGGAGTTTTTTCTCAACCTCGTCACTGCCTACGAGGAGGTCGTGTTTCCTGTCAATCCGATTATTCCGTCATCAGAGATTGTCGCAGCTATTGAGAATATGGAGCGGAGCTTTGAAGACTCGGCTCTGGTGTATGCATTCGGCGCTGTGACAATCAATCTGTCAGAAATATCCCAAGGCCTCAACGACGACATCACGACTCGCATGACGGATCTTATGCACCACAGTTTCAGGGCACATCGGCGAGCAGAACTCGGCAGCGAGATTGACAGCAGATTACCAGTAACTGTCAAACGCATCATGACGTGCATATTTCTCGAGATATGTCTTATGGCATTGAAGCGATTCGATCGAAGCTTGGCTATTCTGCGAGAGGCCATTGCCATGATTCAGATGCTCCAAGTTGATCAAAATGTGTGCGAGCGCAGGATTGATGATCAAGAATTGGCTAGGAGGCAGCGTCTATACTGGGAAGCATTCATTCATGAGCGGTTTTTGACAATCATGCCAGGGTATCCGTCAATACTCCCTCCTCTCAGAACCGGTGTGCCCCTGCCAGACTCGAGCATTCCTCAGCACGTCAGAGCAGGCTTTGATCGACTCATTCACCTGTTTCTCATCATGGATGATACCTTTCTGTCACATTGGAGAGCATTACAAGACGCAGACCTCGAAGTTCCTGAGATAACGGCAGATTGGATCGAGAGCAAGCAAGCTCAGCTGGATGAAGATGAGATTGGCGCAGCCGAGGCTGAAAAAGAGCTTATGTCTGGCGGATATGGAGGTCTCAGTGAGCTGCAACACGCCGACCTTTTTGTTACTCGACTTTGGCTTCGAACTCTGGTCTGGCAGCTTGCTCTGTCTCAAGGACTCTTGCAGTCTGTACCCCCAAAGAACTCTCACGAGGGGTTTTCTATGCATTTTCCAGCACAACGTCTTTCTGCTGAGCTGCGAAATCTAGTGGGACGATTGGATAGAGTCGAGAGCATCGGAATTCACGGATCTGGCATCCTTCAGAAGCTGTTTGACATAACAAGCACGGTAGCCGATGTACTGGCCCTACCGATTGGTCATGAGCAGGATGCCGAGTCGAGGATTGAGGATTTCTTGTTTCTTGTCAAGTTTCTGCTCAGTTTTGAGAGAATACCTCCGAATCAGAAGGAGTATCTGAAGGAAAAGGTGAACGCCGTGCAGAGGGAGCATGCGTCAGGGTTTCATAGTTTGGCAGCGTACACTTTTGACTGAGGTGATGGAGGAATGATATCCTGTATGTCAATCTCATATCGATTGAAAATCGCGGTCTTTAAGCATATGTGCTACGATCACTTAGCGGTCATAGGAAGCGATAATAATGAATCAGCTCAGAGTGGTAAGGAGGGGAATTTCCATGAAATCAGTAGTAATCACCGTCTTCCGGGTAAGGGGCGTTGTTAATTGAGTCCAAGCAATCCTGCCTAACGCGAGTAACGAGCAGCATTACCCGGGACTTTCGGAAATTAAGGGGTCTTCTAGAAGCAAGGTGTCAAACCTAAAAGAACCCCACAACCGGCTGCGCCCTCCGGCACTTGAGAAAACAGGTGAGATTGGTAAATGCCGTGCTTCTGGAACGCGCTAAGAAACTCTGAACAAAAATGTCAAGGTACGGACTGTTCGGACGGTTGTTCGGACGTCATTAAACCTTGGCAGTTTATGCAGAACGCGTACGTCTTTTAATTGTGATCAACTGATCTCTCCAGGCTTCGGATAGATATTAAATCATGGAGGTCCAACGCAACACAATTGCAACCACTGGCAACCGTGCTCTCCAATCTTTTCTTCAACTGCATTCATGACCCTCCTTTACTCTTTTGTAGGCCTGCTTGGCCTCGGGGGAGTTAGCGCTGCTAGCTACCCGACTAGCCCGAGCCTTGTTGCATCCACCTACTTTGCGGGCTTCCATGCCAGTCGCGGGTTCCCCGTGTCGGATATGTCATGGGACAAGTTCACTGACGTCAAATATGCCTTTGCGTATGTGCCTCCCAACCATGAAGATTAATGCTGACGGCAGCAGGGAGACATCCCCTGATGGAAGCCTGGATCTCTCAAAATCCGAGCCGGATCAGATTCCTGTCTTTGTCGATGCCGCTAAGAAAAATGTTGGTGATCTATATCTTTCGAGACCTAGGCTAACTTGCTTAGGGCGTGAAAGCGCTCATCTCGATCGGCGGCTGGACTGGTAGTAGATGGTTTTCTACCAGCTTTGGGTCTGCCAAGAACCGAACAGCCTTTGTCAACACTTGCCTCGATCTTGTCAAGGAGCACGGATTGGATGGACTTGACTTTGAGTGAGTGGAGCGTTTGTATCAATGATGAGGTGCTGATGAGACGTAGCTGGGAGTACCCAAACAGACAGGGCCTTGGCTGCAATGCAATCAACGATGATGACACTGCCAACTTTCTCGCTTTCCTTGAGGAGCTTCGCGAGCAGCCTGAAGGCAAGGACCTCTACCTTACTGCTGCTGGATCTCTGTTCCCTTGGAACAATGCTTCAGGAATCGCGTCGACCGATCTTGGAGGTTTTGCCAACGTTCTCGATTACATCATGATTATGGTGAGTTCTCTGCTGCTGACAAGGCCATCGCTGATGATGTAGAACTATGACCTTCACGGCGCGTGGTCTCCGACGGGAGGACCCAATGCCCCCCTTTCTCGAGCCTGCGACTCTCGAAACACTCAGGGTGCAGGCGATGAGGGTGTTGAGAAGTGGTCAGCAGCCGGCATCCCCTCGTCGCAGCTTGTTCTCGGTGTTCCTGCATACGGCCATGGATTCTCGGTCAACAAGACCTCCGCCTTTGGAGCCAATGGAAAGCTCAATGAGTATCCTCCCCAGAACTCATCTCACCGCTTCCAGGGCAGCAGCTGGGACTCGGATCCTCCTGTGGATGACTGTGGCAACCCTCAGCCTCCTGGAGGTACCTACACCTTCTGGAGCTTGATCACTGAGGCCGGGTTCCTTGATACTAAGGGCAAGCCCGCTCGCGGAATCGCTCACGCTTTTGATAACTGCAGCAAGACGGTGAGGTACCATATTTGACTGCCTTTCTTGACTAACAGTCTCTAGCCTATTGTTTACAACGCGACGAGTAACATCTGGGTCTCATATGATGATGCTCGATCTTTCAGGGAGAAGGGCAAGTTTGTCATCAAGCATGGTCTCGGAGGGTTTGCGACGTACGAAGCTGGCGGTGACTACAACAATATTCTCATTGATGCTATCCGTGGTGCGACTGGATTGAACTGATTGGAGAGCTGTAGTCGATAAAGGAGACTTGGCTTAGGTCGTTCAGGTTCTGCCCACTATTGATGGTGCTTTCTTTCAAGCGCCTTAGAAAGCTCAATAAGTCTTTGACAATAATAGATTAGGTCTTACTAATAGTTTGAAGATATTATGATAAACCCGTGATAACTATTTGTTTACAGTTTACAACGTTGTACTAAGTTTATGGAAATATCTAAATCTGGCCATGCTTCCGATTGCCAACTACGACTACCGCGTCGCCTACTTTGTCGCGATCCCTGCCTCTACCCCATTGGTTCTTCACGTCAAGATTCAACTCGTAGCAATTTTGATGATTGGAATCGAAACACTACTTGTGATTAAAGAACACACTTCACTCAATGACCTTATTAGTCTACGGCCGCTGTCTCGCACCAACCGGAACCCTCTGGCTCCTCCTTAGCTTATGGAAACGTCTGGTTGTTGATGACCACGAAACTGAGGAAGACTCTGGTCTTGATCGATGGACTGCTGATGGGAGGATTCAGTCTACTATGACTGAATTGGTAGCCTTTAAACGGAATACCAAGCAGATCCGCAAGGCCCTGGCATATTTCGGTCTTCAACTTTTGTCCAGCGACATCGCCTTGGAGGATAGCGCCCCGGAGGAGGGAGATCTTTCGTGAGATGAATGTACAGAGTTGCAGTACTATCTACTCCTTGCCTACGTGCATCAGCTGGTCGTGACAACGAAACACCAGGGTCAGCTCCGCCACACTATTGTGTCTACTGGTGCGAAGGTCGCAGGTCAAGGATGTCCTAATATCCCACACTTGTTTAACATTGAGGATAGAATAGGGTATTCCATTTGCGGAGGCTTTGCAAGGACGACGAACCACAAGTTTCATGTATTACATTGGACTGGGATACCTTCTGCACTTGTCGCGTTTTGGAAGCTCAAGCATGCCCCAAACAAGACGCTCTGCGAGGCACTTGAGTCCCTAATATCTCGCCCATGAGCCATGATGCATCTCCGTGCTTCTATTTTCCAATGAGGTGGGCGACCTGAGTTGGAAGTGATTTGGGCCGCGGGATAAGAAGCTAGCTAACGGTTGAAGACGAGATCGTCTAGGATCAGGACGGAGAGGTCTAGGCGACTGTGGATACGTTTCCCAAGTATAGAGAGTAATAGAACGACAGGTGAGACAATACAAAGCAACATCGTAGCTGGATGGTTAAATGCAATAGTCTGTGAGTTTGTTTTGATTGTTATAGGCTCAGGTTGACGGGGAACGTGGAATGAGCTTTCCAGGCTGCGGGAGTTGAAAGCGGAGGTATGGCCTACACAGCTCAGAGGAGCGTCGGTCGGGCCGGTTTTAGTCAATATTAAGGATATCTTGAGCAATAAATACTCAAAGTATTAGATCGTAATGATTTATTCATGCTAATAGAATCATCATAGACTCGGTGCAGAGCCCATGTTTCTTCAATTTAGATTCAGAGCCCACGATAGATTTCCACGCCCCCGTTAGATGCTTCTATCTCGTTTATCTTCTCCCATACACTTGCATGATGCCGTCTCTTGAAGCTATAGCGGGAGATCTCTGGATTGGCTATGCCTCGTTATAGATTCTCGCTCTTCCGTTTTAATGGTATCTTCCCTGGGAGGGGCCGCTTCTCTTTAATGCGTTGGCGAACTAGGTCCAGTTCACTCTGGTGGTCTCGTTGGAGGTCCGCTCGACCGATGGCCTTGAGTAGTTGGTCGAGTTGCGAGGGCGTCTGAATGAGCGAGTAGATAATGTATGCTGCGGCTTCAAAAAGGCTACCATGTGAGCGCGGCGTGCCCCAATATCGTGGGGGTCGACATAGACGCCTGCCAGTGGAAATCGAATACCTAGCTTGCCCTTGGGGTGGCAGTCGCTGTATTTGACTTGGTTGCGCTGTATATTGGGCGTGTTGGGGTAATGTTGTCGGAGTCAGTAGGGCACTGTGTTAACATCGGGTCATGATGTTATGATGTGTTGAATATCTGTTCTTTCTTATAGTTGTAGCCCGGCCCTCGATGGGTTAACTAAGCCCGAAGATCGTTGTCGGAGTCAGGAGCGAATGATGATTCAAGGAGAGAGAAAAAAAGAAAAGAAAGCAAAACAAAGACTGTCGCCGAAGCTCGGGTGCTTTGGACTGGCTGGCAGCCGGAAGCTGGCATTCAGCTGCTCGTTTGACTGGACTCTCCCGAAGCGGCTGTTTTCAGCTCGTTTGTGGGCAAACACCGTTTTCAATCACCCTTTTGATGCAAGCACAGGCCGATCAGAGACTACTTGGTATTAGCCGCCCATCCGATTGTCCCATTCTTCTCCGTTTGAACGTAACACCTGCTGTAGAAATCCCGGAGAACTTAGGTAATCTCGGCGCCGACGGTGGCCCCACATCGGCTGGTGGGACGTTGTCTTGTCCGGCGCCGGGCGGATCAATTGCGTGAACTTTTTAACACTGGCAGCGTCGCTCAAAGACACGCAAGGAAAACTTGAAAAAATTCGGCGATTGCTCTTTCAACTGTACATGCACCCTGTATTCACAATTCAACAAATCCGTGAAGCCTGACCCTCCCACCCAGCCCGCTCACCAGCTAACTGTGAATAACATATTTCGACAGTGAATTAAGATGCCTCGACCGAATGAACGACCCTACGTGCCCCAGTGGCTTCGAGATGAGCGAGCCGCGCTCCGACGCAAGCACCCTAGCCTGCAGGCCCTCGGCGCCAACACCAACAACGGAGGCGATATCCCCGCTCACGACACCCACCATGGAGGCCGGGCCCCAGGTGGTAACGATAGCCGTGGAGGTCGATCCTCCACTGGCAACACCCGTCGCGGAGGTCGATCCTCTGGTGAAGCAAATAGCGACCAACACTCCAACAACCCCCATCGTAGCCATACCGACCAGCTCTCCCGACCATGAGATGCTGAGGACCGACGGCGATAGAAACTCCAACGATGAGGGCTGAGAGAAGTGCCGGATGACGAGAGTAGAAATACTCTGCGCTCCGAAAGCCACAGCACCACCATTGCCCACCAGACGAACACCCTTTCCCCAACAAGAGACCGTGCCTTTTACATCAAAGAGCATCTCAAACAAGAGTTGGAGGAACGTGTGGACGCCTTGATGCAGGACGGTGCTGAAGATGTCATGATGCACCTGACCCCCATATACCAGACTGACCTCGCTCGGGCCCGTCTCAACGATGCCCTCCGCGAGGAGGTGGTGGACTCGTGGGATCCACAGGCTCACCAAGCGGCTGAGCAGGTCGAGTCCGGTGAAGGCTCAGTCAGGGTCGCCGAGGATGTCGTCGACGAGGGTGAGGCTGGAGATTTCTGGTGCGCCAACTGCGACCTCATTACCCACAACATGGGCCGCTGCCTCAACATGCGTGTTTCAGATGGATCCGTTGATGGGTGCATTCTCTGCGACGACTTGGCGCACGACGTCGACCAATGCCCGAAGTTCATGCAAATGACCATGAAGGAGAAGGCCTACCTGCTCGTCTACGATCGCGGATGCCTCCCTCCTCTCAAGACGGAACGGGGATGGTTTGGCTACCTGCTCGACTGGCTGAACTGTGATGAGGCTGTTGATAACAATGGCACAATTGCCTTACCTTCCGCCTTCCCATGGACCCCCGAGTTCGCCAAGGAGCTTTGCCGTGGGTCGGGATATGAAACCACCGTTTCTCTGCAGGATGAGTTCGACGTTCACGGAGATACGACCCGGCTGCCCAGAGATCCGGCCACGGCTAACTTTGGTCGTGTCTGGGAGACTTACGGGTATGCCAATGTCAGCCATGAAGACTGTCAATCTGACCAGTCTCGTCAACCGGAACGCCACGACTGATAGACCACTTCTGAGCCACAACCAGCCCAGCCAGACTTTCGACCATGTCACTCTGAGCTCAATGTAAGACCCTGTTCAGCCATGCTTGATATTTTCCTCACGTAATCGTCACAGTCTCACCTCTACTCCCTTGACCGTCAACGCCCGCCCAGTCCACCGCGAGCGTGGCGCAAGGAACCATGTCAAACACGTGGGGGATTTTGCTGTAGGAAATGGGGAAGCTTGTTGTCTTGTACATGTGTAATGGGGTCATGGATCTTTATCAACCGCAAACTTGAGTGTTTTTGACGTGGAAACCTCCATTCTTTGTCCTGTGCCTGTTCGAGTGAAACAACGAAACACGCTCGCCTGGAAGCCGACGAAGCTCAGGCGACACGTCAATGGACAACACCCCGCTCATTGGCCAGACTAATGGTCCCAGATGACGACAATCATGTTAGCTCCTTGCCCGTCTTGAGCATTGGTTGTGCTCTGGTTCCCAGTAGACTCTGTCTGATCGCCGGCGAGCTGAGAGGTAATGGGGCGGTGTGAGCCACGCGAGGAATGGGGCCGGAACAGCTTCAAGGGACCCGTCAACAAAGACGAAGAACCACATGGAACAATGCAAGTTGGTTGACAAACACGCACGGGCTCACGGATATATGCACACAAAAAGACACAAACGGATAGACAAGAGCAAGCTCATCAGCCCTGTGCAAGTGACTCTGCGCTTCACTCACTGAAGCATTCAGATACCTAAGTATCTCAACAAAGTGATAAACCATCAGCGCCTCAGGCAGCCAGGTCGAGGCAATAAGGGCGACGCGGCAGCGCAATTCGGCTCTGCCGCGATCTCGCTTGGTCGAAAAGACATGCGCCCGAACGGTGGTGGATCCCCGAGCCGCACGGATATGTTCCGGAGGGAGCATCGGAGTATACGGAGTGGATGAATGAAAGCTATTATTATTCTACCTCTACTAAGGGCAATCTGAAAAAATCCTACAAGCTTACCAACTCAAGCCTGAGTATTGAAGAGGGCGTAGATACCTGTGTTCTCTCCGACGCGCTGATGTCGTCCGTTTGACCAAAAGCATTTTTCGCCTCCTCCGGAGCGGGTCCATGTCGCTGGGCTTGGGACCCACCAGCGTCCGGCAGCGATTTGGTGATCCCCCATCGATGTTCAACGACAACCAAACGAACAAAGAGGTGAGACAACAATGACATTCCATCTCTTTGTATCCATAAGCGTCTTGTATGGGACGTGATTTTGGCCTTGCAAGTATTGAGCGTTAGACCTCGTAACAAAACGTTTGGCTGTCAAGCATGCTAAACACAACGAGAGCCGCCAATCTTTTCTTTCAGTCCCTTGTAAAGATGGCCATCCAGTTGTTTTCTACTTCCTCTACTCTGAAAATTCGTCGTCGCTGAATGTGGCTGCGTTTGTGGCACACGCGTAAACCGTTCTAAGGCATGTCCGGTAACACTGAATCACTGCCTCTCGCACAGCCCTCTCTCCCCTCTCTTATCTTATCTCCCCCACCATTCTCTTCTCACTCTCGCATTTCTTTGTGATCTCTCTCCTCCTGCATCATCTCCATCCACAACAAAGCACCACCATGGCGAGCGCAATCATTGCGCGAGGGGTGGAGCCTCGCCACGGCATCTCCCTGGTTTCGCTCCAGTGCAGCTTGATGCTTGAGAAACCAAACAAGCCTGGTACCTTGACCATCTTGACGTCCAACAACTCGCTTTCTCTATCACTCGTCAAGAAAAGCCCCAAGAACGCCGAGGCCTATGTTGGCCTTTGCCTTTCGGTTCCTCGCGATGTCGACACCAAGGTCCGCCAATGGTACTCTTCCAACACTCGCATGACCCCCTCCCAGAAACTCAAAATAATTTGCAAATTCCCCAATCGACACTTCACAATCAGTCATCGCCCTCTTAACGACGGGGAGGCCAAGCACCTCGAGTACGCATTCCCTTCCAACAAAGCGACCGAGTTTTGTATCGTCTCTGTCAGTCTTACATGCGATCCCACCGTCACTGGATTTGGCATCCCATTTCATGGGGAGAATGAGATCATTGATGGTTGGATCAATAACGACGAACCAATTCATGACACCATCAGACTCACTGAACTACTCCAACAAAGAACTTTCATGCTTCTCGTCCAGGCAACTGGGGAAGAAGCCGAAAAGTTCTTTGAAGTCACTGCCTCACCTTTCAAGTCCTTTCACTACGGCTATGGTACCAAGTAAGCATCCTTCCGTCTCAACGCGTCAGCCTACTAACAGCAAACAGTCACGAATGGGACATGGATCGATACAGCTACCAAATTCCGCGAAACCGAGGTTCAGGATTTCTACCCAGAGTCCGCTACGATGATTCCAACCAAAGAGACACCGTCCTGACTCAGATGCACGTCCAAGACGTCTGGGACTTTCACGCTGTTCTCAAGCAAATTGAGAAGATGTGGCTTCCTGCTCTGATCTAGAAGGTTGGAGACGAGCCTGCTACCACCATGGAACGTTTCGTCTGCCTTCTGGAGCCCAAGGGGATGTTTGTAAGTTGTGTCCAGTCCCCTGAATTTTAGTCTCTAACTTGGTAGTACCTGAGACATTGGCGAGCCACCCGCCGCGCTCTCAAGGGAGACTTTGCTCCAGCTCGCGTGGAGTTCAACGCACTCATAGAAGACCCCGACGATTCTCGTGAACCTCGAAACGTTTCCTGGACTGTCGTTCAACTTACGATGCCCTCTGATCTCATACGACACGTGAATCTCAAGGACCGTATCGCTCTCGGTCTTATCCGACCAACATCTGGGAAAGATCGGAAGTACACCCCAGCAGCGTCCAACAACTACAACTCGGCTGTAAAAAGGGACAGACAGAAAGTCAAACTCATTTGCGAATCCGGCATCACGAACGAGAGGAAGCGCATCGATGCTGTCAACCGACTGACCAGCCCCAGCACATGGCCTGTTGTTATGGATCAAGACAAGCTCTCAAAGGAAAAGAAAGCAGCCCTGAATGACATCCTCATCGGCCAAGGCCTCTGGGATATGATGAAAGCGACGCCGTCTTTCCGCTTCCCCCACTTCGATGTCTTTGACGGTGTCACCGCTGAAGTTCGCGACGCATGCCTCGACTTTGTCTTTGAAGATGACCGTGAGCGAGCCCAAGAGTACTTCAGCAAACTGCATTTCGGCATTGGTCTTGTCTCGGCTGCTCCTGGAATGGGCAAATCACATTTGGCCTCGATCCTCGTCACGCTCCTGTGTTTGAATCCGTCCATCCGAAAGCTGTACGTCAGCGCCGCGTCCAACGTTGCTACTGACAACATTCTCGACAAGAGCAACAGCATCGCCGAATCCATCGTCAAGACACTTACTGGCGCTGGATACCCTGTCAAGCGGCTCATGTTGGTTCGTGGCTACAACGGCAAGATGGAGCGCGAGAACTGTCTGAAGGCTTTACTGGGCACTCCTTTTGAAGAGATTGGCATCTGGAATTCTTCTCCTTGGCGGTTTGAGCGTTCTCTTTGCTGGTGGACCCTCCGCGCCTTGGGTTCCAAGACTGTACCCCCACTCACCTCCGATGATTGCACTGAACTCTGGAATCTTCACCGCCACCTCGACGCCCTGGTCTCTCCCAACCCGCAAGTGTTCCACCGGGACTACAGCAAGTTTATCCCTCTTGTTCATCTCGCCCGTGGAATAATCACACCGAAAGAATACCTCGAAGGCTATGGGAAGGATGTCCGAAACAAATCAATCATCGGTCTCATGGCACACGTCGTTTCCTGTGCCAACGCCGTTGCGACCACTCCAGCAGCTTCTAGCTACGATCCATACCTCACCTTCAACTCGAAAATGGCAAAGGCAGTTGTCTTTGATGAAGCAGGAACCCTGTTTCGTGCTGATGGACTCGTGGTATTCGGCAACACGCCTCGGCCCATGATTGCCGTCGGAGATCCCAAGCAACTGGCCCCAGTTCTAGCTACAGCAATTGAGAGACTCGACGTTGGACGCAATGAGTATCACCGACACGATCATGACTTGCCAACCAACCGATTCGTTGGTGAAGCCGAGATTTCATGGCTGTCTTGGTTCATTCATCTCGGCTTTCCGGTATTCCACCTCCATACGCAGCATCGGATGGCAAAAGGTCTCTTCGACATGATGCTTGAAGCTTCTTACGATGAAATCAAACCTTACTTCAAGTACAGTCCCCTCTGTCGCCCAATCGACTTTCCCCTCGGCCTCAAGATTGAGCAATACATCAAGGTCAACCACCACCTCCCATCCAATAGCCCAGACAGGCTCCTCCCCGTGTTTTTCAACACTCTCGAATGTCCTTGTCGCCAACACCCAGACAACCCTTCGAAACTGAATCCCAGACAGGCCGACTGCATCGCGAAGTACCTCGAGCCGATGATGAAGGAACTTTCAATTTCACCAGCTGATGTCGCTGTCCTTACTCCCTTCCGAGCCAACATGCGGGAGCTTCAAAGGCGATTCAGAATGGCCAAGGTCCTAAAGGACGTTGTTTGCACGACAATTGATACTTTCCAGGGTCGAGAGGCTCAGATTATTATCGTCGCTCTTTGTGTGGAAAAAAGCAAAGACGCATCCTTTGCCGCCGATCCACGTCGCCTGAATGTCGCGCTTACACGACACAAGTCTAGTCTGTTCATCTTTGGAAGTATCAACATCATACCGGAGAGTTCCTTCGGTAAGGAGAGGATCCCTTTGCCCAAGGAGGGGAAGAGTCTTCTCGACACAAACACCATGAGCAAAGTGTTCCAAACGATCAGGGCCAGTCGTCGAATTGTCCCGCTTAAGGGCGACCCGGCCTGGGACCCTGACACCAAGTGGCCCAAGCCCTGAAAGTGTGCCAAGTTCTCATGCATGGACTGATAGGGGATTGCGGGAGAATGGGCGAGCCAGCACGGTCAAGGAGTCCACGGGGAACTTTGATGAATTTTTGGGGCATGTAGGGAGTAATAAATCATGAATATGTATTTAATCAATTTCTTCAAGAGTCCATTTGTGCAGTCCACTGTGTTGTGTCCACCTCTCATCTGCAGTCCTTGAATCCCATATCGTGAGTCTGTCCAAGATCGCCATGCTCCATCTCCATGCTTTGACGCATACTCGAACAAGGGAGGCTGCGATCCGCCCACAATAGAGGCCAAGGGGTTCTTGTGCTGTCGGTCATGTGGACATTCAAATTACAGTTAGTGAGATCAGAACACATGTGTGCAAGATGAACAACGTCACATAACCAATCCAAATGTGTTCAAAGACATGTGCTCAAATGGAAAGTGCCAAACGGCATCCATTTCCTCGGAATAAAAGCAGAGTCCCGGTACCCCTCCTCCATGAAAAGACCATTCGCCCAGTCTCCCTTGCCACAACGTCCTGCCGTTACACTCTTGAGATGCCCGAAGCCCCTGTAGTCGTCCAACCGTTCCAAACAGAACTGTATCCTTCCGTTAGCAACCCACTTTCAAAGCCCGCGTGTGATGCTCACCTTGGACCTAAGACTCAGGCCCAGCTCGTCGCTTTTCGGCCATGGCCAAGAGGCGTAGCTGCTGTCGCCCAGCTCGTTGATGGAAGTCTCGGATCTGCTGCGAATTGGGTGGATCGTCGTTGTCCAGCGCCCCTGGAACAGTTCATAGGCGTCATTCACCGTCGTGAACACACCCCAGGCTGCGTAATTAACCGCCATTGTAACCAGTTCCACGTCTTGAGTGGTGACGCAATAGACCTCGTGTCCCTTGTAGACGGTGCACCCGGCAGTGGTGGTCACGTCCAGTGACATCTCACTGACAATTTCACCAATCTCGTACATGACGTCCGATATGCTGCCGGAATCTTGCCCCCGTTGATCAACTCTCTACCGTGCTTCGTGGTGCATCTTGTGGATCGGTTGAGGCATACTCGAGTGTTTGTCCATGGAGGAGACAAGGAGGTGGAGCGCAAAGCAGCGGAACTCTGGTTTCCAGGGCCGACGGTCATCTGTGCGGCAGATGACTGCGTACTGCAAAGCCATGGCCAGACGCTGGGTGGAGCCTCGCCATACGCCATGTACGATGAGGGGTGTGAGAGCTTCACAGAACTCCTGAGAGAATACCACAGTCGATGAGCCGTACTTCAAGTTAAGCAAAGGGGAAATCAGGTCGAGGGGAGTACACCGAAACATTCGCATGCAGACCTTCCAGAGTGTTATTAGCGATGCATTCTTGACGTCGATGCAAGTGTATGCCTTCTTCTCGTGAGAAGAATCCCATTCCAAGAGCATCAATTCTTCGTCTTCCTTCTTCCATGTGGCCGTAAACGTTGGCTCGGCGGGTCCGACGATGGCGTCAAAATCGGTTTCTTCAATGGGAGGGTAGGAAGACTGTAGCGTGGCACGCATCCGCGCCACCTGTTCCGTGTGTAGGGCTTCGAAGTCGGGGCGATAGGAATCGTCGGAATCGCTGTCGGAATTGATGTTGGAATCGCTTCGGTGAGAGGGAGCATCTTCATCGGGGGGCATCACGATGCCGTCGTCGTGTTGCTCCATCGGCGCAGACATGCTTGATGGAGGTGATGAAGAAAGAGAAAGGCAGATCAGTCGAGGAATCAAGGGCTTGCTGAAGAAAAAATGCCGGCTGTTTGACAGTGATTCACTGTCAGTGGATGAGAGCGAGCTCCCAGGTTGGCTCACGGCCATCAAACTCCACTTTTGCATTCTCCGACGCACCGAAAAGCACGCAGGTACGCTGAAAGAGGTCTTGATAGAGCTGCTGCCTGAGCGCTTGCAGTTGGCCAGAAGAGCACACAAGCTCGGACATAGAGGTGATGTGAGTCTCGCGACGAGATACGGGGCGGCTTGGCGTAGTGACACAGGACTGTTGTTGAATAGGCCCGTCAGTAGGCTCCCTTCCCAGTGCAATTCTATTACCCTCAAACTAACACTTGATTAGCTTGCATTCCATCGAAGTCTGGGCTCAAGCTCGTCACGCTGATTCGGTGAGAGCTCAAGCATGACAGGGGAGGCTGGGGGCCTAGGATTGAAGGCATGAGGCACGTTAGGATGGACGACAAGGATGCGTTTGGCCTTGGAACTTGCCAAGGATTTGTGGGCTCGGGTACGATGGTTCTTACGAGTTAGACGTTGCTCGCAACACCAGTTCAAATACTTGACCATGCCATCATAGCGTACGTGAGGTGGAAAGATGAAGATGTGATGGCTGTGCAGGATTCTTGGGCTGAGGTCGTAGCAAATTGAGCACCTCATCCCGAATAACTGCTTTCTAACGTCATAGCCAGATCCATTTGGGCCACTAAGAACGGGAATAATGACTCTTTGAAGATGGATCGCTATTCATCGACATGATCTCAGGGCTTCTAAAGCATTCGGCCGGACGACACGGGGGGATAGTGGCATTGGAAGGGCATAGCGGTAATAGAGGGAGATTTTCATCATGTTTCACCTAGACTACGGCGCGCATACTCATTGTATTGAATGAAATCGTGGTCTGATATGTGCTTCCTAGCTCGGTCGGCAACTTGAAGACTGCCGACAATCTACAAACCGAGACGACTCTTTCATCCTTTCGCTGACCGTTGCCCGGTTTTCCAGTTGCAAACCCGTAATCGCTTGCTCAAGGGCTCCTGTGAGGGTTCAACATCCTGTCCCGAAGAGCATCAAGCTCGTCCCGGAGCTCGTCCATCGCTTCATCTCGCTTGGCGAGTTCACTCTTCATCACTTCATCCCGCTTGGCGAGTTCACTCTCCATCACCTCTCGCATCTCTTGGTACTGTCTAGCCAGTTCTCTTTCGAAGTGATTTAGTCGATATTGCATCTCGGGAAGCGATGCTCGTCGGGCAATAGGGCGCTGGTGTGGATCGCTGGCTGCAGTTGTGAAGGTTAAAGGACGAGATACGACGGGAGTCTCGTTGTCGTCGCCGTCAGCGAAAAGAGCGTTGTCTGGGCTAGCTTCACTGGCCATGCCCATTGGTGGAGGGCGGTGTTGCGAAGTTTGGGTCTCATCCTCGACGCTCGACTCGTACTCTGGATCAAACGTGACTTGAGTCTCTGCCCCGACCTCCGCTTTGGCCAGAAGCCGAAGTTGTTGCTTTCCTGCGCGTATATGGAAGTCGAGTAGTTGCTCGGAACGCGGGACATCGGCGTTGCCTCTCAATGACTTGAATGCCTCGTATGTGCGCTCAACAGGTCCAAGGCCCACTTTGTCCACCGCCTTGCTGATGACCTGCAAGTCTTGCGTAGTAATGAGATAGACTTGGTGGCCTCGATAGACGGTATCCTCGGCTGGGATCCTGGATGTTTTGAAGTTGCTGTTGATCATCATCTCACCAATCTCATACACAATATCGGACAGGGAGTCCTGGATATCGCAGTCCCTTTCCCGCACTGCTGCAAGCATCTCGTGAATTGACGCGGGCATCGTCGGACCGTTGACTTTGTTGATCTCAACAGCCAGTGCCTTCAAAGTGGAACATTGAACGGGAATCTTCCAAGGTCGGCGATCGTCCGTACGTGAGATGACGGCGTATTGCAAGGCTACTGCGAGACGCCGGGGAGTACCTCTCCAGATGGGCTGTACAATGAGTGCCGCCAAACGGCTGCAGAACTTCTGTGGAAGCACACCGTTGGAAGCAAAAAGGGGCTGAAATCGCAAGTTCATAAGCGGCGAGAGGAGATCGAGGGGAGTGCACCGAAAGATCCGTAGACAGGCCTTCCATAGCGACCTAATAGCACCGTTGTCGGGTCGGATGGTAGCAAAGGCTGCCTTCTCCGGGGATGAGTCCCATACGAGCATCATAGCATCCTCATCTTGCTGCGTCCATTGAGCGTCAAAGATCGGCTCAGCTGGGCCAACCACTTTGTCTATGTCGTCGTCTTTGAGAGCATTCCTGACCTCGAGCAAAGGACGCAGGCGGGCGAGGTCGCTAGAATCAGGGTCGACGTCGGTACCTTTCTTGGGGCGGCCACATTGCTTCTTTGCCGCTGCTTGTGGTACCTCTTCAATGTCGCTGTCGCTTGTGGGTGGCTGCGGCTCGTCGGTTCGGGCTGATTTTCGGGGCCTTGGATCGTCATAGTCGTCGGTTGGGCGCGAACCGTCTCTTCTAGTCAAACGTGACCTTCTCATCTTGTTCTCATGGGGGTACGTAAGGGGGTGGTCGAGGCTTGATAACAAAGAGACAAAATTCGTTGTGGCAGGTTCAAGGCTAAGAAAAATGCCCGCCTGATTTCTTTGTTGTTTTTTTTCGTTGGCGGACTTGTCAGAGACTGTGAATCACCCGGCCAGGCAAATGCACAGGTCCGTCAATTCGTTTGCTTAGGGTACCCAATGCAGTAGTTTATGACGTCACAGCAGAAGAGGAGCCATTCATCAAGGTCAAAGAAGGGCATGCTTGTATTGACGCATTCACAGACTCAAGATTTAGACTCAACGATGACGTCCAATCATGAGCCAATATGAGACGGGCTCAAAGAAGCCTAGAATTTATCAAGACTTCCGTCCATTGAAAGTATTGCGGTTATTCCCAAACTCGTCTAATCATGGCATGCGAGGTCAATGAAGGGACCCACGTGACGGCGGACATGAGACCTTTCCGCGGCGTGTTACGACGCGAGTCCACGGCCGGATCACCTACCCTATATTTAATCACTTACGAACAAATACAGTGAGCATCAAAGACAACAGAGTCATTAAGGCGGGAGTTGTATGCAAGGTCATGCTGCAATCCGCTGATTGCCTGGTAGTTCACCTGGCATTATCTTTTGGAGGTGTCTGTCAAGATGTGATAAGTGTGGCGAGGATGTCCGACCCTTCTAGTATGCATTCACATTAGAGGTCGGGGCCATCAGAATCTTCCGACATGCAGTCATGTCAAACATCGGACGGGCTCGATGTTATGAGCCGCAGCAAGAATAGACTTAGCGATTGACGCAGACGGGACGAGAAGCGTGAAGAAAGGCAGCAATATCCTTGATAGCTATGCATGAGCAGTGACGGATGCAGAAACTATAGGGAACTCGGGGCCTGTACTCCGTTGAACGAAGAGCAGCGATCATCCCTGTCTACAAAGCATGGAGCCCTTGCACGACGGGGCTGCGTGAGTTCTAGCGCAATTCGACGGGCCAGGCCTTGCCATTTGTAGCTAAGAGCAAGCCCAAAAGGTCAGTTTAATCTCTTGACCAGGACGCCGAGCCAATGGTCAGTATCTCCTTGCTTGCGCGGGGACTGCCATCGCGTACTGAGCTGGGATCTAGACCAATTATGATTAGACTTCTTAGGCTCACTAAGATATAGATAAAAGACTAACAAAATATTATGTAAATTCTATAGAGGATTAGATAGTGCTTTAATAGTGGAGGTTGACACGCTCTGGCAAGGAGATGCCGCCGTCTTCGTTACCTCCGAGACTCCTTCCGGAGTGCAACGCGCGCCGTTCGGGCGTAACGGTGTGGGGCCGTACGGCGGTGCTTATGTAACCACCTCCGGATATCTGACGACAACCGGAAACAAAGAAGCCAAGGACTGACATTAGGTTTCTTTGCAACGGAAAATGCTTGAAGGGAGGTAGAAGGGATGGACCTGTAACAAGTAACTGCCAGACGCCGCAACGAAAACATGGGATGTCAAGTCCTATTTCCCCTACCATGTTCAAACCCTCGCTGCGCAGGATGCTCACTTGCTCCCACTACTTCCAGCCCCAAATGGCTAAAGAACACGAACGAGCTAGGAGATCCGGCTCCCTATTGCATTTGCTACGTGGGCTCAAGCAAAGAATGCTCCGCCATTTCCTCCATCAAACGACGCAGCCGTGTCCACTTACTAAAGATAATCATAACCATTCATCCTCGAGCACTCCTTTACTAATGGATGTAGATCCCTTCTACTCTGACCCCATCGGCGTCGACGACGTTGGGGGCGACGACGATTTCGGAGATTGGCGACGCTCGCCTCTCCCAGCTCAGCTGCGACAAGTTGGCGCAGGCTTTTGAGCTAGCAGAAGCCTCTAAGAATGAGGCAGAGGAAAAGGCATCGCTCTTAAATGAGCAGCTAGCTTCACTTCAACGGAAGAAAGAGGAGCTAGAGGCTGAGCAGACTGCTCTGCAAGAGCAGCAGCAGGCTCTCTACGATGCGGCGGACACCCTGAAGGACTTGCCTCAACGAGTTGAAGATCTTTCCAGTGCATTTGGCCAGCTAACTACTGGTCTGTCGGAGGAAAGACAGGCAACATCGTAAGTAAAGTCACTGTATCTATGGAGAAATCAAGCTAATGCACTATAGCGAGCCAGGTTCTGCCTTGGACAAGTTTGAGGACCAGGCTGCGAAGACCACAGTTGCCCTCGACGGGCTCAAGACGCAGTTCCAGGCGCTCACGGACATGTCGCAAGGCATGGAAAACTTGGAAAATACGATTGGCACCGTTCAGACCGGGCAGAGTGGCCTCGTGACGCAGATGACCAACCTTGTCAATCAGGTCGATCACTTGGCCAAGGCAGTGGGCACGGTTCCCACTCAGGCCTCGACAAGCCAACCCACGGGTCTGATGGCAGAGGTCAAGTCTACAGCAGAAGTACTCAAGACACTTGCAACCAAGGCTGACCTTGAGGAATGGTAAAATGCAAGGACTGAGGCGCAGGCCAGGTCAAATGAGGAGGCTATCTCACAGTGTGTGAAGGCGGCCCTGAAGGACTTCCAAGACTCCACCGTCGCAGAGTACTCGCGGAAGCTTCAGCAGCATGAGGCTGCGGAGGAGAAGAAGAGGGAGGTCTTCGAAAACCTCAGGGTCAAGGCATTAGCCGTGGAGGACAAGTACAATAGACGTGAGCAACGTCTAGCGAATCTGGAGAAAGAGAACTCGGACCTCAATGTGGCCCTCCAGAATCGGGATCTGGACCTTGCTGTCAGTTCTGACCGTCTTGACATATTTAACCGTAATATTAAAGACGGATCTCTCCGAGGCTAAGGCTCGGATCGGTAGGAGGGACGGCACTATTGCCGGGGCTAATGCGCAAATTGGTATGAAAGACACAGCCATTGCCGAGGCCGAGTCGCAGATTCGTAGTAAGGATCAGATCATCCAGGAGGCTCGCGAGCTCGTGGAATCCTACGAGAACAAGATCAAGGCCAAAAACTCCGAGATGGAGCAGATGCGCAATCGTCTGGAAGCTGCCGAAGCTCAGCCAACGCCATCAATGACAGAGGCCCAAAGAGGCGCCGAGATGAGCGAACTGGCTAGGACGTACCTGACACTCTCCACAGAGTTTCAAGGCATCCCGATAGCCCCTGAGAGGAACGGATGCTTTGGCGTGCAGCAAATCGCTGCGGAGATTGCACCAGCGCTTATTCAAGTTGGTGCAAAGGCCCACTCCAGCTCTCTCCAAGGTTGGTACTGCCTGGATGAGGTTCTGATGCAAGGGACCAACACCCGACAAGATGTCTTGTCCGGCATGCGTCAAATCCATCAAAAGGCCTGTGTTATGGTCAGTGTGATTGTTCTGGACGGGCAAAAAATGATTGATTTTTATCAAGTGACAACTCAGTAGTAAATTGAAATATCTGTGTCTGTTTTTTTTCCCCAATGACATCTCTTGACATCGAATGTGAAACCCAGAGTTCCCTTGCACGTCGTTTGATATGCAGTTAGCGGGGAAAGCTTCTGCCGAGGATAAGCCTGGTCCTGAGCCTGAGGTTGTTTCTGCTCCCTCCTCTGAGCCAGCCTCCCATGAGCTCGTCTTCCGGTCCAAGACTGAGGCCAAACGCACTCTGCCACCCGCCCAAGGTCTGAATGCTTCTCGATGGGCCCCTCCTCCTGTTCCCCTCGTCGCTCTGAACGCCTTGCCGCCCAAGGCCACTCCTCCCATCCCTCGCGGCAGCATGGTCTGCCCACCAGTCCCTTCCCTTGCTGCTCGTCAGCATGTTTGGAAGGCGAAGTACGGCGATGGGCTCAGAGATGAGCCTGTTTGTGGGCCCTTTGAGGTCCGTATCTCTTGCTGGATCGAGTTTGAAGAACTCATCTGGGGCACGTCTAGCGACCTTGGAGAAGGAGAACGAGGACCTCAAGTTGGCCCTCCAGAACCAAGATAAAGAACTTGCTAGTCAGTCTAGCCGCCTTGACGACTTAACGAGGACTCTCGCCGAGGCCAAGTCGCAGATTCGTTCATATCCACTTCTTCGCTTTTCTACCTGGCAACCCGTTAATCATGATGCCTCAACTGAACCGAGACCCGTACATATTCTGCTTGTTTAAGCAATGACATAGTTGTCGGCTTAGCCTATACCTGCGTGTGATGGCAAGTTTTATGAGGACAGTAGCCGAGCGTGTTTAGAATATAAAGGATTGTACATGGCAAGTTATAGTCGGTCGAGAAGAATGACGTCTGAACGAAGACACTGTATTCTCTTCGTCTAATAGTAGCAATAAATTAAGGATGAGAATATGAAGAACTTAAATGCGATATTGTACTATTATTCAACGAATTTTGTATGATCTTAGTATGAGTTCTATAGGTTATTAGATTATGCTCTGGCGGAAAGATGCCAGCAGTCCTGCGTTCGCGGTCCAACTCGAGGCTATCAGTCACACCAGCCACTGTCTGGTCGTTTCTGCATATCTTCCTCAACAATAATTCATCTCATCGATGATGTGATTCCATTTGGGATGGCTGGAGAAACCACTGACCTGACGCCCACAAGCTTGCATGGTCTCGTCCATCGTGGCCACCTCCTGCTGGGCTTCACTCAGCCTCCCAAGAAAATGTTTCTAGAGCTGAAGCTTCGTCAAAGTCTGGCGCACATTGGTGCGCATGCCATTCAGAGCGCTCATGATCATCCTGGCGTTAGATACCAGGCTAACTTCCGAAGCGACTGTATTTGCGCCTATGCTACCTAGTTTGATGGCTTTGAAGCCGTACTGATAGAGCAGTGACCCGGCTATCGTGGTGATGAGCTCATCGGCCAGGGGCAACTAGTCCTTCTCCCAGATGAGGAGCACTGGCCCGACATGGATGACAACACTCAGCGAAGTTTGGACAAGGACATGGACTGCCAATCCGAGATGCCTATTGATTTGAGGTGGAGATTCTCGGCGGTACGTCTTCATCTGCGTTCGGAGGTCTTTGGAATAGCCCACGTGTTTGGACCAGTCCGGTTGATCCAGGTCCTCATGACACATTCCCTCGTAGGTTCTTAGCAAGGCGTCGAACCTGGGCAGCTCATCGTCCTTTGTAACCCACTTGGGAAAGGCTGTCGAGTGGCCAGGTTTGAAATCGTCGGCGTCACCCTCAACCAGGGCAACAAATTGAACATCATCCCTCTCTTGGACAGAAATGGCTGCTAGGTTCCCAAAACTAACAGCTCCACCATTGACGGATGACATGTGCTTGGAAATAGTCTTGTAGCCTGATATGTAACGCTTGATACCTTTGATCAGCTTTTTCATCTCCTTGATGTTTAGCAACCAGTCTCGCTTGTCTATGCGACTCCGGTCAACGACAAGAACACCTGGGACCGGTCCGCCATCCGAGTTAGCCATACAGAGCTAGGTTGCATGTTAGTTGAGAATTTCAAATGCGACAGTGCCTTGTACGATGCTCTGGATGATGTCGTGAGGCATACTGTGCAGGAGCTCGTCCGCCCCCCAACCCATCCTTCGGCGGGGCGCCATGATCGTCTGCACAACAGCGAACTGGCTGTCAATCCGCAACTGCACTGACACATGCATTGAACCTTAGATGCTGCAGCTTAGATTGAGTTATGAATTATCCAAGGGCCTCAATACACCAACCTTGAATTACTCACGTTTTGCCGGGTCGGGTCTAACCCATCAGCCGTAAAACACACCCAGTAGCTGCAAACGATCAAAACCTTATGAAACGGAATGATAATGAAATGAGATAAAGGCATCTCTATAAGAATCTGCCACGGGGACTTATCTAGTTTGTCCCCTTTTTATGTTGTTCCCTGGTGCTGTTGACATGAGAGCCGTTGGGTCAAACGACTCCCTGGCGCACCAGAAGCCACAACTGTTCTCACTTTTTAGCGTCAATGAATCAATGATCACGGCAAACGACTGTGATTCACAGTCAATAGTCTTACTAATCCCACCCATCTATAAATTCTCCCCCCATTCCATTTTCAACTTTTCAATCCTTCATCCTTCAACCTTCATCCTCCCCACCGAGGTACAGCAACTTTCGCCTGTCCCTCTCAAACGCCATGTCCTCCTCCAACGACCAAACGCCCAGTCGCATGCTCCATGAGCTTCGACAGTTCGTGGCCTCCCTCTGTGTGCCTATTCAACGTCAACGTGGAACAGTTACGAGTCCAACTTTCGGGCACGTTCAGCTGCCTCCATATCGGCTGGTGAATCCATGCTTGATGAAGGAGATTTGCGATGCCATTCCTGCGATGGATGATAGGAGGCATATTCAACCCCTTTTCGTCCTCCCAGACGTTGAGAGGAGAATTCTCAACACAGAAATGAGAGAGAAGCTCATTCGCCACCCCCTGTCGCCTGAGATCATTACATTCTCCGAACTTCTCTTGGCCCTAAGAGCGAACCGCCGGGAGGCCGGGAGTCACCGCCGTGCATGGAATGGCACTTATGATCTCAAGGAATGGCATGAAAAGGCTATTATGCCAAAGAGGGCTCTCGTGGTGATTCACTTGGATCGTCAGGTCTCTGCCGACAGCGCACTTGCGCTGATTGCTCTTGTGCAATGGGCATTCGACGTGATCATCGACACCAGATGCCGCATACACATCTTGACAATGTCAACCTACGGCATTCGCAATATCGTCCCAGACCTCGCCAAGAGACGAGCCCCAGACCTGGCAATCCCAGAGCTAGACCTCGCACCCTTTGGTGACCTCGACCCTATTGCCAATGCGCGTGTCATTCAACACCAAGACATTGCCTCGCAGCTTCACAGAGCAATATTGTCCAGCAATGGGCGCCCGGTGGCAATCATCTTTCTTGGAAATCAGGACTTGTTCCATGGGATTGTTCAGTTCTGTGACTGGCACAAACAGTCACTCGGAGAGCGTACAGTCGAATGCCCCTCGGACGATATCGATGCCTTTCGCCGGTGGGAGGAGAAGGAGGAGGAGGAGGAGGACCCTCCAACAATTCGTCTCATTCGCTTAGACGGCAATTGTCCTATCATTCCCATAGCCTTCGAGGGCTTTGACCAAGTTCACATCGTGCTTGGCCACAACTACCAGGAGGTAGCCTGGAACAATCAAGCTGGGCAGTTGGTTGACTTCCACCGCGTCACCGCTCGCAGTGAGCGAAGAGACCAGATTTGGTGGGCTCGCCAGCCAAACGCCCGTGTGACCTGCGTCTACACTGGGGGAAGCGAACTGGAAGCATTTCTGGAAACAGGACATCATCGTCACCGGCTCACCGAGGATTCCCATATGGGCGGTTTCATGGCCTCGGTTTTTAACATGTCCACCTGGGGTATTGATCCCAGAATGGCCTTTGGGCGTTGTGTAAGAGCTACAGAGTCTCGCACAGCCTCGGAAATACTCCATCGACTGACCGTCCAGGGCATCATCTCTCAAGAGGTGTTCGTTCTACCCGAGCCTGATGCAAGGGCTTTCAGACAGATCCTGCCCCTGGTTAATTACGACCACCGGCTCGCATTGTTCGTTGCCATTGATTCTGGAAATTCCGACACCATAGTACGGATGGTCAAGATTCAGTTGGCAGCGCTCATCAGCTCTGGATTCCAAGACGTTCTTTGGATCCAATGCGAAAATCTGAAAGCGGCTATGGAAACCGATCCCAGGCTACTCTCGCAGATGATCCGTGCATGTGTCGGGTACGGCCGTCGTCTGGCCAGACAGGGGACCATGTGGCTTGTACTTGGGCTCTGGAAGCATTTCATCCATGCCGAGTCTTCCGGTCAGAACCGGGAATTCAGGGCCCTGTATGATGTGGTTGAGGTGGATCAAAGTCGTTCTCCTATTGCACAAGACCTGGTGGACACGATGTGCCTTTATCTCAGGAGAGTGGGCATCGCAGTACCTAGTGGCATGAATGTTGCTGCCGAGGTTGGCGATATCAACGAAACCCAAGCTCGTCAACTCCAAGCCCATCTTCTCCGGTCATACCTCTATCAACTTATTGGGGGAAAGTTGCTGGAGGGACAAACCAAGCTTTCTCACAAGATTATCGCCACGGACACACGGATCGGCGAATTGGGAGTCCCAGACCTTGAAGAGATGCATAGAAAGGAGGGATCTGAGATGATCTTTGGAGTTTGTCATTCCCTAAGCAAGAGAGTTGGACAGTCACTCGTTTTCGCCGCTGACTGGACCTACATTCCAGCAGACATTGTCGCTGAATGGAAGAACAAGAACGCGCCAAACACCAGTCTCAGGGATAGACTTAGATCCGGCATCGAGCTCGCGACGAGTAATGTTGATGAATTTCGCGGGGATTCTTAGGTTATGGAAGGGTAGGTGGAAATGCTAGGATCAGGATAGAGGGAGAATGGTTTGGGGTGGAGATCAAGAGCACCGGTATTGAAATCTAAGCTACGGATACCCGAAATGTGTACTCGCGCCACCCATCTCTATTATCAGAGACTCGTTCCTTATAATGACATTGCGCAAGTATGCAAAGGGGCAGTGAATTGATCTCGTATCGTCATTCGACCCCCGTCACCGGATGATTGAGTAGACCAAGGGTCGCACGGCCATGCTTACGGACCGCACAGTCGAGCTTCGCGGGGAGACAGATGACCTGGAGCAGGGGAATTCAAACTTTTGAGATACCTCCAAGGCTTAGCAAGGCGGGGTCAGGCGGGATCTTGAGGATGCCACGACTCAAGCCAACGAAACCGAAAGAAGTCGTGATGAGCTCCAGGAGACAGTTGGACGACAGCGCCAAACGCTGGATAGCCAGGTTGGTGAGATCAGGAGACTAACAGAAAAGTCCCAGCAGCGAGAAAATCACTTCTCTCACCGATCCGAGGCTCAAGTCCAGCAAGCTGCGGCGCTGCTGCGCCACTTATCGATTGGCACCGAGTCAGATGTCTGGCGGAGCCTCGCCAAGCAGACGCTCCAGGATTTGACCTGGCTCGCCACGCAAGCAGCGTGGACCTCTTGGAGAATCTTTCTCTCGTGGTCCACTAACAAGGCTCTGGATGCCCAAGTGGATGATCTTAGCGTTCACGCCGCAGCCCTCGATGTACTTGCCATCCTGTGGTCTGGATCGACGGATGCTGAGAACTTGTTAAACCAGCTCCAGGTCCTGCAGAATGGCTTAATAGGCTCCTCTTGGGTTGTCTTATCTATAGCCGAGATGCTTCTCGAGTCCTGCGTATAAGGAGTCCAAGATACGCGCCTCTACCTCATGCACCACCTAGGCATATGGCAGGTTGCTCTTAAGATGTTCCCCATTTCTCACGTCCAAGCAGCACTTGGAGAAGCTCTGGACAAGGTAGATACGCGGATCGTCCATCTTGCTGGCGTGATGCTTGTCTGGGACTCTGGGGATTCAACAGAGTTTGACAGCACCATATGAATCAACTATCCTAGGATAGCTCCGTTGGGGTTTCATCGTAGCCCCCCGGGAGGGATGGCGTTTAGCCGCACTCGTCGTGAGCTCTGGGGGGTTGACATTGCTCAGATCCACCAGAGTCTTGACGAAATTAAGGTGGTGCCTGCTACTGGCACAGCCATTCATTTCCCACTAGATAATGAGGGCAGGTTGGCATAGGCGTTAATCCATGGTTAGGGCAGAATGTAAAGATAGTACAGAGTGGTCCTAAATAAAGAAAGAAGTTAACATCGGGTCATGATGTTATGGTGTGTCGACAATTTGTTCTTGATTATAGTTGTAGCCCGGCTCTTGGTGGAAATTGAGCTAGAACATCGAAACGACTTGGCGTCGCCAGGATTCACAAACGCCAGGATCGGCAAGGGGCTGTGATAAAGGCCTTGACGGACGCCAACACATATTAAGAACAGGCACGAGGGTTCTCAAAGAAAGACGTGTTGACCACTGCCAAGGCGATCAAAACAACGAACGACCAAATTCGCGGCCCCAATGATCGGACCAAGCCTGCTTGTCACTGATCGGGCTACAATAAAGCTATGCGGAGCCAGGCCTATGGATCTGCCCTGCCTAGCAAGGGGGAGATACGGTTAGATTAACGTTAATATCTATGGTGCGGGACCTCCTACTTTGTATAGGGCCCCTGTTGCTATTCGGCTCGGCAACAAAGACATAGGGGCGTAGAAGCTCTGCTATGGCTGAAGCAATGTTATAAACGGGTCGGTCGACATCATCAGGGTGAACAGGCTTGCTTTTGCATCACCACTGTGTCAAACATCACTGCACCAAACCAATGAGGGCAAGTGGGCTATTAGTAGGAGCTTGTGGATATAGCTGAGTAAATATTGTAGTTCTCCTGGGAATCACGTCTTTAAGAACACTTGCCCGGGCAGTCATAAAGGAAAAGCGACCCACGCGCTATACAAAGACTTGGCTTATCCTCCTGTAGGTTTATTCAAAGAGCTATCATAAGAATAAGAAGACTTTTGATAAGCTCATGATCATGTTCATACTGGGTTTGTGAGTAATTGGGTGGTGACATAGTATCTGGGGCGTTTAGATCGCCGTCTATGGTGGGTAAGATTAAGACTCGTACACCTTCTTGGGCCAGGCCTGATAGATGGCCAATTTTTGGGACGAGAAGGAGGACATGTAACGTTGATATAGAGAGAACGGCATAGGCTCAGTATTCAGATAGTGAATGCCACTTGTTTGAATTACTACACAGACCTCAATCTGAATCAGTCTCTGAATCAGAGCTATTTTCCTTCTTCCTTCCGCCCTTTCCAAACTTGAGGTTAGGGATATACAGGGCCACCAGGTCATGCTTTGTGTTGTTCGGCGCCTTGCACGTATACCCTTTGTCGATACACCTCTGGCACGTATCCCAGTCTCCATCGTTGCACCAAGCGCAGTGATAAAACTCTCCCCGAATCATCTGATCACATATATCACAGGAGTACTTGGGATACACCTTGACCAAATTGTGTTCACCATTTCCTTCGCATGTCTCTCCTTGGGCAATACAGTCACGGCAAACGTCCCAGTCGCCGGCAGCGCATTTCTTGCAGTGAGCATAAGGGCCGCTGATATCCTGGTTACAAACGTTGCATTCGAGATCGACTTTCATGTCAGGATACTCGGAAAAGTCAGCAAAGTCAGCTGGTACACAGCCGTGCCTTTTCTTTGCCTTGTGCTTGTCTATCAAAGGTTAGATTAGTTGATGTATAACATTTGAGACTTACCAATCCTATCTTTGACAAAATAGCCAGCTACACCACCTGCCGCAAAGCCACCTGCTGCAGCGAGAATCATATTGGAGGATGACTTTTCTTCTTTAAGGCTTGGCCGGGTTTGACTTGGCTGCATCTGACCCTCGTGGCCCCTGTTAATGCTCAAACTGCCTGGATAGGAGGGCATTCCCGGCAGAGGATCAGACGGAGCTTGCCACACGCTTCTCCCCGTGGTCTCGGCATAGCACCACTGTCGGTCATTCTCTGACCAGTAGGCAATCCAACGAGGGGGCGTTGGACAAGGGGGTCCATTTGTCAAAGACTGAGCTCCTTGGCCGTAGTTAGGACTAGAAACGGGAAGAGAGAATCCTTGTGACGAGGTTGGTCGATGCTGATGCTGTGGTTGCAATGCTTGTGACGGATTATAGTCGGATCCTCCTTGATGATAAGATTGCTGCCCGGGATAAGACTGCTGCCCATTGTACGGTTGATATCCACCCTGCTGTCCGTTAAATGACTGACCAGGATATGGCTGGTTACTGTTCTGGTAACCACCATAGTCTTGCTGGTTGTTGTGATAGCCTTGACTGTTCTGATATCCTTGATTATTCTGGTAGTTATCATTATGCTGGTATCCCTGCGCTTGGTGATTCTGGTAGGTCTGAACTGCATCTTATGAGCGAGGATCATCGGAGTAGTCACTGACATACCATTCTGCTGCTGTTGCAGGCGCTCACCCAGGTTCAACCCCTCAAACTCTTTTTTGAACTTGTTTAGGAATGACATTTTGTCGCCCTTGAATGTTGATTGCTCTGTGTCAGTGAGGGAGACCGTTGTTATAGGGGCTGAGCAGAACGTAAGCATGGCCCATGTCGATCCACATTCAGGGCTGCCTCAGAGTTTCCGGTAAGTGGGAGGCTATTAATAGTCTACTTAGTCCGCTTATTTAGTACACATTTCGCGAGAATGCTGATGTGGTGCTCGCTTGCAAAAGTACTGTTTTATCTAGTGATTACGAAGCCACGTCAACGTCAGTGGTCATTATTACTTCAGTGGCGCCTTCACCGCCGAAGTAGCAAGGCTGGGGCATGGCTTACCTCTCATCACTGTCATCCGATTGCACCGCCTCGTTGAAGCTAGATGGTATTCGACTTGCGTCCGTTAAATCGTATGACTTGGTTGACTCAGGATTAAGTAGCTCAGCCTTTTATTCTGTAGACATACGGACAAGGCAATCCACTTCAACCAATCCAACGTTGTTCAACTCTCATGCTTCCATGTCTCACCAGATATTACCTGTAATAAAACTCTCGAGCCCACGGGGTCTCTGTTCTGCAGACTTTTGCACAGCCTGCTGATCGAACAACTCTTCCGCATCCTTTCGCTGCCGTCTTAACTCCTCCCGTTCCTGAGGATCCAGTCGATCAGGTATATCCACCAGGGCCCCGGCTGTTGGGTTCCAAAGCAGTCTCTCCTCGTCTGCCACTTCACCTTGAAGTGCACATTTCCACAGCTCGTATACCCCATGATCAAGATCTTTTGACTTGGACGATAACCCTTCTTGAATAAAGGTGGGCGCACCACCGAGATTGGCAAGCATGCTAACCAATGATCGCTGTTGTTTTTCTAAAAGTCCAATTCGACAAGGGAAGCGATTCCTGCGTCCGAACTTGGACCTCATAACTCTCAAAATCGACTTACCATCAGGAAGCGCCAATGAAGTTTCGTTGATGCTGGCTCCCTTTGACAGTAGCTTCTGTATCATGAGAGGGTGACTAATGTCGTAAAACTTGGTGAAAAGCTCAGGAGGGCAAGGGTCAGGAGGCTCAGAAACCCACCCAAATGTGGTATGCATGATGTGCTCTAGCAGCGTCATTAGTAGGTCGTCAACATGATCGGACAGTTTGCCATCAAAATTGTCATCTTTGAGCAACAAGTCGATAATGACACTCCACCGTTCAATACCAACAGCCTGCTGTTCAAGAGTGAAAGGATTATCCAACGGGAAGAATTTCCACGAACACACTCCTTGCCCACATAGCCAGTTGGGCACCTTGTTTTTAGCTGCGCCATTCTCCAGAAACAGTTTGATGATTGTGAACTGTTCGTCGTTTAAGAGGCACTTGGGGCCTTTAAAGTACCTCCAAATGACTAGCAAGGTCAAAGGGTAGCCCGCATGGACGCGATCGAACCGAATATCGGCACCTCTGTCCAAAAGCCAATTGACCATCCGAGAAGGAGAATGATTCGGGTCTGTAAAGTCGACACTGAGGATGTATATCAACAGTGGGGTGACGACCAAAAGCGTGCGATCGTCACAGTCCGGCCTGAGTGGAATCCAGACTCGGCACTTGACATTGAGGTCAGCGCCAGCTTTTAGAAGAAGATCAATCATGTCCGTCTTCCCCTTTGATGCCAAGCGTTTTGCAGCGGCAACCATTGGCCTAAATTTCCATGGTTCCAGACGGTGTTGCCATGGGTCCATATCGTTGGGCACTGGGCTTAGAACCGCTAGGTCAAGGTAACAACCTCGTGAGACCATGACCTTGGCTAGTGTGATGGACCCAGAAAGTATCGCAAGTGACAAGGCTGTCTCGGGGTTCCAACTCTTTCCGACTCGTGCAGTTGGGTTTGCTCCAAGGTCCATCCAACGTTGACAGATGTTGAGTTTGAGGTTCAGTTTAACTGCCTCGACAAGAGTTGCATCCAGGTTGGCTTGGATGTCGGGGATCCTGTCCTTGACTCCATACTCTTGGCAAAGCTCAACGAATCTGGGGAATTGCGGAGCGAATAGGCGTCTTTTGAAAGCGGCAGACTGTGTGATGTGGATGGGGACATCTGGTTGGGCGCCTGATTTGAGAAGAAACTCAAAGATGTCGTAGCGGAATCTGCTTGCGGCAAGGCCAAGTGCAGAGGCCAGCAGAGCTGTGTCGTTTCTCCAAGCAACTTCGACAGTGCTGATATCGGCCCCCAGCGAGAGAGCCTTCTTGATAGCCCATGTGTTGCCTCTAGAGCAACCCCAAGCCATGAGTTTGTGAATAGCGTGGGGTTCAGCCATCATGTAGGGATCCAATGTTATTTCGAAGGCGGAATTGCATTGTTGAAGGTGCCAAAGGTCAACGAGGTCAGTCTCGTGGATGATGGCCTCAAACACCTCCAGAGGGAGGGACTCGAAGGAAGACGCCATAGTGTGATTTCGTCAAGTTCAGAGTAAACAATGGATGTGCAGACGATTTTATAAGACAAACTCCCCGGTGAGTCATCAAGATATTGTAGAATCTTCGGTATATCTGCACGGGGTGAACTTAAATGCGGTAGATTGAGTTCGGTGAGGTTGTCATATTATTGAGTTTCATGATGGAAACGGTAAAGGCCAAAACCGGTTTATTCTCAACCTCGTCACTTGAATAATGAAAGCAAGGGGTTCTTCTGTTACTATAAGCTATACTTGGGCTCAAAATTACCCAAATGTGTCAACCAGCTTGCGCTCAAAGGGACGAGGGCTGACAATTTTATGCTCCCGCACGATGGAACGGCAGTCATGAGGCAAAAGAGTCATTCGGCGTGGAGGTTCACAGAGTTTGAATGTGAGGTGCTATTGAGTGGTGCAGTAATCCAGGTCGAGAATCAACTATTACAAAGAATATGATAAACGATCTTCTGGCTCTGTTCCCATCAAGAGCCAGAGAACATAAACACTTGATCGGGGCTATCTCTACCCATTGTCGATCGCTATAACAGTGTGGCCTATTCAGAAGTCATACATAGGTACCTCATAAGATAGCTTGCAGAAGACAGTGATAGGCTTGGGGAAAAGACTCATTGCCGTCCTCAGGAGATGTGCATGTTTGGAACATACTGGGCATGGCTGTGGGCCACGGTTTAGCCGTCGTGAATTTTGTCCCCTCGTTTGTCTACTCAATTGAAAGCGAATTGTCCAGACAGACAATCAGATCATTACTTAGCTTGGACCTATTGAACTTACCGCTAGGAGCATCAGCTCCTGTAGCTTGACGCTGTTCCTTTGTGCCGCACGGCGGTTTTATTGCGGCCAATTTCCGCCCTCGTTTAGACGAAGGCTTCACTGGGCAGCCTATGGAGTTCGCTCATTTTCTGGCTCTTCAACAAGGGTCTCAATAGCCTCCCAAATGCGTTTCAGCACATGACGAGATCCCTTTGTCCAGACCCCTTGCAGACCCCCATGTTCGCAACACAAATTTCAGCCCACGTGTGCCGAGGACAGTAATAAGGTCTACATCTAGACCTTATCGGTCCTACCGATCTTTGTGGTGTAGAACCCCTGACATTTCCCTCGAATCCCGCTGTCAAAAGGCGGAGAAGTGCGGGGTGAAACGGGAGCGATTCCAGTTTAGTTAAGCGGAGGGAACGTCGCCGTCGGGTGATGAGCTATTTACGGCATAGAGACAATGCATCCTATATGTCCTGCCTTTGTATATTATCAGATGCTGGTAATAGGGCCGACTGCGGCCAAGGCCTTTATTATGGCTAGTCTACTTGGTCACTTTGTACATGGCGGACAACAGGGTCGAGACGGTGTTCCTCTTTGGGCGTACCTTGGCATAGTCACTGAGGTTATGACATAAATGCATTAGACCATTCTGCTTGTCATTCGGCCCGTCGCTAGTTTCACCGAGAGGTCTCATTTTCTTGTGCTTTGGCGCTTGAGCAACAGGAGACTCCGCCTTCACGATGTTTTCATGGAGTCCAGGTGCATGTGAAAGAGGTGAAAGAAGAAGTGAAGAAAGCCATAAAAGGGCCATATCAGTCTGTCTTGTGTAGGAAAATATCACCAGTCTTCAGCTTCAACCAGTCCATCAGATCGTGCAGTCAAAATCAGCCATGAAGTATTCCCAGCTCCTTGCCATAGGCTTTGCCGCTTCAGTTGAGGCCCATGGTTATCTAACCATCCCCAAGAGTCGCACTCGCCTAGGCGCAGAGGTATGTACTGTCTTCTTATCCAACGGTCTTCTGGCTCATCCTATCGGACGGGCTTCAACTATAAGATATAACCACTTATCTAACTCCAACTGACTCAATCAGGCTGGTATCGACTCTTGCCCTGAGTGCACCATCCGTGAGCCCGTGTCAGCATGGCCCGATGTAGATGCTGCGACAGTCGGCAGAAGCGGTCCATGCGGCTTCAACGCCCGAGTCAATGTTGACTACAATGTGCCCTCGAGCAACTGGGGCAACACTCCAGTGGCCACCTACAAGCCTGGGGACGTTGTCGACGTGCAGTGGTGCGTCGACAACAACGGAGACCATGGCGGCATGTTTAGTTACCGCATCTGTCAAGACCAGGCCATCGTCGACAAGCTTCTGACTCCCGGATACACTCCAACCGATGAGGAGAAGCAGGCCGCCGAGGATTGTTTCCAAGATGGCCTGCTCCCCTGTACGGACGTCTCGGGTCAGACTTGCGGCTTTAACCCTGATTGTTCATCTGGGCAACCATGCTGGAGGAATGATTGGTTCACCTGCAATGCCTTTGGGGCATCGTCCCGCCGTGGTTGCCAGGGTGTGGACAACGCTCCTCTTGGATCATGCTATACCTCCATCGCTGGAGGATATCCCGTCAGCAAAAAGATCAAGATCCCCAATTACGTCTCGAACCACACGCTTCTATCTTTCCGTTGGAACTCATTCCAGACGGGTCAGGTTTACCTCACCTGCGCAGATATCGCCATCACCGGTAGCGGTACTGGAACACCTCCTCCCTCGACGACGACGAGTCCTGGCACAGGGTGCAGCACAGTACCCGTCACCTTTGACCATGTCGTCACGACCAGTGTGGGCCAAACAGTCAAGGTTGTGGGATCCATCCCAGCTCTTGGTAACTGGAGCCCATCTTCTGCTCCGGCACTCTCAGCTTCAGGATATACCTCTAGCAACCATCTTTGGACCACGACTTTGAATCTGCCGGCCGGTCAGTCATTCCAGTACAAGTTTGCCATTGTTGAGTCGAGTGGTGGTGTGAAGTGGGAGAGTGATCCTAACAGGGCTTATGCGGTTCCGAGCAGTTGTCAGGCCGTGACTGTTAGTGGAACGTGGCGTTAGGGGTTGTGATGTTGAGGGAGTGATAGCACCGGGATATGTTATGATGTGTTGGGAATGTGACCTTGATTATAGTGAAAGACCGGACTCGATGGGATAACGGAGGCAGCAAACCGTGTGTTGAGTAGGAGGAGTCGGGGATGAAAGGAGTCGGGGCTAGTTCCAATCTCTTGGTAGGCTTGAAATGTAGTTGTCTATCCGAGCACTGGCTTATAAGTGGCGCGTTTAAACATTACAAGCAACCTGAAACAGTTCAGCCATTCGAGGCAGAGTCATTTGGCGTAAATCAACTAACGGCGAACGCGAGCGGATATATTGAAAGGAACATGCCATCAGTCGTGCCAGTGAGCAACGGGCACGGCACTCGCCATCCACTACCCAGCTCGTATCATTTTGTGAGTCCCCAGTGGCGCGTTGGAGATTGCTCGCCAATCACTGACATGATCTTAGGGTTTTGAAAACACTAGGTCGGGGGGTGCACAGTTGGGATCGTGGCTTGCGGAGGGCATGGTGGTGTTGGAAGGGATATCCATTTTGTTTCGCCTGGATAACAGCGCACATAGTCGCTGTGTTGGATGAAATCATGCTTCCTCAGATACTTTTACATTTGTACAGTCTTTCTAGTGACTTGTCCATCTTGGCCTAGTATGAGTGGCTGCAGAGGAAAGGAGAGTACGGGGTGAAGCAATCCGACGTCTTGTTACTCGTAGAATGGTTTCATAATTCAAAATGGAGGTCTAATCGTTTTCATAACATGCAAACTTTGGACGTTGTCAACGTGCAAAACAGAACTGTCGCTTCCTTCGCCCGAGATGATCTTGATTATTTAAAATCCTGTGAAGCACTGCTATTTACCTTATCCACGTTGTTCTGAAACTGTCACGCAGAAAAATAGAGCCAATTATGCCCATGTAGGGTCCTGCCGAGCCCATTAGGTGCCAATGACTAAACCCTTCGTTCCCATCTATTCACCTCGGCGTCTATGCGTTTGAGTACCGTGAGCATGACTCGGGTTTCCATGTCGAGGGCTTCAACTACACCCATGATCGCGATAACTCGCCCCTAGAGCATGTGGTGCTTGGGCAGGAGAGTCGTGGGCCACATTACCACTCTAGCCATCACTGTCGCTTTGAAAGATTGACACATACGAGAGGGTTGGTACGCGGGTGATTTGATCGACCGAGGTTCGAGTGAAATCAATCGGTTTCGGGGGCTTTCACAATGGATAAAGAGAGTTTACAGTCACCAAGTAGTATTCAGAACGACCATGTATTCACTTTATTGCTCGCCCTATTGACCCAACCCATGCCTTCAGTTGCCTCCCTCAACTACTGTGCGCTGCCTCTTGAACGATCGCGTCGAGGGCTCCTGCTTCGACGTCGAGAAATTCGGCGCGGAGGGCTTCTGTCCCGACGACGATGAGGGCTCCGACTGCGATATCGAGGACTCCTCTCTCGACGTCGAGGACTCCTGCTGCGATATCGAGAACTCCTGCGATATTGAGGACTTCTGCTGCGATATCGAGGGCTCCCCCTGCGACGTTCGGGACTCCTGCCGCGACGCTCAGCGCTACGGCTTCGATATTGCGGACGGGTCTGATCGCCATCGCGCCTCAAGCTTCCTTGGTTACCCTCATCCCTTGCCCTTTGGCCCTGCGATGAAGGAGGAGGCGAGTAACGCCTGGAATTTCTCCCGCGCCCAGCACCGTTCTTCCCCTGGCCACCACCACGGTTTTGGTGGTTCGGCCGGTCAAAGCGCCCAGGTGCAGCGTTCTTTCCCTTGCCCCGTTGTCCTCGCTTAGGATTGGCGCCCTTCTGATTCCCGCCAGCTGAAGCTGCGGCAGCGACCGCCTGCTTGCCTTTCGACGAGGGATCGGTCGGTTGGGTCTTGGGGACGGGGCGGCGGGGCTTTGGTAGGCTTGGTAAGGGCGACAAGGGATCGGTCGGTCGGGTCTTGGGGATGGGGCGGCGGGCCTCCGGAAGGGTGGACAAGGACGGCTCGGGGCCTCGAGAGGCTGGTCGGGGGGTACCGGGTGGCGGCGGTTCGGTTCTTCTGCATTGAGGGGGCGCAAACTTCGCTGCCATAGCAGTCAAGTCCAGGCCCTGGAGGGATCGAGCCAGGTCCTCCTCTATCAATGATTCCAGTTCCGATGGCACCATAAACCCAGCTTTCGCCAGTTCTGGGTACTCAGGAATGAGGACTTCATCTTCTGCCAAGCAGAAGAACAGGACGAAGTTATGAGAGGAGGGCTCCTCGATGAGCCAGCTCCCTGGCGTGTACGATTCGTGCTCATTCCTGGCCGCGGTGTTCGCACCACATACTGCGTAAGTCCGGACGTAGTCGGACTCCCTGCTCTCTGACCGCATGCGAACAACGGCGATCAAAGCGTATCTCTCGGGAGGTGAATCTTGAACGTACCTAAGATTACCGTCCACATCCTTCACGTCTCCTTGCGGGAGAAAGAACTCGCGTAGGGCCTGGAAGGGTAGGCGTTCATCCGTGCCAGGGGTATAAACAACCCGGATGATTCGGGGCCGGTAAGGGATGAAGAGAGTGTTCTCATCGTCGAAACCGAAACAGTTGTCGATAGCTTCCTGCAGCGTACGTTGGGGATCCACAACACGGTTCAACTGGACGATGCTCGCACCGGCAATCTCATCGCGATTCCACTCGTTGCACTTGATGGGCTCACCGGGAGGCATATGGTATTTTGGCCCGAATAGGTGGAACAGCTTCTTCTGCCACAGGGTTCGGTTCATCATAGCCGACCTCCAGAGATTTTCAAAGCTGCCCAAGGCGTCTGGAACGGCTTCAATGAGAGCACGTTTGGCCTTAAGAGCCTGGGCTCTGGCTTCGTTTCCTTCGGGCTCCCCAAGCATCAGCCAAGAAAAGGCGAGAATGGGGTTCTCAGTCTCAGACTGCTTGAACCCGGACAGGTTAGCGAGGCAGTCCTCGGAGATCATGACTGCACTGAAGATGCGGCGGAGCACAACGATGAGGCAATCAAGCCCTTCTGTGGACACATCATCGAGGCTTGTAGGTAGTCGCGTCTCCAGGACCCAAGAGACTTTCTCGGATTGCGTGACAAGGTCGTAGTGCTTTCGGATATCTTCGGTGTCCATGGTGATACGGGGCGGCTTGGCGCAGTGACACAGGACTGTTGTTGAAGGGGTCGGGTTGATGCTCCAGGAAAGATGGTAAATCGCTTGAAGATTTGTGTGGTGCGAATTGTTTGTGTTTGCAGTTGCAGTGCCATTGACCTGGAATGACCCACTGAGCGCTCCATCGATCAAGAAGCCAACAGGGTGGGCGGGGCGCTAGACAGCAAATTCTTTGGGCCCTGACAAACGGGCGGTGCTCATAAAACAAAGACGACCGCTTTTACAGCAAGCCTGGCAATGGCCAATAATGTGCTGAATGGTCATGGTGCAAGTCGGTCAAATTATCCATATCCCAATTTGGTGAGTTCCCAGGCTCATTCAACAGAACAAACCGTCAAGTTCATAAACAAACGTGCGATTAACATCCAGCATTTTGTTTGTTTCTTGACGAGTACATTCTTCAATCAAGTACCACAACATGTTCGCTGGCTGAAAATAAAGTGAACACAATCCCATCGAGGCAGTCAGATCTGTCAATAAAGGACGTCATCATGGGGCCAGTCCATGGTCTCAGATATCGAGAATTCCTGGATAGTCTCAGGGGTTAGCGTTATTGGAATATCGTTATTGGAGCTGAAGCCCATGGCCTTAGGCAGTCGGTATTATTGAGAGGGCGTCCGGATTAGCGAGTGGATAATCTCAGCTGCGACCTTTCGACGTGTCTCGTCGTCATTAGAAATTGCCATGCCGAACTTCTTAGCATTCTTGAGCTGATGCCATACCGTCTTTTTGCGGTAAAGACTTTCTGAAACTCGGGACTCTTCTTGGCGCAGACGTCCCAAAGCCGCGGCCATATCCTCAAGCTTCTGGAGGGATTCATATCCGGCCTGAATGACCTCGTCACCGAGTACGTGAGCCTTTCTCAGGGAATCAAAGCTCTGGAAGGCTGATTAACCCTAACCCTAAGCGCATGGCTGGGAAGGAGGGTTGAGCTGTAACGACATGACCCTTGTTGCCAGCCAACCTTTGTCGAGGGGTGATCCCAAAGTCATACCAAAAGCTGCAATCTCCCTAATTCAGCTGATCAGAATTGCGGTTTCAGATCAGCGACAGCATACGGATAAAGTGTTTGTTAGTGGTTCTTAGGTCTGGAGCTGAGATCACAAATTCCATCCAGTATTGGCCCCTGTCCTCCCAAGCGCCGCTTATTTAGAGCCCCGCTAGCCAGTTTACAGCCCCACTAGCTAGTTTGGAGCCCGATCAGCCAGTTTAGAGTCTGCACCCCAAGTCAGTTTAGAGTCCCACTTTCTGGCCCGGCTTCAAACCCTCTTGCGACGATATCAAACATCTTCTACTCTAGGTATAAGGTCTTAATTAATAAAGCGGTAAAATAAATTAATATAGTGACTTTGGCTTTATGCTCTCGGTGGATTAGTTGCGGTGTCGATGGGGTTCTGGGAGGGGAACGATGACGGGAGAGCGCTCAATCGGCTAACTTCGTCGACTCTGCGATGGCTTTGCGTGCATTGTTACACCACCTGTCGCCAGATCGAAGAAAAGCACGTACATGGCAGGCGTGGCATCCTCAACGGACTAAGTACCCTTTGGCGTACAAAAAGTACGGCAGTCTGGAATTATGTCGGATCAATTGACGTTGAAGGGGTTGCATGCCCCTTGGGCATAGCTGCGGTGAGGGTATGCGTGTTGCGGCTAGGTGTTTTGAAGCCGCCCGGTACACAAAGTCCACTTTGTCACGTACAGCACTCGAAGCTTATTGAACGACAGACGAGAGCTAAGATCTCATTCTGGAGGGTACTCGAGTCAAAGGATGCATTTTTAGCTCTTAATATTACCTTAATTCTTAGTCCATAGATTAGAATAGAGCACGGAAGGTTATCCTTCGCCCTCCGAGTGGATGAGTTAGTCCAGCCAGTACTCTATTTACTTTGAAGATTAATGGAGGGGTAAGTCTAGAGTCCTCATGCGTAGTTTAGACCCCCACCGCTCAGTGTAGATGCATGTCTCACCGAGAGACGCGACGGGATTCAAACTCCTCCCCCAATCTCTCCAATGAATGTAATTACACTGGACGAATGGAGAAGCGTGCGTATTTATCTATTTTACATTGTAGAGCAGCTAGTGGACAAAGCTGTACCTGAATCTTCCGTGATGCCCGGGCTTCTCGTCGCAGCTCAACGCTCCTTCCCAATTAACAGTCATTCTCAACCCAACGCGCCTTCCCTGCGAATGACAGCACACAAAGCCCTCATATCGTAAACGAAGAAATTTCTCAACCCAACTCTCCAAACATCGTTCACCATTGCTCCAGTCATCCCAACACGCGTGAACAATTCACCATGCAGTCTTTGCTAACTACGAGTGCCGCCGGGGCCTTAGCTGTGTCTAACACGACCAAAGACAGGATGCAGGCAATCAAAGACGATGTGGAATCAGCACTCCAAAGGTTCAAAGAGCTCAGGACCAAGGTCGGAAGCGACAAGGCTATCGAGGCCGGATACGATTCACGATCTCTTAGAGAGGTCACGGAGATGACCAAGAACCTGCAGCAAATACAGGCGGACCATTCTACGGTTATGAATGATATTCATAAGAAGCAGGCCGCACTGCGTCAGCTCAAGCGAGCCGAGAATGCCGGCAGTGTCTCTGATGACCACGAAGCCCGTCGAAGAGCCGCCGCTGAGGTCATCCGCTCGCTGATTGAGGAACCCTCTCAGATGTATCGGTTGCTGGAAGCTGTGGACCTCAACCCCGATAACGGTATACGACTGTCGATTGCCCGAGCCCTCGCGGCTGTCCGAGGGTGCTCAATCTCTGAGATTGTAGCCTGGCTTGGTGAGCCCGAGCTCGAGACAGCAAAGCTAAAGGACCAGGCCAAAGAGCTCAATCAACAGCTCACCAAGTACCGAGACCAAGTCGAGGTCTTGGTCAAGGAGCGTGATAGCATCAACGCCGCCGCTGAGCAGGCTCGCGCCGATGCTACCACTGCAGCCCGTACGGTCGCCGAGAGTACCGCCGCTCAGGAGATCGCTCAAGCGAACAACACAGCTCAGCGAGCGAGGCAAGACCTTCTGAAAGTCAGAGAGGATCTTATGTCGAAGGAGGATGCCATGGGAAGGCTCCGGACAGACTATTCCGATGAACTCTTGCGTCTCCGCCGGACTCAAGGCGAGGAAGTCCGGGACCTCCGCCAGAGCCACGACCAGGAACTTGGAGCCCTCCGCCGTGGTCGCGATGAGGAAGCCCAACGGCTTCGTCAGGCTCATGCTGAAGAGGTTCAGCGCCTCCAGAGTGAGCTGCTCACGGCTCGTCAGGAAGCCCAACGGCTTCGTCAGACTCATGCTGAGGAGCTCTCAGGTCTCCAATCTGAGCATAACGAGGCTTATCAGAGCGGTCTTTCCGAGGCCTATCAAGGGTATGCAGAGCAGCTCCAAAGCCTCAGCGGAGAGCTTGAGGTGACTGTTCGAGCGCTTCAAGAGGAGCGATCCATCTCAGGACAGCTTCAGGACAGAGCCTTAGACGCTGAGGAACATGTATCTGATATCCTTGAGCAAAATTCGCGGCTACAAGGTCGAGTCACTGACTTGGCTACTCACTTGCAGGCCATGGACGAGCAGATCGCTTTGGAAGATTCTCATAACCAGGCCAACGAACGTGAGAAGGATGACTTGTACGAGTCCATCGGCAGTCTCTTCCAGCAAGGGCGAGATCTCCAACAAACGCTCGACGCTCAAGTCCAGCATGCTTCTACGCTGCTGAAGCAACTCTCTATCGGCACCGAGTCCGATATCTGGCGAACCGTAGCCAGGCGTGCGCTTGCCGACCCGACCCAGGCGCAACCCGACCTGTCTCGACCTCAGCCTTGGAAGGTTCTCTCGTCTTGGGCTACTAACGACTCGATGGTAATCCAGTCAGATGACCGCAGCCTCCAAGCACAGGCGCTTGATATCCTTGCTATCTTGAAGTCAAGGTCTATGGATACAACAAGTTTGTTGAGTCGTCTTTCATCCATGCTGAGCCAATTGGCGCATGGCTCTCCCATTTTCGTCTCTATCGCAGAAATGCTTCTGGACACGTTTGCCACTGTAGGATCCGACTCACGCCTGCATCTTATGCACCACGTGATGATACATCAGGTCGCTGAACTCCTTGTTGGCAACGATAGGCATCGAGCTAGAGCCCTTGATGCCGTTGATTCCAAGGCCAGGCAACTGATTAGCTCGCTAGAGGGTTGGGACTCGGGTTCCGCGTCGGCCTTTGACGAAGACTGTGTTGAACACGCCGGCTTGGCTATTATGGGCTTCCATCGAGATCCTCAGGGGGTGCTGGTCCTTGGCTTGAATGACCGCCATATTTGGTGGGTTGATGGCTCTCGGATAGAACGACGGTTCCTTTCACTGGCCCTTAGGCCTCTCGTGGGTGAACCAATCTTACTTCCCTTAGACAGTGAGCCCAGAATCAAGTGGGCGATAACCCATACTTGAATTCTCGACTGGGAACTTTTGGTTTAGTGAGCGTGGCATTGTTTTAATAGTATAGATGGCATTAAGTAGATATGCTTAGCGTCGAGCGGTTTGCCGCAAATGATATGTTATTAGACTTGTTGCCTTGAGGTTTTTTTCTTATCTTTAGAGACTTCTTACCCGTGAAAACCGCTCCATCAGAGTGCCGCGAATAACTTTAGAGTCTGCGGTGTGAGTGGAAAGCCTCAGTTCCGAGCCCCGCATTATCAGTTTAGAGTGTACATTCTGGGCGCAAAGCCTCAGTTCAGAGCCCCACGTATGGGTTCAGAGTCATTTTTATAAGTTTAGGGCCCACCCTTAAATATAAACGCTCTTTTCCTCGAACGCGGCACGAATGATTATGAGATATGGATACCAGATGACTTAAAACTCGGTTGTTGTGAACAACTATGAGCTTTTAGGATACTGCTTACACGGTCGCGATCCTACTCTGACTACTGACAAGCACAGAATTTACGCCGGGATTCACGATCTTCGGGCTCAGTTAACCCATCGAGGGCCGGGCTGCAATTACAATACAGAACATATTTCTAACACATCTTAGCATCATGAGACGGGATTCACATGTTGAAGCAAGGTCACATTTCAGAACATTTTGAGCAACAGTTGCATTTGCGAACACTATCGATCACTCCCCAATCCCTTGCCCATATCCATCCACCAAAGGCCCTCACTGGCTGGCATTGGTGTTGTTGGCCAAGCTGGCATTTGCCTCGCGGCTCCAGTTATAGGCCGCAAGCTTCGCCTTGTCATCACCGAGCTCTTGCCAGATCAAAGTGGCAAGCATGATGCGAAAGCGGGAGCTCCCCCGACCTTGACCAAGAGCCCAGGTTTTGATGTTCTGGGCGGGGTTGCAGGTTTTGAGTATTTCAACAACCTGGGGCGCCAGCTTTTCCTTGAAGGCACTGGCGTCTCCAGCCCTTCGGTGGGCATGGTGCATGCTCTCCTTGATGTCCTGCCATGCCTTGCTCAATGAGCCACGAGGCTTGAATGGCTCGTACATGGACTCATTGCCCAGAACGCGAGCGACGCCCAAGAAGGTGGCCAGGGACTTGGGGGTACCAGCGTAAGCCTCAACGGCCCAGTTGGTCACGCGAGTGAACAGGAATCCGAGGCGATCCATCTTGCAAAGAGGGATGTGAGAGCCCACCTTGCCATCTCTGAAGCCCACGATGAGCTTCGAGGGCACCCCTTTATTGGTGGTAGCCCAAGTAATCACGAGGTCCTCGTCGATGAGCTCCTTATGCATGTACGCAAAGTCAGCCCCCTTGGGACCCCAGACCAGAGCATTAAAGTCCAGCCACTCGGGGAGCGAGACCTCAAAGGGGCCACAAACAGGTGCGACAAAGAGGTCAGACCGATTGAGCGCCCGCCAAATATCAAGTCGCTTTGAGCGACTTGGCTCCTTGGGTGCAAGGAGCTCGCCTCGGTTCTGCTCAGTCACCTTGGGCGAAAGCGTGACGGTGTGAGGGAGGGCAGGAGGGTCGTCGTCGATCTCCATCTCATCGGCCCATCGCGATGAGCTCAGGCCTTGAGCAGGGGGGAGGACGCGCGCGGGGGGTTCGGTCGTGGTCTCGGTCTCGGTCTCGGGGGCGGAGGGGAGGGTCGAGGTAGAGGCAATCGAGGCCTCGGCAGCATGAGCGGCGACGGCCTGCTCGGTGGGTTGGGCGACCGTGGTCGCGGGATCGTTCGGGGCCTCAGGCTTCTTGGAGGCATCCTTCTTCGCCTCATCCTTCAGCCAGGCGGCGTAGAGAGGAGAGGCACCTTGTGCCAGGTCATCCTGCCTGGGAGGCGGGACGTTCCAAGGCCAGATCGGGCTGGGATTTTCTCCTTTGACTGTTTCATATTAGCTTTGTCAAGATCCCAAATCACGGCTATACTCACAGAAGAACATCCAAACTCCCACATCAACGAGAAACTCGAAGAAGGGAGTGCCGACCCTCTCCAATCCTTCCATGTGGAGGCGCAAGGACAGGATGGCGATGGACTCGGCTCTGGCCTCAGCCAAGGTCTTCTCATCGTAAAGCTCCATATGCCTCAAAAAGGCTTCTATGTGAGCTCGGCGTGCCCCGACATTGTAGGGGTCAACAGGGACATCTGCCAGGGGAAATCGAACACCTGGCTTGCCCTTGGGGTGACAGTCGCTATACTTCTTGTGCATTTGCATGGACTCCATCTCGTGCGCGGTTGGTGCAGTGGTTTTGGAGGTGAATGCAAATGATGGTGTTGTGAAGAAGAAAAAAAACAGCCCCACGAAGTTCGGGTGCCCTCCAGCTAGCCTTCAATCGACCAGCCGGTATCTGGCAGTGCTGGCAGTTGGCGGCCGGTTGATTGAATCTTCCAGAACCAGCTATTTCCAACCCGTTTGTAGTCAAGCAACACACTTTGCTAATTTATTTTCCCCAACTTGTAGATGAATCTATTTGATCGCACTGGAAACAATTCAAGGCTTATGGTCACCGTGAGACACATTGTTATGCTATTCTAATCGCCCATTTCCTCTCCATCTCATTGCATCAAGTGTCGTTGAAGATCTGGGCAGATTAGGTAAGCTCGGCGACGTTAGGTCCACTTCACATCTGCCGGCGAGGCGTTGCACGGTCCCAGCACCAGACTCCTGACCAATCACTGTACTGACTTGCACACCACTTTAAGGTCCAACTGAATGCCGCATGCATTGTCACGAAAACGTTACTTGATAAAGCTCTATCTGCCATTTGGTACACTAACCCCAACATTCACGCCAGCTGCCTTTTCGTACTCACCAGGTCTCAGGGTGGTAGGCACCCTCCACAGCTGAAATAGAAGTGTGCAATGATAAGTTGAACGTATATGGTTCTGCTCTGTGTGATACTTCTTGGAGCCCGCATCTCTTCTCATGGTCAATGTAAGATGTGGCCGATTCGAGTGCGTCATAGTTGCTTGTAACTTGTAACAGGACTCTAAGTTACAGCGATTGGTACTGGCCTTGTGTACGTGGAAGACTAACATGTTCCACATCAGGCTCGAGCAGTCAGTTGGACTCCATGTAGATCAGGATATGATGAGCTAATGATAGCGGCTCATAGTACAGAGTTCATAATGTCTTGATTTTAAAGATGTTAATTATTTATTTTATTTATTTTGAAGTATGATTAAATGGTTGGTTCGCATTGAGTCTGACACTGGCTACCACTGAGAGGTCAGACAAACCAGAGCGCTCAAAAGAGAGATTAACAGCCAATTGAAGAGGCAAAACCTTAGGCGCTAGCTTGCCCACTGTGTCTTTTTTTAAATCATCATTTCCCTACGGCTTAGTGTACAACTTTTCCTCAACACAACACCCGGCACAGCATCACGACGTCCTGTGAAGCAGCAACCATGCCAGGCAACAACCAAGGTGCCCCGAAGCATCTTCAAGACAAGGGACCTCGACGATCCCAGCCGATCTCGAATCCTCCCAGCCGTGCAGGCTATGCCTCCGGCTCCACCATCGCCCGTCAGGGCCAAGACCGTGCAGGCAATGCCTCCGGTCGCAGTCTCACCCGCCTCCCCACCGACGACCTCGAGCAGCGAACGTTCCACGATGAACAGGGTCGGCTACTTGGAGTTGACCTGATCAACCGTAGCCAAGGTGGCGGTGTCCAGAACAACATCGTTGCTGACGATGGAACTGAACTCGGCGGCGTCATCGGTCAGACCGGGGTCCCAACCCTCATTGCCGAGGAGGCTGCCCGGCTGAAGGCCAAGACTGGCGCCGACACTATTGTTTTCGCGATGAAGCCAAGCTTCAAGCGCAAAAACGCCAAGATGAGACATCGTTCTGATATCTACATCAATTCCGCCAAGGTGGGCGAATCCAGTTCCGCCAAGCTTCTCAAGGAGCCAGACCGAGCCACCGAGGTTACTGAGTCCGAAGCTGGCGAGCCGATGTGCACCAACTGCAAGTCTAGCTTGCACACCCTGGATCGGTGCTTATACGCGCCCAAGGGCACCATCTTGGGCTGTCCATTCTGCAAGAATGACACCCACAAAATGGAGGAGTGCAGTCAGTTTGCTGCCGCTTCCACCATGGACATTGTGCGAGCCTTGGTCTGGGACCGTCCCAATATGCCAACTTGGAATACCAATATTCCCTGGAAAAGCTACCTGACAAAGTTCCTCAGCACTGAGGAGTTTCGTGGCCTCGTCGCCCAGTCTGGTTGCCAGGCTGTATTGGCCGCTCCCTTCCCCTGGACCAACGCCTTTTCCCGCAGGTTTTCCCGGGGCAACGACCTGGCCCGTCTGCAGGCCCAGCTCAACGATGGCATCACTGCCAATCTTCCCTCCGACCCCAAGGCTGCCAATATCATAGCCGCTTGCAAGACCTATGGTGTTGCTTTGGAGCTTTTCTGGCCCGAGGGACTTGCAGAGGCCTCTGCCCTGGCTTCTGCCTCGACTCCTGCGCCTGCTTCTGCTGAGGCTCCTACGCCTGCTTCTGCTGAGGCTCCCAAGCCTGCTTCTGCTCAGGCTCCTGCCTCGACTCCTGCCCCTGCCTCTGTTGCGACCTCCGCCAAGGGCACTGCTGCACATCGGCTTGACCCCGGTGATTTTAATGCTTGGATTTCGGGTGGGAAGACGGACCTTGACAATGTGACAGGCGCGCTTGAGAAGATCAACGTCTCCAACGCCATGGCGCTGGACCAGGATCGGGAGGACTAGGAAGGGACAGCTTTTTTTCTCCCATGTCGAAACTCGAATGATGGCCTTAGGCCTCTATGATAGATGCGTAGCAGAGCTTCGCAGTTCAATTCAACGGTTTCGGGGACAAACTTTATTGTGCCAGTGACTTGTGATGAATTTCAACTGAATGCCCTTAATTTCGTGATCAATGATGATAATTGATACTGCAACCCAAAGTGATCTTTTACTGCAAGCCCTTCTCTGTGTTCAAAGCCAAAGCGATTGCAAGACTTATTGAAGTGTCTCAAGAAAGCGTTAAACTGTAAGAGCGGCCTCCAAAAGGGAGCAAATGTGATTTTTTATATTTAAATGCCGGAGGCAGTAATGACTTATCTGCTTAAATTCATACTCATATGACCGTGGCTACAGTTTTGTTGTCACAGTCGGCTGACATCTAAAGACGACAAAGACACTCTAAATTGGGAATTAAGGCTCTAAACTAAGCCATGGAATTCTAAACTGGTCATGTAAAGCTCATTGTGCGTATTCAAACGGAGGGAGGGGTTGAAATGTCCCCCCCTCTCGTGCCACCCGTGCGGGTAAGAAAAAAAAATAACCAACCAACCCTCTTTATCCCAAGATAATCAACACCCACCCACAAAGCCAAGACCACCACAGAAGTTTACCAACGCCCGCGATCATGAGTCCCCCGGGCAGCCCAACTGATGTCCCGTCATCGCCAATCAAGGCGAAGCGCGAGCCTGACATGCCCATGCCAGGCGGAGATGAGCAAATGCGACTTATCGACACGTTGGAGCAGAGCTACTCTCTGTATGAGCTGTGCTTGGAGTTGTCCAAGGTTGCCGAGAGCCTCGCCCAAAACCCAGTCTTCAAGGCTAACGGTTTTGAGGTTAAGGAGACCGTCAAAGCGTTTCGACAAGAGTCCATAAATGGTTGGAAGATGTGCGAGCTCCTCCACGGAATGCACCCGAAGGTGATTCAAAGCATTATTCAAGGCACCGTCGCATACGACCTGATACACCACGAAAGCGGCTGGTACGAAATGCCTCGCGAGAAAGAGGGCAGGGTTGCCGGTATTTACGCAGTTGGCATCTGCCGTGCTGGCAAGGCTGGCAGGTTTGTTAACATCCCCGAGATGAGGAAGCTGATCAAGGGCATCAAGCAGTACATCAAGGGCTACGAGGCCCTCGCCAAGCATCTCCGAGATGTCGATGCCAAAATAGTGACGTATGGAGACATGGCAAACCTTTCAAAAGAGGAGATCACCGATCTGGCCTGGGTTGCTCGGGTCGACGAAGATCGCAGCAAGTTCTTCAAAGGAAAGCCGCGTGCCCGAGCCCAGTTCATCCACAAAGATGACGAGGTGCCCAGCATAAAGGCTTTGGTCCGCACGTACGAGAGAATGTGCCGCCCAGAGATCACGGAGGCCGAGGAGCCCATTCGAATGAAGCAAAGCCCAGTCTACGTCGGCTGTTCTGCCGACCTCAGCACTCGTACGAAGGCCTACCGAGGCTCGAGCCTCAAGTCCATCAACAAGCCGATGGCCCTGACCCTTGCTGTCCTTTTTGCGAACAAAATCCCAGGTGAGATGCATCTCGGCGTGGCCCTGCTAATCTGGAAGTCAGACCAGCTGCCTTTGGCCGAACAGCTCGTCGCGACTCTTGCCGGCTCACTCGTTTATCAACATGGCTTCAACGCCACTGAGGCCGGGGGCACTGGCCCGAATACCGTTCACACACCCGAGACCCTGGAGCGTTCCGCTCGACAGATCATGCTCGGGAGCGGTGCACTTGCCGAGAACATCAAGGCCACCATCCATGAGCTGGAGAATCGAGAAGGCTTTCTGAAGATGCTAGATAAGCTCGAGGAGGAGATGCCAAAGGTCAATGATGAGATCCAGGAGCTTGTAGACTTGGTTGATCAACTCCCCGCCTGTTCTGAATCCGACTCTTTGATCCAGAGGACATCGGAACTAATCCAGGACAGGAGAAAGGAGCTCAATGACACACGAGAGGCCTTGGCGCAGTGGGATCTTATCCTAAAAATTAAGCGGAGGCTTCTGGGTCTCCCATAGGAGGATACAGATTGAAGCCTTATTTGTAGTACGACGACAGTCTTAGCACTTCTTTCTAAATTAAATCTACTACTTATAACCTATAATGTTCTTATATATGCCGTGAATAGTAATAAACTGACCTCCGTGTAGCAAGTTCAAGGCGTAGTGGTTAGTTTGGACTCTGAGAAGTGTGGGCGAGGGGTCAGTTTAGAGCCCTGCAGCCTAGTTTAGAGTCCCGCAGTCCAGTTTTGACCCCTTCGCCGGCCAGTTCAGAGCCCCGCAGTCCAGTTTAGACTCCCCCCGCCTGTCAGTTTAGACCCTTCCAGTCGCCGCTGGAGGCCACAGTTGGGAGCCCCGCTAACGAGTTAGAAGCCCCGCCAACCAGTCTTAAGTCCTCAGGCTCCCACCTCCCGACTCCCGCCTAACATCTTCAACAACAACAACAACAACAGGTAAGCTTGCGAAAGATTTTTTCTATGCGCCAGGGCTAACATGATTCATAGTGTACAATCATGCCTCGTCGCCGCCAGAACCAAACCGACGGCGATGCGCCCGAGCCCACCCCCAGCGCTCAAGACCTCGAGCAGTTGAGGGAGTACCTGAGCAGTGAAAAGCCGCCCGTGGACGATGACCTCCACCAGATCGTGGGACCCGAAGAGCCCTTTTTCAACGCCGGATGGTCACAAGCCGACGAAGACGCCGTACGAAGCGAGTGGGATCAGTCAGACGAGAAGCAGTGCCTCGCTCGCCTCCCTCCGAGTCTGTTGCCCCCATGGAAGGTCGCGATGCGCATCTTCCGGTCCACTCCTGTGGGAATCATCTCTCCCCTCCAGAATCTCGTATACCAGCCGCTCCCAGCTACGGGCCGAACTCAAACCTCTCCCATTTACTCGGAGCCGTTCTCCAAGAGGTTTGCTGCGCTCATGGCTCACCCCTTCTGGCAGGGCGAAGTCACGACACTGATCATCGCCATCCAATACGCCGTCATCTGCCGCCTCGACGATCGGAGGTACTGGGAGGTTCCCATCTTCTGCGATGCCATGCGAGCACTCACAAATGACATGGATGAATCTGGAACGGAGATGCCCGAGCCGATCCACGAGATGCATGTTGAGGCCAGGTCTAGGTGTGGAACGGGCCGCCCTCCCTGCGCCATCTCGGATTTCTTAGAGCACGTCGGTAATGTGGCCAAGAGCACTCAATACCCCCCGATCCCTTCCACTCAGATGGAGTGTCTCGGAATGAAGGTGTACCCTGTCACTCTGAAGGACCTTGATGTGCTCACCCAGGCACTCAACACCTTCAGCCAACAAGGGCTCCCCATTTTCTGCAAAGTCTCCATGGCTTTTGAGGCCTACAAGGAGGCGAGTAGTCAAAGGGATATGCCCAGCGCCAACCAGCTTCCGGGTTTTTATGAGCGGGCTGTGCTATGTGATCGTCGCGTGATTGTACAGATGACACGACGTGGAGAAACTGAGCACGAGTCGCGTGCCGTCACTCGATGCTCTTCTATCATCAATGCTGAATCGAGTATCCCTTCACAGTCACGAACGCAATCGACACTCCTTCTATCGGGACTCCTCCGATCACAGACCCAGCGCAGTGGTCTTTCCACTGCATCAACCGTTCGTCGCCCGGCTTCTCCGACCGCTCCTCAAGGGAGTGACCTCAACAATGCCCAGATCCAGGGCCAATTAGACGAACTCGTGAACCAGAGGATGGGCGAGATGAGGAGCCAGCTGGTGAGCGAGAGGAGCCAGCTGATGGCCGAGATGAGGAGCCAGGTGGTGGCCGAGATCAGGAGCCAGGTGGTGGCCGAGATCAGGAGCCAGGTAGTGGCCGAGATCAGGAGCCAAGTGGTGGCCGAGGTGGTGGCCCAGGTCGAGGCCACGCTGGGTGACGAAAGCTCCCGCGAACCAGGCCTCTCCCGACGTCGTCGGTATCAACTCCCGGAACCAGAGCAGGATTCAGATGAGGAGGGTCTCGGTGGCCTAGATGGGGACGATCTCGGTGGCCTTGGCGGGAACTCTGACGTACCCATGACCGAGCCTACACCAGGCCCCAGGGACGATCCACGCAGCCCTAGTGATCCGCTTGAAGAAGACGTCGGTATTTTACTGGGCCCTACCCCTGCTGGTTGGAAAAGTCTCGATCTGGGCCGACGACGTCACGCAACGACAAGATATCGCCCCATGCGCAGAATCCGTAGCGCACGGAATGAGGACCGCGATGAGGGCACGTCTCGATGCGTGGGTGAAAGTCGGATGGGTGTTATACAGATGAGGCGTAACTAGGTGATAATGAATTCATTACCAGGGCCTGTCTCCTTATCAAATGCAATTCTTCCTACAGTAGACATTTATTGAGTCGTGATGCTCCAATATGTTCTTTTGCTTTACTATTTTAATGCCAAAATGACCCCAGCGATCGTATTAATAATAGGCTCACGTTATGGCAGAGGGTACATAATGATTCCGGTGAAATCTGTGCCTTCGTTCGTAAGGTGCATGGTTTGATGCCGTCGTACTTTTGACCATGGTCAAGTCCCTTCTGCCTCAGCAGTAGCGCATTTCCCCCTCACCACAACATCCCCACGTTTTGAGTATACACCACCACCGCAATCAAGATGCCTTCGCCCAGTGCACCGCTACCTGATGCAGCGCTCCTCGAGCCCCTTTTCGCTGAGCTTCAAGCCCAAGGCGGTGATGCGGATCGCATCGGCTTTGTTCGTGAACAACTCACCTTCGCGTTTCAAGCGGCCACCACCAAGGCCAAAGAGTTTACAGAGGAGGAGTCGCGTCTGGGCAGCGAGCGAGAGGAACTACGCCGGACCCGCCACAATCTCGAATCAGAGCAGTCTCGTCTGCAGGAAGAGCAGAAGAAGCTCTCCGAAGCAGCGGCTGCACTGCTCCAACTCCCCGAAGAATTTAGGAAGTTGCGGGAAGATACCGTGGCTGCTAAGGACGTCAATGGGGTCAAGGGAGAGGTCACAACCCTTGGAACTCACGTCGAAGCCCTGCGCAAGGAACTGGACACGATCGACCTTGACAAGAAGCTCAAAGCAATTCCGTCGAAGGATGACATCAACATCCTCTTCAACACGCAGCTCGACAAGATCGACGACACGACCGAAGACGTTGCCTCTTCAGCCGCCCAAGCTGTTCTTGAGGGCTCTTCCAGTACGTTGACTGCATCACTGCCTAAGCTGATCGACCTGCAGCAGTGGTCAGAATCCATTGAGAGCAGTCGCCTTGAAGCGGTCGATGCTGCCGTGTCACAGTCCATGTTTTCCGCCTTGACCCAATTTCAGGAATCGGCAATCCGAGGATACCAGGTGACAATTGGCGCACTCGAGTCTACCATTGAGCGGGAGAAGACCACGCGTGAGGCCCTCGAGAATGAAATCGCGACTCTTCGTGAGAGGCAGGAGACCGTCCAAGATCTTGAGAACGAGGTCGCTGCCAAAGACCGTTGTATGAGGGAGCTTAGCCAGAGCTTGGCCGACCTCAACGCTCAACTGACCGAGAGCAAGCAGGCCTCCCGCGGCCACGAACAGAAGGCCTTGGACCTTCAGAAAGAGGCTGATGCCAAGGGCCAGCAGCTGACTGAGATGGAGTCTCAGTTACGATGTCTTGATGAGAGCCTGACTGAGCGCAGCTCTCAACTGACCGAGAGCAAGCAGGCCTCCCACGGCCACGAACAGAAGGCCTTGGCTCTTCAGAGAGAGGCTGATACCAAAGGCCAACAGCTGACCGAGATCAATTCTCAGGTTCAAGACCTTACTCAAAGTCTAATGGAGAGCAATGCGCAACTGACGGAGATCCGACGGACCTCGGAGACTCACGAAGACAAAGCCCGGGCCCTTAAGAAGGATGTTGAAGCCAAGGATGGGGAATTGGCTAACATGCATACTCGTCTGCGAGAGCTGGAGAACCGCCCAGAGCCAACGCCCGAGACACCTCCCGAGGAGCAGGAGATTGCTAGTGAGCTTGGCAAGATGTACGCCAGGCTTGCGCATGAGTGCAGCAGCATTCCCACCGCGAGAGGAACATCATATACCTTCCACATGCGGACATTGGCTCTTACGATTGCCCCATTGATGCTGTCTCCCAACGCAAGAGTCCATCTACTGAGCCTGCTTGGCAAGGAGATGCGTGTTTGGCGTTGCCTTGACGAGGTTTCCTACAGGGGAGCATCGGCTGAGGGGTCACAAGAAAGAGTCTGTCGTCAGCATAGCGGAAAGTGTGTTCTGGTCAGGGTCATTGAGATTGAGGGAAGGGAGGTGCTAGACTTTTACTTAGAGCGACAGACACAATAAGAGTATGGCTGCGTTGTTCCCTTATCTTTGCGCATAGATGTGAGCATGAGTAAACCTATGGGGGCTTTAGTGAATCCATATGTCCAATTCTTAAGGCCCAGAGTCGCAATTTGCGTCAAAATGAAAGTCGACATCTATTTCTATTTAGAAGCCTACCTAGACGCGCTGTTCTTAATTCTGCACTGGCCCCAGTAGCAGACATGAGCATAGGTCGTCGGTATCTGAGTCTCCTGTCAAAATGAGATTGACTTGATGTATCCCGCCTATGCCGGCTTCGGTCGCCCCTTGGCGACCGCTATCGTCATCTCATAATGTCAAATTCAAAAGAGAAAGCTCCATTAAGGGGGCTTCAATTGACATCTTTCTCTATGCGCATGACGAATGGGACGACGGCAAAGCTTGGTTTATGCGCTGGAATGTCTCTTATGTGAGAGAGATGCATTTTAAAAGATGTCGCGACTCTGGACTTTTATAAAGGGCGCTTGGGGTATTATAGAAAAACTCTATTAACGGGTTTAGAGTCTTATTTATATTGCTAGAACCCCAGTTCAGAGTTTCCCCCATTCAGTTTAGAGTCACCTCTGCCAGTTTAGACCTCCCCACCGCAGTCAAGTTTAGAGCCCCACCACCCAGTTTAGAGCCCCATCAACCAGTTTAGAGTCGCATACCCCAGTTCAGAGTTGGGTACCTAAATCCTTCACCAGCTGACTTGAATGATCACATTACCAAGGGCAGACGAAACCTTTGGCACTACAACATAATCAGAAGGAGCAATATTCCCACCGGCGAGCATCTGGGCAGCTAGTGGCGCGGTAGAACAACAGGCAAGGGAATCAGGTTTTGAGATAAAAAATCCGAGATCCAACATTCACTTGGTCCTCAGTTTGATGCGGATGGCGATCCTGCACACAATCTTAACCCGTTAACTCCTGATGATGACGCACAGACGATTGACAATCATTGTGCAAACCTCCCATCAGTTGCAAACGCGCCTCTCCCAAAGATTCTGGTGGGGCCCGCACGAAGTGATCGTGATTCACTGCCAGCGACGTCACTCACAAGCAAAGAGCCGGATTCAGGCTTCCAGCCGTTTCTGTTTTCTTCTATTGACCCGGATCACATCAAAACCGAAGAACTGGTGAACACAAGCATTCTGAGTCTCATCGCCGAGCCTACTGACCCGCGAAATTCCAGATGCAACGGAAGACATGTCCGAAGAACTCGTCTATGCCCTCAGGAAGATCGCCAAGCGCTTCCGTGAGCCGGAAGGGAACGACAACGCCCGGTTCGGTCATCTTGCGCTGCCAAGGACTCACCTAGCCTCCGAAGGCTTTTTGGGCGAGTTTCTCGAAACATTCGGCCCCTACCAACATGAAGATGATTACCGCATCTTCGTAATCGTCTCAGAATTCGAGAAGCAGCGCGCCGAGAAAGATCAATCGGATCTATTCTTCCATCCCTCTCCTCCCTCCGATGATCCCGATCCCTCCGTCCACCGACCGATCCTCCTGACGTTCCCCGAGTTTATCACCGTCCTCGAATCGAACCGATCCGGCTCTACCAAGGGCGAAAGCGGATGGAAAGCTGCATCGCAGCCTAGTGGGTGGAACACCGACCAAGTGTTGCCAGATCGTGTTGTTGTTTTCTTCAACATCCAACCATGCCTGCCCACTCCCTGTGCTCTGGCCCTGCTTGACCTGATCAAGTGGGCCTCGGATGTTTCAGAGAGACCGTCGGCGGCGATCCGTATCTTAACAGCCTCCGACTCGGATATCGAAGAACCCATCGTCAGTCGGCTTGTTAAGCTTTTGGGAGATCGCCGGCTGGAGTGTTTTGACATTTCTCACACAGAGCCTCCTGCCAGCAAGCCTATCGAGATCATTTGCGGTGAAGACAACGTTGCCAGTGAAATCATGGATGCTGTGGCGAAATCCGAGCCGAGTTCCCGGCACGCCGTTCTCTCCTATCGGCGGGATAATGCAACTGAGTTGGAGGATGCTTTGGAGACCGAAGGCGTGAAGCTTGACGTAGAACGGCTCAGGCCAAACAGAGATATCCCCCAGCTTCTAACAGTCAGGGACCTGTTTTGCTGTGAGGAGACGCATGGTACCGAGGCTTCCCAAGGGCCTTGGGTAAGGATCATCATTCTGGAGCCAGAACAACGTCCTCTCATGTTCCTCCGGGGTTACACGCACGCCCATATCATTCTGAGCAGTTCCAGTCAGAAAATGTCGGAGACGTCTTTCGATCGAAAGGCTTGTCAGATAGCCAACATGGGAAGCGAATTCTCTCAAGATGTCTGCCAAAACCAGATTGCATGGTCCCACCAGCCGCTTGTAGAGAATGTCTTTGTTTATGCCGGCTCAACGCTAGAGGATTTCTCTCGTGGAGGAGCGCGGCATCTTCGATTCATTGAGCGAGAAGAGGCAGGCAGCTTCATAGCATCCGTGTTTGCGAGATCATCATGGGACTTCGATCCAAGAGATGTACTTGAATGCTTCCAGTTCGATACCCAGGTGTATCTGGAAATGCAACATCGTCTTCTGACCCAGAAGATCATCGAAGCAAGCCCCCCCGGTCTGGCCATGACTGACCACATGGCTTCCGTCTTTCGAGCCATACTCCCGATTGCGAAGTATGATTATCGCATCGCCTACTTCATCGCGAACCCCGCCTCCAGCCCATTAGTTCTTCATGTCAAGATTCAGATTGCGGCGATGCTTATCGTTGGACTCGATATGCTGCTTGTAATTGAGAATGATCCTCCCTTGGATGAGCTCCTCGGTGCCTGTTGGGGCTACGGTCGCAGCCTCGCATCAACTGGAACGATCTGGCTCCTCCTCGGCTTGTGGAAGCGTCTGCTCGTTGATGTGCAAAGAGCTGAACAAGAGCAAAGAGATGAACTAGCGCAAAGTCTGAATTGCTCTATACTCAACGGAAGGGTCTGGACCACAACCGTTGAAGTGGATGATTTTCGCAGCAATGTCAAGGCGATTCGCAATGCCCTCGCCCGCTTAGGTCTCCAGGTTTCCTACAGCGACGTCGCCTTGGAGGATGGGGATGCGATTCCCGACCAACGCACGGAGTTACAGAATCATTTACTTCTCGCGTATGCGCATCAACTGGTGGTGACATCAAAGCAGCAGGGCAAGCTTCGCCACATTATGGTGTCTACTGGCGCGGAGGTATCAACGATTGGGATTGCCAACCTCCCGCATGTCTTCGATATCGAGGGGATGATGGCAGGAGAAGATCGAACCTGCTGGTATTCAGTTTGCGACTGCTTTCTGAGAAGAGCTGACGGCGAGCTTTGGGCCCTTCATTGGACCGGGATACCATCCCTGCTGGTCGGTCTCTGGAAGCTCAACCATGCCCCTGGAGGGACGTTGGTGGAAGCGCTGGATTCATTTGTGCCTCGTCCCTGAGGCAGGTCAGGTGGACCAATGTAGTTTATTAATTTACTGCCATCGTGGAAATGAACAAACCTCTTCGTGTATCAATGATAAGCTGCTTGTGTTGCGCCCTGTTTTCCTCCGTAGGCAAGCCGCTTTGATGGTTCAAACTACTGTGTGTGGTTTTAATGGTGAACGGACCGGCGACGCTCACTGACCTGTGGCCATCATGATCAGTTAGTTAGACGTCCCGTAGCAATTGAACACTGCGTTTTTCGACACTTGGCCAATGTGTCACGGGATGACCAACTCTTGGCCACTGACACCTACAGTGACAGAAAGAAATATCGTCTAGACGTCTGCCTTGATGAAGGTCTTGTGAGATTAACGAACTCCAACAAGACAATCCTCAATTGATGAACAGTCACAAGAACCAAACAAGCCATCAGCATAGCACCATATCCTCCAACGTATTCATTGATTCTATGGCCCACTAGCATCCGCGGCCAAAGTGCCGTCTCCTTATCACGCTCTGGTTCTCATGCGGCGCACCGAGCGCAAAGACCCCTGAACCCAATCTCTGGCTTCGTTGATGTTGGCAAAGACCCCATTTTGACTCCTGGCCAGGGAATTCGCCAAGTGATCCCCAGCAGAAACGCTGGCCAGCGACCAAACAAGGCACCGGAGGGGCGGGAGCGGAGGTCTGAGGCGGTACGGTGTCCGAAGTAGTGACAGCGGTGGTGAGAGGGGCGGACCGGGGCGGAAGCAAGCCGGGCTGGAGTTGGCGTTCGGCAACATCAGCTGTGCCTCTCGGCCATGGCCGAGAAGCGACGGGTTGAATCTAAGTGTCGGTCTTGAGGTTAGAATGATGAAGCGAGCTTTAGAGTTGTGCTAGCTGTAGAAAATTCTTTTCCATGTTGCGATCACAGCCAACGCCATCACCTGTCAGCGTACTTAGGCCGGCTTTCCAGGACAACTATAGGGCATGAAGACGCATCCTGATACCCGATGGACACATCCTAGATCGACGGTGGGGGTTGACCATCTGAAGTGGATGATCAGCCAACACTGCGTAGTTGGTATGAGTAAACGTGGATGTTGGCGACGCGTGTTTTGGATCCTTTCGATAAAAACGGTGGTGCGGCAGAGGAAACAAACAAGTCAAGCCAAATAAGTGTTGCCTGAGCAATGGTGAGGAAAACCAAATTAAAACATCAAATAAGTCATGCAAGGGTCAGTTTTAGCCGAATTTGCACCACTCTGGCACTAGCAGCCACTGGAAGAATCTCTTTGGCAATCGGAGGGCAATCAACCAACCTAGGTCAACACTCCGCATCAGCACACTTCAGTCACGGTATCTCGCCGTTAATTTGACCATCTGTTAATAATAAATCATCAACTACTTCCTATTGACTCACCATGTCTCAAAAGTACGATCGAAAGCACAAAGAAAAGTTTGGTAACCATCGACGCGGCTCAGCTCCTGCTGGCAACGGCACCGGAAACCCTCCGCCAAAGCACCATGGGCGGCCCCATGACTCAAGTGATCGACGCCAAGATAAGATCGCTCAACGCAGTAAGTTGATCATACTGTCTGTTAGAGTGAACCGATTAGACTAACCTTCAAGATGAATCTGCTGTCAACCTCAGCTTCGACCAGAACACCATTGCCGCCCCTCGTGCCGACTCTCGCAGCCCCAGTCCAAGCCCCGGTGACGATGGCAATCATGATGAAGCCAACAATGACGAACCCACCGCCTCCCTCAGTCCGTCCCTGGATGTTTTGCCGCACGAGTCAGGGAGCCTATCCCTGAGCGGGCGCCCTCCCCTGCTCGTGTTCCCGAGCCGTATGCCCTTGGTTCCACCGGCGAGCCCCTTGCATCTGAGATTACAGACCGACTACAGAGAGTTGAGTGAATTGGCACAATTATATCAACACCTTCAGAAGGCCCTTGATGATGAAGCCGCCAAGCTAGTCGAGCTTCGAGCTGATCTTGAAGATCAGATCAACGATCTCAGGCAGGAGCTTGAAGGGGCCCATTATAGCAACAGAGATACTGACAGTCGGCCCTACATAAGCAGCAGTGAAGACTACGTCACTCGCCGAGAGCATTAGACCAAGGCCCACGGATGCCATCGCCACCCTGACGGTCAAGAACCAAAACCCGTGAAGTCGCTTCCACGCCGATGGCCACTCAGCAGCATCAAGCGATAAAGCGCAAGACACAAGCCCAAAGGTTGTCTCCCCCCTTGGTACCATTGGAGCGAAGCCTAAGGGGCCGGCAAACTCCGATCAAGACCAAGTCACGAAGCCTCGTGGCAATCAAGGTGCATCGGAGGTTTTCATCAGCATTCCAAATCGGCCAGAGGGCCGGAAGCCGCAGCTTCTCCCGCCCATTCCCATGTGCATCAATCCTGTTTCTGTTAGGATTGGGTCTTGCTAAACACGCAACAAGGATCTTCACCATGACCCACGTTTTGCAAAGACGACTTTGGACTGTCTGAAAAAAAAATGCGCAAGTGATCACATACGCATGATCTGTATGAGTCTTGAGCATCGCTACGGGCCAAGTCGGCAGGCTTTGGATGATGAACAACGGCACGCACCCTCTGGAGAATGGGGTCAATAGGGTAACCAGGGAGCGAAGGGGCATGAGATTTGAGAAACAGATTAGGGCCCTTGGAGCGAATGTAGAAACAAAAACTTGAGAGTAATGGCTACAGGGCAAATGTAAGGTCGTTTGGTCTTCCAGTTGAGTCCACCGATGTGATCGATAACGTGATGGAATACTCGATTAAACAGTGGTGACGTTTCAGGTTGTTCCATGATCAGTAGTGGAGTCAAATACACAAATAGCCATCCATCAAAGTTCCAAGCCGGCACATATTGAGAAATCTCTGAGGTTACATCATTCATTGAGCACCACTCACCACAGTTACCCTGTCCAATGCACTTCCTAACAAGACATTGCCCCTAGTTCCGATTTTCAAGGCCGTGTCTTGTTTAAAAAGGTCGGTTGGAAGAAGAGCAATATATCACTGCGTGATCACTATGAATAGATGGATGAACCTCAGGCATTCACAACGTCAGCATGGGAACAAAGAAACGGTTGCAGGGTTTGATTTGTGCCTCAGTTGCCCCCCCTAGCAACAAAGCCAACGCCGCAGAAACTTCTTCGACGGGAACCTATCCCACCGCCAACCTTCGCATCGAATCATGGATCATGGAGATGGCATCTCCTGGGCGATATGTTAGCAACAAACCATAAAAGTGGGAGAATCATCAACCTACCTCGATCTCACTTTGGCGCCTGGTTCAACCAGGCGCGGAACTGGTCGTTCTCGTGCTGAAGCTTCCGATTCTCGGCCTCGAGAGCACCAACCTTTTGCTCCAGCATGCCCAGCATTTCTTTCCAGCCCATGTCAACGATCTGTCCCTCGGACTGGGCAGCAGGTTCGTCGGCGGGCCTCTGCGGCTTAGTGGAAGGGCCCTGGCGAAACATGGCATCGGGCACTCTCAGTTTGGGCCTTGTTCGACCCGCGGATGACTGGAAATTCTTTTCCAGTTGCAGGTTCCTGCGTGCCCGAGCAAGATCATCCCCGTAGATCATGTCTACCTTGGGAACAAAGATGGGGCGGGGGGCGTGATTGGGGGCATTGCTCGTCGTCATAGAGCTCATCGGGGTGGGCGCGGCGAGGTTGTTCGTAGGGTTGGCGGCATCAGCGGCAATAGATTTAGCTTAAGGGTTAGCCCAACCAGTCGCTACAACTCAATTACAATGTTCAACTTACTGTGGCGAGCGACCATGTCTACAGGCTGACCCAAAGAAGGATTGCGGAAGGCGGCGTAACCTCCCGCATCACCCCCAACATCGATCGCTATAGATTCACCTCGATGATTAGCCCGAACGGCCAATTCCAGTTAGACGCCATGCTCAACTTACCGCGGCGAGCGACCTTGAGGGGAATGGGGCCGTCCATGCTGGTGCGTCTGGGCGGGGCGACCACGAGGAGAATCATCAGCGGGAGTCTGGGCATCCTGCTCATGGGAACTGCGGCGAGGAAGCACGTAATTGCGCCTATGTCCGTGTCGGTCAGATCTGTGGCGAGGCATCGTGAATCAGTGTGCAAGAGTAATGATTCGGTATTGGTAGGTGATTGAGTGGAAGATGAGATGTCGTGTTGAGATTGTTGATGTGGAGTGTTGATTCAGCTTGGGTGATTCTTCTGACTTCTCCTGTGCAAGACGTTGCCAGTGGCTGCCGGTGCCAGACTCCCCCGCTGCGAACCCAAGCCGCCCGAGGGCAGTTTAGCTCGATTTGGACCAATGCACAATGAAGTCTTCAAGTTATCAAATACACAGTTCCTCACAATCTCAAACGAATCGTTGGTAATGAACGCATCAAGTAGTTTGCCGGGAGGTTTGTCTGCCGCCTGCAGGCACAGCGGCTCAAAGCAAGGACTGATCGCCACCAAACACCGCTGATGTTAGGCATCGACTGAGGGTGGGAAGCGCATGGAGCTTTCCCGTTAAGTGCCATTCCACACCGTTCAATCGAAAGCTATCATGCATCCTCCCTTCTTGACGTTAAAACTAAGCTTTGCGTGTGTGGGGAAAACGATGAAATCTGACCCAAGGGAGTGGAGCGCCCCGTGTTCAAGGCTGTGTGGCAGAGAGGTACCTGTACATGTCCATGCAGCAAATTCAGGCCCCAAGCCAAGTGGTCGGATGACTTTGAGATCCTTTGAACTCAGATAAAGATGCAAACCAATGCTTCAACCACAAATCCGTTTCAATAATACTTCACGACCATAACAAACCAAATCGCGTATAAAGACCAGTCAGGGAAATTCAGGTGATAGCGTTCACGCGGCATAATAATTGGAACTCTGTAAGCCTTGCGAAATAATAAGAGCAGGAATAGCTTAGCGATGATACTTGGCTGGTGGTGAGATGACGCGTCAATTGGTTTGTGTACCCTTGTTTGGCACTGAAGTGTGCCGTTTTCCCCCCCCCCACTCAGGGCAGCTCAACAAACCGATGCCCCCAAGAACGGCGCCGCCGGTGAGAATCCGAACCTAAACCCGATCCCGAGAGCGAACACGGCCATTCCAGCTAAGACTGCTAACCTTCTATACTGCAGACATGTCAAAATGCGCCTAAAGAACTTGTTTCCTCCCTCAACGATCGCCAACCGATTCCCAGCCCGACGCGTCGAGCAACGCCTGATTCAATCACCTCATGTCCCAAGACTCGCTTGTGGGCACATTTTCCGAGTCATTTCAACTCTACCAGTGAAAATAGCCATCGCATCTTGATCATCGCCTCCGAACCCGAAAGACAGCGCGCCATGCCCCAAAGACCTTACAACCCTGCTCCCCGATCCCGAGAACGACCCCTTCGACCTCCAGCCAGCTTTCCCAACTTGGCTGAGTTTCTCACTGTCCGCTAATCGAGCGTCTACGACCCAAGTGATGATAGAACAAATGGGGAGAGGATTATAGTTTGAGGGGCGGAACGTCAACAAGTTCTTAACTAGCAAGTCGCGGACTTCTCTTCTCCAACATGAGTCCTGTCTCCCTGTTTCCTGTACGCCGGCTTGCTTGGACCGATGGAGTGGGTTTTGGATGTCCTGAAGCTGCAGTGCGCAGGGACGCTCACTTGCTGGCACTGTTTCCATACCCTCAAGCGCCACTGTTTTTGTCGCAGTGCTTAAGATATCGCGCCAGGGTACGCTTTGATGGCATGGTCAAGTATTTGAACTAGTGTCGCGAGCAATATCTACCTCGTAAGAACTATAGTGACCAAGCCCATGAGTTCATGCCAAGTTCCAAGGCCAATCCCATCCTTGCTATCTATCCTGGTGTGCCTCACGCCTCCAATCCTAGGCCACCAGCCTCCCCCTGTTATAGTCGAGCTTTCGCCGGATCAGCGTGACGAGCTTGAGTCCGTTAATGGAATCCAATCTGAAAGGATGTCAGTTCAAGGAAAACAAAGACCACAGTAGTAAGGAGCCTACTTACGGGACCACGCTCAGGTAGATCGGGGCGCATCAGGATCGGAGGTGTCGGTCTCAGCGCCAAAGTCCTCAATCAAGACAGGGGCGAGACTCCGCTTCATCTTCTGGGTGGTCTTCTCTGGCACCGTGATGCTAGCTCTCAGAGCCTTTAGCTCTGAAATGCGACGGTTGATCCGCTCGACATCTCTGTTGAGACCTTCGATGCTCTTGGTTAGGGCCTCCACGATCTGCTGGTTGTTGGGGGCCTCCATTGTTGCCGCTGGGTCTCGGAAGACTGTAAGGAAGAAAATTGATCTGGGTAGGCGGTAAGGCACTATGAATGTCAGTTTGAGGAAGTGAAAAGCTGGCTTTGTTGACGTACGTTGTAAGAAGTTTGTAAAGGAGAGCTGTGTTGTGCTTGTCTGCGGCGAGACAGAAACTTTGAAGAAAAGAATGTTGACCAGTGCGGTGTTGGGGAAAAAAAACAGCGCATCCATCCGGGTCAATAGAGGAATATAGAAATGTTTAGAAACCTGAATCCAGATCTTTTATTATGAGTGACGTCGCTGGCAGTGAATCACGATCTTCGGCCTCAGTTAACCCACCAAGGCACGGACTCGAACTCACAAAAACATAAACATCCCATCGACACATCACCCGCACAAGAAACTCGACCAACATCCACCTCAATCACGCCTCTCCCTTTCTTCTTTCGAAGTTCTCTGTTACCATTGTGAGTCTCCATACATACTTGCATCATCTCCCCCAATCGGCTCGCGTTTTAATCACTCCAAGACCCAGAACCAGCCATGGAGCCTCCCGCCGATATCGAGGCCCTGTCCCAGAGTGTGGCGGCCCTGAACAATGAGCTCAAGTCCGTTCGTCGACGCATCGCAGAGCTAGAGCGTCGACAGGAGCCCATCCCAAGTGTTCAGCGCCTCCAGCCATCCCCAGTACCCATTGAACAGCTGACCCAGCAGGCTACTCCTGGAATGGCGATTCAAGAATCGGAAAGAGTCGCCTCCACAGGCGATGCCTGCGCGCTGGAATGCTCCAACTGCGGCATGCATGGCCACAACAAGGTCCACTGCCTCTTGGTTCCAGAGGGGAGACTGGCAGGGTGCATCTTTTGCAACACGGCCCACAATGTCGATGAGTGTTCTACGTTCCAAAACATGTCTCTGGGGGAGCAAGTCTCCGTACTTGTCCACCAGCGCTCACGCCTACCGCCACTTGAAACCCGGGTACCCTGGGTCGACTGGCTTCGAAACTGGCTTTCAAGTGAGGAGTCTCGCGATGCTCATGGCAATACCGCAATGCCAAGCGGCTACCCATGGAGTGAAGACTTCACCAAGGACCTCGCATTGGGTTACATTGCTGAGGATGCCGTCGCGCTCCAGCCAGTGTTCGACGAAAGCCGGGATCACAACCGGCTGCCTATAGACCCGGCGACTGCGGATTTTGGTGCTGTATTTGCGCCTCGGGCTGGTTAGACCCGATTGCAAGGTAAGTTCCTTTCCAGCACTACTACTGTCCTCAGGCTGACGCTTTAGCCCAGCACAACACATGTCTTGATCGATCGCTATCACACCTTCCGTCGCTCCATTCACGCCGACATACCGACAATCGGGCGCACCGGATCGAGCACAATAATAACAGATGATGGGATACTCAAATGAGTTGAGCTGGCTCAGCAACGAGTGGAATAGGGGTGGTGGGATTTTGATGTACAAGAGTTTGGGATGAGAAAAAAATACTGTTGGGCCTTATGAGAATCTACGATGATGAAACTGGTGTGACTGTTGTCTTCGACCACGACGTGCATACTCACTATGCTAATGACATCATCCTGTCATGCGTGTCCTCGACTCCTTTTACATTGGTGCAACCTTTCCGGTGTACCTCGTCTAACCTCGATATCTATTAGGGGCAGGAGAGAAAACCACGACATATCTACTATCTGAGCAGCGCAGTTCGCTTCCTGCGCATAGCTAAGCTTGCATATGATGCGGGATGAAACTGGCAAAATTATGTATCTGCCCAGGCATAGACTCGAGACACAGATTTTTTGGAGAACCTATGGATCAGATGGTGGTGAGACGCCAGCCCGGCTGGGGTGGCGCCAGCTGCCTCTTTTTCCATGGTCACAATATTACTCAAGTATGCTTTTACTTCCCTGGAAGTGACGAGAGTAAGTATCATGGGGGTAGCGAATTGAGATACTGTGGGCTTTACGACGAAGACTCTCATGTCTCGTGGAACACTCTGCGTATTCTCACACAAGTTTCAACAAACTGTATTTGTACAAGTGGCATGGCCAACCATTTCTTTACCCACCTTGGGCTCTCTTGGCTTTACAGGCCACCCAGTAGCTCATTTACTGCAGCAGCACAACATGAAGTAGCTGGATAATATGACTGATGCAGCTTCGAGGTCTGATAAAGTCAGATTACCCCCTGCGATGCTTGAAAGTCAACCGCTTACCGTCGCCACTTGAAGATCACCAATGATCTCCAAACTAAACTAATTCCTTCATTGCCTTCCCCAATCATCGGCTGGTTTCCCAGCTATAAACCCGTAATCACTTTCTCCGTGGGTCCTGTAAAGATTTGGCACTCTGTTACAAAGGCAGTCAATCTCAACCCGAAGCTCTCATGCCGCTTCAAAAATCTGGCTTCGGTACGGGCCAAAGGTTTGGTGTTGTTCGCTGGCACTGCCCAGCAGCTGTCGGCCAAATTTCATATGCACATCGCAGCGATGACAAGGAAAACAACAAATGTTTCTTTCTTCATTTTGATCTCTGTCGCACGATATCTTGTTCCCCCTGCGCGCGATCCCCCAACCTTTCAAGATGAACACGAACGCACCCCCCTTTCAGCAGCTTCACGATGACATCGGTTCGTTCCTCCGAGGACCGCTCGACCCATCAAGCCGTGATGTGCGATTCGGTCACCTGTCTCTGCCGCACAATCACTGGGCCAGAATCAACATAGGGGCCCAGATCATCGACTCGATCCACCGCACGGATAGAAGTATGGGCATCGCTCTTGTCCTCTCACCTGTAGAGCTTGAGCTCATCGATGGAGATTACGACGGTCTCCCTGAGGATGCCGGACCTTTCAACTTCAAGGCAATAGACTACTCCCGTTGCCTTCACATTCTTCGATCCAATCGCGAGACCCCCGGTGGCCAAGGACCTGCGGCATGGAAGAATGAGCCCCAGCCTGAGGGCTGGAATGAAGACAATGTGTGTCCGGACAGGATGATCTTTGTCCTCTCGCTCGATTTGAGCCTCCGCGCCGATTGTGCTTTGGCTTTGATCGGCCTTGTTCAATGGGCCTTGGACGTCTCGCATCGTTGGACGTCCAAGATCCGCCTCCTCACTGTTTCGAGCTGCTTGAACAACAATCTACTGTCCGCGCTGGTACGACTACGCGAAGATTTCCCGGTGGCACATTTCGATTTCGATTCAAACGACCTCGATCCCCCATCTCCCGATGCTATCGTCCATGCGCCGCTTTCCTGGGTTCCCCGCTGGGTCAGTAATGTCATGCGAGACGCTGACTTGGGGTCTAGACATGCCATACTCTACGTGCCCACGTCTGATTTTTCCACCTTGCTGGGAATGACGCTCAATGAGCGCAGCCCTCTATCGGCTGTTTTCTCCTGGCTGGGTCAGGGAGAACACTTTACCTTTGCTGGCCCGATCCTCGAGCGCCTCCGTTGCCAGATTCCCGAGGATGCCCCTGAGTCCCGGGCGATGATCATCGATGTCGACCCGGAGTTCCCCATCCCCGGTTTCCTCGATGGGTTTACGCATGCTCACATCGTTCTTGGCACTGAATCATGGGGGATTCTTTTCGACGCCACCAGCCGGCAGCTAGTCTCGACCATGTACGAATTGACAGCCGACGAACGACACGCCATGCAATGGTGGTGCCAGCAGCCCAACATCCCTGAGGATAACTTGCATATTTATGCAGGACCCGATGGTCTGGAGGGCTACCTTGACGCTGCACCATCTCGTCGCCGCGTGCATGTCGAGAACACCCAGGCCGGAGGCTTCATCGCGGCCGTTTTCGATATGGCTCCCTGGGGATTAGACCCAGCTCGGGTCCTTCCATACTTCATCCACTCCTCCCTCGTCCTTCAAGAGATGAGCAACCGCCTCTTCGCTCAAGGAATCATCCAGGCCGCCCCCCAACAGCTGGCTCTTCGGGGCCGACAGGTTACTACCTTTCGGGCCGTCCTTCCGCACACGCAATATGACCATCGACTCGCCTACTTCATCGCACTAGATTCATCAAACTCTACAGTTCTGTCTATTAAACTGCAAGTTGCGACTTTGTTGATGATTCTGCCAACGCACCGCATCCAGATAAACGCTGATGTGCTGCCATTGGCTGACCTCGTCCAGACTTGTTGGGGCTATGGCCGAGGACTAGCATCCACTGGATACCTTTGGATGATGCTTGGACTTTGGAAAAGACTAGCCTTGGAGCACGGAGAGTTTAACTTTCCCGAACACTTTCAATACGAGGTTGGCATTACGTTGATGGCGGCTCAGGGCGGCATCCAGGTAAACTCCATTGCGGCACGGCTCTTCCGCCATTTCCTGTGGGAGTTGAAGGAAGATTTCAGTGTCGAAGAGCTGCCCGAAGTTAGCATCGCTGAAGAAATGGATGATTTGACCGAGGCTCAAGTGACTGAGCTTCAGCAGCATCTACTTCTCGCTTTCATTCACCAGCTTGTCCTGACTAATCGCGTCAGTGACACAGAGCTGGAGCATACAATCGTTGCTACCGGCACCAAGCTGGTCCGTGTTGAATCTGGACCCGACCATTTGGGAGTGGCAACGGTCGACAGGTTGGGCAAGAATGGCACACTCTTTGGTTTTTGCACCAGTCTTTTCCGGATAGAAGGGGGTCACTTGGTTGGTAAGGGCTGGACATGGATCCCAAGCGATGTCGTCACGGAGTGGAAGGATCTTCATGCACCAAGCCAGACCTTGTCTGAGGCGTTGGCATCGGGTGTTCGTCAGGGACTGTAGTCGGAACAGGTGATTGCGGGGATGCTTGTGTTGCTTAGTTGGACTGTGGTTGTCGTTGGAGTCATAGAGAACCTAATCAAGAGTGAATGAACATAGTACTCTGAGACTGTGGCTTTTGTGTGTCTAATATGTAGATTCGTGTCGTGATTGGCTGCCTTTGTGATGTCCAAGCCCCAGCGTAGAACGTACTCATGTCATTTAGCAGCCATGATGTATGATTCAGAGAAAGATATCACCATCCAACGATCCCCTAGACCGACAGCACTCCTCCTGTAATGTAATGTCTACGTTGTTGATATCAATGTCAGCTGGAGCTAGGCTGAGGAGTCCGCTGTCTGGGGGATGTGATTGTTGATCGTCTAGCCGACCTTTGTGTATGAGGGGATAGCAATGAAGTGTTCCATGGTCAATCAGGTGATGGATGATGCAGAGAATCGACAATGTATACAAACAATGATTCTGTCAACCACCACAATATTTTCGTGACGGACTTGGATTCGTCGTTATGTGTCTGTTGGTGATGAGCATGCCTCTGCTCTTCAATCTTTTGACCCATACCTGGGCATGCAAATGGCGGGTGATGATGTCAAGTGTCGTGGGCCTACCCACATCATACAAAGCATTCACTCAACAGGCACGGTGGTTAGGGGCAGAATTATATCCTCCAGAGCATGTATTACGTCTAACGACCACTATCACCCGCACCATTCATCTTGATCCAGTTCTCATGAGCGCGAAGACCCCCAACTCTGACCGTTGCTCTTGTGGTTGCAGTCGGTGGTGGGGGGAAAAGATCTTGGCCGATGTGTTCGAAGCGACGACGGGAGACTTGAAGGCGTAGGCTTGAGCTAGGGCTCGGCAGCGTCGGACTCGGGCTCGGGCTTGTCGTTGGCAGCAGCGGGGGGCTGCTCACTGGATCCGGCAGCGGGAGCCTTTGCGGCCGCCTTCTCATCCTTGTCGCTGGGCTCATCAAAAGGAGGGTGGCTCAGGAACCACAGAGCATAGGTGTCCGAAATCCCCTTGGCCATGTCAAAGGGAAGCGGCTTCGCCTTAAGCCATGGCCACTCAGGGAGTGGCGTTGCATGGGGTCCCAGGTCGTTCCCTGCGCATGGTCAGCAACGCATTAGATGGGGAGTAAAATGCAATACGTACATGTTGACCAGTTATTCCAGATGGTAATGTCGACCCAATACTCGAAGTATTCCTCGCTGATCATCTTCTTCTTCTTGCCGTAGATGGCGAGGCACATATACTCCTCCGCCTTCTCTCTGGCGGCGGTCATCATCTCCTTGTTAAAGCGCCCGTGGTGTCTAAAAAACACCTCCATTAGGGCGCGTCTCATTCCGAGGGTGGGCGTCTCGTCGAGGTCGAGGTGGTCGAAGAGGGGTGGGAGCTGGTTGCTGGAGCTCATCTTGAGAGAGTTGCGATGTTGTGGTTGTGGAGGTGCAAGTTTAGCGAAGGAGCATGTAGAAAAGTCGTAGATCTTTTTTCTCCTCCCAGCTGATAAGCCGAACGCCGCTTATCGGACGAGCGCTGTGATTCTGTTGTTTGCCTGGTCATGGGCAATGTTTGCTGCCAGCTGGCGCCCAGTGACAACCCATATCAACAAACTCCCCTTACAGTTACAGCGCTTTGCTTCTTCCTCCATCATGGATAAAATCACTCAAAGTACTCAATCACTCCGATAGAGCCAAGATCATTTCTACCTTTCTCGTTGTTGGGAGGGACTGGTCTCATGGCATGCATAGAGTGTTATTCATTTGAATTGGAGCTTAAGGACACGCTATTCTACCCTACCTATCTAGACAGAGCAATATTGACGTCCCTAGGTAGCAACAAAGAAACTATCAAGTCTCCCCGTCCAGAAGAAGATCATTTCATCACCTGGTGAAACAGAAAGCTACACAAGCCATCAATATGTTTGGATAAGTTTATGCTTGGAAGGGTTGGCTGCGCAGAGGTGCAAGGTGATTAGAGAACGGTTGCATCCAACACGAATTTCATGGACACGGAACTGCCATGGACTAGATAATTACATGAAACATGACACGGGCCGTCAATACCTCTTATTGTAGGACAATTGCGGTGCTGACAGGACTAGCCCTGATCCAGTCTCAAACCCTTTCACAACCACTCCCCGACACCTTGACAATTCCCAGATCCATCAAGAGCGATTCTTGCCCTCACAGTGCCGTTGAGATTCCTGCCAGACTGTTCCATCATGTTCCAGGTGACTAACTTACAGGGAATCACAGTTCATCAGAGGAGGGTGGCTCGTCTCGAAGCGAGGCGAAGATTTTCTGTGTGCTCTAGGGATCCCGCTTACGGGGCATCCAGCCCGGAGGCACATTGTTGAGCCGCAATTTGCCATCTTGGAGTGTAGCTGGGCTTCTGGGATGCCGGTCACCGAATTGCGCTGGGTCCCTGTCCCGTCTCTCAACTCTCTGCGCGTTGGGCATGGGGTTAAAGGTTCGGTTCCGTGCAGCCTCATGGTCCGCTCCTTGTGACACTTCCGGGCACAGGCTGTGACGCTGGACATCAGCTTGGGTCGGTGTACTATTGGAGGCCTCGTTTCGGTCGTTAAGCGCGCGTGATTGCTCGTACATGCCTCTGATACCACTGGCCATGGTCGCCATCTCGTCTGTCATGCCTTCTAGAACCTCTGTTTGAGCCTCCATAGAGGCAGTTAGGTCTGCACGAAGCTGGTCAAGTCGGCGCTCAAGTTGATCAAATCGGCGATCAATGAAACCACAAATGGTCTCCACGATCCCTTGCAAATCATCCGATACCCTCGCAGTCGGTGTGTCGGGCATAGCTGATGCATCTTTCGGCACGGGAGGGCGGGTTGGGCTTCGAGGACGGTGGCGAGCGACGCGTGTCGCAACAGAAACAGACGTGGCATCGCTATACTCATCACCGGGGATGACAATCGGGTCTTCTATTGACATTAGACAGACTTCATGAACAGGGATCATGATTTGGCTCACCTTCACAACCAGACACACTCTCAAACTCGTCGTTGAGCCCACGGGCAGTCATTCTGATCCTCGGGCTCAGGCTGGTCTAACTCCAACTCAGCATCAACTCCAAGCCCTGTTGCCTCTAGCTCCATGTCCGCACCCCGGTCCCGTTGCTTTATTGCCATGAGACGCAGGTGACGCCGGCCTGCACGCTCGTGGAATTCCCGAAGCTGGCTCGCCTTGGGAAGATCCAAACCACCACCCTTTTCTGCCTTGAACAGTTCATAGGCCTCGTCAATGGTGGGTGATAATTCTTTGTCGATGGCCGTTTTGACGACTCGCAAATCGTGGTTGTTGATGGCATAAACCCCGAAGCCTTGGTAAGAGGTTTCGCGTTCCGGGATTCTCTCAGAGCTGGAGTTTTTTACCGTCTTGTGGATGCGGACGAGGAGGTTGGACATCTGGGAAGGCTCGCCATCATTCCGGATGGCCAATGACCGTGCATTTTTGTGCATATGGTGGACAGATCGTGACAGCTCCGAACCATCGGCCTTGTCCATGGAATCTCTCAAATTGATTAGCGCGGGGCATAAGGGCTGAGGGCTCCAGGGGCGACGGTCGTCAGTCCGACAGATGACGGAATACTGCAGCGCCATGGCTAGTCGCTCAGGGGAGCCTTGCCATATCGGATGTGTGAGCAGGGGCGTAAGAAGATTGCAGAATTCTCGGGACCATGTCCCAGGCTGGTAGGGCCCAATCAAGGGCTGATATCGAAGATTGTGCAACGGCGAAATGATGTCGATGGGTGGACGTCTGAATAGTCGTAAGCAAACTTTCCACAGTGCCGTCACCACCCCTCCCTGCCCAGTGATGCATGCGTATGCCGCCTTCTCGGGCGACGCATTCCATACGATCATCATCCTCGCCTCATCCAGTTGGGTCCACGAGTCGCTCAGAGGGGGTGCTAAGGGCCCAATGATTTCGTCAAGGTCTTCATCTCGCACCGGTGGCCTTTCGTTTTCGAGATAGTCACGTGTCGCTTTCAGTGCATCTCTGTCGAGTAAGCCGGCGCGAGCAGCCCTGGGGCGCCCTGGGCCTTTCTTCGTCGGGACGAGGGACGGGGAGCCGGTGCTGGAGGTGTCGTTCTCTCTCTCAAAACCGGGGTCAGGTTGGTGATTTCGATCACGGCGTCTCTTTCTGGGGCTCTCGCGAGCCTGATGTCGTCGCTTCGTTGACTCGCTCATGATGTCGATTTGTTGTTATGGCGATCGCATTGTGATATTTTGGTGAAAATCGCGTCGCTGGGCTGGCGGATGGAAAAAACAATCTCAAACGGAAGAGCCACTGCTGAACAATGATGAACACAAACGAACTTGAGACTCCAAAGGCCTGTTTCGACCAAACCTACAAACAAACTCATTGCACACTGTAGTCTAATTTGGAACATTAAAATTTTCTCTCCATGTCAAACGCATCAAACTTCTCTCCATGCTAATCTGGAGACACCACAAACGCTTCAAAAGCCCCAGACCAGTGACCCCCCAAGGGCGCCACTAACGCCGCTGTATTGCGCACCATCCGCCACCTCAGGCAGCCAAATAAGGTGGAAACGCATGGACGCTGCCAACCGCGCTGTGGAACAAGCATGTCTACGTTCAAAGGCTACTCCCTGTTCAAGGGCGCTGTAAGACCAAGCTTGCACCTGTTGGCATGGCATTGAAGCAGGCTTTTCCCGATCTGTGGGGACGTTTCTGATCTAAATTCTCCGACGCTTGTCTGAAACCTGTGAAGACCCATAATCCATCGCCAATCCACTCGCGTAACGGCCATTTCAACTCCAATGGACCAGCCATACCTACTCAGCACAGGGAATTCCATCATTTTTCAAGTAGCCTGGAATGATAGGCTATGGAGATCCCGCTTCATGGTGATCAAAACCGATGTCGTTGACCTGGTTATCCACCTCTGGGAATGGTGCCAGGGGCATCCCTGGATAGAATCGACCATAAAATAGGGTGTAGGTATTCGGACCAGCGTCTTCAAGAGACCATGAACCTGGAGTAAAGGTCTCCGGCTCGTATTCGGGCAGGATTTCGACCCCGTAGGCACGGTATGTGCGGATCAAATCATGGCCAAATGATTCGTGTCTGTGCCGGACCACAGCAATGAGTACATATGGTACCCGTCCAGTTGTATCGAAGTATGCACCCCCCTCTTCATTGTGCCAGGTCCAAACCGGAAAATCGACCTTTCGAAAGCTGTCGAAAGTTGGTCGATGGCTAGCATCGCTCGAGTGGTATTGAAACTCGACCCTGAGAATGTTGGGTCTAGACGGTGCCAAAATATTGTACGATCTTCCATCATCGGACCTGTATTTACCGAATAGCTCATCAAGCCGACCTTGCACAGTCTCTTGGCCAAATCGCAAGACTTGCACCAGGCTCTTTTCGCCATCTTGTTGTCGCGTGAGACGAGTCTCTGCAAAGCTCTCCTCATTCCACGTGGGATCGAACAAGACCAACTCACTCTGACCCCAAAATGTTCTTGCCATCAGTGGGGAACGATTTAAATGATGAAAAGACTCAGTACCAGAAATACCAGACCCACAGAGGGCTTCAAAAAGCGCCATCCTGATGTCGTTGGCCTTCTGGTCTCCTTGACGAAACATATCGCAAGCGTGAGTAAGGATTGGGTTCTCAGACTCTGCTGCGGCAAACCATTCTTTCTTGCCAAGGCCATTCGGGCTGAGCATCAAGTGACTGTAAATTCGCGAGACGACGGTGAGGAGGCAGTCAACTCCTGAATACCGGGGGGTTGCCGAACTTAGGGCAGGGCGTGCGTCTTGTAGAAATGATTCGCATTCATCGTCGTTCCGAAACCGTTTTCTCATGTCACCACTCTTCATCCTTGGTCCAGGCTCCATCTTTGCCTCAGAGAGCCTCTCATCATGAAGGTGGTCGCGTTCTTGTGCTACGGCTCGTCTGCGGGAGAGATTGCTTGGAGCCGCAGGCGAAGGGTGAGCCTGGTCCCGGCTGGCGCGAGGTTGGAAGGTAGGCCGAGGGACGTGTTGGGCGGTAGAGGTCTCGATGGCCATCCGTTCAGCAATGAGATGGCTGAGTTGATCGTGGATCGACTGATTCTGTCGTTTTAGGTCCTTGATTTCGCTGTGTAGCTCGGCCTCTCGTCTACCCTGATCCTCCATCATATTATTCAGACGCGCCTCAACCTCCTTGACCCTTTCCTCTAGGAGATTGAGGTGAATCTTTCCTGCCCTTTCTCTCATTCTGTTCTTCTCATCCAACTCTGACTCGAGGTGAGAAAATCTCTCTTGGATATCCGATCGAAGCGTGCGGAATGAGTCCGCTACCCCACGAACAATCTCGGAGAAAGCATTGGTCAGGGGGTTCAGTACCACTGGTCGAGTGGTCGTGGCGTGAGGTTGGGCTGTTTGGTCGGGCATCGTGGGACATGATACTGCGGCTTTGTTAGAACTTGGACGGACCCAGATAGCGGGACTTAATCTTACTGAATGTAATGGGCGAAAAAATGGGTCTAAAATCTTGCGAGAGAAAGAAGAAAAAGACTCGTTTTCTAGAATGTGCGTGGTGAACGTGCTTGGATGTTCGGTTCCGGTGGGGACAGTGAATCACTGACGGCCCCGAACAGTGGTTCACCTTTACTCATCGCACTGAACCGATAAGATGAGATTTACAACCGATAAGATAAGGCAATTGAATGGTTATTGTTCTCATGCCTCGACCCTCGAGCCGGAGTTGGTCGCGATGCCGCGTCGAAATTGAGATGCAGGCACCATTGAAGCACACGGTAGTAATTGGAATTATTCTCTTATGATTCCAATAAAAATATCAATACCTAAAACTATCAATTAATGTCAAGACATCCTGGTTGTGCCAGAAAAGCGAACAAATCCCTTCACATTGAAGAAGTTGCGGTCGAGATTCCACCAACACTTATTCAAGTCGGTGTTAAGACCCAACTAAAGGTTTTTATTCCCTCTCTCTCTCCAAGACTGGTACTACATGGGTGAACTATTCTGAAGCTCGGGATGGTAAAGATAATTTCTATTTCTCGCCATCTCATGGCCACGCTTCGAGCTGCTCTTGGACGCCCGCGCTTTCATCATTCCACTGTTCTCCGTGCACTCGGACCATTGACCGCCGACCTCTATTGATACCCGATTCCCCCTCCGCCCGCGAGACAATTGGTGCAAATTTACATTGCTAGCGGAGGCGAGTGCGTTAGATGCCTGCTCTGGGCGTATTCAATGAGAGGTTAGAAGATATGTAGGCAGATTTTCGCATATCAATCTAAGATTTTTAAGATAACTTAGACCACTGTTATTATTTTACGAATACTTTTAGATGAAATAACGCTATGGAATCGGTATTGGCCCTCTTCATGGCACCACTACCACGAATGTGGTTCATTGAGTTAATACTTGGTAGTTGACCCAGACCCTCCTTCGGAACGCCCAACTGTAGATTGGCAGAAGACTCGCGGGTGAGATTGAGGCCGGAGGCATTCCCTGGACAACTTGGGGGGATTCTCGGTCGGTCGGTATCGTCGAGGCCCCTTGTCTTGAAGGCGCTTCAGAGCACCGCTCTTGTCGTCTGACATTGTTTCTGCCACTTTCGAAATCGGTTCGAGGATTTGGATGCGGTCGGGGGTAGAGATCAGACCAGGGAGTTGTCAAACTGGGATCTCGAGAATACAAGAAAGAGATTGCGATAGGTCTTGCAAGCGGCTTTGATGCTAGCAGTGATGAAGCCGACGTTGAGATGGCAATTGATGCCGACGCCGTTAGGCCCGAAGCCGAGTGAAGTTGTCACTATCGGAAGATCGACGGCTATAGTTGTCGCCCGAGGGGAAAGGTTGATCTAACACAGTCCGGCGATAAAGATGGGCAACGACAGGGAGAAAGCTGGGGTTGCTTATGCACTCGGCGAGCTAGTGGTGCCGTTCAGCGCGAACTGTGGAGGAGACGTTTTGCGGAACGGGCGAGGTTAGACCCCATCCATTGTGTTCCAATACTCTATATGCACTTCAACAAGCCAGTGATGAATCCGATACAATCCTAACTCCTCAACTGTGGTTGGGCTCCCGGGCTCCGGGGGCTTCTCGTGGTGAGATTCCTAGATGCGGTCCCCAGGCGGGACCCCGATGTTTATATATGAACCCTGGTGATTAAACTCCGGATCCTCGCGATCAAATATTGAATAGGTAGCGGCCAAGACAGAGGTACGAGAAGAGATTACGGAAGACGTCAAGGTAGAGCCCGGACCAGGGAACTCCCAAGCGACGGGAGTGGTGACGGCGCGTACGAACAATCCACCAGACGATGCAAGCTGGACTCGCAGTTGGTGTAAGAAGATGAATTTGCTTCTGGTGGCTACGCGCTGGAGATTCGGGGAAGCTCCTCGGTGAGCTCGGAGGACTTTGACTGGGGATAATTGATGGGTATCTTGTAAGACGCGATACTTTCTCTCTTGAAGGCTGGCAAGGAGTGTTAATTGAGTCGGATGTTATGATGCGGTGCCGCTCTATATAAGTGGTCGCTGTTTTCGATTTAGGATCAGAAGTGAGGATAATATATTGTAGTGCTTCTGCGCTGAAGTCGAGTGGTTGAGCTGTCAAGGCGTCGCAGACACTCGACCTTGCATCCGAACCAACTCTTCGCACTAAGGCCAACACTCTTATACCGTCTGGCCCGCTTGTCGATTCAAAGGCGTTCTTTACTTGGCTACCGATAATAACATGGGCGCGTTTGAAATCTTGGAGGAACATAGAGGGCGCTGGCTTGGTTCCATAACGGTGGTCCGCACCGCCATGCCCTCTTCCATACCACTATTCTGCCGAGGCTGACTATACCGGAGCAGCTTTCGATGGTCTGGGAGGTTATCTGAAGCAAGAGTCAGCCAAACTCGGATCGAGCCGGCTTTCAAGTTCATTGACCTTGGTCCTGCTCTAGGGCCGTTCCAGCATTGCACCACAGACGAACTGTGAGCGTGGCGCGCGTCGGTATCGTAGGGGTCGACATCTATACGCAGCGATGGATGAAGCTCTGGCATTAGCCAAGCTCTTCCCATCGCAAAGCTCCATGTGCCTCAAAAAGGCTATCATGGGAGCGCGGCGTGCCTTAATATCGTGGGGGTCGACATGGACGCCTGCCAGTGGAAATCGAATACCTTGCCCTTGGGGTGGCAGTCGCTGTATTTGACTTGGCTACGCTGCATATTGCGCGCGGCTAATTTTCCAAAGCGGCTGTTTTCCGGTAGCGCTTTTACCAATTCAGCGATCGTAACTTATGGTTTCTCGTTCTTGCAAAGCCTTCGCAAATAGAACACGAGAAGTATCCACCCTCCTCTTCCCTCATTCTCTCAATGTCGAACAAGTGTGGGATATCGCGACATCCTAGACCAATCGCCTCCGTAGCGGTAGCCATAATAATGTGGCAAAGGTACTGCAGCTCCATGCATTGGTCCGACGACAGGTCTCCGTTCTCCGAGGTGATATCAGCAGACGGAAGTCGGAACCCAAAATGAGTGACAGCCTTGCGGATCTGCTTGATGTTGCGTTCGAAAGCATCCATCTCATTGACAGTGGTCTGAACCCTTCCATCGGCAGTCGATCCGTCGATCCCAAAGTCTCCCTTAGCTTCTTATATAAAAAATAGCCCAAGGTTTCTATAGGCTGATCCAGTTGATGCTCGGCCGGAGCCGCAGCCCAATAAGCACAAAGAGACTCATCTAGAGAAGGGTCTCCGGCGACTGACGGTGCCTTCATCAGTTGGCGCACGTGCACGGAAAGGTAGAGGACTTGTGTATATAGGTCGGACATGGTGGACTATAATGGAAGAGGGAAGCGGAAATTTGGTAGGCCAGATGTTATATAGTTGGGTTGGGATCTGGAGAGGCATGAGTGAGAGGTACAAAAAGGAAAGGAGGAGAGTGGAAGGGGGTTTATATACCCAAGCCAGCCAAGGCGAACACATCAAGTGTTGGTGTTTTCAAATGCTTGCATGAAAAGACTTGCCCGTCATGACCAATACTTGAGAAACAGTCACATTAAAAATCAATATCGTTGTCGTTTCAATCACATGCCTGAGCGAACCAAGCAGTCTTGCCAACAGCGGATGTTTGAGCATATGTCTCCTTCTGGGTTTATCTGATGGAACTATAATAAATCGTGTGCTCTTCTGTCTCCTCACCACGCCAAACGTGTTGTCTTGGTGGATGTGCAGGATCAAGGCTCTTCGTCCAGCCAAACGCTGGGATCGAGGAGATTGCCTAAGGCTTCTCCTGGCTCAAGACTGACAAACAAAGTGACAAACTCTCTGCCCTTTTGCTGATGGAATATGCTCGGCCTTGTTTGAAGCTAGGCTTTGTTTACGGTTGTATCGAAATCTGGCATGTGCGTATTTGCCGTGTGTTATGTATTATCACAACCAGCTGGTGACAGGTCCAAGGCGATTTTGGCCACCGGCGATTCCAAAACTAGAGTGAGGCTCGAGGCGAATCATTCACTCTGTCAGACGAAGAGGAATCCAACGAGGAGGTATGGCAGACCGTGATAAAACAACAGAAAGGTTATCCAATATAAGCGTTAGTATGCAGAGTCGCCCCCTTACACTCCTCGGGCGGATAGACACTTGTTTACTCAATCGATGAGACGAAGCAAACCAAAGCCTTGCTTTATCTCACAACGCGACTATTCCTTTGTGTACAGGGTACGAGCAGGTACCTGAGTACCTTTCCCCGTTGAACGGCCCCGGTTCAACGGTCGATGTGGAGGTCTGTCGGGCTGGGCCTACCTAATCTGCTTGGGGTTGCTAATCGTCTGAAAGAACAGAGCAAAATGTATCATGACATGTTATAGCATGTGCTTGTCTTGATTGTTTCTTTACTTATAGGCTTATAGGTACGACAGTCAGAAATATCCCCAATTGGGAACAGCCTGTGTCACAGCATCAGGCACCCATCGTGCAGAGCACCCAGGTCTCCTATCAAATCTTGGATCCAACAGCCGCCGAGATTGTTGAGCCAATGATAACGGATAACGGTAGCACAAGCTCCCACTCCGTGTAGAGGCACCAACATGGTCGGGCGCTGCGGTGAATTGAACTTGGTGCCTGAATGTCAATGTAATTGACTGGCAAGTCACTCGCAACAGATGAGCCCGAGAACCCGGGCTTCCAATCATTTCTACATAGTTCGATCTATCTTTGTGCCGCTCTGTTCATAGAAACTGCTCCCGTGCGTCTCCAACAAGGTTGCTTCCAGCAGCCAAGCACAAGCCTTTTCACACTCCATAACTTCCAACCAGTGATAACACCCTACCTTTCAAACTCTATCACCATGCAATCCTCTTAAACCGATCCTCGTCCAGATGCTCCACGGAGCCCAACTTCAAGAACACACCGAACCGATGGGGGACTTCCTGCCGTGTGAACCCTTGGTGCGAAGCTCAGCCCATTTGGCGTCCTAGCACTTGGCCAGCCATCGCAGCCGAACGATCAAGGCTGCGCCCTGACGCGTTGTGCGAGATCGAGGTATTACGTCGCCATATATTCACAACTGCTCTTTACTGTTGTGGCTCGTAACCCCTTCCAAGCATGCCACCGTGGGCAACAAAGGTAGCGACCTTGACCGTGCGAAACAGCATGGTGGAAACCCCCTCGGGCAGCTGTCACAGCCAAACCTATTCGGGCCACGATGAATGTGAACGATGACGCGACTTCCTTTGCATCTGGGCAACAACAGTAATGCTCCTGCAGGCAAACTCAAAGGCAAATCTTTTTTCGGTATCCTATCACTCAATTCCAACATCCCTCTTAAACGCCTCCAGCCAATCCTTATTCTCCGCAATTGTCTGATTAAAAGGGTCATCACTGTTTGTGTCAGTCATACCATCCAGACACTGCAGGCATTAGACTTACTCATTGTAGCTGATCCATCTGGCGTAATGTTGAATCTCTTCATCTGATGGCACACGACTCGCTGGGTTGTGAGGTGACATGATTGCTGCTACCCATCGACGGAGTTCTTCTGTAAACCATCGCCAGTAGTTGTGATCGTTGAGAAACGAAGTACTGGTCTTCATGACGAGTGATCGAGCAGCCAAGAGATGAGCATCTGGTCTCATAGTCTGCGGCCCACCTATTGGGGCATGTCGTTGTCGAAAAGCTGATAACCAATAATCGTCGTCTGCTGCAGTATGAAGTGTCGTATCTGAGCCATGAATTATGACCCGAGCTTGTCGACGGAGATCGTCATCGTCTGGCTCAAGTCCAATAACTCTCTGCATCTCCAAGTATGCACTCATCTCTTGTTCAAGCTTTGTATAATCTTGAATCGTTGCTTCAAGGTTCAAAACTTGTGCTGATGGCAACATCTCAATACCAGCTCGTTGACGAAACTCTGAAAGCCAATCTCCTGGTGAATGAATAACTTTGATCAACCAATTGGCTATAAAGTCAGATGGAGTAGCTGAGACTTCTTCCAAACGCCCAACAATCCTGCAGCACTCCTCCTTCAGTTCATCGTCTCTGATACTCATCCCGAGAAGCTGTTTTGCTTGAACAAACTCGTGCAGCTGTATCTCGAAAGGACAGTTTTCAAAGATCTTGTTCTTTCCACTTATCATCAACGCTGGAACTCGACTCTCTGCTGTTGATCGTATAGGACCAAATTGAGCCTGTTGCGTAATGGTAGGATTAGAAAGAACCAAATCTCGAAGCCATGAAAAGTAGACAAGGTCATTTTGGGACAATGTCTCGGATGCAAAAATGATTCGACAAGCTTCCAACTGCATTTCTTCATCGCTTGGCATTCTTGCGTTGGTATAGAAGTGATTCTGCATAAAGTATGCGAGTTCCAACTTCAACAACTCGTACGCAGTTTGTGGTGTCTCAACAAGAGTCCTGCTTCCTTCAAAAGGAAACGGACTATTCCGTTCAGTCTCGATAAAGTCTAAAATGTTAGAAAGCACCACATCTGATATCTGGGAAACATACATGGCGGAATAGAGTTTTCACAAAGCTCTAGAATATGCGGTTCAAATCCCCAATCACCTGTCCAGTCGGCCATGGTCTTGCCAGCTTTAAAGTGATCTGCAAGGTGATGAACTCTATCAGTCCAAGTCTCCAGAGTCAGATTACAGAAACCACATCTTGAACGGATCGCAGGAGATGGTGCTTTCCATTGTCTCATCGGCCACTCTGTAAACTTTGCATTGTGTACAAGTCGTAGATGCTGGTTTAGATGATCTTTTCTGTTAAAGGTTCGTTCCTGAATCGGTCGATTCCGACAAGCAGAGTAGTGATGACTTTCAACATGTGCATCATCAGGATCAATTTGACCACAGAATACACAACAAGTATCTTGTCCTTTGAGACCTCGAGGTCCTTCAGGACTACAAACCCATCTCTCAAGTGGAAGATGAAGAGAGTTTTCATGTCTTTGCCAATCATGTTTCGCTCGGAATGTCTCGGTGCAGAACGTGCATTGAAAAGCTTTGCGTGGAGTTGCTAGAGATCGTCTCTCTTCTTTGTACGCTCTTCGTCTTCGTCGAGAACTGCCGCGACTAAACAATTCATTAAGCCCAAACGATGATCGACTGGTATAGGAATTGACAGAACTGATTGAGCTGGATCGTGAAGTCTCTCCACTTCTGACAGACGGTGTTCGAGAGAGACGAGTGTACGGACTCGTAGAGCCTATCACGTTAGACCCTCCCAATGATGCCGTTCAATTCATACTCACCAGACAACGGCCGTGCACTAGACACGGCTCTTGCAATCGCAGTCACAGCTGCAGGTTCATCTTCTGGAGGTGAATCAACCCATCTTTGTAGAGGATCCATTTCAGATGTATTTCTGACAGCTGGAGTCCCTGGTCTTGCAGGAATGTCGATTGCCCCGGATTCATGAGGTGATGAAGCACTCGATGGAATCTTGCCTCGTCGACGGGCATTGGCCAACCAATTGGAAATTTGAGTCTTTGTAAGACCAGTCTGTTCCTGAAGCATCCGCCTCTCGGAATCTCTGGGATAAGGATGACTTTGGTGGGTTGCGAGCCAGTTTCTCAAAACACGGACTGCTTCCCTGGTAAACCTACCGCCAACCTTGGCAGGACGAGGCTGAGGTTGAATGGGTACAGCCTCTGCAAAAGGGTCAAAAAGCCCATCAAACAGATCCATATCTGCAAAGCCGTTTTCATTCATGTTGATGTTGATAGCAAATCACGGCGATGGCAACAAAAACTCGGTCACGATGTCATGGTTGGTCACAGCTGATTGGTCGACACGTTAGCTCAGGTTGTCATCACGCCCTATTATGGGTCCAGGTGAGGGGAAGGATTGCACTGTGCTAGCTACAGCTTATCTACTGAGCATTCTTCAGGGTCATACACTCGTGCAACTGTTCGAGCATGACCGATACAGGTCTTTTGTTGATGTAGATGTCGTCAAATTGTTTGAGAATGTCTGGATATCCTTTGAGACAGTCCCTCGCCTCCATGAGGTACTTTTCCGCCTTTGCCAGGTCCCCAGTGTTTTGAAGCATCAGAGTGATTAAAGATTCGTGCTTCTTTCGAGTTTCTTCTTCGACATTTTCCTATTCTGTTAGCTGGTTCGTTACTACGTCAAAGGCCATACCTTGATGTCGTAGGTCAGATTCATGGTCGGCTCAATAACCGACTTGGTAAAGTCGACCTCTGGATGCTCATCTTGGATATGCTTGGTTCTGTCGATAAATTCTGCAATCGATGCTTCTCGAGTTTTCGCCTCGAGAGGCTGCTGGGAATTCACAGAGTTCATGATGATGTTGATGGAGAATCAAAGCGGCACAGCAGTGACGTAAGAAATTTACTTTTACCGCCAATCCTTCCTCCATTTATCCTACGAATTACAGAGCTCCAAGCAACAGACCCTGCAACTCGTCAATGCTCTGCTGACTTGTCTTTTGACTGGCCATGACATAAAACACGTTGCCCAGGACTCTGCTGTGAGCGTTCCACTCCCCAGTACCTTGTCGGAGATGGGCTTGAAGCTTCTTGGCCACGTTACTCTTGTATCCCACTTGTTCATCGCGGAGACTAATGGCCAAGACACTGCCAAGAGCCCAAACTCCAAGAACTTGAGGGCTGTGTGATACCTTGTTGACAAAATCACGGGACCAAACAGACCAAGCCGTCTTTGCCTGAGAATCATCCCAATCTGTTTCTGCATGTTTCCACACACCTTGGGCCTCCATTTTTTGCATTTCTCCAACAGATTCAACAGCCACCTGACATCCTACAGCGTGTGCAGTATAACTGTGTCCATGAAGAAGTGCATCACTCTTGTCATCACTCTGGAATGCATCAAAAATAGTCTCAGATGCCATGGTGGTGCATAGCGGGACTAATCCTCCAGTAAGGAGTTTAGCGTTGACGGCGATATCGGCATCGGCTCCGAGGAATGAAGCCGAGGTAAACCGGCCAAGCCGGTACAAGCCGGTAAAAACCTCGTCAAAAATGACCGGGAGTCCGGACCATGAGAGTGGGTCTGTTGGGGTGGACGCGTCTCCGAAGAGATGAGGGGATCGGCGGACAACGTCGATGAGGGCGCGTTGAAAGAGGGGGTCACTGGACATGGTCAATGGGGGGTGTCTAGGGAGAGTTGTTGGCTTACACTAGAATCATTCCTCCAGCACCGAGGACAACAGGTTCCATCATGAGGGCTCCAAACTTGCGACCGGCAGAGTGCAGCTTTTCGAGGACACTCTCAATGTATCGTGCATACTTTTGGTAGGCTTCCGTTTCGAGTCTAGACTGTAGATCGAAAACGTCCGAGATGGAACCAAGGTTTGCGCCGGTTAAATCGTCACGAAGAGATTCAGGAACGTCGACAACCCATTTCCCTTTGACGCATTGAACAGTGGGATAGTCGAACCAGTAACCTTTACCTTCGTACCATTCAATCTTTTCGTTGTAGACGCAAGGTTCAGCGCAATCCATCGCTCCAATGGTGTCTCCGTGATAACTTCCTTTGAGGCCGAGGATATTGACATTGTCGTTTGGTCCCCATCCGTATCGGAGTCTTGCTGCTCTGAGGGCCATCTTGACAGCAACCTCGCATCCGGTACTTCCATTGTCAGAGTAAAAGACGCGAGAGAATCGAGGATTGTCAGCTCCTTTGAGAAGCATCTCGGCCAAAGCCAAAGCAGGCTCGTGAATGGCCTCAGCAAACATGACATGTCCATATCGTCCAGCAGCGTACGCAGCAGCCAGAGTCAGTCGAGAATTGGCATGTCCAAGACCTTGACTCCACCAAGAAGCAGACCCATCGAATGCAGGCTGCAAAAGCTGGTCTGAATTCTTGTTGAGGACCTGAAAGTAATCACCATGGGCAGAGTCAATGACAGAAATAGTGTCTGCCGTGACAAATTTCTGCTGAGTGAATGGATACCAAATACTCTTGCTGGCCTTCTGGCTCATCGAATCCAGTCGGCCAATGCGGTCCTTTCCTTTCTTGTCCAGGGTCTCAAGAACTTGTTGAATGTTGCCATTGTTGAGAGTTGCATAGTACTCGGTCATTTGCTCGGTTTCCTCGGTTTCATCCGGCTTTCGAGGAGGTGGTCCAGGGATTGTCTCCACGAGGATTCCCTCCTTGGAAAAGTAATCCTTCAGGTACTGATAATTCTCATATTGCATGTCCTGAAAAAGAAGAACCGTTTCAATGTTGTGTCCACGAATTCTCAACGATTCATACGCAGCAATCGTTTGAGAGATACCCCCAAGCTTGGAGTCCCCAACCAGAATAACTGGAGACCGCAAGGGGGCATAAAGATCGGCCTGGGGCGTGCCGGATGGACCTGGAGAGTGGACACCACCCGCAGTCTCTAGAAATAGCCACCCAGGACCTTCGGAAGCTCGCCGAGAGACATGGTCATGAATTTTTGCTAGTACAGCTTCATCCGAGGGAATGGGCTAAAATGTTAGTGGAATTCGGCCAACATGTGAAAACATACCTTGCCAGAAGCTTTTGCAGCTGTGTGTGGACTACAAGGGATATCGTATTGAAACAATGTCTCGTTGGCCGTAAGAGGAGAATATTTTTGAATGTGACTAAATTGTCAGCTTACTCTAGTACTAGATTCAGATACCTACCAGCTGTCGGCCTCATGAGCTGCTCCCGTAGATACAGGCTTCAAAAACGAAGTCTTTTCACCTTTCCAATGCTTGGTCGTGGCATTGCAAAGAACAGTAGTAAAAATCGTCTTGCCCACGTCGGTATTCGCCCCATACACCTGGTGGACGCGTAGGGATCTCCGCAAAAGAGCAGGCACGGGCGCCATTTCGAGTTATTACTTTCTAAAGGGGCTTGGGCTGTTTAAATATTTGTACAGCCCTTAGTCGCGTCGGATTTTGCTCCGTCCGAGCGGGGAAATATCGCGCTCAACAAATCCCGCAGACAACAACATGTCCAAGTTGGAAGAAGCCCTTGCGGCTCGTCTAAAGGCGAGAGAAGAGAAATCTCAGCTTCGTCGGTTGACTACGTTTCCAGCAGACAATGTTGACTTTTCTTCAAATGCCTACCTTTCTCTTTCTCTTGTCCCAGAGATCAGATCCGCCTATCATTCCCTTCTTGAGAAGCATGCATCTCCCCCTCCTTTGTTGGGGTCAGGCGGCTCACGATTGTTGGATGGAAATTCGGCATTGGCAGAATCTTTGGAGAGAGACATTGCATCGTTTCACAACGCCCATGCTGGACTCTTGTTCAATTCGGGATTTGATGCCAATGTGGGGCTTGTGAGTTGCTTGCCGCAGCCTGGGAATATTATTGTTTACGATGAACTCATTCATGCGAGTGCTCATGATGGGATGAAGTTGAGTCGGGCGGGAAAGATGATTCCATTCAAGCATAATTGTGTGGATGGTGAGGGGGGTTTGGGTGAGGTTCTCAAGGGATTGGCAGATGAATCTGTCTTTATTCTCGTTGAAGGTGTCTACAGCATGGATGGTGATGTTGCACCCCTTCAAGACATTGTTGCTTGTGTCAAGCGACGTCTGAAGAATGGGTACATCATTGTTGATGAGGCACACTCGACTGGTCTGTACGGAAAGCAAGGAAGAGGCCTTGTGTGTGAGCTCGGTCTTGAAAAGGAAATATTTGCTCGATTGCACACTTTTGGCAAGGCAATGAGTTCATTTGGAGGTAAGTTGTTTTGTCTCTGACAGTTTGGTTCTAACAGTTTAGCCATTGTTCTTTGCTCTCCTACGACACGCGAATATCTCATCAACTACGCCCGAACTCTCATTTATACGACAGCAATGCCATTTCCTTGTCTTGCTAGCATTGGATTGTCGTATCAGTTCCTTGCAAGTGGCAAAGCAGATGCTCTTTTGAAGCATTTGTGGCAACTCGTCAACCATACGCATAAGCTTTTACAGTCTTCGACTCTTGGTGTCAATAGAGATACACCCAAGTCGCCAATTATCCCAGTATTCACGTCGCAACCACGAAGCTTGGCTCAATTCTGCCAGGAGAGAGGATACACAGTTCGCCCAATTGTTGCCCCGACAGTTCCAAAAGGCAGCGAGAGGATTCGAATCTGCATTCACGCTGGAAATACCATGAAGCAGGTTGAGGGGTTGGTCAAGACGATAAAAGAGTGGGAGAAGAATTTGGAGGAAAAGTCTCGCTTATAGACGCGGTTGTGCACAGTTGGTTGCTGTTTACCAGACTCTTGGGCAGTTGTATATCACCGCTTGCCCTTATCTCAATAACTGCAGTCCCAAAATAGACGGTCAACGGCTCACATCCTCAGTCTACTGTATCGGTGAGCGTTGAACGAATTACGGCTTGACACCATCTTATCTGCACTGTTCAGCTTTTGACAAGGGTCTACCCGTTCATCTCTCTCCATTTCTGCCACAATAGAAATACCAAGCTTGTGGCGGACTTCTGACCTATTAAATATCCCGATCGTCTTTGTCATGGCGAATAACGGCTCGAGTTTGAGTCGAGGCGCACAAGATGCAGATGCATGCACCGCCCCCATCCAGAGCCTGATTCTTAAAAGTAGGGTCTCCCGCGTCCCCAGTCTGTTCGTTAACCATGTTTGTTCTCTTCTTTTTCTTACTTGGGCTTGCAGTAGGGCAAGATTTTGCCATTACTGCTGCGCCTACCTTTCTTTTCAAGCGACAACAGCGCATAACTGATTGCGATGGACCGACTCATGCTCTGTGGACATGCCCAAACGGGGAGTGCTATTGGGGCGACGATGGCTTTGTAGGATGCTGTTCATTGTAAGTCAATCACTGCTTCATCGACTAAACTAACTCGGTACAGGTCTAGTTGCGCTCCCCGGACCCGATGCATCGAGTATGACGATCTTGAGGATGATATATGCGATCACAACACTGGAGGATGCGTTGTTTGGTAAGAGAAATGGCCATCTGTGAACCTAGCTGACTGTTTAGCTCCAAATCCGAGTCCCCATTATGCGTTTTCCTTACGAATCCCGCCATGAAGGAGTACGGCTATTACTGCGATACTGCACGTCGAACTGGGTCTAGTTCGTTCGAGTATGACCTCCCCGCCGGGGCAGTCATTCGCACAATCAAGGACACCCAGGAGGCACCTATCACGACAGAGACTGACTCTGAAGATACGACGACCACCGATGACTTTACGATTGAAGGCGGTAGTGAATCTGAGACGGAGACAGCAACTGACGCTACCGCCACTGAAGCTACCGCCACTGAAGCTACCGCCACTGGAGCTACCACCACCGAGGCAGATCCTACCTCGTCGGGTGGTACCACTGATCCAACTGCTACAGATACAGCTGTGGCAGATGCAAGTGAGCTCACTGAAACAAAGGGAAAGCTCAGATCAGCCATTGCAGCAGCTGCAGCCCTTGGAGCCATCGTTGGAACACTCATCCTGTTGGCCATTGCATTCATCTGGTACAGAAAGCGTTCTAAACGTCAAGAACACCCACAACCAATAGCTCAGCCTATGGTACACTCACAGCCGTCTTCTGTACCTGGGTACTCTCATCAGTACTATGAGACCGTCTCAAACCCACCCAGTGCATCAGTCTCGCCCCCGAATACATCGTTTGGTGGATCTGCTGTCGCACCTAGTCCGACTTCGAGGGCAGATGAGCAAATGCCTCACATCCCAGAGCTTGGACGTTATCGTTACTAGCGAGCGTCTACAGGGATGTCAGTGTGCTGTTGGTTAATGTCATGGTGGCAAAGGAGATAAGAGAAGAATACACGATGGAAGGCTCTAAGAGTTGGAATCAGCTTGTGATTAGTGCGAGATATATTAATGCTCATAGGTAAACCATATATCTTTCTTAGTAAACATCTCAAATCGCAGTTTTAATACCTTTATCTATACTAAAACTTTACTACTATAGAGGGTTTACTAAAAGACCAATATTTATATATTTATTTACCTTATTTACTTCTTTCTTATATGTGTACCTACGCAAATAACTCAGGTAAATAACCCAGGTAAATAACCAGGTAAATAACCAGGTAAATAACCAGGTAAATAACCAGGTAAATAACCAGGTAAATAACCAGGTAAATAACTAGGTAAATAAGCTCAAGTAGTAAATAAGGGGATTTAAAACACAGCAGTATCAAACCCGATGCTGTAAAACATCGTACTCCATTAACATACATAATAAATCCCATCCAAGGCCTACAGCTTACTCTTAAGCTCATCAGAGGTAGCAAGGAGGGTTCGCTTGCTATTACCACCATGTTCAACCCGAACCGGGGCATCAAATACAGTGGCCGCCTTTCCCTTCCTATCCTCCGTCTCGACGTAATCTCTCTCTCCCTCTCCTACATACAGCTGTCTCGGCCTCCAGATCTTTACACCCGATGGGTTCAGCATCATCTGCCTCCAATGCGCAAGCCAGCCCACGCATCTCGGGACAGCAAACAGAACGGGGTAAAAGTCAAGCGGGAAGCCCATGGCCTGGTAAATCAGGCCAGAGTAAAAGTCAACGTTGGGGTACAGATTCCTGCTTCGCATAAACTCGCTCTTTCTGGCGTAGTCGGCAAGCGTCAGAGCTGTGTCGAGGAGCTTGTTCCTGCCGGTGACTTGGAAAACTTCTTCGGCCAGCTTGCGGATGGCTGTTGAGCGTGGGTCGACGTTCTTGTAGACGCGGTGACCGAATCCGACGAGAACCCTTTCTCTCCTCTCCACAGCCTGCATAAACGCCGGGACGTTCTCGGGAGACCCAATCTCGATGAGCATTCTGATTGCCGACTCTGAGGCTCCCCCGTGGGATGGACCGTAGAGTGCCGCGCATCCGGCAGCGACAACGCTGTATGGATCCACCAGAGAGCTTCCTACTTGCATGACTGTGGCAGTAGAGCAGTTGACCTCGTGGTCGGCATGAATGATGAATAGCTTGTCCAGAGCCTTGGCAAGAACAGGGTGCGGTTGGTAATCAGGCTCGGATAGGTTGTCCAGTAAGTACAGAAAGTTTCCAGTGTATGACAAGCCCTGTGCTGGCCGGTTAAAGGGTCGACCCTGGCGCATTCTGTACGATGCTGCCGCCAACGTGGGGGCTTTCCCGAGGATCCGGAGAATCTGCTTGTCCAGCACCTTGAGAGCCTCCATATTGCCGGAAGCAGCGTTGGTGTAGAGTTTCTGACCGGCAAGGGAGGGATTGGCTTCAGGGGCAAAGGCTCCCAGTGTAGCGAATGCCGCGGTCAGCATGGACATGGGATGAGAGTCATAGCGGAACGACTTGAACATGTTTTCAATGTCGCTATGGATGTAGGTATGATGCATCACCTCGCCATGCCAGTCATCGTACTGAGCCTTGGTGGGAAGCTCGCCGTAGATGAGGAGATAAGCAGACTCGAGAAAGTTGCTCTTTTCGACCAACTGCTCAATCGGATATCCTCGGTATCGGAGGACGCCATCCTGACCGTTGATGTAGGTGATCTTGCTCTGGACGACAGCAGTGTTCATGTAGGCGGGATCATAGACCCTGAGGCCTTGTGATGTTTCATCCTCTGGCCGATCATTTGTGGGTTCGGCCTTGATCTTTTTGAATTCCGTCGCCGGGATGGAATTGTGAGTGATGGGAATCTCGTAGACCTGGTTGGTCCTGTTGTCGACGACCGTCAGCGATTCGCGCGGTTTGCTTTGCTTCAGGACCATGGTGATAAGCAATGTAGAGGTGCTTCTGGGATAATGGAAGAGAGGAAAGAAGTAAGAAAGTCGCGATAAAAGGTCTTATGAGTATAAAGTTAAGTCAGATTATCACGAGCATCACAATTTTGGAGAGGAGGCGTGACGTATTAGTGGACCTCGGTAAAAAGAACCTCGGCTTGTGACTGTCTTGGCTAAAGTGAAAAAATAAGCTATAGAAAATAGCAATCATTTATTAAGAAGCTGACAGTAAATTCCTTAATAGTTTTCTTATGACTTGACACACTTGAAAAGAAGTTTGAATAAAAATAATACCCCTATCGTCGTCTTGTAGTTTAATGGCTTTTAGTTGGCTCTCACTGAAGTGTCCACAAGCAGCCCGGGGCCCGGAAGTACTTACAGTGGGGGCGCGAAAGTAACGACACATCCCGTGTCCACCCGAATAACCAATGGTGATAGCTTCATCTTTGAACTATTATTGCGAGCCTAATTGAAGTCCAATTATAATATGATGTATATCATTGTGAAGCCCAAGGATCAGAAATTTTCTTTATATAGATAATAATTAGTATACTATCTATGTGCGTCAATGACAGCCTGATATCTGTGCTTTATTAACGTAATAAGGTTATAATTTAGATAACTGAGTGCATTTAATACGTTTTAATCTTGATTAAATATTTTATAAATTAAGTAATAATTAAAGACTTAATAAATAAATATACTTAAATAAAGAACTATAGTCTCTATCGCAGAATACTTCGTAGATAATAGTGCTAAATATCTAAATTTATATAATGCACCTGCTTCTCAAACTAGTAGCATTCCTGCGTTAGAGTGTATCACAGAACCCGACAAATTATAGTCCTTCATACAGTACAAGAATGCCTCTGCAACATCTTCAGCTTGTCCTACCGCTCCTGTCACAGCCTTCTGAGAGATAGCATCTAGAACTGCTTTGCGCTCGTCAGGCTTGGGATAGAAGCGGGCCATAAGATCTGTGTCAACTGGGCCAAGGCAAACAAGGTTGACACGCAGCGGCTTTAACTCGACCGCTAGACTTCTCGTCAAACCCTCCGAAGAAGAGACATATGCACCAATTGCGTTCCAATTCGGGTACGGCTTGTACGCACTGATGCCGGACGTCAACGTGAAACTGGACGTGGGCCCTGGCGCAATATGCTTTGCGGCATATTTTGCTATCAATAGAGGAGCAAAAAACCGTACCAGCCCAGCTTCCTTGATAAAGTTGAAATCTATCTCGGATATAGGTCTCGGAATGGGGTGATCGCCTGCAGTGAAGACGATATGGTTGAGCTTCTCAGTTCCGTTTGAGGTCGAAGCGTCGAAAAGAGCCGCGATGTTGGGCTCGAGTAGCTCCTCTTGCTTCAGGTCGCATGGAAAACCCATGATGCTGCAACTTGCTGTTGGATAGGACTTCCGCAAGTGTGATACGGCCGCGTTGATTCGGTCGGCGTTCGAGCTCGAGATGACAACGGCAGCGGCGCCAAGTTCCACAGTAGCTGCGGCGACAGCTAAGCCGACACCAGCAGTGCCTCCGATGATGAGCACACGTGCCCCGACAAGTTTGGACGCATATTTGCTATTTGCCGACATTTTGGAAGTATGCAACCGATTATTGAAAGACTTTACAAGTCGGGGTAAAGCATCGATGTTTGAGTAAGGGGTTCGATTTGTAGTGTGGGAGCAATGGGAGATACTGGTCAATTTATCCAAAACCAGATCAGCTACTAATCGCAAACAACCCTTTATTTAGGTACCCCTCTCCAGTATTGGACCAGGGCTCACTTGATGGTTTCGTCGGTTTCCAGCGCATTCCATCTGGTACCCACAACCGAAAGAAGCCGATGGTGTTAGTCCTTCGGACAGACGGCGGACAGATAACGGACTGCGGATGATTAACAGACGGCAAGTCAGATATCAAACTCCGCAAGCTCCGCAAACCTAAAGTACGATATGGGGTGACGTTATAGGCCCACAGGGTATACGGCCAAGGCACAGTTTTACTGCTTGATTACTCTGCGGCATAAGGAATACGGGTAGCATTTATCAGCCAACCCGGGGTCCACGCTCCGTAGCACACGGTTGTGCACCAATCGTTCATGCACTTACCCTTGCAAGAGAGGCAAATCGGTCGCCGTTTGCGCAAAACAGCTAGTACTGGGCCGGCGAGTCCGTGACTCCTGGGAGGTAAACAGTAGCGCCCAAAGGTCATGGGCATGCACGATTGCCTGCCCCTACCAACTGACGTGACTGTACAGCGGCTCATTAAGATCATGCTTTAAAAAAGGGTGGCTCGAAGGGAAAGAATAGTACATCCAAGGAATCTAAAGTCGAAGAAAGAGTATCAAGAGCGCGCAGACATCAGTAGTTCTCCAAACTTCGGAACCGCTAGTGTTCGCACTGATGGGCAAGTCTTGGGATAATGGTCGGAGAAAATGAAGTCTAATCCATGAGGAAGCCGGGCGTTGCGGTATTTGCCCTGCACGCTGTTTTCAGCCCCTTTATTGATGAGGCACCGAGCCCTCCGCGTCGTGAGTCGTGCCCTTGTTGTGTGGCCAGAATCAAGGTGGTCAATCCATCACGGTTCCAGCGTCTAACAGAGGTGGGACATGCCTACGATGGCCTTTTCCGGCGGCATAGTTACAGGTGCCGTCACAGGCAGCCTCCAAGTTCACCTTACCTCCTTGTGAGAGCGTTGCCGTAACAGGTATGAAGCTACATCAGTTACTGTGAGCCTCTCAACGCTATAAGAGTGGGGCCGAACTTGCCGTCCTCAGCTTTCACATCTGTTGATGACGAATCATCATCTTCGCTGTCTATGCAACTGTAAGCAGGTTGCATGTGAGGAGTATTTAGGGCTTTGATTCGAGTCAACTGCGGAAAAGATGAAATGCAAGAGTGGGTCGGTAACGATAAAGAGTCGAGCGAAATGAGTGTTTCACATGCGCAAATCCTGAGGAGGAACAGGTAGCGGACAGTCGATACGTGGTCTTTAGATGTCCGTATTACAGGCTTTGCGTGTTAGAAGACCAGTCTTTTCTCCCCTCTCCGGTCACGCCATTCGTTCGTCGCCAAACAAAGTTCACGACAGTCCGTCAGCAACCATCCCCATTTTCGCAAGAAAGGAATAGACGCCTCCCAGCCTCGAGGATCCCACGACCCAGCCCAGACAATAAGGGAGGCATTTTCACCGCGACCGTTGTCCAGGCTCAACATATCTGCGCACAACTCGTCTTCATCCAACACACCCGCGGCCACGGCGAGAAGCACGTTGTCCCGAAACCGTGGGATCGGAAATAGGTCTACCCATGGATGGTGGATGATTGTTTGCTGGACCGGCGTCGGTAGTAGAGTTGCTGGACAGGCCGCTGCTATCTCACCAGCCCACGGGAGACCGGGTCCATGCGTGTTGAAGGGTGAGATGAGGTCATCGCGGCAGAGGCCTTCAATGCTGAAGCCAATGACTGCTGCGTTGCGGGCCATGGCGTCGAGGACGTTGAGGTGGGTTAGGGCGGGAAGATATCCCGGCTGCGGGACGCCGCTCCTGTAGTCATTGTAGGCGCTTGAGGTGAAGAGCCGGGCTTTGGCTCGCCTATCAGCAGTCGGGAGAAGAAGATAGCCTTGGGCCAGAATCACAGCCCTGTTAGTGACTGCGAGATGCTCGGCTCTGTCGGCCAGAGCAATCTGCCGTGCAGGGCCGACCTCATCGGTAACTGCTGATTGGCCCGGTGATACGTCGTCGGAGCGTTTCGCTGGCTCACGTTGATGCCTCTGGCCTATAACACTGCACATAAGCTGATAAGGCTTGTACAGAGCGGAATGGGGTGCTGCGTACGCCACGTGCGCTGGTTGACGCGATTCTGCCGCCGCCTCCTCTCTGCGGAGCTCGTGATGCCGCTCCAATCATCAGGATTCAGTAGCTCTATCTGGACCGGCAACGGTTCCGAGATTGACACTGAAGGTGTGGTGGCTCCAGTCTGAGGCTCCATGATGGCCGTTGAGAGGGTATGTAAGACTGGGGCGGCAGGTACTTTGCCGATGTTGGTCAGGGACAAACCGTTGGTTATATGCTCATGCGACCTGCTTACCCATGCATTTGAGCTTGTTCCCTTTGATCATGCCGCATTGAGTTGGTAAAGATAACCTTCTGATGGCGCGTCTGCATGCAGAGAAGGCCGGGTTCCATGTGGGTTCAAGTCCTGGGTCCCCAGACAGAGACAACCAATCACCTTGTCGGCCAGTGCAACGATCTCGGCGCTAATGCATCCAGCTTATGGTTGCATGAGCAGGGAGAAGTGGAGTCGACATGATAGATATCTGGACACATTCTGGTTGTACTTCAACCCTGGTATGCGGAGTAGTCTACCGGCTTTCCTACGAAATGCGCCCTATGAGAACTCATCATGAGCGATGTGTTTGAGTTTCAACAGCAGATATTACACGCGGCAGCCGAGCGGTGTTGTGTTCACAGCAAGGGTGTGCAGCCAACGCAAGTTGACAGGGGCGGCCAGAGGAGGCAACAAGACTATCAGGATAATACAAACTAAACGAGTCTATTTTGATGCCATTGCAACTGCAGTACGACGATTGCAGTGCACTGTCGTTAATCTAGTGACCGACCATCGACTGGAAGATAGGAGAGAATCTCTCTCCAACCGGCTTAGCATCGTCCACAATCTTTCGCATCGCCTTCAACTCCTCTTCCGTCAACACGACATCTCGAGATGCCCAGTTCTCTTCCAGGCGTGAGGCTTTGGTCGTGCCTGGGATAGCAATCAATCCCTGCGCGGCAACCCAAGCCAGCGCGATCTGCGCAACTGTGCAGCCTTTTGCGGTCGCTAATTGCTTGATCTCATCCACGATTGCCTTATTTTTGTAGAAATTTTCGCCCTGGAACTTGGGGACTGTGATATTGAAGTTAGTTTTCTATGATCGCAGCATTGCTGTAAGCACATATGGCGACCTACCAGTGCGTCGGAAATCATCAGGCGCAAAGTCATCCGGGGACTTGAACTCAAAGTCATCCACAAGCCAGCCGTGTCCTAACGGGCTGAATGCCACAAATGCCACCCCCAATTCCTTGGCTGTGTCGATAAGACAATTGGTCTCGTGTAGTGTCTCAAAAGCCGAGTACTCGGCTTGAATGGCATCGATCTTGGCGACTTGAATGTGTTAGCATCTTGTACTATTATGGTCACTGGCATACGAACTCGAGTTTGCCTTGCGCAAGGTCTCAGCAGAGCATTCAGATAGCCCAATGTATTTGACTTTTCCAGCGCGGCGGAGTTCATCTAGGGCACCAATGGACTCCTCGAGAGGGGTATCTTAACCACATAGTCAGGACCAATCCGAAGGATTTTGCTTGGGGGATCTCAACGCACTAGGGTCGATTCTGTGGAGATAGTAGAGGTCAGGAGTAAAACCAAGCCTATCAATTGTCCCCTCGATGTATTCCTTGATGTGAGCTGCTGAGTTAGTCACTCTTCGCGTAGGTCCAAACACATCAAATCCGCATTTAGACGCCACTTCGAAATATCTGCCGTAAGCGATCATGCAACATGTAAACCTTGAGGCTCTGCTACTTACCAAAGAGCTTGTCACGGACATTGTGCTTCTTAATAAGTCCCCAAGCAGCTTCTCGTTTGCGCCATTCTTGTAGGCAACCTAGAACCCAAGGCCGTCAGAAGTAATGCCTTTAGCTCCCTCGCGAGTGGCTTACTGCTGTATCCCAAAATGTGCAGCCGAGTTCGACTGCTTTCAAGAGGACCGGCTCAGCCTGTTCGAGGTCCAAGTCGCTCCCCATGGCAGAATTCAGACCCATGGCGCCAAAGCCGGGGACAGGGACTTGCTGGCCGCCAAATGGAAGTGAGTTGACCATGGTGTAATTTCGGCAATCTAGAAAAGGGTTAGGATGACGATGCCTCGACGATGCGACGCTTACATTTGAAATGGCGGTACGTCGATTGTGATAGATATCATGTAAAGGGCATGAGTGTGGGAGGGAAATTATTGGAATGTCCAGGAGCGGTCACGCAGGTATAAGGACCACTGTTCGATCCAAATGTTGTAAATCATACGGTAGAAAAGGCCCCTACCTTTCTATAGATGCGCCGTGCTTACGGAAGGAACGCTAATCGCCGATATATCCGGTCACAATGACTTTACTTTGACGCGTGCTATTGAGATTTTAGCACCAGATCCGTACAGATTACGTAGTTTGTACTAGTTGGCCTCTTTAACCTGCGCTAGGCAAGGTGGCCATTCTTCAAAGGATTAAGAGGAGACGTGCTGGACTTATCTCTCTGCCAACCTCGAAGCATCATATCACATGCACAGCAAGCGACGCAACGGATGGTAACTAGCAGATCATGTGGCGGGATTGGGGGAAGGACAGGAGTTAGCGACATTCTCACAGAAGCAGAAGGCCGTCTCCTTTTGCCCATCCCTGAATCACGCACAGAGGTTCAGAGCTTCACGCAAAGAGCATACGAGGACTACAATCATGGCGCCCCGCGACTAGATCACCTCAACATTTTAATCCGGCTTAATTTCCTGAATGCTATTTCACGCAACGCAGCGCTCGTCGGTTTTACAGCTGAGGGGCCTTGTTGATAAGCACTGCCCAGCCTTCCTTGGGCGGACTCGGTCACGGCCTTACCCGGATTGGTTCCACCCTACAGCGTTGCGGAGGCGTATCAAGTTACTTATTCAGAGATCACATTAGGAATTGATCTTTGGAAACCACTGGAAGAAGAAGCAGAAATGAATTGCTTAATGCCAACCTTCCGGTAAGGATTGACTGAGTGACTGATCAGCTCCTAGCCGAGTAGGTACTGCCATGGACATCCTTTCTAAACTTACATGCATGTTGAAACCACATGAGGCGCCGGAGGGCCAGACACCGGGAGGACGGACTCTTTGTAGAGTTCATGACTGACATTGACGGTCCTGTGTAACTCCTTCGGGGTTTTATTCGGCGTTGCCCATGCGTAGTGTCGGAGGTATCTGTTCCCACTTCACTACCCCACAACTTACAGGGATTTCGGAGTACTCCCTACATAGTTAGCTCCCACAGAGACTGCTACGCCTGTCATCCATTTGCATTAGATGCGTTGTCTAACTGTTACTCAATTAGATGTTCTGTTAAGAGAATGTAGTGGATCCAATAAGATCGACCTCGCAAGAAACGCGCTGGGGGGCTCAGGCTAACTTCAAAGAGCAATAGAGCAACTCTAATCGGAACTGAAACCGGTGATAACGTGGAATTCATAATTCGGTCAACCCTGGCAGCCCGCAAACTCCGCTCCGTCACGCTTTAGCTTTGCAGATGGGCCCATGATTCGTAATTTCAACATTCGACGCAACGAATGTAGTCCGCTTCTCCTCGCCAGTAAATTGTTAGAGCCACAGGTTGCTTAGGCCATGCCGCTGCGACGCATGAACGTTTGGTGTCCAGTTCAGGGTTAGAGCAAAAGAAGCTGAGAGAAGGTCCAGAATGATGAACTCGTACTTCGCAACAAGGGAAGTCGAGTGTGGCATCCAGCTCACAATCCCCTCTCTATCCCACTCACGCCGAGACCCACAGGTCGGTTGACGTAAACTCCGCTTGCTGCAATGCTTATGGCGTCTTGTCTATAAAGCACCTTACCACCACATCTGAGGGCTTCTCATCTCTTTTCCAACATAATTCATCCATTTTGGTCCAGCCAATTCAAGTGATATCAAGCGGTTACTGTGGAAACTTCGTTTATAGTCGCCCACGCTTTTGCACTCATCATGGTCAAGATTGCCATTGCGGGAGCTTCTGGACGTATGTTGCCTTTCAAACTTCACAATGTTATTCTCAGTTACTTACTATTCTGGCCGTGATATAGAGCTAGCCCGTGAAATCTTGGATGGGCTTGTCGATGCTGGCAGGCATGAGATAGTCGGTCTAGTTCGGAAGGTACTATTGCCCCTTAAATCCTTGCTGAAACTCAAGTACAACGCAGCTGACATTCCAGACTCCCTCATCATTTCCAACACTCTCGGGGGTTCAATGGGTACAGACAAATTACGAAGATACATCAGAGTTGGTTCGACTTCTCAGCGGCGTTCACACAGTCCTATGCTTCTTCATAGCTCACAAGGATCCAAAAGGAGCCGCCCAAAAGCGTTTGATCAATGCTGCCGTCGACGCAGGAGTCAAACGATACGCTGCTAGCGAGTGGTCCATGTAACGCCCCAAATGAACATAGTACTGCACGGTGACTAATCATGAGCAATAGCGGCACAAAGCTCGAAGAAATTCAGAATATAGTGCCTTGGTACGCCAGCAAACTCGACGTCCGCACATATTTACAAGAACTTAACCGGGGAGAGAAGGTAAGCAATATGTCTTTTTCTGAGTCAAATTAATTTAAATCCGGCACCTATTCATACAGGTATGACAGGTTTTGGAGTACACGTTATTTCATCCCGGACTATTCATGAACTACCTCGGCTATCCTCATTCGACAACCAAGCATGTCGCCCTCTTTCCGGTCAACTTCGACTTCAAGGATATGCACGCTATCGTAGATCAAACGCATTTGGAGAGTAAGGTGACATACACCGCTGTTGAGGACATCGTAGCAGTCGTTGTTCGTGCGGTAGAGTACAAAGGTGAATGGCCCACGGTAGGGGGTATGATAGGAAGTGAAGTTACAGTCGCTCGCCTCTTAGAGCTGGGAGAGAAAATTCGAGGTAAGTGTGTGGTCTTTATGTCGAATAAGTAAATTGATACTCCCTCCTTTTTCCCCCCTAGGTCACCGCACTAATATACACTCCATAGGGAAGTCATGGAATATCGAATGGGTGGAGGAGAACGACCTTCAAGCGGGTGTCCTGAAAACAAACTGGTTGCCAGCTTTGCCTGATACAACCATGTCTGATTTCCCAAAGGACCAGCAGGAGGCGTTCAACAGGGCTGTCGTGATAGGCACACTGATCGCGACCGCCCGAGGAGCATGGGCTGCGACAAATGAATGGAACCAGCTTCTGCCTGACTATGAGTTTACGAGTCTAGAAACATTCCTGCGCAAAGTCTGGTCGCAAAAATAGAGAGAGACATAGGTCGAGGTGTGCTGCAAGGCCCCCGAATGGCAGCCCAGACAAGGCGCTGGGAACGGGAGGGTTATCTATGTTCTCTAGAGTAGAGCCCCTGCCAAGCTGCAATGCTCTGAGACAACTCAACGTAAGCGATGTTTAATCCCTCCAACGTTAAATAGTGTTCATGTTCCCCAAACATCCATTATCACCGTCGTTCGCAGGATTAATAAATATTAATACAACCTTATTACACCGAACCATAAATATCTGCTGTTTGCTACTTTCCACCGTCTTGATCACATGGCTGCGTCTTTCACTTCGCATGCCTTAGCTCTTTAGGAAAACCAGTCTCGGGGGCATGATTTTTTCTTCCTGTACGTTCGAACCAGCTGCGGTTAGTAGTCTTGGATCCCTCCCAGCTCTTGCTACGGATGTGGGATTTCCTGGCTCTCTGGTGATAGTCTCGGCATGGTCCGGGAAATGCCACGGATTTTAATTCCGACAACCCCGCAGTCTAAACCCCAGTAGTTGAAGCCTCATATTTGGCCAAGCTGCCATGGGATAACATTACTGTCACGCCAATACAATAAATTATTCAAGTCTCTTCGAGGATACGAGCTTACTTGTTCTTTAATCCATCCAAGACCTGAAATATAACGTCAATCCTCAGTTCAACATGCCTTGGCAAAAAATTGATCATCATTTCACCCATCCTGAGTTGGATTACAACTCTCACCCCAACTTCCAACCCTGCATCAAAGTGTCCGTCTTTTTCAGAAAGATCGATTCAATCGATTATGATACTTTTTTCGGCCACTGGCAGACCGTGCATGCTGATTTAGCTGTGGCCACGCTTGCATTTCGGAACCACATCGTTCGATATGCACAGGTATGCTATTAGATGATAAGAAACGTTGAACAGATAAACTGAGTCCTTTAGCACCACCAAACGCCCGAGATGAAGGAGCGAGCTAGAAGCCTGGGAGAGGGTGTTTTGGATTACGATGGCTGTGCCCAGCTTTGGGTCAGAACGTGGGACGATTGGCTGGCCTTTTACAACAGCAAAGAATATGCTGCGGCGTTGAGTGATGACTGCGATAGGTTCATGGCGTTACCAATGACATACATGATTGGTTATGAAAACCTCGTGGTAGGGGATGCCTCCAAGCGGATGGGTGGCAAGGATGGTATGGATGTTGAGAAGCTTAAGTAGTTTGCAATTGAGGACAAGAAACTTTTCTAGAACACTAAGAAATAATGAGAATTAAATATCTAGTGACATAAAAGGGCATTTCTGTGCAGGTAGTAGAAGCTATGAGTTATATAAAAGAGTCAAAGAATATCTATACTGATAAAGAATCTAAACATAATCTTGCCGTAGTAAATAAGCATCATACGAAGTGCCTCGGAGGGGAGTAGATTCTAGAAGCCATAATTGACAGAATTGTATGATCTTCTGGATCAGTTATCATCAAGGCCAGGGCTTTAGCCATAATAAACACATCAACACATCATGGCATCATATCCCAACCAACACAGTGGCCTTGACATTGTACAAACGTGCATTATAGAAAACGAGAAGCAATATGACTTTGGTCTCGATATTTATGATCAATCAGCCATTCAAGACTTCCAAAGCACCTCGTCGTGCTAGTGCCTCATATTTTACAACACAGCTCAGGATTCCTCGACATGCAGTGATGTCACTTGCCCCTTCTCTGCCGCAGCACTGCTTTGCATGATCAACCGTTCCGCCAAGATGGTATGCTTGACCTCTTCCCTAGCAAAGAGCACATCAATCTCCTCCAAGGTCTTTCCAGTAGTCTATCTTATGGTTAGTGTTTTCCTTTTCCAGGGCAATGTCTACGCTTACCTCGGGACACATGAAATAAACGAAAAAGATTGCCACAAAGCAAGACAATGCCATCCAAATCCATATCTTCCAACCGACATTCTGAAGTGCGATACCACCAGCAAATACTGTAATGAAAGAAAAGAGCCACTCGCCAAAGGCTCCGGCGGCTGCACCAGCATGTCGAAGCTTGAGGGGCGCAATCTACAAGGGTGTTAGCGAATCGCATGAGGCATCCAACATGACGCGTTACCTCGGGACCGTAAAGCCAACATATACCGATCCAACCGTAGCCGAATACTGTATTATAGACAAAGATGGCGCCAACCGCTGTCCATTGAGTAGCGAGGGTGGGATTGAAAATGCCAATCATTGCAACGAAGATTACCATGCAGATTGTCAAAACAACTGCGGACCACATGAGAATACTACGTCGACCAAATTTCTCGACAGTCCAAACGAGAGGAACCGTTCCAAGTGCAAAGGCAGTATTCATGATTGCAGCCAGGAGCTGAGCCATGAAGGGTGACAGACCGATTTGAGCAAAGATGACTGTGCTGTAGTAGACGGAAAGATTGATACCTTTGAATAGATTAGAACAGAATCCTTCATAGGCCAGGAGACTTACCCATCATCTGCTGGATGGCCAGAATAAGAAAGGAAATTCGAATGCGACGCCCGACTCGAAGATCGCTACGGTCCCAGATAAGATCCAAAAGATTGAACCCCTTGTCGCTCTCAGACTCGAAGGCGATGCTGGTCAGAATAGAGTTCTTCATGTTCTGAACCCTTTCATCGTGGACCTCGGCGTCAAAGATTTGACACAAGGTTTTATCGCCTTCCGCTTCATAGCCCTTTGCGTAGTACCATCGGGGAGTATCAGGAAGCAGAAGCACGATGCTGCCAGCGCAAACAGCAAATAGAACCTGGAGAGCAACCGGGAAGCGCTGCCATATGGTTAGATCTTTGCGAATGGTCACCTTGAGCCACCACTTACCCAAGAGATTTGGTTGTCCATGCGAGTGAAGCCAAAGTCGATCCAATACGCGATGGCAGCACCCGAAACCAAGAAAATGCAGGTGACAGCAACATCAGGCCCGCGTTCTTCGTGTTGGGTGCTCATTTCGGCTTGGTAGGTAGGGATGGAGCAGGAAATGAACTATTCGAATCAGTGATAAGCTCAAGGGACTAATGTTTGTAATAGATACTCACACCAATTCCAATGCCCTGTAAGGGGGTCAGTCTCTAGGATCATGGGAATGCAAGTGTACTCACGCAAAAGATGCGACCAACGATCATGTGAGGAACGGACCATGCTGAGGCCAGGAGACTACCACCAATAACAACAAAGAGATTTCCCAAGAGGATACAGTTGCGACGACCGAGAGGCATGCCAATCACGGTTACTGCAAGCGAGCAAACGGTAGCGGCAAGAGTATAAGCTGATGCGATCATTGGAATGACATAGGTTCCGATTGGATACTGATAGTAATGTCAGGGGCAAGTTCTTCTTTGATCGGCTTGGAATGATGACTTACACCCATGGCATGCAGGAATGGTTCGGTCTCCTGGATGCCACCAAGGACACCCGCATCGTAGCCGTAGAGACAGAAGGACTGTAAGTGATGTTAGAGTATGGTCAACAGGCCGCATAGGGATTTCATACGATAGCGCAGCTCGTGGAGAGCAACCGCTTGATCGTCTTTCCCCGGATCTTGGACTTGAGACGGGCAAACATGTTCAAACGCCGTTAAGGATATATCTTGGAAAGACTTGGATGAATATCTCGATTGAGGGATACCAACGAAGCGGTGTCCTTGAATTGGTTGACCATAGTTGGCATGCTTGCTGTACTTATGGTACTGCTGAAAGACGCACAGATGGTCTCGATCTCGACCCCTATCAAGACCCACATCCCCAGATTCCCTCTCCGCACGTTATCTCTCCCCGCAATTTCCCCAGACCAAACGCATTGCACACACATGAGTTCGGTCACCTGCCACGGCTCTCGGCAGGAGACTAGGCTATTTAGAAATGGGTGTCCTGCACATTGCCGCGGAATCCTTTTCCGTTAGACGCAAGGGCTGTCCATGAGTCAGTTCCTCGCAAGAGAAGCTTGACCCCAACCGGACATGACAAACATGACACATGTACAACCATTGGAAGTACATGTTCTGTTACTTTTACTAATCAAGTTCATGTTCCATCCGCCAGTCTCTTGAGGGGATCCGTCGAGAGCCAAGCTATATAACGTCCGTTGACTCGCTACATACACTGGACTAGCTATTGACACAACGAAATCAAGGTTGAACAAAATGGCAGCAATCACACAATCCGTTCAAGATGAGCCCAACGTGGCGAATGATCTTTCCAACTCTCGGCTTTTTAAACCCATCAAGATTGGCAACATGAGGCTTCACCATCGTATAGCCATGTGTCCTCTGACTCGTTATCGAGCCTCGGATGAGCATGTCCCTACGCCTTCTTTCCAGGATTATTACGGCCAAAGGGCATCTGTTCCCGGCACACTCTTAATTTCAGAAGGCACCTTTATCTCTCCGGCACATGGAGGATTCGCCAATGCACCTGGCATCTACACTGATGAGCAGATCAAGGCGTGGCGACCTGTCACGGATGCTGTTCATGCAAAAGGAGGATTCATATTCTGCCAACTCTGGGCACTCGGCCGAACTGCTGATCCCGACGTCGCAGAGAAGGAGGGGATTACGTTTCGCAGCTCTAGCGACGTTGCCCCGGATTCAGTCCGACCCAAGCCGAAACCATACACCATCCCCGAGATTCATGAGTGTATTCAGACTTATGCGCAGGCCGCTAAAAATGCCATTGAGTCTGGCTTCGACGGCGTCGAACTCCATGGAGCAAACGGATATCTTATCGACCAGTTTATCCAGGACAAATGCAACAAAAGAACCGACATCTATGGCGGTAGCATTGAGAAACGTTCCCGGTTCGCCGTCGAGGTGGTTGAAGCAGTCTGTGATGCCATTGGCCCCGAGAGAACAGGCATAAGGTTCAGTCCTTGGAGCGTTTACAACGACATGCGGATGGAGGACCCGATCCCACAGTTCTCAGATCTGATTGAGAGGCTGAAGCCGTTCAATCTTGCATATCTTCACTTGATAGAATCCAGGATTGCTGGTGCACAAGATGTCGAGTCTTGCAGCACCGACAAGTTGACCTTTGCCATTGACATCTGGGATGGACCGCTGTTGATCGCTGGCGGGTATACCCCTGAGAGTGCACGAAGGCTTGTGGACCATGATCATCCCACCAAGGATATCGTGGTTCCGTTTGGGAGATATTTCCTCTCTACGCCAGATCTTCCATTCCGGATCCAGAGAGGACTGGAGCTCAACAAGTACGATCGCGCAACTTTCTACACGCCAAAGGCAATTAAAGGCTACACCGATTATCCTTTCAGCAAGCAGTTCTTGGAATTCATCAAGGGTAGTTAGAACGATTGAGGTAGTAGAAAGAGATGCACTTTTAAATACCGCTAGTCCCAAAAGTTGCTGACAACTGATGTCATGTAATGTATTGCCTTTTGACTTGAAATTCCATCAATCAAGAGCTTTGCAAGAGTTCGGCCGGCCAGCGAGACTTTGAATGATCTACAACCAAGACACAGGGGTTAGTCCACTCCACGACGCGTCCCCGTACCATAGAGATCTAAATCCATTAGCACTTGACGTATAAGGCTCAATTTCACCTTGTGGTATGAGTTTGACACTGTTGCAACCTGTGACGGTACAGTGATGCGCAAGACAAGTCGTCAGATTAGTCAAGTAAAGCCAAGTGTTAGCAGGCTACGTTGCCAACAAAGACCCTCTAACCCTGAGTTTGGTATATTATTGATGTGTGATGGGTTGGCATGGCTTGACTGCACCGAGGACCTCGGGACTTCTCCTTGACGCCGCGGACGCTAAACCCGACATTTCATGCTCACGGAATTAAATCCCGCCGGAAATTGATGGCGAAACACAATCTTGGACCCCAGATTTCCCCACATCCTGATAGCCAAAGGTGTAGTCTATCAGTTGTACTTAAACTGTATCGGCTTTGAACAAGCTGTCATGCAACGCAACATTAGCAACGTCGCCCAAACCAGTTGCCAACACTCACCTTCTTCCCATTTCTGTTGCTATTCAACCTTGAAGTATCTCACAATGCCTACAGAGAAAGTCATCATCATCACTGGTGGCGCTTCAGGAATGGGTTTGGCTGTTGCCAGATCGCTAGCCACAGCCGGTTGGAGAGTTTATATTCTAGATCTCAACGAAACTGCCGGTGCAGCTGCCGTCCATGAGAACCCAGAACTCCGGTTCACTCAAACTGACGTCAACTCTTTCCAATCTCTATCTTCTGCCTTTGACAATATCTTCAAAGCTGAAGGTCGACTTGATGTGGTGTTTGCCAATGCTGGCATTCTTCAGAACGACAACTTTTACGAGAAAGCAAGCTTCCTGCCCCCGCCAGAACCACGCCAACTGAGCATTGACATCAACCTGAAAGCCGTCATCAACACTTCGTATCTTGCACGACAGTATTTCCTAGCCTCCGGAAACCTTTGCCAAGATCCCGTTCTGATAATGACAGCCAGCATTGCAAGCTTTGTACGTACCCACTGACATCAATCGTTGGTCACGGAACTGATGAAGCATAGTATGCTCAAGAGTTTAATCCTCTATACACAGCCTCCAAAGCTGGTGTACTTGGATTCATGCGATCGGTGGCTTATCCATTTTTCAAGGACGGCATTCGAACATATGCCATTTGCCCTGGGACTATCCGCACAAACCTACTGACGAGCGAGATGTGGAGGGCGTTCCCGGCTGAGCAGTTGACCCCAGTTGAGACCGTGGTTTCCACCGTTCAATATCTTATCGATGGCGGAACTATCACTGATTCCAAAGGCAGAAAAGTAGCCGAGGATGAAAATTATGGGTTAGCGGTCGAGATCTTTGGCGAGAGTATCTTTATCAGGGACCAGATGGAATATAGTCATGATGGAATAAGGCTGTTATGTGAGGCTGCAAGTTTAAACAATCAGCAAGCTAGTCTAGTAAGTAGTAATTGAGGTTTTTTTACTGTGACATAAATATATTGTAACCGTTATAAGATACAGTTATAAATGTCTCATGCCGGAATACCAAGTAGACTGGTCCTTCAGGCTAGGCGGTGAAGGACATCTTGCCCTTGGACCCAACGCTCCACGTTCTCTGCAGTTTCAGCGTACCAAGTATTCATCAGACCTTCATCAACATATCCCATGTGTGGCGTTGTAAGAAGAGCAGAACGTCCATCTCGACCCCAATAGTTAGCTCGTCTCCATGGGCTAGTCAGTGGCAGTGGCTCGATATCGAAAACGTCCAACGCAGCTCCTCGAATCCTGCCTTGCTCCAACGTATTCAATAGGGCTTCTTGGTCAATTAACGGCCCGCGTGATGCGTTGACAAGCAGTGCTGACGGTTTCATGTTATCAAGTTCCTTCGGGCCGACGATGTTGCGTGAACGGTCGCTCAGCACGTAGTGCATGCTCACGACATCGGCACTGCGGAAGAGGTCTTCCTTGCTCACTGCCTGAAATGTTTTACTGCCTTCGATTCCACCGTCAGTTGGCAAACCGACGGCAACGGCCATCTGGTCAGCTTTTTGCTGCGTGAGATTCTCGCTCCAGCATACGACGCGCATGCCCCAAGCAAGGTGGGCAACACGGGCCACGGCTGCGCCGAGACGGCCCAGCCCGACGACGCCTAGGGTCAAACCAGGGAGGCCAGTCGCGAGTCCGCTCTGCCAGCCAGTACCTGCCTTGATCGCGGCATCATCGGCGGCAACGTTTCGTGCCAAGGCTAAAATCAGGGCCCAGGTGTGTTGTGTTGTGGGATGGACTCTGCCCTTCTTGATATTGGGCCGCGAGGGTCCGGTCTGATCGGTTCGGCCAAGACCAGGAGCAGCGACGACAATAATCCCCAGTCCCTTAGCCGCTGCGAGATCAAACATCTCAAACTGCGTTCCAGTGGCTAACAAAAGTTTCAGGTTGGGGAGCTGGTGGAGTAGAGAGCCTGGGAAAGCGGTTCGTTCGCGGACTGCGGAGATGAGGTCGAAAGGGCGGAGCCTCTCAACTAGGCGCGCTTCCTCGGCATCATTGAAAGGGACAATAGTATCATTGAAGGTGGTGATGCGTAGCTGTGAAGATGGTATGCTGGCGAAGTGTGGTGCTGATGTGTTCAGGTAGTCATCAAGGATGGCAAGCGATGGGATTTGCTGTGAAGCGCCAGCTATGCCTCGTCTCCCGAGTAACGGCTTCAACAAACGTGACATCCTAGGCGCCATGATAGTGACTAGGGAGATGGCTTGCGATGAAAGCTGCGGTTGTCGTTTGAGTTGTTTAAGGACACGATTTAGCTGCGGGGTAGACTATTCTTCCCCGGGATATGGACAAAGGCAGGGATGAGCCAACCTTACAAAGAGCTGTTTCGGAAGTCTGACAGCAATCGGCCCCTGATAATGTCTACCAATCACAGAAGCCCTTCTCGGTCAACTTCACCCGATTCCAACAAGGATTCTCAGAGAGCTCCCGTGTCTTGAACACAGCCTGCGACGACACCCTCTATGCCATCTATATCACTGCCCCTTCTAGACTATCATAGTGCTTATGCATCAAAAGAATGAGGCAGACATGTCCCAAGAGCAGACGAAGTACAGCACTAGCTGGTAAGAAAAGTCCCCTTCTGCGTACGACAACGTTAATTTAGCTCCTCTTTGGTCTTCCAAAATGTTCTCCAAGATCCTCGGCGCACTATTGGGGGCAAGGCCGTGGCGCATGCCGGATAGGTACAGTTAGTGGGAGAAGCTTGCACAGTTAGCCCGGCCTGCATACTCGGCTCCTTTTCGCTCCGATCTACTTGTGTAATCCAGTTCTAGGTCTTCTACCCAATATCTTTGTTATGGAATTTTTCAGCACTGGATTTTAATACTGATGTGAGTGAGAATTTTCAAGTGAAGGTTTTATTATTCGTTATTTCTGGTCAAAGGCCTCCTTTGGAGACGCCGTTATACTGAAGAAAAATCCTCCCCCAAATGTTCTTAGACTCTCATTATCCCAAATCTCGTCTCGAGGTCCAGGGTAAAGGCTGAATAGCAAGGACGCCTATCGTAAAGATCGTACCTAAAGCAAGGGACCTCTCGGTCCCTAACGCCGCTAACTAAAGATCTTGGCCTCAGCTTCCCTTGGGTCATACGATTTCAAAAGTACTGTTCGGAATGGCCGTCGATGGCTAGGCTCGAAGCAAAGACCGCTCATCGAGTCTCAAACTCTTAGCTCGCGGCAGAATTAGGTTCCCCAGGATAAAGCGTTACGCGTCAACTCATGATAATAACAGTAAATGAGCAAGCCTAATTTCCATAACCCCGTGGCACGACGACTAGGCCGATTTCAGGTTATGCATATAGAAATAGAACCAGCAAAGCTGTGAAAGTTCACGCCGCGTCGGTTCCGCGTTGTTTCTGGGGTCGAATACGAGACCAGAAAGACCGAAGTCAGCAGTTAGCCTGCAGGGACCATACGGCGGTGCATGCACAAGATAGCACGGAGCTACATAGTTATGGACTAGCTTGACTGGTAAACTCTAAGCTGTTAGAGAGCCATGAAGCTGGGTCGGTTCTTTCCGGTGGTTTTACAGGGATGAATAAGAGGAATGTCATTGACCTTGCAAGGGCAAAATCTGACGACCGTGATAACCTTCAAAGTTAGTTTATTGTCTCGGCAGATGGAGATGGTCATGTTCTTCTGCCGGCATCTGCACATCGGCAGATTGCTTTGCTGTGTCTTGTATTTTCGGCAACTGGTACCAGGGACATATCAAAGTAAACCAAGTCTCATGCACTGCTTGAAACATCTATAAAGCTGCCATGGTCACCTCGTCCTGTACATCTTTCAACAACAACACCTTCTCAACTTCTCTTCTATTACCTACTCAAAACTCCTTTCACAAGCTATCTGTCCAGCACTCCGTCATCCTTCAGCCATCATGAAGTTCACCACTGCTATTCCTATCCTCGCCGCCTTTCCGGCTATCCACGCCTTCAACGTTCACGTTAGGAGCAGCGATGACCTGATTGATGTCGGAGACCTCGATCTCTTCTCTCATACCTGGCAGGCTATCTACGCAGCCGCCGGAAACAAAGAGGCTGTCACCATTGGCCCCCCTGCCATCGCAACTCAGAACAAGCCTTGCCACTTCAACGGCCACACCGACCACTCTGTTACCCTCACCATCGAGGGACATTGGGATGATGTCGGCGGCAGCAAGCATGAATACCGCGACGCCTTGGTTGAGGCAGCTTGGGAGTCACTTCGACGACTTGCCGATCAAAACTCGTACAACATCTGGAAGGACTGCTGCGCCGAGACCATCTCAACCAACTGCCCAGCTGTCGGTCCCAATGGATGCGGCGCAACCAACTCTTGCCATTGCCCTGACGGACCAAACTCCCGATGCCGCACCCTCACCAAGGGCCACAAGGTTCCATCCCTCATGAACGTCTCCATCACCAAGAACGGTGCCATCACGGCCAACTCTCTGAGAATTGCTTTCCGATCTGATACCAAGGAGCAGCAGGGTGCCTGCGGTGCCATTGAGATTGTCGCCAAGGCTGTCTCCTCGTTCCTTTTCCCCCCTGCGGTTGCGACCCTCGTTGGAACCGGTATCGATCTTCAGTGCGCCTAGATCAATGCCACAGTCACCTGTGTCTAAACACACCCCGCAACCCGAGCGAACATTCCATTCTACAAACTTTTTACACTATTATTTCCCGCATCTTCACTTCTATCAAGCCTGTTCTCAGATGCTGAGGAACTGTATTAGCACGCTAGTTAAACAAGACAGAGACTATAGAGATATTCATTTACATATTGCACGCTTTCATATGCTTCGTAACTAGCCGTACCAGAATGAGTCCCATGCCTCCTTGCACAGATCATCTCGAATCTGCCGCAACAACTCTTGAAACTCAACTGGCTCCTCTCCCTCAATCATTACTTTGCCATCCTTGACACCCTTCCATCCTTCAATGGGCACCTTGATGTACTCATGGTCCTGTCCACAAAAGTGACGACATTTCAGGGGTTCCCCCTTGTTTGCAGCCTGTCTCTTCTCATAGCATTCCTCACAGAGAAATCCTTCAAAACAGATCAAGCACTGATATGCAGACCTATCTCCCCACCAGTAAAAGTGCTTGTTGGGGATACACGGTCCGTCACAAATTTGGACACCAAAATCTCCAAGGAGATCTCCTTCGTTAGTAGGCAGCTCCAGTTCCTCTTCATCCGAGTCTTCCGCAGGCTCTCCATTGCCATCAGATTCAGACTCACTCTCGGATTCATCTCCAGATTCACTCTCACTTTCGTCCTCTGCGTCAGGGGTCAGACTACTGAATCTAGCCGAGACAAGAATTCGGGCCATTCTGATGAGTTTGTCCCCATTCTTGACAGCTCCAGCCATGATGGACAAGGCTGTAGCAAGAAAGATTAGGTTAGCCGAATCATTCCATCCCACTTTGTCGCTCAGAGCATCGATGCAGGTGTCGATAACCCCCTGAAGGCTCTTGTGAGCCTCCCTAGCAGGTCCCATCTTGAGATACATCCGTGCCATTGTAACATTACGCAGGAACAAATAGGTGTCAGAGTTGGGAGGGACATCTAGAGGAAGGGGCCTCGTCAGGAGGCCTTCAAGAGACTCGAGGAGATCCCTCTTGACCTCTGGATCGCGAGACTGTCGGAACAGACGGTAGATCATCTCTGACTGATGACCGATAGCTTGCTCAAGAGTGTACTCTGGGAGTTCATCTGTTACGGCATATGGCCAGCCTGTAGATCCACTGTCGAGGACTTCGTCCAGCACCTTTCTAGCCGTTGCAGGATCATCATGAACTTCTAGATGAGCGATTGCGAGGTCACAGCGTAGAGGTGCCGCTGCATTGACGTTGTCAAGGTACTTGATCGACTCCTCATACATTTGAATGAGGAAATCCGTTTCGCCAGCCTTGATGGCAGCATCTCGAATAACGCGGTGTCGATCAGGGCCCTCGGTTTCGTGTTGCCAGGCCATCCATGTCAATCTCTCCAAGGGGCTCCATTTCTTGAGAATATCCATGAAGCCTTTCCTTTCTTCGTTGTTGGAAAAGATGGCAATTTCTTCATCGAGGACGTCTCCAATGGTCAAGCCGTTAGGATCAACCAACTTGGCTTGAGTATAAGTCTCAGCAGCGGCCTCAAACTTTTCCAGCTTGACTTCAATTCTTGCCTTGGTGACGTTGGACGATCGTTGGACCCAAGGAGGCATCGAGGGATCAAGATTTTCGATGCAGAGCTTGGCATACTCGTAGGCTTTTTCGGGGTTTCCTTTAATGAGGATACGTCCCATGGCTGCATAAGAGTTGACCTTTTCCAAGGGATCCTCTGCTTTCTCGATAGCCTTGAGACAAGTCTCTTCAGCTGGTCCGTAGTGCTTGAAGTTGAGAAGTAGTGTAGAAACAGCACGATAGCCGGATGCTCCCATCTCAATGTCTTCAAAAAGGTCCTCCAAGGCTAGGGAAGCCTGTGCTGGAGACAGAGGCTTTGAGGTATCTCCAACCTCATCTCCAAAGTTCTTGTTGGCTTGTTCCACAAGTCGATCGTTCATGTTGCTCTGTTACGGTTAGTTCTGGACGTCAACTGAGGCATAAACTTACAAGCTGCAGTGCATCTCTCACTCTGTTGAACCTTTTAACTGCCTCCTTAGTGTTGATCGCATTGTATAACCCCTTGAGGTGAGCTTTGGCAAGAGGAACCAGACAGTTTCGAGGATTCTCTGCCAAATCTGCCCACCACTCGGTAACCTCTTGACTGAGGGTAACCTTGAGCTTTGCCCATTGAGAAACCTTGCCAAAGACATCATCTGGGAAGATCTCCTTGTATCCAGCCTCTTGCTGTTCCAACAAGGTGGAGTACGAGTACTTGTTCAGAAGGGCTAGGGCAAAAGCCTCCATGACTTCGACCTGCTCTTCATCCGAGTGCTCTTCGAGCTTGATATTCCTCCAGTGGCTAATGAGATACCGGGTCGCATACTGTCTGAGTGACGGAATAACAGTGCTATCCTTACGAGCCATCTTAGCACAGTCAAGAAACAGTTGTCTATGCGCCTCAGACGGCTTCCATCGTTGCGTTTCTTCCTTTCGTGGTGCCTCACGGAAGAAGGATCTCATTGAACGCTCGTGAAACTTGACAGGGAGGGTACCGTCGTCGTAGATGGCATCAGGGGTAGCATCCTGAGTCTTTTCAAGTTGGTTCACAGCAGTGCCCCATCCTCCTTGAGATTGAATCTTTGCTCGAGCCTCTGCATCAGCTCCAGGGTCTCCCACTCGGATAAACTTGGTCAGGGGTCGAGGGATCTCTTCAATGTCGGATTCGCCCCCTTCAGCCCAGGTGCTCAGCAGAGACACAACCTCATTGAGAGACAATGGACGGAAAGCATAGGCAACCCAGTGAAGAAGCCGGTTGACCAGAAACTCATGGTTTGATGCAAGATGGCGGTAGCACTTTGTAAGAAGAGCTTCGTAAAGATCATGAAGATCCCCTGGAAGTGGTTTATCGAGGCTTCGAAGAACAGCACCTTCGCGGCCGAGATCATTCAACTGGAGCAACATGTGCTCAGCGTAAAGCATGTCTAAACTGTTAGCAAAGTCATGTAAGGGGGGATAACTTACTTGGTGCAAACTCTTGAACCTTGTCAGCAATTCTCTGCTTCACGTAACGGCCAAAGTTGCGCAGAGCACTCAGAGAGTCGAGACGGTTCCAAACCAGTTCCTTGAGATCATCCAGCTGCTTCTCCTTGTTGACCTCGATGTTGAGAACAGAAGCCACCTCGGATAGCTTGGGTAGGACAGTGGGCCTCGAGGTAGTGACAATAGAGATCCTCAGCTCTTGCTCCTTAATAATCTCCAGAAACTCAATGAGCGTGTCCATATCCTCGAGCTCATCGATGCCGTCAAGCATGAGGTACAAGTGATTCTTGGAACCTTTCTTGAAAGCCGGAGCCAAAAGCTTCCGCATCAGATCATCCCAGTCCCAAACATCAATCGCAACCTCATCTTTGAGCCACTCTGTGTTGATGAGCTCACAGATCGGTGCATTCTGCTCGACAACCTGGTTTATGACGGTGATCAGAGCATAAATGAAGTATGAAAGGCTCTCGCTCTGCTCTCGAAAGTAAAAGTGAGCCGCACAAGTATGCTTTGAATCCTTTTGGGCCTCCTCGAGGAACTTTTCGTACACGGTGGCTCCGATATGACTCTTTCCCGTGCCAGGTTCGCCAGTAATTGCCAGAAGAGAGCGTGATTCCTTGGCCATCCATTCTTCCCACTGTGCCTCGTTAAAGACCCAGTTACAAGTATCCTTGACGATGGTGTCCTTCAGGATGTGATACTCGTGATCGTCACCCTCAACTTCAGGCAAAACGTTGCGGATACGCTTAGCGGATGGTGGCTTGCTTTGGTCAACAGCCGCCGTTCTTCCCCGCTCACCGCCCTTTTCCTTCTTCTGTTCATTGAACGCTTTGAGAAGCTTGGCCATGTCATTGCGGATGTTTTCGGTAGTGTCTCGGATGGATCCCATGACCTCCATTTGCTGTTGGAGCATGGCGGTGTGCGAATCTTGGTTGGTCTTGAGCTCCTGGGACATCCGCTGAAGCTCTTCGGTATTCCCCAGGATTGCAAACTCGGTGGCGTTTTGGAGGCGTGCAAGTTTCTTGTCCATCGATTTTCGAGCGCCTCCAAGTTCGCCATCCTCGCCATTGAGGAGATTAGAGATCCATTTCTCTGCAATGGTCAGCTCTGTTCACTGGGATGTCTTGAGACTCACTGAATCGACCCAGCTCAATGTACTTGTGCGCATAACCACACATCTTGAGAAAAGACGTAAAAACATCCATCAGACAGTTCTGGTACGCCTTGTACTGGGGTAGTCTGGTCTCAAGAATGACAATCCGCTGAAGGAAGCTGTTCATGTCCTCAAAGAACACAACAACAACATCGTAATCTGCAGAAACTTGACGACATGCCTAAAAGGTCAGCTCATTCTTCATCAGACCACAGTACTTACCCCCAACATGTAGGTAATGGCTGTGCCGATAGCAGCAGCCGGAGGAAAGGCTGGAACAGCAGCTGCAATAAGTTGCTGAGCCCCCTTCTCAATGTAGTCAACATTCGTCGCAAACAGCGTCCTCAACTTGTCCACTTTCTTCTCATTGTGTCGAAACTTGTGAAAATTATTCATCTCATGGGTCCCCTGTTTAATCATGGCATCCACACTGTCAAACTTCTTTTCAAGGTCGAAACCCACAATACCCTTGTATGCCTTGAGAGCATCTTTCCACAAGTCGGCGACATCTCGATTGTCGTCCTTGAGGTCGTCTGGGAGGTTGGGTTTCTCTGGAGCCATCGTGTCTGACCAACATCACATTGAACACTGGAGCAGAGCAGGCAGTTATAAGCATCCATGGATGTGGTCACAGCGGGGTCAGCCCTGTTGATCAAGGATTCGTTGCACTATCAGCACTAACCTCTATCCAACCACCACGATTGGTGGACTGTGATGACCAGGGTGAAGCTGAACAGCCTCTTCACTGACCTGCAGGCCACTACTACGCAGTAAGGCTAGGTCAGTAAGGCTGGGTCACTTGATGATGACTTGTTCGAATCTTACCACCAACAAGAGAATAGCCGGCATTCGACAAGGTCAAGCGACGCAGCCCTACAGGGACACGTCCGCATCCGCGTATCCATACACGTATGTGGGGTGAGGCCACGCGTCATCTAATTGGATGACCTATTCCTGGTCTGGACCGCCGATCTTTACGATCGCGTGTTACTAAGCAGGATGCATTTATCTCATCTCCACTCCATTCCTCAGAAAGTGAATCCACAAAGTGATGTCCACCAAGTGATCAAGACCGTGATTAATCATGCCGAGGTTGGGATACAAAAAGTCCCGCAAGGGATGCCTAAGATGCAAGCAGAGACGCGTCAAGGTATGTTATTCGTCCTCCTCACTGCAGCTGCTAATTGTTAGTGTGACGAAAAACAACCATGCTCCGCTTGCTCAAGGCACGGCGTTGCCTGCATCTTTCCGGAACATCCGGATGCAGCAAGATCGTCTTCTAGATCTCGAGATTCTGACAAGGTTCGTGGTTCACTTGAAAAAGAGTCAATCTAACTAGAGCAGAATGGCAGCCAGACAGACCTACGCAGAGATTGGGTTTCTCCATCCATGAGCCCTGACCCCTATCCTTACTTTGCAAAGTTTGTCACGGGTCAGGAGCCAGTTGAAAAGAGTACATGGCTCACTGATCTTGAGTTGATGCACCACTACACGTTTTCGACTTATTTGACACTCCCGAGGGCGAATGAACTGCAACAAGTGTGGCAGGTCGAGGTACCAAAGTTGGCTCTCGCTCATGCCTTTCTCCTCCATCAGGTTCTGTCAGTCTCGGCACATCATCTTGCTTATCTTCATCCTGATCGACCTACTCTCTCGATATGCGCCTCTCAGCATCAGAACAAGGCCGTGGTAGGCCTCCGAACGGCTGTTCCGACCATCACCGAAGAGAATTGCCCGGAAATATTTGTTGCTTCCTCGTTGCTGTATATCTGCGCCTTTGCAAGCTTCAGTACACCGAGTCGAGACGAGCAGCCACGAATCGATGATCTTGTCGACGTTTTTCTCCTAATTCGAGGCATGAGCGATATTCTCAACTCTTACAACGACGCTTTGACGGCCAGCAAGCTTGGAATGCTCTTTATGAGAGGCGACGCGAGTGAACCATCACCAATTCTATCAGCAATGGTTGAGAAACTCCGCCAACTCGAGATACCCAACGCGTTTGATCCGGAAACCACCAATCTATGCCGAGAATCAATCCTTTCATCGATCAATTGGATTGAAAATTGCGTCGCAACAACCCGAATGCCAGATCTTCGAGTCGCCATGAGTTGGTCCTTGTCTTTGGAACCAGAATTCATGGACCTTGTACGACGACATCATCCGATTGCTCTTTGCGTCATTGGGCATTACTGCGTCATTTTACACCACACTGGGCTGGATCACTGGTTTTTGAGGGGTTGGGGGAAGCCGATTCTCTCCGATATCATGGAAAAGATTGATCCGGAGTGGAAATGTCTGCTTGAATGGCCATTGGTGGCGATTGGAGCTAATGAGGCAAATGGCATGAGGGTCTAGGGATAGATAGAGGTTCAGACCAATGCAATCATCATTGAAGTAATTTAACGTCATATACCATAAACTAATAAAAGAACGCTACTTTAAAGAAAGTTGTATGACCACTCAGTTGTATGACCACTCTAGTTTATCCATTCCAAGTCTAACCTGTACTTTATTCACCAGCCTTGTTCTACTTCCGATTCACACGAATGGTGGTCATGGACTCCTCGTCTTGAGTTTTTTCCAGCTTGGTTCCACGAGGCACTCCGTTCTCCTTGAAATATCGCCAGTCCAAGAAGCAAACCACAGTGGCATATTTGGCCATAATACTGATTGGTTAGCTTTGTCAAATGGAGAAGAGTAAAACATACCTCAGACAGATTCCCAGCACACACACAACCCAACCGATAGCGCAGCTTGTACCAATGCAAATTCTTTGGTTACCCTGGATCATCATGAATGCAACTGCTGCCCAGAAAACAATTTCCATGGCATTGAGAATCCAGTAAGCCTTGAGGCTTCCCCATCGTTTGAGACGATCAACATGCTCGGTTAGGAGCTGATACCCGATGATGACGATGGATTTGGCGCCCTGAATTTGTTAGAAATGATGATAAAAGTGGAGAGCACATACCATTCCCAGGCCCATGGTTGTTGAGCGACCGCGTGGAGTATTTTTCATGAGAAGCCGGGCTCCAGACAGGGCAACGACAGTAATGGCCAGTACAAGCTGGGCAAGATGAATTGGCAGCTTGGACTTGGTAGGGAAGAAAGGTTCCATCTTCTTGAGTGTGGAGGCCATTGTAGATCAGATGAGATGCAAAAGATGAGATGTGATGTGAGGATGATTGTTGATGAGGATAATGTTCAAACCCAGGGAAATGCTCAGTTTTTAAATCTCATACTCGGTCAAATACCAACTGACGCATCTGAGTCGAGATCCAAGATACGCTTAATCTTGAAGCAGTGCATCCCAGGCTAACGACTCAGCCCAAGCTAACAGCCCTGCAAAGCTTATTACGTGGACCACTCAGCCCTATAATTGGCCAAGATCAATCGGTCCCGCTCTCGGTCTCGGTCTCGCTCCCGGTCTCTCCTAACTGACTCTTGTTCGGCATTTGGCCTGTTGACAGCCTGTTTCCTCGTAATCTACGCGTGGCCGTGACGTTGATCTGCCCCTGATACTAGCCTTTCAGGGCGATCAGCGTATCGGATGTGCCGGTATGTTTAGTACGTCTCGGACTATTCCGATGTCCATGGATTTATAATGCCGTGCCCTTATCTCATTTCCTATACGACCGGTCTGGGTCCGCAGATCAGGTCTTAAAAATGGCTGTCCCCCATCTTAGACTGTTTTTCATCTGCAACCTGCAAAATGGATCCTGAAAGAACCCTAAGGTACTTCCGTCTTTCCGATTATGGCGCCCGCTGACTTGGTAGTCCCCAACCTCCGCCCACCTATTCCGAGGCGACCATGTCTGCCCTCACCTCGGATGGGTTTGCTGTCTCTCCAATGTCGGAACGATACAATCCCTTAGCCCAGGTGACGGTTTCACCACTGGGAACGCCGATACCTCCATCTGCAGATACCTTTACAGCGAAGCCTGGGATCGAACACGAGCGCCAACCAGTTGAAAACGAACGCCAACTGATCCAACACGAGAGCCGGATCAACGACGACTGTCTTCCAGAGGTTGTTTCAAACGCCATTGTCAGAGTCGAGCCTCCAGTCTTGGAAACACCAGACAATCGTATCGAATATGTGTCCAGTCTGGAGGTCATGTCAATCACGCCTCGATCAGTTACACCCCGAACAGTTACACCTTTACACATGCTTGGAGATCAACCCGAATCGATCGATTGTCCGTTCTGCCATCGTCGTACCGAGACTCGTGTCAGGAAGAAACCGTCAAACGCCACACAGTGAGTTTTCTGGCAGCTTTTAGAGCGAAGCTGACTTCTCAGTCTACAAGCGGTTCTCCTTTTATTTACTACGGTCTGTGGAGTGGCTGCTCCTTATGTGGCCGGGTGGTCGTTTGATATTGAGCAGATTTGTCAGAATTGCAGCAACAGAGTGGCATACAAGGCCCAAGGGAAGGAATTACACCTTTGCAAAGCCCCTGAGTCATGGAAAGAGCCGTCAAAGTTTCCCGACGCTGAGTGAGTTTTGGACGGTCAACTGCGGTGTTTTACGGTGTTGGTTGGCGGAGTTGTACACAAGTTTGTTAATCGAATATTTGAGGCCTGGTATGCCCAATAATGTCCGGAAAGGGTTAGACATGGATAAAAGCAAAAATTAAGAATTTATCACACGTTGTCTGAAGCTCATCTCGTTCCTTCCTCCTCAAGCTGAGCAGATTCAAGCTTAAATCACGGACCAATGGGAAATTCTAGGATTTCCGCATTTGGCGAGAAGGGGAGCTTCATATGATCAGGCTTAGGGTACGTAGTGAGGTAGATGAGGTTATTCAGACTTCAAACGGGGTACGTATCTAAACGGTCGTGGATGAAATAGGCAATGGTTATTTCCGCTTTTCTACAGAATTACTGCTAGGCCTTGTTTGTAAATCGATGCCAAGTTGCTACAGCCTAGGTACTACGATATTAAACAGCTCGAAATAATGGCCTGTGAGATTAAACCGATGTGCTCGAGATGAGTGAAACAGAAACAAAGTTCCGTCTTGCGGCATTAACCACCACTCACCCTATACCCCAATTTAAGTAATTTAGCAAAAAAAGATTTTGTCAGATCATGATATTTACGCGTATTCGTTGGGCCCCTAGTCTCAAAACGCGTAAACGACGTGGCTCGGTTGTAATACGCGTCTGAAACAACAATAAATTTAACGACACGAATGTTCCTGCATACGGAAGCCGGCAGCTGATCGTCTCCAAACCTACGCATTGACAGATCCCCTGAAGCTAGCTTGTTCGAGAGTAGTCCTTGCATTCTTCGGCGAAATATCGTCACCAAGTAATCATTGATTAAAACCGTTGAGGCGCAGTCTGGGTTGCAGCTGCATCACAGCACCGTTGTGGCCCGTGGTCAGGCGGTGCCAGAAAAGCTTGATACGCCACGTGTAGATATCTTGGGCTTTGACCCGGCGACCGGCACTTATCGATATGATCGCCCTCACATAAGCCTTGGGGTCACAGCGTTGCTACCGGCAAGGTAGTAGTGAATTTCGACTGCGGTGAAGCTGCAAATTGGAATGTCTCAATAATTTCATGAGGCCGCGCTTGAGTTCAAAGACAACAATGCGCTGTTTCATAAGATCCCGCTGCATGCCATTTGCTTTGGGTATTCTTGGCTTCAATGGCGTTCCTTTTGGTTCTTGGCATCTTTGTTGCTGTTGCATCGGCACTCTCAGTGTCGAGACAGATTCAGTTAGGGGATCATGAATACTTTGTCCCTCCTACAGCGTCCTGGAAACTTGAATCATGGGACTACAAGAATGGAACGGAGGAGTTTGTTCCCCTGACTGTTGTTCATTTGAACGACACGGTCAATGCAGCCAGCGTTGCCTCGGTGTTGGTCGAATATGAGAAAGACGACGTGTGGACAGCATCTTTTGCCGAGGGTAAGCTTCAACGCCATCTATCCATTTATACTAACAGCCAAAGTCATCTGCGTTAAATGCACAGAAACGACAAACGATTGGGTCAAGGATCTGCCCCCTGACTATAATACGTCGGCAGTATTTTACTCAGAGGCTCCTCCTGGACCGTACTTTATTCACGCGACTACTGGAAACGTGTATCAGGCGTATCGACTTTATGCAGATACAAACCAGGCTTTCATTCAGGTATTTAAACCCATCAAGTGTCTTCCTCGCTAACAGATTAGGCTTCCTATCAAGACCCATCAGGAACCCATCATCCTCTCCGCGCTGCTAGCTTCTCAGCTGGAGGGCTTACCATTGCCGTCCCTTCTCGACTGTACTATACCCTGACACCCGAGAAACCCCTTGCCGGAGTGAGAATATCTGTCAAAGATCTCTACGATCTCAAGGGCCTCAAAACAAGCGGTGGCAACCGAGCACTATACGAAATCAGCGATGTCAAAAATGAGACAGCCTTTGCGGTTCAAAGACTTATCGACGCTGGCGCAGTTGTCATTGGTAAAAACAAGATGTCCGAGTTTGCATTTGCAGGCATGTATGTGACCGAACACATCGACTACCTTTTACCGTTCAATCCCCGTGGCGATGGGTACAACTCGCCGAGTGACAGCTCTGGAGGTTCAGCTGCAGCTATAGCTTCTTATGATTGGCTTGATGCTACCATGGGGAGCGATACAGGTGGAAGTATCAGAGGACCAGCTGCGGTCAATGGTGTTCACGGGAATCGACCAACCTACGGGGCTGTGGACCTTACTGGAGCGCTTCCTCTGTCAACAGCAATGGATACCTCTGGAATCCTTGCTCGAGATCCTCTTCTATGGTCCAAGATCAACCGAGTTCTCTACTCCGAAACAAAAGGATACCGCAAGTACCCAAAGACGATATATCTTGATCCAGAAAGCAAGGCGACGATATCCAACTTGCAAGATTACTTTGTGGAGGTTTCAGAGGCTGCCCAAAACTTCCTCGACGCCTTGACAAAGCTCTTGTCAGCTGAAGTCAAAACTTTCTCCCTCGACAAAGCATGGGACAAGTCAGGGCCTGACCCGGATGACTCCCTTTCAGACATTACAGGATTCGTCTACCGAAACCTGACTCGATACGAGCAATGGAACAAGTTTGGAAAGGACTACGTGAAGAAATACAAGGCTTCTCACAATGGAGAATTTCCTCACATGGTTCCTCACATTCGCAGCGGCTGGTTGATGGCGAACAAGACAATGACAGAGGAGACACATCGTCAGGATCTCGAGTCTAAGAAGATGGTTGAAGACTGGGCCGCAAAGCATTTCTTGTCTCCTGACAAAGAGACATGCTCAAACGCTGTTTACGTCTACTTTTGGGCCCCATTGGCAAACTACAAGCCAGATGTCTCCAAAGAGTAAGGTACCTCCCCTATACTGATGTCGCTAACATTCGCAGCACTTCCAATCCTTACATTTCGCATTTGGCGGACATAATCTCGAACCAACAAGCAGCGATTCTCGAGTTGAACAAGACCATCAACTGCAATATTACGCTTGGAACCCCTGAAGCTTGCAAGCTTTCTTTGGAAGCCCTTGGAGACAACAACGACGACTCTGACGACTCTGACGACTCCGTTTCTCCCGGTCGTCTTGCATCTCTTGCCGGTCTTCCCGATTACGCCATTACCCTTGGAAGCTTTGACTTGGGAGGGGTAAACTTTTCCAACTCGACCCTTAAGAACCAGAGTTTGCCACTGGCAGTTGACATTATGGCCACCAAGGGATGTGATTTTGTAATTCTGGATATCGTTGAGGCATTGTACAAAGAGGGGGCTATCAGAACGGTCAAAACTGGAACAATTGTGTAGCTCTAGACTTGAATATTACACGAAAAGACAATCGGGTTTGCTACGAGCCTTTGTCGGCGCAGACTGTGATGTTACAGGATATTATAAAAGCTATAACGTGAGATTTATAATCTTCCGTCTGGTACACTGGCTTGAGCCATTAACTGTCAATTCGACGGGCTTACACCCAAACTCAGAAGATCCTTTTCAACCGAGTACTACGTAATCGGCCGCTAACCATGAAAGGAAGAGATTTAGAGCGCCAATGCTTGGCCCTTCTGCCGAACAAATCATAAAGATCTGATAAGATAATCTGATGAGAAATACGAAGGATATTCCTCGCCAAGCCACTCACAATGTTGATCTAGACGGTTTTCAGAGTAGATCAAACTCTAGTTCGTCTCACGACATGGCTTGGCATGGGGGTCCCAGTCTGTCGGTTCACATTTAAATCCAGGAACCCCAAGCAGATTTGCATCGACAAACCACGCAATGTCTGAACAAAAGAACGATATTATGCCCGCTCCGCGGGAACCATTGGGCGATGGCGGACGCACAGCGGGGAAGGTTGAGATCGACTCTGAAGATCAGATGCACCATGCAGCACCTCCGACAGAGGCTATCCGCAAGATCTGGACGAAATCTCCACTCATTGTCGCTTTTGCTGGGTAAGTCGGATTGCATACGAAGAAGCAACGCTGACTCTTCTCAGTCTCTTTGTCATGAACTTTGCCATGATCTTTGCTGCATCTTCTGCGGGTGTCTACGATCCCTATGCCACGAGTCATTTCAAAGGTCATTCCCTCATTGCCACGGCCAACATCATCCATGGCATTGTTCGGATCGTTGCGTATCCTCTATTGGCCAAAGTTGCAGATGTGAGTAGCATCCAAAGACAGTAACACCAGACTAATGAATTAGCACATTGGACGGCCACAAGGATTTGCAGGGTCAGTGATAAGCATGGCTCTAGCCAACGTGCTCTACGCAGCGTGTCACGACGTAGAGACCTATCTCGTAAGTTTGCGGTTCTTCCGCCGTTCAAGTCTAATATTTTCAGGCCGGAGGTATCTTTGAATCGTTTGGCGATACTTGGTGGACCATTACCGAGCAAATATTCATCGCTGAAGTTACTTCCCTGATGAACAGAGGCTTTCTATTCACGCTGCCTGAGTCATTGGCTGCCATCCCAACCTTGTACGCCGGCACATATCTTGGTGAGCACATGCTACTCAAATCGTCATGGCGCTGGGGATTCGGTATGTGGGCTGCTATTATGCCCTTCTGCGCACTTCCGACCATCGCCATCATGGTGTTTATGGAGTTCCGAGCTCGGAAGAAGGGCATCTACTATAACCGAGTTTCACTCCGTACTGCTTCCGAGATCCCAGAAGTTGCATCCTGGACAACCAAGGTCCGCCAGGTCCTTTTCGTTCAGCTAGACATTGTCGGCGCATTTCTGCTACTCGCTGGTCTTGCAATGACTCTCCTGCCGCTTTCTATTACTGGAAGGAGAAACACTGAGCGTTGGGCTGAGCCATCATCTATCGTCCTTCTGGTTGTGGGAGTATTGACGTTTGTTGGCTTCTTGGTCTGGGATGGACGATATGCAAAGAAGCCTATTGTTCCGTTCCGTATGATCAAGAACCGCAATGTCATACTTGCCTGTGTTTCGGTCTGTATCATTGCCATGTCAGATTCAACCTATAGAACGTTTGCACCCAGCTTTCTACAGGTGGCTGGAGGTTACTCGCCTGGACATGCAGTCCGCATCGAGTAAGTCTTCTCAAACATGGAAAATCCGATCTAACTTTGGTAGCAACGCTCGACGAGTCGCCTTGAACCTCGGTGGTCTTGTGATTGGTCTAGCCATCAGATTCGTCAAGCATACCAAGCCATTTATCATTCTCGGCTTCTTGATGGTTGCTCTAGCCAATGGACTGCCAATCTACTTTACCAACATCGAAGGATCTCGAGTCGCCAACGAAGTAGCTCTTACCACTGGACAGGTGCTGCTTGGTCTTGGCCGGGGTTTTGCCCAGGTACCCCTTCAAGTCGCCCTGCAGGCTGCTGTTCCGGATCACGAGATTGGCATTGCGACGGCCATGTTTCTCTCTTCGTCTGGATTCGGTGCCAATGTTGGCAACAGGCAAGTTGTCTTACTCTCTTTGCGACATAGGTAACTAACACACATTAGTATTGGAGGTGCTCTCTGGAACACCCTTTTGCCCCGAAGACTCGCAGCGAATCTCCCAGAGGTTGACAAGGCCAATAGCACCGCCATCTTCCGTTCCATCGTGGCAGCGCAGAGTTACGAGCCAGGCACCGCAACTAGGGATGCTATTAATCTCAGTTACCGCCTGACACAGCAAACACTTGCAATTGGATCGCTTTCGCTTTCCATTCCTCTTCTGATCATCATGTTCTTCTTCCGGAATGTCAAGTTGGAAAAGGAGGATGAGAAGAGAAATGAGGTCGCTGAGCAACAGCTTGCCGCAGCGGGACAGGGCATTTCCACTGGACAAACTGTGACAGAGAAGAGTTAAAGAAGAGCTGCATCTTGCTCACTGCATGTTACAGCTGCACCAATGCCCAATATAGCTACCGATGTTAGAGATCGGCTTTGTAAGCTTGGCAACCTCGATGCTTTAAACAACTTGCCAAGCTGGCCCAAATGCCGATATTTCAACATCTCCGTCTGACTTCATCGATCAAAGTTGGACCAATTAGATAGCTCTTATATGAGTATTATACCTAAAGGGACAAAATACGCGGGGTTGTGTTGTGCGGAGAAGTCACGAGACCACCCATATCTCGGATGTGGTCAATCTAGTTACCTGATCCGGGTTAGCCAGCACATCGGTTGTTGGTGGCTCTTAAGGAAGGTTTCGGGACCGCCTGGTTGTGCGAAACTCTTGCGCTTTTCATATTGATATCGATGTACTTAAACGGCGTCTTGAGCTTCAACTATTGATCAGAGCACTCATTTTCAGAGGACGCAGTATCGTATCGACTATGCCTTCGCTTCTTGAATCTTTGGGACTGCGCCCGGATGTGGCCTTGGTCGCCGTTCTGGCCATTGGCGCATGTTGGCTACTTTACTCCTACAAATCTCAGAGCAAATCCGGTATGTTCATTACCCTCTCTCAGGTCACTGCTAACCAGTCAGTGACTCCTGAGGCTGATGTCTTCAAAACTCCAACACCTAAACCTCTTCCCGACTTTGATCTGGACAGAACCAAGCCTCAGCTTTATCGTCCATTCCGTCATGGCAAGAACCACATCACCATGGGCATTAGGAGACTCGATTGGGATAGCTGGATCGAGATGGACTCCAACTTTCTCTGGTTTCATGACACCAAAGTATCCGAGCTTGAAAAAGACCTCAATGCTCATGTTCAATACGTCGACAACGCCGTGACTCAAGACGCCTGCTTTGAAGTTTTGGAAGAGTTGACCAGTTACTTGACTGCTCGCTATCCCAAGATCTTTCAGCTCAAAGGAGGTGTCTTGCACAATACTCTAACTGGAGAAATGTTCAACTATCCGGCTGGTAAGTAGGGAGCCTCTTTTCTTAGCCTCTTTTTTAACTCGACTAACAAAATAGCCAACCCAACCGATGCCATGACGATTGCGGCCAAGTTGGTACAAGATGATCTTATCATTATGGTCGAGAATGAGGGTAAGTCACTTTTTTCGTCGTTGACCCGGCTAATCTCGTAGATGGTCAATACCACCTCGACGCCGGAGCTGTTTGTCTGCCTGGCTTTTGGAGGCTAAGAGAAAAGTTCAACATGTCTCTCGATACCCTTCACATTGAAGCTGGAGTTCCTCATTACCAGGCAAAGCTTCAAAAGTCGATGAACAGGTTCTTCAAGAGCATGCTCCCTGAAAAGGCAGTGATCCGGAACAATGTGAGTAGTTTGCATGTGATTAGACAAAGCTAATGATCAGTTCTTTATTCAACTTGATGACGGACTCCATTGGTCTCATCGAATGGGGAATCAAGACGGTAGCGAAGTCGCATGTAAGTTATCCTGAATCATACCCCTGAATCGTACCCCTGACACTCTCAGCTTGGGAAACGGCGAACGATGTTGGCTTAACCATCGAAGACCTCTACTTCCGATCCGAACGACAGTCTCTTCGACGACTCCCTCGATCCAAGGCGCTCCTTTTTACGGTCCGAACGTACTTCGAGCCGATCACTACAATCGCCAAGGAACCGCACATCCCAGGTAGATTGGCTGAAGCGATTGAAGAATGGGATGAAGAGACGTCAAAATACAAGGGGAAACATCATTGGGCTGGTATACTTCTTCCTTATTTGCATGAGCAGGATCAGCTCCAGAAGGATTCGGGGCTCCTTGAAAAGGTGTCTGAATCTGCATACCCTTTCTAGTCAGGTAGTCGGATAAAAGCATCTACATACATCTATTCTCCGTGAGATCTGTCCTTCACTCGGTCGCCGCGTCTATAGCTTTCGCTCCTTGAGAAGTGAAGCAGTGATGAGCGTAATGCCAGCAAATACGATCGAAAGACCTGGGCTGTTAGCTACGTCTTGACACCTGGAAAAAGACCTACCATGACCATATTCAATTCCCTTGACATATCCATCAATGAGGACCTTTTGAACCGCCCCAGTGGCATGCTCGATGTAGGAGACACTCTCTGAAGCTTTGCGGATGATCTAAAAAGTTAGCAGAGCCACGGCAGAGTCATAGCTGTCAACTTACCTCGGCAATCTCAGTTTGGGACATGCCAAGTCTGGTCAGGTCCAATTGCACGCTATACCTTAGATATCCCTGAATAATTGCACTAGTGCCTGCCATGCCAATGATAGTTCCCAAGGTGGTAGTCATAAACAGGCCTGCAGCGGCAGCAGCCTTGTCCTTGGGATCGATCGAGGCTTGCAGGGAGATGAAACCAGCACTAAAGGCGATGCCAGTTCCGAGGCCACTGAAAAGGTCAGCTTTGCTTGTTGAGAGTCAAAAGACTTACCCTGGGAAAACGTAGAGCGATTCTGCCCAGCTAGTGTGTCCATGCCATCGTAGAAGCATCAGGGTGTAACCAGTGATGGAGGACATGGCAGCAAACACAAGAAGAGCCTTGTACCGGCCAGTTCTGCGACAATAAATAGCTGCAGTTGATCTAGATTGTGGAGCTTACCTGTTGATGATGATACCTGCAGCAATTCCTCCAATTGTGTTTCCAATGACTGCCGGAAAGAGATGAGCTCCTGCAATGGTGCTTGAGACACGCTGTGTGACTTGAAAGTAAATAGGAACAGTGTACATCATCTAACTTGTCAGCATAGTCATTACTGGGAGTGCAAACTTACTGCAAGCTGTGCTCCGGCCTGAGCTGCAACCATCAGATAGGACTTGGTAACTTGTGCATTCCGAAGAAGTCGAAGAGGAAAGATTGGTTCCTTAGCCCAGCGTGACTCAACGAGTACAAATGCGACTGCAAGGACAATACTTGCTGCAAATAGGGCAAAGATAATTGGGTGATTCCAAGGTATCTTTTGACCTCCAATTTCCAGGGGCATCATCAGAGAGAGGACAGTAGCGCCAAGTAAGAGGGCTCCCACTGCATCAATTCTGGCAAGGCGGCTACTGATTGAGCTTTCTTGTGTGCAGTGAGACGTCGAAGGGAGGAGTAATCCGCAGATGACCATGGATGCGGCGAAAATAGGGGCTTGGCCAAGGAACGACCTGACTTGTTAGCTTAGTTTTCCTAGCATAACGCTTGACATACCATCTCCAGCCGATGGTATCGGCTAACAGACCGCCAAGAGGGCCCCCGATGCTTCGGCCAACCGTGGCAATCACATTCATATAGCTCTGCCAAGAAGCAACTTCTCTCAGGGGAGCGAGGTCTACCTGGTCAGTTTGGTCTATCATCTGTTGATTAACGTACCTGTGATAATAACCGAAGCCATAGCAGTCATTCCAGCACCTCCGGATCCAGAAATGACCCGTCCAAGAATGACCTGCCACATGGACTGACCAATACCCCTATTTCTGTGAGAAATGATTGCGATTCGAGTGGTAGACTTACACCAAGGCACTATTCCTGTTAGAATGATTCAATTGGCACGAATTAAACTTACCATCCAAGAGCAAAAAGTCCATAACAGAACATCAGAATGGCCTTTCGACCAAAGATATCACTGAGTTTGCCGTACTACAACCTTAGCAATGCCCATGCATTCAACTTGCCTACTTACCACTGTCTGTGAGGCTGCACCAGCCAGCATAAAGCTGATAAAGAGCCAACTGGAGTCTGCCAAGTCTCCAAACTCGGATGCAATGACAGGATGAGTTGCCAGCACCAATGAACCGTCGGCATTCGAAGTAAAGACACCTGAACTGTTAGCTAGAACAATCCGCAGGTAGAGACATACCAATGAGCAAAGCAATCACAACTCTGGCGATAAAGGCATGACTATAAGGCTTCGGCTCTTCCGGCTGAGGAGCGCTTTCACAGTCTGAAGTTGAACCATATCCATCTCGCTCAGCGGGCAGAAGTCGGGACGACTCTGTATCATTGGCCGTGGCTGTCATCTTGTGGCACAGTGAGTTTCAAGAATGTTGAACAGTTCAAGTTGAGTCAGAGGTTTTCGACTCAATTGCCGATCCGAATTGGGCGTGATGTGATTCTAGTCGAAAGCACATCATCGACGCCCCACCAGTTTTGCACCAGGGGACGAATTACGATGGGAGAGAGCTTATCGATACGAGGATTCTCATTAGATCTGAGATATTAATTACACGAATTATCAAGGACTTGACGGGCGAGGGGGGAGAGTCGCAGATTAAGTTGGCCCAATAGCCCAGGAGGGTTGAGAGGCCACAGGGGACTGGCTCTAACTAGGAACCTTGATACAACCATTCCTCATGAATCAGGAACTATAAGTTCTCTGGGTAAATAAAGTCTCAGTTATAGGAGCGTCAATGGACATAAATGATGAACACATACCATGCCTGTCTCATCTGCAACGTGATGTTTCGGAGAACACGACTATGGACACAAATCGGAGATCATGGAGTTATGAATATAATGTACAGCATAAACAAAACATAACTAACTGGTAGTGTGCACAAATCACAGTGCAATCAGACCCATCGGCGCACCCCGGTCTGAAACATTATTTCCGCTGCGGGCGTACATGCGACCACTATCTTATCTACCACTACCATACAGTTCCTCCCTTGACTCCTCTCTTCCATAACATTATCCATAACCATTGTCTATAACCATTGTCCTCAAAGACAATATCTCCTCAAACTTACCCGTGACTCATCAGCCAATGTAATTACCTCATCAAAACTCAATTGTGGATCTCCGCCCTTTCTCGACATGTTCCGAGTCTTTTCCGTGTCCCATGACCTTTGATCCCCTCTCAACATCATGGAAGAGCAACTCATCATGGCGGACCAAGAGTGGGAGGAGACCTATAGGGCCATTTCTAGGTCACTAGGTACAAGTCCTGATACAAATACCGACTTTTCATTACCTCTTCTCGACGTTGGACTGTCAGGGTATGGCCAGGAAGAGACAATCTCTCCAAGCATACTCCAAACTTCAACTGCGCCACCAAAGATTGGCAATCGCTTCTCCTCAGAGGCTGTGAAAATCTTGAGAAATTGGTTTGCAAGTCATGAACGTCATCCTTATCCAACGGTTGAAGATATCCAGAGTCTACAGAATCAGACTGGTCTTGGTCGTCAGCAGATTACAAACTGGTTTGCAAACACCAGACGGAGAGCCAAGGCTCATCTTTCAAGACCTGCATCTCCAATGTTTCGAAACGATGGAGAGGGACATTCTTCAGGACATCATACACCCATCGATACACCTCGTCGACGACCAACGCCAGCGCCATTCGAGCATATGAATCCTCTACAACGATGGGAGAATTCACCACCCGAACACGAAGCAGCCACCGTTCACGATATCTCTCGCGCTGTCGCAGCCTTTTCTGAACGTCCACGTGGTCGCATAAAGTCCCGAAGCAATGCTTCGTCTGTCAGCAGCACGGGAACGTCTGGTTCAAGTCGTGATTCTGGTTCTTGCAGTTCAGCTCACTCTCATCCGTCGCGACAATCTTCTACGTCCTTCGACCTGTTCCAAAGACGCCACAGTCGACGACGAAGAGCCAGAATACGACGTCAAGAGGTCAGGACAAATCTGTTGCAGGCTCAAAACACGTATCAGTGTACGTTTTGTACAGAAACCTTCAAGACAAAGTACGACTGGCAACGGCATGAAAAGTCTCTGCATCTGTCTCTGGAGAACTGGGTATGTTCTCCAAAAGGGCCTACAGCGATTCATCCTGAAGAAGGCCTGCTATGTGTGTTTTGTGGCATTAGAAACCCAGACAAAACTCATCTGGACGGACACAATCAGAGCGCCTGCATTGAACGACCAATTGAGGAACGAACATACCACCGAAAAGATCATCTTCAGCAGCATTTGAGACTGGTCCATGCATCCAAGTTTCTGAAATGGCCAATGGACGAGTGGAAAGTCATGACGCAAGAGATTCGTTCTCGCTGTGGCTTCTGTGGGATCAATCTCATGACATGGGCCAACCGAGTTGATCATTTAGCGGACCATTTCAAGGCCGGAAGTACAATGGAACACTGGAAAGGGGATTGGGGGTTTGATACCAAGATTATTGACAGGATCGACAACGCGATGCCTCCATGTAAGTTGTCTTCTGGCTATGCCTCTTGCTCCGAGTCCATGCTGACCATTAGACCTTATTCATCACGAACGCAACTCTCCGCTTCCGTTTGCTGCGACAAAAGGACCAGCAGATACGCCAACAAGCGCCTATGAGTTGATCAAGCTTGAATTGGAGTACTACATGAGAAACACATTCCACGCATTCGGCAGTCTACCTCAAGATCCTGAGCTTCACTTTGAAGGATGTTCTGTCATTCTCGGAGCAGAAATCATCTCCCCAAACCCAGCTTCGTCTGCTCCGTCGTGGTTATGGGATATCTTCATGTCTTGCACAGAAATTGCCAATCAAGCAAGACTAAGACCAACGAAGCAGCTTGCAGAATCACGACTCAGTCAACTGAAGATCAACGGAAAAGGCAACATCTTTGAGAATTGCGAACTCGAGGCTGCGTTGCGTCAATACATGGCAGCTCATGCAGCTGTAGGACATTTTCCATCTGACTCGGAGCTACAACAAGAGGCTTGCAACGCTCTTAACCGCATCGAGAGTTCATCTCCCAATCCCTCGAGGAGGTTCCTGGACTTTTTGATGAGGCTGGTCTGGAGTTCCACTACTTGGCTGTTACCACTACGGCAGCGAGGCCCTGTCGTTTCACCGCCAGCCCTGAATGATCAGAGCTTGCTATGGCCACAGAATCAAGCTCTGGACAACGTCAACGGTGCTGTCTTGGGGGACATGAACATGGATCTTCAAAACCTCAGCAATTCCTGGATACCCTTGACAGAAACGGACATTGCTCTTGAGAACCGATCCTTATCCCCTGGCATATCAGAAGGCATCCCAATCATGACGTCTCCTTTGATCAACCAAGAGATGCCGTCACACGATTCTCTAGACAGGGCTCTTCTCCGCGACAAGGTCCGAACCGCAACTCCATTCTTTATCAACGACAACAACAGTTACCGCCGACTCAAGAGAGAGCTTTCGAGATTCGTCATTACTACAATGTCACAAAACAACCCCAACAGACACATTCCCAGTGACGACGAGTTGAAGTACCAAGCCCGATGGATCTTATACGACGAGTAAGTTTCCCCAAGCATTCAACATCCAGGCTAACAGTTCAGTGACGATCCATGGAACCAAACACCAGTCGATAATGCAGAATGGCTACGAGAGTTTAAAAGAGATGTTGGAATACCAGACGGACAGCTATCAACTGGTTCATAGACTAAATAGACACGGGACAAGATCCTAGGTTCCTCTTGACAGGCTCGTTCTCAATGGCAATGTCAAAGTCAAAGATATCCATCGGTATACCCAGAGTTGTACAGACATTTGGAATGTCAACAATCCCAGCAATCGTGCCTCTGACAGGTGCGCTAGACAAGAGGAGATAGATTTGTTCACCAGTGTAGCCTAAACAGTTAGCAGTCTATTCTTGGACTCATCTGGAATAATACTCACCATACTGCTTCAGATACTCAATGGCTCGAAGACAGGACTGTCTGTATGCCACAGTTGCATCCATAAAGTGCTGCTTTCCTTGTTCATCAACAGAGAACCCCTCAAAGATGAGGTATCTGGATGGTCCGTATGAAGGTCCCATGTCTCCTGGCTTGAAAACTGGACTCTTGAGTCCTCTCGTCTTCATGCCATTCTTGATGAGATCAAACTTGATGGTAATGATACCGGCCTGAAACGTTAGAAAAGTCAACAAGAAGAAGGAGACGTACCATTTCAATGGCTCCGCAGAAGCTAATCTCTCCATCTCCCTGGCTAAAGTGAAGATCGCCCACAGAAAACTTGGCTCCAGCAACATGAACAGGCAGATACGTCGTAGAACCTCGCGAGATGTTGTTGATATCGCAATTGCCACCGTGCTCCGGGCGTCCAGGAATGGTGCGAGCTCCCTCTCGAGCAATCTTCTCATACACATCACCACTGGCCTGTCCAGCATGTGCATTCTGTGCATTCGGGGGCTGTGCAACCACCTTGTTTGGATGCGAATGAGCCATGGACGACACCAGATCAGCCTCTCGACGATTCCATTCTGCCAAAACTTCAGCAGATGGAGCACATCCCAAAATTCCAGGATGAATCAAGCCGGCAAAGCGGACCCCTGGAATGTGTCTGCTCGTGCAGTAGACACCGTCAAAGTCCCAGATAGCCTTGGAAGCATTGGGATAATGCTCCTCCAAGAACCCACCACCATTATTCTTGGCAAACACTCCAGTAAAACCCCAAGGCGAGTGATCAAAGGGTTGGACATCAGTGATGTTGACAACCAGCAAATCTCCAGGCTCGCTGCCCTTGATGTCAAAAGGACCAGTGAGGTAATGGATCTTTGTCAGATCAACGTCACGTACGTCATCTGCGCTGTCATTGTTCTGTATCTGGCCTCCAGTCCAGTCCAGACATTCAATCCTGACAGTCTCTCCAGGTTCAACAACGCCAATGCTTGGCACTTAAATGTCAGCAATGCCTCTGCTCAGGACGATTCATACCTTCAGGATGCCATCGATTGTGCAGATACGGCTGCTCCGAGGCAGGAGTGTCAAAAGAAACAGACTGAGCGGTACGGATCTTGCGAGACATGATGCTTGAGTTGTGTCTGTTGAGGACCTGTTGACTCTCTTTTATCTTGACATTCCAATTCCCCTCTTGATAAGCGCTGCAGGCCGTCGTGTGACTGTCCAGATAAAGAAAGTCTACCAGGGGTGAACGCATCAACACGATTAGCCCGCATTCAAGCGCAGATACTACGTGCCGCAAGATGCCGATACAACCCCGACCCCGCGTTTCCATTGACGTGACGGACTTAAAGAATGCCCGTGTCTCGTGTATTGGGTAGGTATCACCGTATCATCAATCATCAATCATCATCATGGAGGGCATCAAGACTTTTTCTCTGGGAGATTTTGAGCTCCAGAATGGAGTTCTCCCGAATGCTTGGATCGCTTACAAGACGTTTGGCGATCCCTCTTTGCCTGCAGTCCTTTATCCTTCATGGTTCTCGGGGGCCATCTACGACAATGAATGGCTTATTGGAGACGACAAGACGTTGAATCCGGCCAAATACTTCATCATCATTCCGGCTTTGTTTGGAAACGGCCAGTCCACAAGCCCATCCAACTCGCAAATTAGTCCATTCCCTCAGGTTTCTTTCTACGATAATGTACGAGCTCAGCATCAGCTTGTTACCAAGGGACTCGGCATCAAACATCTCCATGCAGTTTTGGGGTGGTCCATGGGAGCTGCTCAGTCTTTCCAATGGGCCACACAGTTCCCCGACTTTGTGGACGTTGTTGTCCCCTTTTGCGGGTCTGCCAGGACATCTTTGCACAACCAAGTCTTTCTCGAGGGTGTCAAGTCGGCACTCTTGGCTGCAAAGGGCACCTGTTCAGCCGGAAGCTGCAAGGACCGACTTGAGGGATCACACTTGTCGAGAGTATGGACCGACAAGGAGAAGGAGGTTGGTCTCAAAGCATTTGGTCGTGGTTATGCAGGCTGGGGTTTCTCTCAGGCATTCTACCGTCATGAACTCTTCAAGAAGCATTACAATGCTCCCGATCTTGAAACATTCATGAGGGAATTCTGGGAGAAATGGGCCCTCAGCAAAGACCCCGAGAATTTACTGGTTATGCTGCAAACTTGGCAGAGCGGAGATGTCAGCAAACAAGAGCCATACAATGGCGACTTTGAAAAGGCCCTGGCCAGTATCAAGGCAAAGATTCTGGTTCTTCCAAGCAAGACGGATCTCTACTTTCCGTAAGTATATACCCCCACGCAAGACAAAGCTAACAATTCAGTCCCGAGGACTCCGAGTACGAGGTTTCCTGCATGAATCCCGAGATTGCAGAGCTCGACGTTTATCCGTCTATCTGGGGGCATTGGGCTGGAGGACCCCCTGGAAACATGGAGGATGTCAAGTGGCTGGACGAGAGACTCAGGAGAGTGTTTGGTGATTCTGTGGAAGGTCTAAGCGAGGCAACCGCTCGGGTCCAGATTTGATCAGATAGTTTGTGATAGTTGATGTGATAGTCGACAATGTCAGCCCGTTGGTATCTCGGAATCCTCGTCGGATCAATTGCAAGCCCCCGCACTTCCAGGGGTGTTATCTACAACATGTTCATGTTCACACAAGGCGTAGACCCTGCATCAGATCAAGTGCATTAACCACTCGTTAATAGGACAACTTGACCAGATACAGCAGGTCGAGATAGGGCGTCTCCAACATGTCGATTTAAGGCGGAGCTACTGTAGCTTGTCAAGCAAGGGCGGATGTCAAGAAAAGGCGGAGTACCCCACACACCACCACCATCAAGAACAAACAATCAAGGCGGTGTGATTGGTCACCTGGTTATCTAGATGGTGGCTTGCCCTCGTGACACTTGATGTTGTCCGTCGCAATGATGAGAGCATGGTTTGGACACGGTGTAGGTTGACTTTGGTAGTTACACAGAATGACTTCCATGATACAGTAAATACTCTAACTCAACAACAGTGAACTGTAGAACGACTAAGATAATAAAGAATACTGCAGAATACTATAGATGCAGACCATTCAACTAGATACGCGGGGAATGTTGACACGGACCTGCCGGCACTTCAGACCCATCATGCACAAGACACGGTCCACTAGACTATTTCTAATAGTAATTCCAGGATTGGGCATGCAGTTGTCACATTGTCCTTCAGGGTATCCTCGGGTCCGTAGGCCGGAACTCTAGGTCAACTCGTGGCCGGAAGGGTTCCGGCCATTGTCTATATAGACAAAGTTTCCCGCCACTCTAAACAATCATCAGTAACAACAACACCAACAAAATGGCAGCAGTCAACACCCTCTTCCCCTACCTCCGCAAGGATCCCTCAGAGTTGCCCGCGGGCGAGGATCCTTTCACAATCACTACCCGTATGGGGTATCTCCCTTTTGCTCTTCCCCTCAAGAGACTTCCCTCTCAGTTCGATGCCCTCTACAACATTCTCAATGACATGCCCATTCTCAAGGAGGATGGCGCTCCTGGGTTGCTGGCTACCTTTGAGCTTGGCCCTCTCATCGATAACGGTGCTATCCCTGATCTGACTGACGAGATTGACAAGCTCGTCATTCCTGGTACAGACAAGAGGGATATGGCTGCTATTACTGCTGCCTTCCGCGACTACAGCTTTGTCGCCTCATCATACCTCCTTGAGCCTTGCTGGGAGACATACTCTGCTGACCGTAGCAATGGTTATGGTCTTGGCCGAAGGGTACTCCCCAAGTGCATCGCTGGACCTCTTGTCAAGTGTGCTGAAATGTGAGTACCCGTCTTTGTTCTTTGATCACACACTAACAAATCAGTCTTGATATCCCCGCATTCATGTCGTATGCTGCTTCATACGCCCTGTACAACTACTGGCTGGTTCATCCCGAACAGGGTCATGATGACTACAACAACATCCGCCTTGTCCGTGCCTTTGAGAAGGGTCTTGACCCCAAGTCTTCAGAGGCAGGATTCATTCTCACTCACATCCACATGGTTGCTCAGACTGGTGGACTGATTGAAGGAGCTGTCGACCTCTTGGAAGCTGTCGAGAAGGAGTCCAAGGATGGCAGCAAAGACTCCAAGACCATCACCGATGCCAAGGCTAGTCTCGAACTCATCCTCAACGCAATGCAAATCATCGAGGCCAACATGGAGGGCATGTGGACTCAATCTCTCCCAAAAGACTACATGACCTACCGAACATTCATCTACGGCATCACCAACCAGTCCATGTTCCCCAATGGTGTTATCTATGAGGGTCAGTACGATAACAAGCCCCAGTTCTTCCGTGGAGAATCTGGTGCCAACGATGCCATCATTCCTCTTCTGGATCACATCTGCGAGATCCCCATGCCCAAGAACCCTCTTACCGATATTCTGGTCGAGTTCCGAGAGTATCGACCAAAGCCTCATCGGGCATTCCTCAAGTACGTCCGCGAGACTGCCTCTGAGCTTGGTGTGCGCAGATTCATGACCGAATCTGGAGATTTGAGTCTGGTCGTTTTGTATCTTCGAGTTCTCGACCATGTCCGAAGCTTCCGATGGAGACACTGGATGTTTACTCGCGAGTATATCATCAAGCACACTCTTCATCCCACAGCCACAGGAGGAAGCCCTATTATCACTTGGCTACCAAACCAGCTCGGTGCAGTCATGGATCTGATGGAGGAGGTTGCAAAGGGATCCGGTCTGTGGGCAGTCTTGGAAGAGGGGGTGTGGAACGGAGGTGGATCATTGTCTGAGGAAGACTTTATCCTTGTCAAGAAGATTATGGACAACGTGGTTACCAAGAAGGCACAGTTGAAGAAGGAGGTGGCCAAGTATTGCCAGGACCGAGGAGTAGAGTCGAGTGCTTAGGTCAATGTTATTGAATTGTTAGTGTTAGCTCTGGAATGCGTTGCTGTGTCATGCATCTGCCGAGTACTCCTGCACCCCTGCATTACATGCCATGACCCATGTCCATCACAATCTCCGCTCCAATCGCGAGACAATTTAATGATCGTCAGCAAATTCTCATTGGGTGGCTTATGACGTAAAGACACATGAGGTGGGTTCGGCAAGATCAGTGGCAACGCCGACGGACACGCCGAGTCACGGAATTATTCACGGAGTTAGAGTCAGAGTCGGTCACAGACACATTATTAGAGTCAATAAACATCAATTATACGCTAAACAAATTGGTATCATCGCTTAAGCAAGAGGAGCACATGTAAAAGCTCCACGGACATCGCCGTTACGGAACTTGATGATCTGGTCTGGTTAGCGGGGTCATTAGAGTAAAAGACAGAGACTTACAATGTCGTCAATGCTGGCATATGTGCCGCCGACAAGAACAATCATGCCAATGATGAAAATGATTCCATTGGCAATGCTCAGAGGAAGGTTGGCCTTGGAGTACCAAGGTCCCTTGCGGATGAGCATGAACCACATGATGGCAGGGAAGTAAAAGGTGAAGCCCGAGATGAAGAGCGACGAGGAGATGGACAAAAGATCGTTGAAGAAGGGGATAGCCTCAGCAATGACCCAAGCAACGATCGTGACGATAGTGATGAGAACCAACCAAGTGATCCAACCCATCTTGGTGTTGATGAAACGGATGACAGAGTCCTTGTACACACGGCCGTGAATGTAACGGGCGACGACTGTGGTGTTGATGGAACCAGAGATAAAGATGACTGGGAGGGCGATACCAAAAGCAACCTTGGAGATGAGGTCACCAGCAGACAGAAGAGCAGGCGACTTGACCTCAGGACCGACAAAGGCATACACGAGAGCACCAGTCAGAGTGTAAATGGCAATCTCAATAAGACCGAGAGCCCAGATAGACTTGACAAAGTCGTGGGGAGTGTGCATCTCATCCATAAAGCTGAACTGGCAGACAGCAAAGGAGTAGGCAAAGACAATGTTGGTGATGGCAATGAAGGCCTCAGTGAAGCTCAGGTCATCCTTGGGCCAAGCAGACCAGGCGACGGAAGACAAACCGCCGTCAGAGTCACCAGCCTTGATACCAGTAGCGATAATGGTGATGCCGACAGCGAGGGCAATAGACACAAAATCGATGTAGCCAAG